TTAGTGACTTCTAGTGATTAAAAAAAAATGTAGTACATTGAAGGATAAAATATTTTTAGAATATATCTTGATGATCATGATCCATATGTTATGAATTCGTATTTTGAATTAGTAGGAAGTATGAAATTGGATATGATGAGGTTGAAATTTATCAAAATTATTATAAGCTAGATATTCTTAGTATGAGAATCCTAAGTAGTTGATCATTTGTCTTATATATATATATAGAAAAAAAAATCATCATATGATAGAGTGTAAGACCCAACACACAAAAAAAATGTATATGAGGATTTCCCACTTGTCTCATAGAAACATTTCTATATGTGAGACTAGGACAAGAAAGTAAAAACAAATTGAGCACAAATGCTTCTATGGGGATTTCTACTTTTCTTGTGGAGGCTTTCCACATGTGAGATTTAGATATGAAAAAGAAGTTATATGGGGAAAGCAACCTACCTATGATGTTTGTAATAATACTAATAATAAAAGACAAATCAAATACACTATTTGGGTGCACGAATCTAGAAGAGAAGGCTAAAGATAATTTGAAAATTTGAGTAAGCTTTTGATCATTTAATTAGTTATTTCTGAAAATGAAAAATGTTGAATTTCATGCAAGAAGGAGAATAAAAATTAAGATGAATATTTTTTAAAATAGTTCATTTGAATATGGAAACTTTTTCTTTTTTTTTGATCTTGTAGGAAACTATTTTGAATCACATGCATATCTGAATATTTATTTGAATGCCATCTCTAGTGAAAAATGAGAGAATAAATGATTCATGTAAAAGAATTAATAAATAGCTTTAACTATGTAAGTCTTTTACTAATTGCTAGGGACTAGCAAAATTCAAAGTTGGGGGTATTTGTTAAAGTTAGATTTTGTGTTTTAATTATTTTTATTATTTTATTTTATTTTGTTAATATAGGATATATTGTTAATTTTAAAAGTCTAAAGTTAAAATACTTAGCATAATTTTATATTATTTAAAAATATAAAATAATAAAATATAAAAAATTGTTTTGCCTACTAGCAAGCCAACACTCAGCTTTTAACCTAGAGGGGCATTGCAATCGAGTAGGTAGACCCAGACAAGGGGAGCCATGAGCTAGGCTTGAGTGGCAAAGGACTCTCTCTATGTATGTATGTGTCACTCTCCTTCCACATCTTGGTGGCCAACTGGTCATAGGCAAAGAGTGTTCATACACACCTATGCACACAAGGGTGACCACCTTTTTGTCTTCTCCCAAGATGGTCCTAGGTATTATTTTACTTCGGGAGAAGAGATCTTTGTTGAGTGAGCATAACTTTGGTTTATATTTGGCACCTTTGTTCGAAATATTTTCGATGTGGGACTAAGCGCTTTTGTCCATTTTAGTGTAGCCATTTGAAGCGCGGTGTGATGTAACGGTACATAGGGAGCCACATCATCAGATTAGCTAGATCCTACAACTGGCAAATCGCCATGATACTAAATGCGTAAAGTGATCCATCGGCAGTTCGAGAATCCAACACCACTCAACACACTCGTGGCCTTAAAGGATGATCCGATGGCTAAGGAGGCACCACAATATCAACTTAAGTTTCTAATTAGCGGTGGTTCACGACAAATTGATCTTGCGTTGCTCAATGTGCCATGTGACCAAGCTCATTTGATCTAGTGACTCCTAAAGCACCACAATATTGGAACTTAAGTTCTCGTATGTATCACCACTAGGGATATAAAGACAATAATTAATTATTGTCTAATAAAATAAATATATTATCAATTATCTTTAAAATCCATACAGTAGTTGTGAATATGGCAATCCGTTCTTCCCTCCTTTCACACGATCAACATTTATGGTGATCAACAAGCTTGTTCCTTCCTCCCCCGTCTGCACTCACACCTTCTAAGAAGTGGTCAGCTCTTCCCTTCTCCCCTAAATGATGGTAATAGCATGGTCAACCCTTCTTTCAACAGATTTCTTTGACAAGTGGCACAATACTTTCAAATGATACTTCTGTGACTTTCAACGTGGTTTGACATATTCAAATGATACTAAGTTGCCACACCAGTGTCTCTAATTGCCTAAGAGGCAAACTAATCTTGGGCAATGATTTATTTCAGTATTTATTTATTTACTTTTGTCATTTATTTATATTTTATGGCAAGTTATTTATGTTTCATGCACGTGTCGATTGAAATAAGTAAAACTAATTCAAAACTTACTGAATGATTTTTGTTCATCTTTTGAATCTTCAAAACTCATCTAAGATTAAGCTAAGATCATTTCTAACTTATTCTATTGATTTTTGCAATCAAATTTTGACATATTTATGTTTTCGGTGTTCTACGAATAACAAGCATTTTTCTATTTTTGAACATGAAGTCACTGACATTAGAGGTTGATTAATGAGCATTCAACGGTTAAAACAAACTGGAGACATTCATGGCTGATCTCATGTCATGTGTGTGAATCTTTGAGCACACATTCCTATGAAAAAATGGGTTGACTATATTTCTCTCTTTCTTCATTTTCATCTTATCTCTCTCTCTCTCCCTCTCTTGTGAGACCTATCTTCTCTCTCTATCTCTCGTTAGATTTCTCTCCTCCTCTCTCTTTCTCTCCCTTTCATGAGAGATCTCATCCCTTCTCTCCTTTGTGAGAGCTTTCTCTCCTCCTCTCTCTTTCTCTCCCTTTCATGAGAGATCTCATCCCTTCTCTCCCTCATGAGAGCTTTCTCTCCTCCTCTCTCTTTCTCTCCCTTTAATGAGAGATCTCATCCCTTCTCTCTCTCCCTCTCTAGTGAGACTTATCTTCTCTCTCTATCTCTCATTAGATTTCTCTCTTTCTCTCTCTTTATCTCCCTTTCGTAAGAGATTTCATCTCTTCTCTCTCTTGTGAGAGCTTTCTCTCCTCCTCTCTCTTTCTCTCCCTTTCACAAGATATCTCATCCCGTCTCTCCCTCGTGAGAGCTTTCTCTTCTCCTCTCTCTTCCTCTCCCTTTCACGAGAGATCTCATCCCTTCTCTCCCTCATGAGAGCTTTCTCTCCTTCTCTCTCCTTCTCTCTCTTTCTCTCCCTTTCACTAGAGATTTCATCCCTTTTCTCTCTCATGAGAGCTTTGTCTTCTCTCTCTCTTTTTTTCCTTTCTTTTCTCCACTTTCATTCCTTTATTCTTCTCACCTCACCCTTCTATTTCATTATTTCTGTTAAATATTAATAAAATAATAATATCACTTTATATATAAATTAAATTAGTTTTCACGATGAATTAGTCAATCTATACTAATATTTTATTAAGTCTTAGTTATAAATATTATTATATAATATATATTTAAACACAACAACAAGTGCACATCAGTTGGTAATGACAATTGACAAATATTATTGAAGAAATTTTTGTTGATGATCACGTGATTCCAATGACTTAATCGTTGACTTGTGTTGTGTAGAAAAATTGTAAGTTAAAATAGATAAAGAATATTTTTTTTTAGCTTTGTGAGATTTGAACCTTCACCAATCATTTGGCTGTGTGAGATTGGGTTAATAAATGACCTAAATACTCTTGAAATAGTGAGGTCATAATTGTATTTACTTCTCATATAATAGGGTATTTTTGGTATTTTTATTTTTATTTTATTTTAACTTGAGAATATGAATATAAAAATCATATAAAGTCACATAAATAATAAAAAAATCACATTAATCACATAAAAACTTATTTTCTCAATTTCACATAAATATAAAACTAATTGTTAACTCATGAGAATGAAGACTTATTAGACTTTTTTCTATAGACAATTACTAAACTATAGTTCTTTCAAATTCATAAAACCAAGCATATGATGGCAAGAATAACTTTCAAGTGATGTTTTCAGAAGAATAGTAATATAAAATTAAATTCAATATAAAATTATAGATTTTATACATATAATTATGTTGTAGAACCATGACATGTAATTTATTTATTTTTTGATAGTAACATGATGATATCATTCCTTTAGGCATATTTAAAATATATCACATAAGAAAAAGATGAAAATGATATTATTTTTATCAGTTACATCAAGTAAATAGCCAGTTCTTTTATATTCTTTATCAATGCTTATGGATTGTGATGAAAGTCAAGGTGGAGTATAATACGTGGGTTTTTGATTTGGTTCAATATTTCTAAGTTCCAAATTTTACAAAAGCTTTTCAAAAAATTAATTTTAAAAAAATTCAAACTTTTTTATTGCTTTATCTGGATTCACAAATAGGAATTTAATTCTCATAGTACACTCGTTTCAAACCCATCTTGTTCATCTTCATTATATTTTGTCATTAAACTTGCCGAATATAATATCATAAAAACACCCCTCATTGGGGCTATATAAATACAATTTGTACTCATTTTTTCCTAACAAACATAGGAGGCCGTTTCAGAGTATAAAAGTCATCTCCAGTTTCAATGCATTAAAAGAAAATGTAGAATATTGACATCTATATGGTTGACTAGAATAAACGTCGTCTCTAGAGCACTATTCAGGAAATAAAATGTATTCATTCAAAGAGATTTAAACGGCGTTTCTTTACCTTCTTCGTGCGCTCTCTCTACCTCTCTCTTAGTTTCCTTCATGACGGTTTTTGGAATGACGGTGCTCTCTCTTCTTCTCGTCCTCTGGTGTGCGTTGAGACCCGACACAGCTTACGGGAGGGGTTATATCCTCTAGACAGATCACCGAGATGCCGCGCGCATCGAAGAGGAGGAATCAGTGGTGACGACGGCGATGCGTACGGCTTGCATGCTTATTTTCTAGCGTTTGTTTTTTTTTCAGCGGAAATATGTTAAATTAAATCCGCACTTGAAGGGCCTGCTTTTCCGACATCATATTTTCAAACTCAAGGACGGGGAGCAAAAGGTGGGGTGGTCGTGCCTCATCGTCCCTGATTGAATCTGAGAATAATTATTCCCGTCTCTCGTTGTATGTGCGAGACTGTGAACGAAATCTGACGAGAGTAGCTGAGATGGCCTTATGGAATATCGTTGTCTTCTAAGCCATCCTGAGACTCGTATTTGTTGTTGTAGCAGGAAGAGTCGCAGGGGTATGGACAGTCGATCTCCTTGAAGTCTCGCAGATCGTAGAACCACAGTCCCACCGCCTCTGCAACTGTCTAACTGGGTATTATATTTCACGTCAGAGAGAGAGAGAGAGAGAGAGAGAGAGAGAGAGAGAAGGCTACTGTGTTTCCGAGGACTGGGGAGTTGGAGAACTTCCAGGTCGCAGTAAGCTCCGTCTGGCAGTGAGCGAAGCAGGAATTGATGAAGAAGCCATTGGAAGGGTCGCTAGCGATTGTTCTGCCCAAGTCCTTCAGGAACTCCTGCCTGAACACTGGCAATGGTGAACCAGGGGAATTAGATTCATCTCTCTCAGTCGTACTTAAAATAATGGAGAATCAGAAAGACTGATGAGTGAGAGGGAGAGAAATGGGGGAGGAGACAATTATATAGATAGATAGATTGGTATATAGCGATGGAGGGGAAGTTGAGTTAATCTGTATATTTATAAATGCATAGGCTGATGTGTGGAGAGGGAGCAACGGGGGAGAGCGGGTACCTTGCATGCCTTCTATTTGCTTCGTGTTGCACTTCGTAATGTCTGCTCTGCAGTCCTTCCAGGTGCCTTCACGGTCAGACGGCAATGGAACCAGGATGTTCCTGATCTGTAAAACGCACCAGATAAACTAATGTCAGAGGCGAGGATCGCGCATAAAAAGGGAGGAATCGGAAGAAGAAGAAGTCGAAGACGAAGACGACGACAAGGTTTTCTACGGCACCTGCCACGAGTCATAGGCCGCATTGAGGATGAACAGTGGTGTAAGAATGCGCGGAGCCACGTACTGCGGGAAGAAACACTGCACGAGAAGATTTCATGGGTGAGATAGACACAGGAAGCTTTATCGGGAGAGACTCTTCTTTGCCCTGACCATGCCCGGGCTCATCCTCAAGGTACAGGACGGCGGAAGATTCTTCGCGGAACCCTGGGAAATAAACGCCGCCCACGTTAGAACCCTATCAACAACAGAATATGTGATGATTATGATGGAACCATGCTATTGATGCGCATACATGAGTCTCTACGATGCTGTTGAAGTAGGCTCTGACGTACTCGATCCCGGAGATATCCTTCCTGCAACAACAAGAGTCATGTAAGCGGATCGATGCAGCGGGATGAGGGAACCAACCACAACAGGTTAGGGTTCATACGCGTTGACGAAGTAGCCGCCGTCAGTGAGGCATTTGACTCGGGCGTCCGCGGGGAGAAGAGCTCGGAAGCGGTCGCAGTGCAGCACCGACGTTAGCCCGCCGGCGGAGCAGCCGGAGAGGAGAGCCTGTTCGATTTCACTCGTTAATATCTTTTCCATTCTCAGTAAAGGTTGAAGGGATACCGAAAGGAGGGCTGTACGTTCGTAGCGTTCTTCATCCCCTTCGCCAGTAGATCTTCCATCACCGCATCGAAGATCCTCGCCCCCCGGTAGTGAAGGTTAGTCGCCTTGCCGGCGGGGAAGACCATAACCGCATCGTCAGAGAGAGGAATACGCAGAGAAAGAGAAAGAAAGAGAAATACTCAGAGAGAGGGAGAGAAGAATCCGTAGAGAGAGAGAGGGAGGGTTAGTGCGGGAAAGATGAGGGGCGGGCGGGCGGGTTAGTGCTCACAGGGTCGACTCTATCGACATCGCCGGTGAAGGAGGAGCCGTCGCAGTAGCCGACCTTGACCTTGTTCCAGTTGTAGAAGTCTGCACGCGTTAACCGGGTGAGAATCGCCGGGAGGAGAGGAAGGAGGGGAGTGCCGGTCGGGAGGTTCGTACAAGGATTGAGCTCTCCATGATCGTTCAAGATGCCAGAGAAACGGACAGCGCCCATGGCCCTGGAGGAACCGAGCTTTCCCTTCATGCGGGAGAGGCAGTTCGTCACGTTGTGGCACCATCCTCCCCCCTGGCCACCATCAAGACGAAGACCAAGGTCATTAAATATCGCAAGATAGCATCCTTGTAGTGGAAAACCTCTGACGCCACCTCTTGCAGTATAGCACCTTTTTCAAGTTGCCGCCACCACTCATCAGGGGACCCCTTTCTCCGTCATTTATTTCTCTCTCTCCGCGACTACTTCGCCACACGTCTCCCTTCTCTACATCTCCCTTGCCGCTCTCTCTCTCTCTCTCGCTCTCAATTCACATTCCCTGCCGATCAATAACGTTCTCTCCACATCTTCCTTCCCGGTCACACTCCCTCTGGATATTCCCTTCTGTTCTCTCGCTCTCTCTGTGAGAATGTTACTTGCAGGGTGATCTGGCCAGATATTGAACGAAAAAGGTACCACACGTGGGCTCTCGCATAAAGAGTCAAAACCAAAAAAATACTGCTCCGCGTAACAAAAGTGAATAAAAACAATCAAACTGTTTTTATTGAGATGGCCTGACCTCGATGTGGACTAACCAGCTGCCCTCGCCTGAGCCGAATCCGCCCGAGAAATGGTACGCAGGGGGGCTGCCGTCCAGGCACACTGCCATTGAGATCCATGGAGTAGGAAGCTCTTGTGAGAGAGAGAGAGAGAGAGAGCGATCTAAAGCGTCTTAGATAGAGGGAGAATTTAGCCGCCATGCCTGCTCCTCTCTTGGTGGCGCTCTGCAGGACCGTCAGATCGACCTCGAGCACGCTGGCAGTCAATGAGAGTAGCCCAACGGTCCCCAGAGGAAGAAGAAGAAGAGCGAGAAAAGGAGGAAGTTGAGCCCGCCGACTGAAACCCGCCATTGTGAAGAACGAAAACCTTGAGAGGCGCTGTTCCTGCGTAAATTGAGCCACTCACTCATCAATCAAACCGCGAGGAGTTACCCATTCCAATGACAACAGAAGGATCTTTGTCCCCCCCGCCGCTCCGAAGACTAGGAAATGATGATAAGGCTTCCTTCTTAGGGTGCAATCATATATGGTAAGGATCTACTGGATCAGAGCAGAGATCGCCGTGTATGGCTAGGGTTGGAGCGTCGAATCGTTCTGAGAGATTCCAAACACGGAGATTCGAAAAAAAAAACAAATCGTCAAGAAACCGAACCTGGTAATTCTCGATTCAGCGATTGAATGCCCCTACCGAGGCAGCGCGAATCCCGGCTCAAACCTTCTTCCTCGACATCTTCTCTCCTTTAATCACCCTATCCGTGTGACGAAAGACCTTACAGAAACAATGATGAGGGAACAACTCCGTTTCCCGTCTTGATTCGACACGCAAGAAAAAGAGGAAGAAGACATGACCTCCTACTCTCTCCAACCTACCATGCACAACTCTCGCCAGCTCTCTCTCGCCCATCTCTATCTCTCTCTTCGTCGTCACCGATGCGTTAGAACCTCCTACGAGCGCATAAACAAGGGTTGGGAGGCCATCAACATCGCCGGGTTCATAGAAGGAGACGTTACACCCACCCCAACCCCTCTCTCTCTCTCTCTCTCTCTCTCTCTCTCTCTCTCTCTTTCTCTCGCTGGTGAGAGAGACCCACGTTCTGGGTCCGACTCCAAGCAAGCACCGAACTTCTCGCCAAGTCGCCTGCGGAGGCAGTTTCGGTCGTTACCGTGGAAGTGTGTAACCGCCACACCTCTGTTCCCCCCTCCCCGCCTCCTGAGGAGTAATTAACTCCCGAAAGGCAGGCATAGCGTCAGCCTCGGATCAAGTTACCCCCTCCCACCCGTCAAAACGGTCAGAATGATCGCTTCAAGCGTTGGGTTCGCTCTTTTGTCGGTGTGCAGGAGAGCCAGTGAGTCCGCACGTGCGAGGAGTGATAAATAAATGTAGAATTAATTACGTTCTGAAGCTATTAAATTTGGCGCAATTATTAGATCCCACTCCATTCCACTTCTATCTGGAAAGTTTTTCCGAATTAGAACTCGAATGCACTGTAACAAGAAAAAGCTTCTACTTCTAGAAATTAGAAAAAGGGTATTATCATAGAAAATCGTGAAAACAAATCAAGATAAAGAGGCTGATCATCACGAATGCCGATGATCCTCCCCGTGCTGCAAAGGCTTGTGGAAGTTCGTCCAGCGCCATTCCAATCGAGGGAGGAATTCTTCCGCCGAAGATCAGGAACCCTCAGGAATGCTTCCGCTCCCACTTCCCCTCCCTCCTCCCTTCCCGTTCTCTACGCTCTACGATCTGTCTGGATTTGCCGCCGCGCCCCTGCCGCGGGGCCGATCCGAAGCCGCCGGCCTCCAGGGACGCCGTCTCCGGATCACCGACGCTGCTCGCGTCTCCCGAATCCCTGCCTCCCTCGTAGTTGTCCTCGTAAGCGGGGCCGCGCTCATCCGCTCGCTCCAATGGCTGCAGAATCGTGGGAGGCTGCTTATCCAGGAAGGATGACCGCGATCCCGCGAGCACCAACGTGGAGCCCGGAGCTGCCGTCGCCAGAAAGGTACCTCCGTCTCGGCCTCTGCTGCTGCCTTCAGGAGCCGTTCTCCCGTTATCTCTTTCGCGGTACCTCTCCCTAGGCCGGCTGCACAGGTGCGAGAAAAGAATTTGAGTGTCCCCATTGCGGATAGAGCATGGTATACTTGAAGGCTTTCCTCGTTTTTGAAGCATACCTGCTCGGATTCGAAGAGATGTCCCTCCGTGAAGACCGGACTCCGGATTCTACCAGTTCCAGCTCCTTCTGAAGTTCCCGCTAGACAAAGGTGGAACTCAATTCCTTCAATCTCCCATTTCATTCGGTGACACAAAACAAAGTACATCGAAAACACACTAAAAGGAAAAAAAATAAAAATAGGATGGCAAAACACCCGACTAAGAGTGCATGGACACAAAACGTGGCTCCTTAAAAACAGAAAGAACATATAACTGGCCGCATTACAGTCTCAAATAGGTTCAGACCTTGAGAATTAGATAGAGAACATGAACGAGCAGGAAGATGCTAAGATCCCAGTCTACCATGCAGTCAACCGATGATGTCCTTTCCCAAAGAACGAATAATAAACTCTGGTACAAATTCAAAAGGAAATAACTGATCCACTAAAATGAACTAACCATTTGTCTGTCATGATTATGCAAATAAGAAATCTCTCTGCAACTCAGTACGAGCAGTGCTAGAACGATCTTCTGCATATCTAAATTGAAACAGGATCCTCAACTCTAGATCTCTAATAATAACATATACCATTCATTATCTTGAAGCATTTACTGGTCCTTGGCAGCGTAAACCGAAACCTGAGACACTTGATTAGGCATTTTAAAGCCACTTCGAAGACCCACAAAATCTTGAATAGCATCATCTTCAAAACCTATTATATCTTCAAGGTATCAAATGGGAGGGAAGCTGGTGCCCAACGAGAACTGCATCTGAGATCAAACCTTCACACTTCAATGAGAGAGAAATCCATCTTTAGGTGGGGGGGCTGGGCGGCGGGGGGTTTAACACCATCTTGCTCCCCAGGTACGGATGTAATTCAGCGATGCGGAAAAGAAGCTCACTATGACTGCTGGAAACATCAGAGTATTACAGGATGGATCCCAATTGTTATGAGCTTCTATTACCTTTTCTGGCAAGCAATCATGAAAAATCAGTATTTAGACATAGAAGGGACCGTGCTTAACGCCTCCACATATTGTTTGATACTGAGACACAACATTAAGACCTGCTCTTGTGCGAATACCACGGCATCAACAGATATGACGTCCTAAGGCACGCAAGCAAATCTACAGCAGTAAACACCTCTGGACCTTCCCATGTGCCCAAGAAAATACAACTCTGCAATAGAAGAAACCTCAAACTTGCCTGCTTGCCCTTCTCGATTTGAATGAGCATAGAAATATGGATTCAGAAACCGGTTTCAGAAATGTGAAATACTAAGATTCTGCATGTCGCTCACAAGCAATCAAATGGTTCAAACTTTCTCATCCTCGTGTATGTATTTCACGTTGTGCTAACCTGTTCCTTTGAAATATTTGTAATGCTTTGGAAGAGGGAAGGGGGATGACCCCAGTGATCCAGCTCACATAAAGTTATTCCCAGATGAGTTCATCCAGGTTCCTAATCACAGCAGGCTCTTCAGCTATGAGCCTCCACATACATCTTTCTAGTGAGGGATTGTTTTTAAACATGTTTAACATATATAACAAAAAATGCAAAAAGCACGTCCAAACTTCAAGGGGAAATACACAGAAATATCAGAATCATTGATAGGATTAAACCTTCTTGGAAGAACGAGACAGTAAGTAGAAATATTCCAAATAAAACTAGGGCAATTACAAATTAACATTTTATAGCAAAGGAAATGAGCTATTAGGAAACAAAAGAAGTATATGATCACCCTCTCAAGAATAAGTCACGAACTAAAACCAGTGTGCAGAACAGAATCAGAATAAACAAAATCGAAGAAAAAGAAGGATCCTATACTGAGTACTACAGCTTACTAGTGCAAGCTTAGACGTGATCCAAAGAACTATACCATTGCTGGCTACATGGACTATATACTTTTACCATTATGCTGGTGTGTGGGTGTGGGGGACATCGTTTATGGCGAGGAGTTGATTGAAGTTGTAGACACTATACCTGAGCTTGCCTTTCTCTTTCCAATTCAAGATTATAACGCAGTTCCCTTGTCTTTGCACGCTCAGTTTCCAATAATCGTTGTTGTTCAATCTCACGTTCTGCCTCACTGGTTCTTTCTCTGAAAAGGAAAGAACTTACGACCCTTCGTCAACTAGCAGATGGAGAAACCACAAACAATCATCCATGCATCGCCTAAGAGCAAAATGAATAAAATTTGAGAAGAAACCTGTCAAGCTCTTGCAGAAGCTCCATTTCTCGTAAAGCAGCTTCTTCTAAGTACTTTTGGCGACCACGTCTCACAAGAAGCTTTCTCTGCCTTCGAACTATTATTTCCTCTTTAAGTTTGGATTTTTCTCTGGTTCAACATAATTAATCAGAACGGAACTATACACTAAAAACAGTGAATTCCTGCACCCAAACAACACCAGCCATATCCAAATCCATTGCACAAAGAAAACTAGTCACATAAACCATTATCATCCCTCGATTCAGATGAATATTTGTTGGTGACAAGCAGCAACGAGAGGTACTGCAGTAGAAGAGGGATTTCCCACGACACCCACTTGTCCTACGTTTAATGTTGAGAAGGTTATGTGCTAGGTGTTGGCAACTAGTTAGAACAAGCACAAATTTTGTTCTGTGATGTAGTCGATCCACTATCCTAGTCCAGTGGACTAGAAACCTAAGGAGAATGAATAATAGACTACATGTACAAAATGGCACATTAACTAACCCGATCCACAATAAAACGCATCATAAACGTATCTGAGATTAGTTTTCTCAATTTAAGTTTCATTTCCTACTGTTCTTTGTTTTTAATTTATTTAAACATGTTTCAAATCTGTTTAAGACATTGTTATAGATGAACCGCCTTCTTAGGGGTGTCCTAAAAGAAACTTTGCCTATTAAAAAGCTCTTAGAGGTTAAAAGGTTTTTGAACTGGAAAGGTCCTAAGTTCTCTCCTAAGCTCACTGGTTCCAATAATGCTTCTTAGGGGTGTCTTAGACTTTGCCTATGAATAGATGAACCGCCTTCTACTAAATTTTGATGGTCATTTGAAAATTAAAGAATTTGTAAACTAGATAATAGAGGTTAAAAGGTTTTTGAATATCTGAAAATTGGTGATGAAAAATAGGTAAAATTAGTAGGATAAAAATTAAAAGGCAAAGCATCTACCTAGCAAGATCTACTTTAGTTTTGTTAAAAAATAAAAGCTATCATCCAATCTTTCGAACAGAAATCTAAAGTTCACAACTAATTTTACCAATTTTTCATCACCAATTTCCATATATTCGAAAAATCATTCAACACCTGATATCTAGCCTAGAAATTCTTCAATTTTCAAATGACTATTAAAGCTTGGCAAATCAATTTTAATGAAAAAAACTCCACTGCCATCATCTTTAGATTGACTTTTTGAATTACCTGGTATCTTTTGATAGATTTTTCTATGAAGGACACCTAAAGTCATTTTTATTTTCAATATTCTAAGCTAGTGAACAAAATTCTTGAATAGATATGAGATAATATTTGCTTCAAAGTATCATCTATACTTTCAAATTTCTAATCAATATGGTCTTGAAATTGAAGAAATTATCGTCAAAGAGATGGCATATCTCATTAATTTATAATTTATTACCTTGTGTCATCTTCAAAGTTGGATCTAGAATGTGAAGTTTGTTCAGATACTAACTGATATAGCCTGAATTGCATGGAGTTTAAATTTCATCCTTGAATCCACAAGAAACAAAACTTCTATGAAGATTCTTTGCCCTAAATTTACAAAACTTGGAAGCTTCAACCCATGCATTAACAAGGAGGTGATCTTGAGTCAATAAGATCAAGAGGGTTTCCTTAAATCTACAGAAAACACACCAGAGTCTTATAGCAACGAGATAGAATCTCAAAGGGGTGAAAATTTTGTGAAACTGATTAATGCCTCTAGGGCCACAACTAGAGTCTTTAAATAGACCGAGTTTCTTTTAAGGCCCCTCTAAAAAGGTGATTCAGTTATAACACTCTCAAACAGATTTCAAACACATTTAAATAAAATAAAAAATGAATAAAAGCAGGAAAACTAATCTCAGATGCGTTTATGACATATTTTATTGATAGCCGGATAGGTTATCGGGCCATCCTGTGCTTATAGTCTATGATTCATGTTACTTGAGCTTATAATCCACTAAAATTGGATAGTGGATGGACGACATCACCCCTAAAATTGAAAGGTTAACTGATGTAGAAGCTGAGAAGCATTTTAATTGTGCCCAAGAACTAGGGCAAATGACATATCTACAACAAAGCCAATGCACAAGTTCTATTTTCAAAACCAAAAGTTCTATGCCTGATTAACAAAAGCATTTATCAGAATAAACTAGAACTGATCCTGCATGTCCTCCCAAATTCTTTGTTCTCCCAGCAACAAAGCTAGTATCCAGTACTAATGTAACCATTATATGAATTAATGTTGATATAAATTCCAACCTCGAGATACATTGACTGGGCTCAGAAGATGGCAAGACAAAATCATCAAAATGCAAGAAACAACCTAACTAGTTCAAAGACTTCCCCCCGCAATGATAAATTCGCATAACCCAGGCCTACCAGAAGGAAAAGAAGAATGCAATAATTCAGGTGAATCGGCATTGTCATCACGCAACAGACAGAGGAGAAAGGTGGAAGGCCTGAACTCCAGCCATAAGCACATTTATATTCAAGGATTTGTATTTCAAGCATTACTATTTACTCAAAATGCACAGTAAAAAACCTTGGGAAATCACTTGGTTGCCTTGTGACTCATGTAATGTGCCTATTTAACATCAGATAAGTCCAATAATGACAAATATCACTAGAGTGAATTACCAAAAAAATTAACCTCTCCTCTTGCAGGCTGGTCGCAGAGCCCATGCTCTGCCCCAGGACAAGAACATGAGAAAAATGATGAACCATCCTAGGCCTAAGATGAGCATCACAGGTACACATTCTGCAGAAGATGTTTACACAGAAAATCCAGGCAATAACAAGCAAAAAATTCAGCACTTACATGGAACGAATTTCTTCTTTGATTTGCTGTAGTCGAAAAACATCCTTTAAATCGTCTGTTCCAATAACATTGATAAATAACACAACCAGAGAAACGAATGGAATACTTGAACTTTTCAATAAGAAAAACATACTAGATATATCAGCGAGTAGATGTGCCTCTTTGTCTGGACCTTCTGATATGTTCTGAAGGGTTCTCTCTTTCTGAAGAAGCTCTAATTCTATTTCAGCCTCATCTAACTCCTACAATGGTACAATAGAAACTCAAATTATGGTCTAACCAGCCAAGGACAAACAAAAATAGCTACATCTAGCACAGCTCAAAGAAATAAAACGGAATGAATTTCCATTTTTAGTGGAATCAATCCTCACTTTTCCAAATTGTGTCATAAACAAGCCAGGCATACTCTTGGATTCTTTCAGAAAAATACTTGTATCATGAATCAGGAGATGCCATGAATCAAAACACTTAAACTAGATGTCAATTGAAACCTGTTCTTTCGGCATTGCAGCAGATCTGGGCTGCGAGATATTCTACCTATGTAGACAATTGATGAAAATAGATGACCCCTAACGTGGGTCGTTTAAGAAAATTTCGATCTTTGAACCTCTCCACCTTCCTGATAATTTATTTCATAAACTGGGCATTTCTTTAAATCTGAACCTTATTTATATTCACCTCTGGCAGGGATTGACAGTCATCTCCAAACCTAATCACCAAAAATTCTCTAAATGCTTATAGAGAATGAATTCTCCAACTTCTAGAAAACGTTGAGAGCCAACCCACATTGAACCGCACAACCACATTCAGCCTACTATGGCAACACTAGCACCAGAAACCAACCACCGTGGGTACTGTAGAGTGAAATCAACCAGAAAATCAGACGTCATCTCCAGAATCAACTGATATCAAGAGGACTTGTGCTCGAAAAAATACTTGTGGCCGTGATATCATGACTTGTGGTCCAGAATCTCCAGATCAACCAATTCTGAGAACCTTTTGTAGATACTAACATCCGCTTCCAATCAAATGGGCGACAAGTGTTCTCAATTGCCATTGATATCAAATACAGTGACACAAAACCAAAGTCAAGATATTGATCGTGGAGAGTTTTTCAGAAATGGAGAAAGAAATGGTATCACTATATTGATGTTTCTTAAGAGCATGAAATCAACTTTCGTAATGATACAGATCAACCAAGTTCTACAACACAATGCAGGACATTCTTTTTTAAAAGAAAAATACGAACAGCACCTATACCTGCAATCGTTGAGGAAAGGTGCAAAAACAACCAAGTTCCACAACAATGCAGGACATTCTTTCATACAAGCAAAATTTGACTATCATCAACAGCTGCAATCATGAGGAACATCTTGAAAAAATGACGATGCTTGATATGATGGAAAATGAACCATGTGAATCACAAATCCACAGTTTTTTGATCACATCTCATTATCCTGTGTCAACAATGCTCATTTCCCAAATCCTATTCAAAAAACGATCAAACTTATTTATTTCTTGAACTTGCCTCATGAGTCACACGAATGAGGATGCCCCATAGTAATGACATCGAAATATTTCCGATCAAATCCACAAAAGAGGTAGATGGCATTGTAGACAGTATAATTGAAGTAAAAGCAGTCGACTCAGTCTCATCGTGACCCATTCATGATGCTTTTCATTTGCTTAAAGGCCTACTATAGACATTTTTTGCTTTTTATGTTTCCTCCTAAGAGCTGAAAGAACACAGAGAGGTTATGAAATAAAAGTATTCTTCAGTAATTCTACTCATTTGGAGTTATTTGTATTTGGGAAGAGGCTTTATGACTCCAAAACTATTTCTGTCCGTTATAATTTTAACATATCTTACATGCGTTCGTACATTCATAAGATATAAACTCACGAACTGAGTCTAACCTGAGCCTCTTTTTCGATTTTCTGGGAGAAGAAATCAAAGTATGCCTGTACAGAAGCCAAAGAAGAAATAACCTGCCCAAGAAAAGGTCAATTCTGAGGCATTATGTGGCTTATAAACAAAACTAAATTAGTCACAGACAATTATATTGAGATGCTGGAAACACAATTCCAGAAATCCATAATTTAAATATAAAGAAAACTACTGAGCATAGACACGATCAAGGTATAGGAAAATATTGAATCTTATGCACCCAGACTGTGGATCGGATAGTCTAATATAAATCAAAGAGCGTAGTTTAAAGCATCCATCAGATCATACTCTGATTTCCTTTGAGATTCTTCATTCTGATCAATGTTAATTTGGGAAATGACTAGAATGAATATAGATGCACTGATATAACCCATGATGCATTTATAAGGTGGTAATAGTGATAAGTTTATCGTGCAACAATGGTGATTCTTGGAACCATGATTTAAGATGGGAATTGTTACGCAGAACAAGGTTTCTGCTATATTAGGCTTTCCTTCTATTTTTCCTTTCTTTACTATTATTAGATGTATTTCCTTTTTCGTGTTTCTGTTAGTAGACCTTTCCGTAATACTGGAAAGGTTTATTAGACGCCAATATATAAATACTGGCGTACTGCCCTGAGAAGGGCTAAGTCAGTTTTCCTGCTTCCGCTGTATCTCGTAACATGGTATCAGAGCTTTCTCTCTGATCCTGCGTGAAGACTGCCGACGGAAGATCAACCAACCTTGGTGGTGACAACGACTTCACACTGCAGGGAGTGTCGCTTGGTGATCTTCTTCTTGCCTGCAGTACCTGAAATTGTGGGGTTTCTTGGTCATAAGCAGACCGGCAGATTCTTTGGAGAGTCACTATCTTAACGGTGGGAGACGTCTACTGAAACACCATCGTTGATTCTTGACTGTGGCAGGACGTCTACGAATACATCGTTGTCCTTTCTTGACGGTGATGGACATCTGCGAATACACCATTGTCATTTCTTGACGGTGGCAGTCATCCTCAGTTTCTTGAACAGAAACTGTTATTCGGACCACATCAGGGAATCTCTGTTTAAGATTTTTTTTGGCTATCTGGTCACAGCTGAAGAACATGGAGACAAAGGTCAGTGAATCTTCCTCCTCTGGCCCAGGACATTCATTTGAAGTAATTAAGGTCTGTTCAGATCTACCTAAAATTGCTGAGAGATTCCGATTTGATGAAATCAATTTGTTCCAATGGACATCATATGTAGAACTTATTCTACGTGGGAGAAATCTGGATTGTCACCTGATGCAATCCTCACCAAGTATTGACAACTCAGGATATTCTCGGTGGAAAGAAGAAGAAGCACTGATTCAATATTGGATGCTAGACAATATTTCACCAAAAATAAGTAATAATTTCTTTTTCTGAAATCTGTGAAGGAATTAGGAGACAAAGTTCGTCATGTTCACTCTACTAAACATGACGAATCCCAAATTTATAGATTGGTGCAGAAATCTTTGACTGTGGTACAGGGAACATTGATTGTTATGAAATATGCTAGCGAATTGAAATTCATTTGGAGAGAAATCAACCACTACAGACCAATCAAGAACCCTGATACTGAAGAACAAAATTATATCATGAAAGACAGGCTGTATAAATTTTTGATGGGACTAAATCTACAATATGAGACTCTAGTAAATCAGATCCTTGCTCAGGAAATAGTACCAGATATTGAAGAAGCAATTGCATGAGCCAAACAAGAAGAAAATACTAGAAATCTGAGAAATGATTTAAAGACAGAAACTGTTGCATTCAGCACTCTCAAGGGCAAAGATACCACTGTATTAAAATAGGGGAATAGTAAAGCACCATTCATCAAAGGAGATCGTAAGACTGATCCGAAGGCACACCTATTTTGCACTTATTGTCGGAAACATCATCACACTAAGAAGACATGCTAGAAGATCCATGGCAAACCACCGAATTATGGAAAGTTACATTTGGCTAATGCTCAAAATGAAGATGGTGTTGCACCCATGATTCAAGGAGGAGCTAGTCAAGACGGATCTACTTCCTCCCAACCTTTAGAGATTGGAAAACTCAGAGAAGAAATTGAACAGCTAAAGAGCATGATCAGCTCCACCTCCCTCGCACATGCTAGTAAGCACTTTCCTAAACATTTTCCCTTATGCTTAAATACCTCATCATTGGCATCACCTTCACCCCAAAAAGTGTCCTAGATCACTAATTCTGGAGCTATTTATCATATGATACCATATGCATCACTATTCATAACATATGAGGTATCTACCAATAATCAGAAGGTTATTACTACAAGTGGAGATTTGTTACTTGTAGTTGGCATTGGATCAATTCATCTTGAGAAATTAGGGTCATTAAGATATGTTCTTCATGTTCCAAGATTGAATGCACATCTATTGTCATTGAGAAAATTAGGTAAAGACTTGAATTGTCTGATATTATTTGATGACGATTAATGTCACATTTGATGAAAGCAGCATGTATTTCCAACAGACAACAATCAAGTATCTAGCTGTGATATTCCTGTGCCGGAAAAACACGATTTACACATTGAGATTCTCAAGGAGAATGAAGCTCTTGAAATGTTACCTCGACCAAATCGATTTGGTCGAGGTTATTATAAAAGAAAGCAAAGATTCTCCGGAAATCTAATATTTAGAAAAAAAATAAAGGTGCATACGTGGGCGGGAAGGGGGGCCCACTACTTATTCATTCAGGGGGGGACTAGCCTCATGACTTCCCACTGGGCGAGAGGTGCACCTAACCCACCTACCCACTCATCAATCAGTGTTCAGCTGACTTGCACTGATAGACCCCTATTGTTCAATCACGATGTTCAAAGACACCCATGAACAAGATCTGCTAGATGCAGCAGATGCCTATGAACAACCTGACTCAACAGATGCTCATGAACAACTGGACGCAGAAGATACCAATGAACAGGATCTGTCTGACACAGTAGATACACATGATTCTATTATTGAATGCGACAATTCACTAATTGATCAACAGAACCTTCTTGTTACTCAAGGAAATGAAGGAAATGAAATCTGCCCTATTGCTCTCCGCAAAGGAATTAGAGAATGTACAAAGAAAAAGGTATATCCATCCTACAATTATGTATCTTATCATCACCTATCTTCGCACTACAGTTCATTTCTGACAACTATTGATAAACACGATACTCCTTGAAACACTGATGAAGATCTAAGAAGCCCTCTATAGAAAAAAGCAATGGATGAGGAGATGCTAGCTCTACAAAAGAATCAAACTTGGGACTCGTGCTACTTCCTAAAGGGAAGAAAACCGTGGGTTGCAGATGGGTATACACTATTAAATATAAATTTGATGGGACTGTTGAGCGTTTTAAAGCTCGGCTGGTGACAAAAGACTTCACCTAATGCTATGGTATTGATTATATGGAGACCTTTGCTCTAGTTGCGAAGATGGGAACAGTTCGAATATTAATATCCTTGGTTGTGCATTATGGATGGTCCTTATTACAATTTGATGTGAAAAATGTATTTTTACATGGAGAAATCTCAGAAGAAATATATATAGAGCTTCCACTAGGATACAAAGACCCAAATGATACTCTAAAAGTATGCAAACTTAAGAAGGCATTATATGGTTTAAAACAGTCACAAGAGCCTGGTTTGACCGCTTAACCAAAACAATGAGAGCTTTGGGGTTCACGCAAGCCAATGGAGATCATACTTTATTTTATAAACGATCGAGTTCAGGAAAAATGACGATCATACTTTATTGGCATGGGAATCTTATTTAAAAGGAGAGATTCTCTTACAATAGGCATCTATACCGATGTTGATTATGCTGGTTCAGTTGATGATAGGCGTTCTACTACTGGCTATTGTTGTCTCATTGGAGGAAATTTGGTCACTTGGCGAAGCCAAAAACAGAGAGTTGTGGCTCGATCAAGTGCTGAAGCAAAATTTCGGGCTATGGCCCTTGGGATTTGTGAAGGCATTTGGATAAAAAAATATACTAAATGACTTACATGGAAGGTTCGATTACCTTATTCTGTAACAATCAGTCCGCAATAAGTATTACATATGATCCTATTCAGCATAACAAGACCAAACACATTGAAGTAGACAAACATTTTATTAAAGAGAAACTTGAATCAGGAATGTTTTCCACAGAATATGTCTCATCTACAAACCAGTTGGCTGATATATTAACTAAGGGCAGTTCTGCAACAGAGTTCTGCAAACAAAGGAGCAAGCTGGGCATGAATGATATCCAAGCACCAGCTTGAAGGGGAGTGTTACGCAGAACAAGTTTTTTGCTATATTAGCCTTCCTTCTATTTTTCCTTTCTTTCCTATTAATAGATGTATTTTCTTTTTCGTGTTCTGTTATTAGACCTTTCCATAATACTGGAAAGGTTTATTAGACACCAATATATAAATACTGGCGTACTGCCCTGAGAAGGGCTAAGTCAGTTTTCTTGCTTCTGCTGTATCTCGTAACAGGAATCAAAAGCAGTTACATTCACATATCAAAAAAATTGCTCGGATTTCCAATTCTTCCTATCATCGGCAGTAGCTAAGCCTTTTACGCAGTATGTCTACATAAATTTGAATTCCAAAAGGCAAGTCCCTTATATTATTGGAATCCAATGTAAAAACGGTCAAGTATAAACAAATCAATAGATGGATAAATGCACAGAATTCGAATTAGTAGGAAACGTTTTTGTGACGCTAACACAATGCTTTTGATATCAGATAAATATACGAATTCGCAGCATTCTAGACATTTTGGCCTGACTGTCTTGGAGCATGGAAATGACAGTAATGAGACTGTTCAAAGTAAAAATCACGAGTGAAAGAAAATAAAATAAATCCATAGTTCACACAGTCATAGCAGACTACTCTCAAGATTTGAAGCAACGACCCACCAAAGAAGCTGTTAATAATTGTGAAGGATTCCAAATAAGAAACCTGAAGAATAGACTCTCGCATGGTGTTGAAGGCCGGGTCACTGTGTTTCGGACTTGAACTTGAGGAAAGAACTCCTTTGAGAACCTTGTAAGCCGAAAGCAAGTCAGTTTTGCGGGTAAAGGAAACAAATAACATTACTCAACATTATCCCACTCAAAGGCTCATAACTTTGTCACAACTCAGATCAATAACAACATTTAATTCTAGAAGAAGAATGAAAAAAATACATGGATCTAGATAGCTAACATATATATAGATGAAAGAAAAAAATAGACCTCCTTTGCATCATTGAACTCAGTTCTAAGTTTGCATAGAGCTTCGCTCACACTCTTCTCCATGGCATCAAATCCTACAAAAAGGATATCAACATCACAATCTAACAAATTTTAACTTTTTGATAACTTAAGAGCTATGCAAATCATTGTTTTTTCTAAAACAGCACATCTGTGTGGACAGTTTTCCAAGAAAACTGAAAAGACTGATTAATGTACCTGTTTTTGACATTGTTATATACTCCAATTTTTGCCAAACATCATCAGATATCAAAGATACATCATCAAAAGAAGAATATAGACATGCGCTTGCAAGCAGGCCTATTGAAAGCCTCGTGAAAGGAACCTCATGAGTTGTATATCCACGTCGTCCCAAGCCAGGAAGGGTATGAACTGCCGCAAGAAATGACTGCAATCGACTTTGCTCGGTGAATGGTACAAAGCCAGATAGTAAAGCCATTGCATGAGCTCTCAGCTGCATTGAAGGGTCAGACGATGCCACTGATGCAACTCTGTCCCATGTGCCTGAAATTACTTTGGACAAAATCGAGTCATGAGCAGATTTAACCAGGTTAAATGTGACTGCACCAATTTGAACTGTTAGAGTCGGCACTCCATCATTCACATCCAGGCCCACAAGTCTTCCAAGATGCCTCAATGCAATATATCGCTGCTCTGGTTCCCAGTGGCCTAACATTGAACAGAACACATCTATCAGATGGTCATGTGCACCAAGATTGCTGATGTCCCTCTTGATTAACGATAAAAGCCATTTATCAGTTTGCAAACGCCATGAAATTCTGGGAGCAAGAGAGCAGAAACTCTTCATCACAGAGCATATATGAATCACGCTGGTGTCTGAAAAGTTCAGAGGCAACTGAAATACATAATCAAGCATACAAGATGCAACTTGCCAGCAATGGTTTCGCTGATTCATCAAAATAGCCTCTGTGAGTCCTTCAAGAGAAGCTACCCAATTCTTTGAAGTATAGTCACCTGATCCACATTGAAGAACATCCTCAATCTCCCCCTCTTTGCTGTCAGTGACAGAATGAGAAGACAAAGTCAAACATCCCAAGAACAGGAGGCATTTCGTTGTTGAAACAGTGAGCTTTGTCGCAAGTTTAAAATGGAGGCCCCAGCAGGCTTCAATTGCAGGGCAAAGTTTTCGAACCAAGCTTTCTAATACATTGGAAAATTCTTCAACTTCAACCAAGGATAATGGCCTTATGCTCAAAAGACCAATGCTACCTGCTATTTCGACGTTCGTTGTCAGTAAAGAATCATGACCATCAGCATCCACAAGCTGAACAGCAGAGCTTGTATTTGCTTCTTCTTTACCTTTCTGAATGGGAATGAAAATGCCAATATTTTCTAAAGACTGAGCAAGTGACATAGCGCAGCTATCTATGACACACTGAAACGCCAGGAGATAATCATAAAAAGATGTTGTCGGTTCCAAAGTGGTAAAATCTGTCCATTCTAACAAGGACAGTAAAATCTCTTTTTTCCTCCGAAATGATAGGTCAGGGTAAAGACCGCCCAAAATGAAAATCACCCGTGATCCATTGTAAGACGTTTTCCCAGTGACAGAATTATTCTCAATTTTGCATTTTATAAAACTAAAAATTTCTTCAAAACATAACGATTCAAGATCATTTGAAGAATGTTCGTCCCTCAACACTGGCTCATCTTGTTCGAACTTTCTTAAGGCATATGAAATAAGCGGCTTTAATAGTGCAAACACGACATCAAGAAAACTAACATCGCAGAAAGAGGATCTGCATAATGATATCAACGTTTGTGTTACCCTAGGCATCTCAGGCAGCATAGCTTCCAAATGTTTCGAAATTATTGCTTCCAGTACACAAGGAATAATTGCTTTAACATTCGTACCAGGTAACCTTCTTGAACGATCAGGTGGGTTGGTAGTCAAAACTAGATCCTTTCCATTTCCAAGTAATGGTGATGTACAGAGATCAGAAAACCAGCATAGGATATCTGGAACAGCGGCAGAAGGCAAAGAATTTAACCGCAGGCAAACAGCTCGTAAAATTGTATCCCCAAAGGTCAGAAATTGATTCTTCATCATAGGAAAGAATCTGTAAAGATCAGGATGAACAATACGAAATAAATTATGATCATTTGAAGGATCAGAGGACCCAAAGTCTTTATCAGACTGAAGATTTTGTTGAGCTCCAGTCTGCTGCAGCGTTGAAACCAAGGTCTTGTTGACACCTAGATCCTCTGTGAGTGCAAGGTCATCGGCAAAAACTGATAACAATGATGTAAGATGTGATAGATCAAAGGTAAGAAATAACTGGTCACTCAAATATTTCTTTGCCAGATGTGAAACAGCCATCCAACCTAGGAACCGTGCTAGTGGAAAAGGACACGAGGAAAATATTGGTATTTTTTGTATCCAGCATGTTGGTGGAACCAAACTCCTGTACTGAAAGCCATTTCTGGAAATACCCGCAGAGTCCATTTCATCATCAACACCCAAAGAGGCAATAACCAATTTTTGAAGAAGCAAACAATGGCGTTGAACTGCATGCAACTTTGCCGGAGACAACTGCAAGGTTCCTCCATTTAGCGGACGATGAGAAGTAAGAACACCATTAAGATGTTCAGCAGATCGCAATATGACATCAATCACATCTTCAGGAAGAGAAAATAATTCTGTTGCATATTGCAAAATAAAAAGTAAGCTTTGTAAAAGAATTTCATGCAAGTTGAGTTGATCCTTTTGTAGATATCGCATTACAAACTGGCAAAGCAAAGCCTGATTTTGGCGGACGAGGGTGATTGAATCAGCATGCTGCATATCAACTAAAGAAATGTTATCATATTGACAGCACTCTTCAGTGTCGTACCTTGGCTCTGTATTATGGGATACTTTCCGGTTATACTCCCAGTCCAATTTAGCTGCCTGGAGAAGTATCTCCAGGACAGTTTTGTCTCTTGTTCTTTCAAGACGATCAATGGTTTCCAGATCATGAGTACTTTTTGGGCAAATACTTCTCAGTTCCATGCCATCATTTTTCTTATGTTTTCCGGAACCTATACCATATAAATTACACAGATGTTTTGGTCTTGACAACGACATTATAAAAAAGGGATTGACATAGCATTCTGCAGCTAACAGCAGAGCGTCAATTGCTGCATCATGACTTTCAGGAGTGATCTCAACCTGTGAATGCAGATCAAGTGCCAACTGCCGAAATTCTGATGCTCTGGACTTACAATCTTCATAGTAAACGAGTTGCAGATAATTTGCTTGTAAATTGAGATATTGTGCAGACAAACCATTATCAAAAATAAAGTCATCTCTAAACTGTTCATCTGACATTCTCTTGTTCTGATGCTTATCATCTTTCGCGGAATCAATAGGATCTGCACTGATTTTATCTAGACTACCACCCTTGACAAGGTTGGAAATTTTCATTAATGAAGTATTTTTCAATTCAGGTGGTGCAAACAGGAGATTGGCATCGTCAAGCATATCTACCTTCATAGAAATTTCTAACAAGTCAATCTTCCCATCTGAATCATCAACATTTATTGGTTTTGAAGAGGTCGCATGGACATAATCATTAGAAGTAGGTAGAGGTTCCCTCTCAATCGTTTTAGAAGATGAGGGTTTACACTTGTCAATCTCTGGAGGCAGTGGAATGTTTGGGCCCAATGTATAAAGAATAACACTGCATTAAAATAGATGCACATGTTATTCTTACGCTGATAAAACCGAAAAAGACAAGGGGGAGTTCCATTTATCGCAGTCACCTTGGAGCAACAGATCCTCGCCTCCATTCACGCTCCAGAGATGGAAGGACAGTAGGCTTTTGTACAGCAGTACGAATAATATTGAGAGCCATTCCACAACGTTCCTCCTGCTTTGCTGAAAATGTCGTTGAGGCATCTCTGAATGCAATCGTACCTTTCACAATGCTCATAACTGGTTCAAGGAAATCTTCAAGCATTTCTACCAAAAAAAGCACTTTATGCTTAACTTCCTGCAAATAGTAAGTAGCGCAGAGAAACGAAACAGGGTCACTTCACAAAGATAAATATGGATGGCATATCAAACAACACATTCCAGTTAACACAGTATATAGACTGACCTTATATTTCGCTAGAATATCATCCACATACCCAGACAAAGCCAATATAATGTACTTCAAAGCAGATCGAAAATGAACAATTGATTCAGAACCACCCTGAGAATAAAGGAGCTGAATTACAAGTTGGGAAAACTCTTATCAAGAAAAGATGATGAAATAATGCTTAAAAATTGCACCTGCGTTTATTTCTCACGACCAAATAAAAATCAACACAAATAAAGGATCTATTATTTTAAAGTCAACAAAGAGACACCTATATTAGGAGACCATAAAACAGGTAAAAGAATTAATATACAACCGCCTTTATCTTCAATGCAACAATCAACCCAGTAATTTCTTTCCCTTCTTGTTTTTATTTGCAGTTTAAAACTTCATGATGAAAAAGTCATAATTTTTCTCAATCTGAAAAACGCATACAGCCCCCCTCCTGTACAAGTCACATGAACCATCTTGATTCTACAGTATTCATCTTCAGTTCCCTGGCAAAAGGCACATTAGACGTTTCAATTCAAAGTGCTACTAACAAGACAATGTATGACGCACCCCAGTGAGCAGACATTCGTGAATGGTTGCTCACATAATGAGAAACACGGCAGCTTGCGTGCTCCCAGCTATTTGCAAATGGCCTCACATTTGACCGGGAATTCATGAATGGCGACCAATTCAGCTCCCTTCATAAATATAATTTATTAATTAACTAACTAAATAACTAATTGCCCAACCAGCTATCAAGTTCATCTTTAAACTCAAAGTTCCTGTACTAGTATCACGATCACTTCCCCAATTATGAACCCAACAAAGTCGAATCCATCCTATAGAAAACAAAAAAAATGTTCATTGAAGCAGCTATATCTCTGAACATTACCAGTGGCATAGATAGACCAATAAGTAATCCAGTGAATGGAAGCAAAGCATTATTTGCACCTCTCGTTTATCTTTTCGTGTATCCAACACCGTGGATGCTTATGTTCGAGATAAAACTTTCCAGAACTGAAAAGAGAAAAACAAAAAAAAAAAGGTCGATGAACCAAAACTTTTGGCTTGCTGATATTCCTACAACAATGGAAAAGCCAACATTCTTTCCTCAACCCTACTCACTTCCATCACCTGCATGATCTGACCGATTTTTATAGTTACCCGAAAACGCTACTTTATCTGACAAAAAATACAGGAAGTTACCACTTCCTTGTCAGCCTAGGAAATCACCTTGGTGTAGTACCATGTGATTAGTTTTCCCTTTTTGTGTTCTCGCACCTGAACCTATGGCATCCACAACCTGAATAACGTTTATAAGAAGTGAATGATTACACACTCGTTGTGAATTATTTACAATGGAAAGTGGTCTTCACCGCCCTACCAAAAGGACTCCATGGAGTTTCGGACGGCTGGTCACAGAACTTAAACTTGGAATCAGAATAAAATATAGCGAACAGTGGTTTGTCCAATTTGAAATCAGTATGCACTACATGAAATCATCAAACACTATAGATGTGCTCACCTGAGATCAATGCAGAAATATTGGACAGCTCAGATGTGCTCTGAGAGCATATAAACGTTTTTTAGGATCCAATATTTAATTGTTTCGATCCAATGCAGATCCCACCCAGACTAAGAATGAACCCAGCTCAACCATGGCAAAGAATGCTTCTACAGGATGCATGTGCATGAATTAAGCAATTTGATGAGACATTCCCACCTTTAGTTCCAAGGTATATCGCATGTAACTCTTTCCAGACCATACAAAGAATAAAGATAAACCTATACAAGCAAGCTGAATGCAAAACTGAATTTTTCCATTATTGAAGAGCTGAAATCAGGACAATCAGACGAAGATCCAATGAGGACACTTTCCTCTAATGTATATTTTGTTCCTCTTTTTTATTACAACAACAATGATTGACGGCATAAACCATGAGATACTTCTTTCTCACTCTCTTTTTTTTCATCCCATTTTTCTGAAGTTATTTTTGCTCAAACTATTTCTCTCTAAAGAGAAACACCATAACAGTGTACCAATCACCAAAGAGGTAAACGAATACTGTCGACCATCCTACAAAAATGCTTCAACATCAATCTAGATAAGATAATCAATCTAACGCATTAAAGATAAATGAGATCACAGTTAAAAAGAAGATTTGGAAAATAGAAATAACAAAATCTGTTGTATTATTAGGATTGGAAATCGAACCAGGGGCAACAACCCAAATAATCATGATTTGTTCAACCATCTCAACTTAAGAATGTCAGGACCAGCAATTGAGAGCCAGAATCTGAACTTTGGTTTGGGTGCATTGGCACCAACCCCAGCCTACTCGCAAAACTACAACTCTCCAACCCAGATATCTCTATCACTGTAATATGTATTTTACATTCTCACATTGCATCTGTATTCATGGTTTATATACGTTTAGTAGCATTACTGTAGTAGATATTGGCATGAATTGATGCTTGTAAAATCCACAAAGAGCATCTGTACATAGAGATCTATGCTTATCGTAAAGGTAATTCGAGACACCCTGGTCCAGCCATAAGTCACCTGAGTTTGAGCCCAAAGTAGCCTTCAGCATGGTTAATGAAACTGTACTAGCCCCGGAATGTTTATTGGAACTCGAGACAACCCAAATTGACCTTTCTTACAACTCAAGGCAGTCCTAATAACTTGAATCAGTTATCAGAGAAAAGGATCAAAACACTAGGTCGTTGAACATTAATTACAAGTAATATTACAGTAAGAACATAATCAGAAAAGACAAAATTAGGCTTGTCTACAACAAAATAAGGAAAAGAACATCTTATAACTTGAAACTAAAGAAGAAAATAGCCATCAAACCTGAATCACCCCCAATAGATCTTCAATAAGTTCGATTGCTAGATCTACCTACAATATTGAAAACATTCAAAATGAATTGAGAAAGATTCCAGGCAAGACTATGTATGCATCTTCGATGGTAGTACACTTTCCGTGTGTTTGTGAAGGGGGGGCAACCTTAGCTGTCACCATTGGTAACCATGGAGCAAGGGCACCAGAGCACAGATCAATCATGACGCACGCTGCTTTTGCCTGGTAATAAAGTTCAAAGATGAGCCAATGAATCTGTTATGTTAACCTAACCAATTTCACAGACGACTAAATAAATTTAGCAAGAATATACCGAAAAAGAAAAGGAACAAGCATAAATAAACGCAACTGCCTGTTATATTAAATACAGATATCTGAAAGAAAGATCAAATGCTAAAAGAACACAAGTTAGTTTAATGTAATATCAGGAAATACTGAAACCCGATTCGCAGACCTGTGACACTGAGAATGATGACAAGTAACCCGCAGAAGCATGAAGAAGAGGATAGTAAGCTGGGGAAGATGACATGGCAACTATCTGTAGTTACAGTCGAAGCAACAGAGTTATCGTTAATGCCAGGACACCAAAATTAATTTCACATTACCAGAAAAGATTAGGCGAACCTGGGACAGTGCACACAGCACAAGAGGATGATTCCATTGGGAGAAACCATCATGAACAAGATCTTGGAGAGTACCAAATGGGGGGCGAAGAGCTGTAAAAGAGAAAAATTATGACATTGAAATTTATTTCAGAGCTTATATATACGGTCCAAGAAAACCAAAGCAGGCAATTCATAACCTGGGAGCAATGCTTGCACTAGTGGTAAAATAGATAAGAAGTCCACACTGCTTTCAGCTAGTTTGCAGCATAACAGTGGCTGCATAATAGTGACATCAACAAATAAATCACCAGAACCAAATAACTGACTACTCAGAGCACAAGATAATTGTGAAAATCAATACAAGACTTAAAAAAGTACCTGTGCTGCACAAGCACAAAGCATATGAAAAACACCTTCTTCAACTGAAGTTATATCCAGAAGATTTATTAAAGAAACCTCCCAGTGGTCATCAGATATTTGGAATTCCTCCCCAAATAGTTTTGAGTAATCACTTAAATAGTGACTAGGTGCTTCAGATTTGGCCGTCTCATCAGGTAACGAAGATGTGGAATCACTAACAGGAATGAAGACTTCTTCAGAGGATGTAGGCACCACAAGTTTTTGTAGTGATCTTGAAGCCTGAATTCCATTAAAGTCCATTTGTAAATTCTGTAAAACTTTCATAGAAAAAAGTGTAAGACCAAATCCCATCAAGTAAAGACAATCATACATACAAGTCGACAAACAAAACCAAGATGAGGATCTTTATATGCCTTCCGCAGAAGCATAAATGCAACATCAGGACGAAAAACGATGGAGCATGATACAGGTTGGAAAGGAGTTAAGCTGCGTGATCGCCTAGACTGAACCTGAAAAGCAAATGGTGATGTAGGAAGACCAATCAGAGTTCCATTTGACACAGTAGTAACACTGCCACAGCAGTAATGCATAAGGATTCTTGTGTTTCCAAATAGTAAAGGGAAATAAATACTATTTACATACAAAAAAATATTCTTTTTTCTCCCACTTTTTTTGTTACTACCGTCTCATTACCCGAACTAAATTGAGAGATTAAATAGGTAAGCATAGTACAATTAGATGTCTCTACTTAAGTCAACACATAACTCACTAATTCCAATTAATTGTCTTCCTCTCTATCTCTCCAAGTTGATCTCTACATGACTGCCTTCATCTCATATCTAGAAGGGATAACGAACAAACTTCAGCATGAGATTCAACACCCAAATTTTTTCAAGAAATCAACTCTTCCGCTTTGAAGTATACTCTCCCTATTACTGCACATACTTTCAATCCCATCAGTTATCAATACCTTTTGGAATGTTGAGAAATTTTGATAGTTTTCCATTTGGAAAGTTATCGTGAAAGAACGAATTAACTTGGACGTTTTAAAAGACGCTTTGAGATTCACTAAGAGAATATATATCCTTTACACTTATCGCAATCAGTGTTAACTACATCATTTGGTACAAGAATCCACTAATACAATGGTTAGTAAATGATACTGATGCAAGCCATGCTAAGATAAACAGTCAGGAACTCTTCTTTTCGAATCATAGAGCAACTGCGATTTATATGCAATTACCTGGCCACAAAAAAGAAACTGCCTAGGATAAGGAAATTGACCAACTAGGAAACTGTTCCACGAGGAAAGGCATTCTCCAATTTCCAACTTTGGAAAAATATTCTGAAATACTCAACTATTTAATCCCTTAGCAAGTACATCGTCGAGATGGTCATGGGTAGACACATAAGGTGTATAAATCAATCTGCTCTCCAACTTCTCCATGATTGTCTCTCAATCTCAATTTGATTCGTTTGATCATGTAATATTAGGCTGTGAGAGATGTTAGTCGTAGACTTGTTATTTCAAGTCTCATGAGCCATCCCACTTAATCTTCAAGACTTCTAAGATGATCTTCAACCAAAGTAATTCTAGTTCACATGGACCTAAAGCCATTGCATGGAATTCAGCCTCTACACTAGACTGTGCTACAAGATCATGTTTCTTCTCCACGTAACGACATGGCCACCCACAAACATACAACATCAAGAAGTTGATCTACTGTCAAAAATGGACCCCACATAATCGGCACCTATCTCAAGTACCAACACTCCATTTGTCTTGAGTAGAATACCTTTTCACAGTCCATTTGAGATATTGTAGCACTCAGTAAACTGCATGTAGATAAACTTCTTTTGGATTGTGCATGAGCTGACTAATCAAACTCATCACGTATGATATATCTGACTGTGTAAGAGCCTTTCCTACTAGGTGTTGATGCATTTCCCTATCTACCACAACATCTTCTACATTTCCAAGTCTAAGATCTGGATCTATATGGATAGTTGTTGGTCTGCATGGAATCTTTCTTGTCCACTAAGAAGATACATAACACACTTCTGTTGGGAGATGAAAATGCCCTGCCTAGATTGAGCAACATCAATCCCAAGAAAATATTTCAACTTCCATAATGCTCAAATCTCAAACTGCTTAGCCAAACATTGACTCAGACACTGTATCTCTATATCTCTATTCTTGGTCATTATTATGTCATCATTGTATACCAAGTGTGTTGTGACTGCCCCTAATGATGATTGTTTAGTGGACAGCATGTGAACCCTGTGGTTTTGGTTGTACCCTTATGGCAATATATAACTCTTGCAAATCTCAAATAATGCCATAGGCGAGTTCATACAATGCTCTCTTTAAACTACACGCCATATGAGCTACCAAATTCTTCCCATAACTCGGTGGGACCTCAATTTAAATTTCTTCCTCTGGTTCATCATGCAAAAATATATTGTTAACATCAAACTGGTATAATTCTCAGCCATAATTAACTTTCAATGACAATAGATTCTAACAGTATTCACCTTTGCAACCAAAACTAGCATCTCTAAGTAGTCAATTCCATAGAAGTATAGTACTTGGCAACCAAGCAAGCCTTTTATCTCTATATAGATCCATTGGTTTGATATGTATCCTTATTACTTCACTGTATAGACCCATTTACACCTGACATGTCACTTTCCCATTGCCAATCTAACTAACTCCCAGGTTTTGTTCTTCTCTAATGCCTCTATCTCCACATTCATAGCTTGTTTCCAGTCCTTATTGAATTAACCGTGAGACAAGGAGGTAGGGATGGCAATGGTGTTTAAACTAACAAGGACGGACCTATGAGGTTGTGCTGTAATGATTCATGTACTATCCCCTCTTTTTGAAATTATAGAGTTAGGATTTGATTGAAATAGTCCTTAGCATTATCTGATATAAACCTTTTGGCATTGACCCCAAACTGATTTTGTGGAACAAAAATTTGGGAGAATGCTACTAACATCAGATCTCTTGTTTGCACAGAAAAAATCCAAGTAACATGAGGCAATCGTCAAGGAATGACACAAACCATCTACCCCTAGAAACATCAAGAACAACATGACCCCAAAATATCACTATGAATAAGAAAGGAATAGAACTTTTGTTACGAATTGGAAAAGATACACACCTATGTTTAGCAAGTTCACAAATGTCACAACGAAAAACTTCAACACTTAGGCCTTGAAATAAAGACAAAAAAAATTCTAATAACCCTTCATGACAGATGTCCAAGTCAGTGGTGGTGAAACCAGACTCTACATACTAGATGAACAAAACCCAAGAGAGTAAGGTAACTTGGCCTTTGCAATGTTTGACTAACTCAGCACTTGAAGTTAGTGGAGTCTGTCTCGTTTTTTAGCATGTCCAATCATCCTCCCCAATGTCATAAAATACACAATGGCCATGATGAAAACCCACTTTGCAATGCAAATCTTGAGTAAAATGTTGGATAGACACAAGGTTCATGGACAACCTAGGGACATGAATACTTTTTAAAGTCAGTGAAGGCTTTATTTTAACATTTCCTACACCTGCTACAGTAGTCAACGAACCATTAGCTATTACCATTTTCCTACTGCTTGGACGAGGAGAGTATGTAGAAAAGACATTTGGTGAGCGGGTCATATGGTCACTAGCTCCTGAATCCAATATGCAGGAGTAGCCAAAGTTTGTACTTGAGACATTAATTCAATAGAGGATGGAAACTTGAATAAACCAATGAACAAAAACCTGTGAGTTCATAAAGCTTGTCAATAAAATATCTCACCCTCTTGAACTCTTAGTCAAGACCACCTACTCCTTTGGTGCTACTTCATTCTGCACTACTGGCATGAAATAAGCTTGACCATTGTTCCTTGTCTACTCTCTTTTTTGTCCTTTTCCTTAACTAAGAGACTTTACATGAAGCCTCTAGGAGCTAAGTGAAGTAACTGGACCATAGGCTATTCTTATGGTCATTCTCAGCAACTTGTGCCCTCTCGACGTTTGTGGCTGAATTATTGCCACCTGAAGCCACCATAGCCGAGTTTTATGGGCTTCGTGGTTAGAGCATCAAGCCTAATCTACTTTCCACTCCTAAAAGCAATGCCATTATCTCATTAAAGTAGTGCCCTCCGGCTTGCACAGGATATTGTTGAGAATTGATCTTGATTGAGATTCTTGCAACTTGGAGAATGAAAGGAGTTGATCTTCACGATCCTCCTCTTCCAGGAAGATGAATCAGTCACCACTTCTTGGAGCAAAGTTTCCACAATCCCAAAATCTGACATCAATTATCTTGGTTTCCCGCTTAAGTACAGGTTACATGAGTTAATGGGCCAGGCCCATTACATTAGTCTTTAAGTGGATCTGTTAACAGTCTAATGGATCCACTTAACATAGGGAATGATAGAGAAGGACGAAAATACAGTGAAGAGAAACAGATAGAAAGGAAAAACCCAACAGGAAAATCATGAACTATCAGGCTCAATGAAATCCTTCAAAACAGTTGCATCCTCAAGACATTTGGTTTTAATCACCCTGTAAGGTTTTCTCTGGTCACAAAAAAGGAAATTGGCCAACTAGGAAACCAACAAACTAGGAAAACTGCCCAACAGAAAGTAACCCCAAATTGCACGTTTTTCCCACAGATACCATTAAAACGAGATAAACTACTGAAGCTGAAGGCCCTTCTGTAGTTAACCTAAATTCAAGCCCTCTCAAGCCACCATTCGGTAGCCCCATTTAGATTACTGGCATTACTTCATGCCACTTGACTGCCCATTTTGGGATAAATGATGACCAAATTTGGCCCTAGTGGGGAAATCCACTGTAAGATAAACGTCCAGACAACAGGAAATTCCAAAGTGGCACACAGATTAGGAATTCTACCAAATATTCTGCCACAATAGAAATGGCCACAGGTGGAGCCGACATCTGAACCTAGACTTTATATTTAAGTCAACAAAAGTGACTCTGAGATACCTTGTCAATTATTGAAACCTCAGAAAGCCTACCCTAAAACATCCATAAAATAGGAAGAACGTTCCATAAAGCAGAATATTTTCTTGGGATTTTTGCCCAGAAACACATTGCAATCTTAAAGTATTATCTTGACCTTATATTCCAACACAGCAAAGTACTCCTTCCTGAAACCTCATTATTAGAAACTTGTCAAGATATACTTCATCAATCTTCTCAATAATCATCCTCCAGATTGGCCAAGCCATGTCAGAGATCTCCTCCACAATTATCCAAAGAGGGAAATTAGTTCCCCTTTGAAATTTAAAAAAGGAAAAAGGAAAAAGGAAAAAGGCATCTACCAGTCAGCCAATCTCACATGTGTCATTGACAGCATTAGAAGGTAATCTTGTCACACAAAACTCATGTCTTAAATTCCCATAAGATCTTAAGGAATAATATTTTTACTATGAAAAATGAAATTAACAGTGCAACGGACAAATACATGAATACAAATCCCTCAGAAAAATAATGATTTTGTAAAAACTAGATATATCGCATTACAAAACTGGCCATCACACCATTGAAAAATCATATGCAGAAGTAATTTCAAATAAATTCTGTCTGGCACTAGGAATGATCACGAACAAGGCTATATATGTCAAAATTACATTGTTATTGTATTTCTTGAGAAAAAAATAACTTGATGTACACAAATGTATATAAAAAGCGTATACCTCAAAATTAGATGAAACAGTAAAAGAGGGAGCTTGATTAATTCTCACTTCAGAATCAGGACTGCTTAATAATGTCCTTGCAGCTTCTCTGTTGATCCCATAAAAACAAAACTCTAGTAAACATAATACGAAGTGAACAATAAGAGTTATGAAATAAATACAATGCACACAGGATAAGGAATACGAAAGGTTTAAAAGAGAAACGACCAGATACCGAAAAATGTTAGAGAATCCGGAAACATGTTTACATACAAGAGGATAAAGAAGAATAGCACAGATCAGGATACTTCTTCCCGTGGAAGGCTGTAGCAGTGAATAGGAAAAGACAAAACAGACCTCCACTGTGCACAGGCATTAGGAACTCCGAAGTCCTTAGTAATATAAAACTAAATGTGAGCTTGTCTGCAGTATGAAAGGCCTAAAGAAGGTAACTTGTTACGTCCATGTGAAGCAAGGGGAGAAGAAGGAAGAAGAAGAACCGATATCCTCTGACAGAGGGAGAGAAAGAACAAGAGAAAAGAAAAAGAAAGAGCAACAGCAAATCCCAATATATGGCACTGATACACTATACTTACTGCAGCTAGCAGCCTGCTAACACTTTTTCTCCCCCCAAAAAATGCCCATAACAGTGTCAGGGGGTGGGAGAGTAGGGAGCTTAAGTAGTTCTTTCATTTCATTCAAAATGGAAAATTTTATGTCAGTTTTAATTTTTTATCGACTATAGATGCAACTTTTCACCCATCTGGTTTCCTTCAACCGGACAGACTGTTTTGCCCAATCAAACAGTCAACTCCAAAAGCAAAAATTGGAAAATTTGCATTAAAATGCTGCTTGCAGACCGAAGTTCCGATCCGACTCATTAACAATGGTGGTTTCTCAGGACTAGCAGCAGTGACCCCATCTTCTGTTGTGGAGAAGACTATCTACTAGCAGCCCCAGGTGCAAGCAAGGGTCAAACAATGATGAGGTCAGACAGGTTTAACCTTATGTCAGATCAATTCTTAAAATACTGCTTGGAATTTCCTACATAACTGGAAGGTCTAGAAAATATTGTGATTAAACAGCCATATATTCAAGCCCGCAAAATGATTATATAAAGTCCGAAGATGTTTTTTCCCAAGCACAATGTATCATAAAAAACGTGCCTCTCCACTACAAATCATAACAAAGTAATCAGAAGATGTCGTAACTATGATGGAATGAGAAAAGATAAGCCAATGGCCAACGAAAAAATAGTATATAAACTAGTAAGATTAACATAAATGGTTTTCCATATGTTCAAGAGGTAGCTAGATAATGACACAGCAGAAAATGCAAAATGAACGATTCAAGAGAGTTTACGTAGTCTGAGTTGCACAGAGTTAAAATCTCATCCTTGAATCCACAAGAAATTTGATTTATCTAAAGATATTTCACCCTGAGTGCACAGAATGAAGAGACCTTAATGCTTGAATCCACAAAGATTTGATCCTGAGTCCACAGGATCGAAATAGTTCCCCCGAGTCTAGAGGATGCTGGAATCTACTAACAGCAAAATAAAACCTCAGAAGAGGGATATTTCGTAGAGATACACATAGGGGCCTTAAAATAGGTTAAAATCTAGTTAGAACGTCCCAAGAAAATGTGTCAGAACACCCCAAAGAAAGGGAGGCAATTCTGTTAATTGAAACAAACAAAGGAGGGAAACAAAAAGAAAAGTGGAAATTGAGACTTTGACGCAAGATGAATCCAAATATTTTATTAGGCCATCTAGAGCTGAATTTGGGCCAATATGTGTCTTCCTGCATCCTGGGACTTAAAACCAGCAAGATTAGGAGCTAATAATTCCACTTGAACTAGGCTAAAAGTAGATTGCATCAGATGAGCTATCAAGAAATCTCAGTTCCAAAGTTGTCAGCTCAAAGTGCAACATTTTCCCTAAGTTACTCAGTCAAGAATTCAATTCCAGGCCTATGTAAATCGTCAGAACATTATGGTGCTTCCATCAATCTCTATGGTTAGAAAGAGAGAAAATTTCAAGCTTAAAGAGATCAAAATTTGGCTTGTCAATGTAAATAAGTAGACCGTTGTGACAGCATTAATGTCTCCGTAGACAATTCACTTTCAGAGCACTACATTCTTTAGGTTAGCAATATGATGCAACCCAAAGCCTGAAGCTCACTACTGAAGAAGACCAAAACCCATTATTGATGCACCTGAAACCCATTACTGTTGCAACTTGAAGCCCACTTTAGTTGCAGCTAGCCCAATTACGAAATTAGGCCCATATTTTTATTTTTATTATTTTTTTAATTTCATCCGAAATTTAAATTTGAATTTGAAATTCAGATTTCATCCGAAATTCAAATTTTCGTTTTAAATTCAAATTTCATTTCTCATTTTAGATTTTATTTTTGAAATTTAAATTTTATTTGAAATTTGATTTCAAATTTAGATTTCATTTGAAATTCGAATCTTGGCACCAAATCAAGACTCTTCAACCTATTTAAAGGCACCCCATGTAACCCCAGAGGCATACTACTTTTCTATAAATACAATTTTGTGAGTTTCTTCTCCTGAAGTTCTCTTCCTCTGCAAGTGAACTCCAGCACCCCTATAGACTCAGGGAACCTTGTTTTCGATTCTATGGATTCAGAATCATCCCCTTGTAGACTCAAGGAACCTGTCTCTTGAACCTGTGGATTCAGAGTAAAGGGACAACCACTGAAGCACGTTTTTTGAAGATTCAAGATGTGACTCCAACCTCCACAACACTAGAGTTGATCACAACTCGTCCAAGCCATCCCCTTCTCAAGTTTCGCTGCATCACAATATGGTCATTATCCATCAAAATTAACAAGGATAAAAGACAAGATAATTTGAGATCTAAATTAATAACATGCACTTAAACATTTTCATCAAGACGGATCCTTTTCATCTCTGTGGAAATCTAAATTGATAAGGCTCCCACAAAAATATCACATTTTGCTATCTCATCTTACCATATTTTTTCACCATGAAATCAACAGAATTGGCCTAATCCTGGCCACATCTGCATGAATTCAACCAGATGCAGACACTGGTTTCAAATCATATGACTTGTGCATGGTTGTGCACAGGAGGGAGGAAATCATATTTTGCAAATATATTCAAAAAGAGGTAAAACCGCACAAAAATACAGAAGTATTTCATATCAGAAAACGTGGGGAAATAATCTGTTTGCCGATTCACTCTATCATACTGAAATACTAGGTACCTTTCCTTCACAACTTGTAGAAGTGGATAAAATGGACCAGCAAGCATGGCCAAAAATCGCATAGTAGACTCAGATTCCTCTGTAAAGTTGGAAAGATCCATCTGAAAAAAAAAGAAACGCAAAGTATACACATCATCACATAAAAGAGAGGAGGTAGGCACCCAGCATCCAATTAATTTCTACCGCACACAGAAATTGTCATTACTCTACCTCGAGATAAGGAAGAAATACTAGCAACCGGTTGGTGATGTCTCGGAGCAACTATCAACTAAAAAGCATTAGATGTCACGGCAAAATCATGGCAAAGAAGAAAACTTTCAACGCCAACGTCAAAGTAACATCAGAGATTACCTGTAAGTGCACATCTTGAGCATCCTGCTTGTGTGAAGCAATATGTGGCAACAAGTAATTAACAAGTGGCTGGAACTCTGGTTCCAGTCCAGTAACAGAAACTCCAATGAGCTGCAGTAAAAAGGGCACATATTGCATAAACTATTGGGGTAACAAAAGAAAAAATTGTGAGAACAAATTATCTCTAAAAATGAAAGATAACAGTTATTACTTCAGCTTAAAGACAGAATCACCTTTTTTGTTCATTTTATCATTATTCATCAAAGGGACAGATAAAAAATCCGAGCAATGCACATTTCAATATCCTAGGTTCTTAATTCTATCCATGTGGAGCCAATTCCCACCCATAGGTAACTGCATCAATTGGCATGTACATGTCAAGACAATCTGACTTTTTATTTAATTTTCTCGTCTCATGAATAACTGAATTTTCGGATAGTTTAAGAGCACCGAAATTTCTTACTATAAAAGTTGTCAGTCCATAGAAGGCAAAATACATCCTCAACATTTATCCATGTGATTGAGGTTGAGATCTTGACATTAAACAAATCAGAGTTTCTGCGTGAACTAAAACATGGACGAAGTGAACTTTTCAGTACAGTTGTTGAGAACCATACAAACAGAACGCATTATCGGATTCACTTTATTCGTCCATGTAAACAGAATGCATACAAACAGATTCATTTTATCCCCAAGCATTTAGTGGAGTCCCTTTCCTTTCCCTTTTTTTTTGGACGTTTATTCACCATCAACTTGATGAGCATGTACCAAAACAAAAAAAAGAAAGTTTTTGAAAGGTGTTGAAAAAGAAGCATATTATCTGGCTAGCTTCAGGCCCAAACCAGCAAGGCAGTCTTTGGTGCTAAACCAGTCCAGACTATTCCTATTCAATCCGTTAAATTTTGGGAAAACATCATCAGCAGAAAATAGTGCCATTTCCTCCCACAGTAAGAAGTGAGCATTTATTTTCATCATGCCACTTTTAACTCGTGTGGAAAAACCTTTTGTAAAAGATCACCTGCATAAAAAATATAGATATTGGGTTCCCACGCAAACAGGAAACTCGCACATAACGACAAGCCATGTAGTTTGTAGGATATATCATATCTCGCCTAGGGGCTTCACAGCGTGGGCGAACTTTTACAAATGCTTCTGGCTGCAAAGAAGAGGAATCCATTTCAGTAATATATTCAAAACATTAAAACCAAGTAAAAGGTAACACGACAATCGAAATTAGTAAAACAGATTTTACAATTTGTGAGGGTCCCAGGCAAAATATAAGGGTTTGAAAGTCACAAGTTCAGTTCAGTCTAATGTCATGACTTGTTCATCATTCTGAAGATAAAAGTCCACGAATCTCGAAGTAAAAATATATCAAAGCAGCTAGCCAGTAAAAGTCGACAAAAAGCAGTGCCACACCATTTGGCTGCTGCTGACCAAACAATGAAAACAAAAGGGGTGAAGATTGAGAATAGTAATAAAACTTTACTCCAAAAAAATGATAACATTAGAGATCAAATCTACGCATTGATTTTGGGGTTATGCACTCATAATGATAACAGGAGCAACTGGGGAAGCACAGAAACTGAATTGAGTCAAAACAAACAGGTCCAACAGTTGAAAACAATTTAATGTCAGGTACATCTTCATCAACGTAAGAAAAAGCAATCGAATCCGAGAATGGTGACAAGCAGATTTAAAGCAAAACAGTGTCTGAAGATTGTTGAATATTGTATAGGCCCATCCAAGTCATGGCCATATCGGGACATATGGGTATGGGCCATATCGGCCCATCTAGACCCCTTGAGACTCTGGTATGAATTCCAAAGTCTCTTGATTAGAGTTAGAATCAAGTCCTCTCTCTCTCCCCTTCGGGTACTCTCTGTTTCTATCAAAGACATTCCGGAATTCACATTGAAGTCACTTATACCGTCAAAGCCAAAGAAACGAAAATTACATGACCCAATTAATAATTTTCAACTCTTCCATACCTATTCAGGTCAGAAGATGTAACCCAAGCCCAAAAACCGCGGTTGGCAGTTCTATGACGGCCAGATAAAAGAATGGTCTTTTGCAGACAAGTGTTCAACTCTTGCATTACCATCCACAACCAAATGGAGACACATACTAGACAAAATCAGGTAAAAGGCCTACTAGGCATTCGCATTAGTATCAGACAAGAATAGAATAAGCATGGTTCCAGGCAAATATTGCATACTATGTAATCGTTAAGGTGATACCCAATCATGGAATACACAAACTGGACCATAACCTCAATCATAGCTGAAGCCTCCTTGAAGTAAATAGATGAGATATTAGAAATTTAATCTCCATATAAGTTAAATGCATGGGAATCCCACTCTACTTTTTCAAGTAACAACGGTGCATTTTGAGTGAAGTTCCAATCCAAATAAAAGACTGATGAACAAAGCAATAACGTTGTAGCCAAGTCAGCATGAAAAAAAGTAGTTCACACCTTTTGAGATTGAAAACGAGCTGCGTTTCACTCCTCCATCTTTTACGACTTATTAAATTGGACAAAACGGCATCAAAGTCATTGTGAACAATATTATGAATAGTTTTCGTGGTTTCATATGGAAGAAGAGCTAAATTCCAGGTTTCCATTATTCGCCAAACCTTCATCATTCTAACTGACGAAAACTGCAGAGGAAACCGTATTAAGATGTTACAGCAATTGATCGCATCTGGTACATGCATGTGTAAGGTAATCTTTAAAGTTTCGGGAAAGATGAGAGTAAAATGAGGATTGAGGACAATTAATTATTTTATACAGAAAATTTCTGCGATGGTAGAGGAACAAAGGTTTCAAGATAACGTAAGTTATATCAACCTGATATAATGAACTGGGCAATGGGGAGGGCAATAGTTGCAAAAACTTTCAAACCAAGGAGAGTCGCATAGTGTGATATGAAGGGTGTGTTCTCCTATTATTCCATAGGCAAAGACAAATAAGCGCTGTAGGAGATGCTTCCTTCACAGACTAGATGAGTCAGTAAAATAAGCTTTGGAAAGTGAATGTCAAGCATTAGGACCCTATTGAGCTTGTAAGTAGGTTCAATTTATACATGCTACAGATGAATAGTGAATCTTTGAACTTCAGACTTTCTATGGGGATACTCAATGCTTCCCGGTAAACTAATCCTTGAATCTCTTGTATCTGTCATCCCCAAATATCCCTCGGCACAGTGGGTAAAATCAATTAGTACCAGAGAATGCAGATTTCTATATCCTCAAACCCTAGAAAAAAAAGAGCAACTTTCTGCATATAAAACACAAACATATAAAACAACTGGAAGGTGCAGAGAATGCAGACTCATTTTACAATGACCGGCTAAAGAATTAATATTTTAGACATAAAAAGATGCAGATAATCTCTTAGACTCTCAGCAAGAATAATTGCATGGAAGAAGAAAGGTGAAAATTAAAAATCTGAAGCTCTTCAAAATCTGTAGCTATACCAAAATCCTCCAGCAATCTGCCTACTATGAAGATGATGATGTATTCGGTGTGAGTGAAGAAGAGAAAGTCTCCACTCCAACAGCGCATACAGGACAGCTGATGGTAAGGTTTCATCCATCATTAATTTCCAACTGTGCTTTCTTACTGTAACTAAGTTATATGTGAAAGAGTCAACAATGTCTAGCTCTCCTTTTTGTTTGATATTCTTTTTTGAAAATGGTAATCGTACAATTGTGTGTTCATTAAATCTGAAAATCACAGTTATCCCAAACCAAGATCGTCTAGACCGTACCCAAATTAAACATCCACAAGATGAGAGACTCATCCCTTCACTCATTACACAAAAGTCTCGCCTAAAATTTCTTCCGGTACCATGCTCAATTAAAACACAAACAGCCAAGGAGCTGACCCTTCTAAATATTTGTGCCACATAGTAAGATTATCCAGCAAGAAATTCGGACCCTGGCAAGAGCCAATGAAACCTTCACTGCTTTGAAAATCTCTCCCAACATCACAGTTCCTCATTCCTTGTAGCAAATGACCAAGATGAGAATTATCACTAAGACGCCACTTCATGCATCCCAGATACCACTGAGTAGAGAACCTGGTCAACATGTAATACTCCAATGCCTCTGTTACCTCTGTGGGAGTTCTTAAATTAAAGAATCCCAGATGGCTTCTTGATCTGCCTCGTCATTCCACAAAGAATTTCCGCTATCAATGGCAAGATATGGATTTTAGATAGATTCACAGAAGCGAATCCTTCCCACCATTGATCTTCAACTACCTGAAATTTTACCATTTTCAAAGACAGCAAATTTGAGGCAGCTGCCATTTCTGATGTTTCAAGATGCTTCCCCATACTAACAAGACCATTGACTTATCATTGACTTTGTTGATGGAAGATAGTCCCCATTAACTGCAATGTTTTCCCATAGCAAGGGCTCATCAAAAGGAGACCCCCAACACAATAAATGCTATCCACGAGATTTCAGTTTTATTACGTAGGAACATGAACCTGAACAGGAATCTGAACCTGAACCATTCAAATGCATCAAATATGCCTTTCATTCAGTGATATAATTTTTATCCAAAATACCCATTATATCATAGCCGTACAGTAAAAAAGCAATGTCTTTTTAGTACGATTATATCTACACCCAAATCAGTCATCAAATGTCACAATGATAATCCAATCATGACCGCAAAATAGTAGCCTAACTATTATCAGAATATATTCTGCTAAACTAATAGCCAGATGTGAAAACATGATCAACATTAATGCTTGATGACTGAAACGACCACTTTAACTGGTGTATCAAAAGCATTAAGGATATATATAAAGATCAAATGAATCGATACAGGCTAGTGCAGAACCTCGAAATAAATCATTTCCCAGATTTGTCCAGAATGATACTAGCATGTGATGTTTCTAAATGCTGCTGCAGTGACCCAAGGTAATAGTCCTATTTCAGATGAAGCTATGGCATTTCTTACCCTCCTGGAAACTTCCTACACTGTGACTTTTCAAAGGAACACCAATGACCAACAAGGTAAAGACAAACGCAGTTCAGAGTGTTATACGCACGATCAGGTAAAATATCCAGTTCCTCTCCCATGCTGTCTCAAATGTCATAAATTCAAAGGCGTGTCTCAATTAAGCATGCATAGGTCAGCAAGCCCAATTGGCCGACTGATTTTCAACCAAATAGAGGATTCAGACCCCCCAGGTGCTTATTATGTGATACCACGCTCTTTCAATGAATGTCAGTTCCATCTGGAAGTGATTGACCAAGTCAAATAAAAGAAAACAACAGGCATGATGACGAATCTTCCAGCACTCACGATGCCCATATTGATCCTCATTACGCATTGAGTGAAAACGAGCCATTAATCAACTGTCGGCGTCAAGGTATTTCCCAATATCTACGAGAGAAATGATGCAATTAATTTATAGTCAACAAAATCGTTTTGAGTCAGCAAAACCTCCCCAGCTTTATGCATGACTTAGTAGATATGTTTGAAAGCATGGTAATTCAAGGAAACTACCAATAAAATCAGGGGAAGATAATAAAATAAATAATATGAAGGTTAAATTATGATGCAATACAAACGTTCACTTAAACAAAGAAGACATGAGCGAAGAATTATGGCAATATGTCATGTCATTAATATTCTCTCCTTACAAGCTCCGAATTTCAAGATTGACGTCAATCTCTAGAACGCTAGAAAGAGCATATTATAACTCCTGCATTGAGATGTGAATTGGCCAACAATCCACGCTCTCACCAGGAAAGTCATATAATTTTGCCACCGAATAGAATCAGATTAATCACAATGAGCTGATAGAAAAAAGAACAGATCTTTCTTGTGAGAATATCTGCAAGAGGGAAGAAGGAAGATCACATAATGTGCCACAGAATAGAGTCAAGGATCAAACTTCAGGTAGAAAATTAAATAGCATATGGATGATTCCTGTGAAGATAAAATCAAGAAAATGAAAAGGAAGCACCAGTGGGCATTAACCTTGTAGCGTAGTCCAACAGAGATTTCCCATTCAAGAACAGATTTATTATAAATCCTAATATGCGAAAGTAGACAAGGTTCCTGCAGAGAAAGAAATAACCAACGTAGTGCATAAGAAATATACTCCAATAATTAAACTAGCATGAATAATACAGCAGACCCACTTGTAGCTCATGTAATCTAGGGAATAACAGTAAAGGGCTATAGTTTCTTGCTGTTGCACAGCTGCGGGAGTTCTCTACAAAAGAAAATTCATATTCCAATTGACATGCATATAATATAAAATACAATCAATAAATCAGGCAACAACTCCAACTGATTACTTCAAATTTCAAATAACAATGGCACATGTATATCACATGACCTGTTTCATACTATTTGGGATCAAACCTACGTGGATATCAATGCTCAGATGACAGCCTAGGGGACTGACATTGGAGGAAGAAAAGTAGTATAAAGTGGTCTTCTCTGTATTGATTAGAGAACTTGGGAGGGGCTTCCTTTTGTGCATGCACTTCAGATCACCAAGGAGACCTGTGAGCCGGCATCCACCCAAGAGATGAACCCCTGAGGATAAATGTCATTCCACAATAGAAGTTGCCTGGCAGAGAATCAAGCACTAGCTTGGCTGTAGACTTCATTGTCTCAAAACAAGTTTACGCTTTGAAAGACCAACAGCAGGTTAACGATGAACCTTATCCTATATTAGAGAGGTCCCGAACGAGATAGGAGTTCAAGCACGTACATGGCTTGCCTTGAAAGTTATAGGATCCCATACCCCGGTGCAGAAGATTCTCTGTGGCAACCAAGCAAGTGTGAAGAATTTCATGACCAAGACAGTAATTACCACGTTGGGTGAAGCTAGTGGAACATTTTGTAGGAATGATGTAAGAGAGTGAACAATTCAACTGGAGGGTGGGTCCCAACGCACCGGAGTAGAAAAGGATTTTTCGTGAGGGAAATACACAATACAAAGGTGCATTTAAGACAGGTAAGAAGGGATACCAATCAGGGAAGCAACAGGCAGCAAAGATCAAGGGAGACAGGGTAAAATGAAGAGGTGAGGAACTCTCCAAACGATTTCAAACAATAACGATTTCTAGAATGAGAGAAGGCATTAACTCTTATCTTATTCCAAGAAACATACGATATGATTAAAAACTAATCAATAAAATTTCAAGGAAAAAATTATTATCAATTAGATCAGTTTTACTGAAATTTTCATTCTCATCAGAAGACCATGAAGAAGTCCATTTTCGTACTGATACTGAATAACGATATGGCACGTGCATTATGAGATTAAAAACCCATCAGGTTATGAACAGGGTCCACAGAAAGGCAATCAATAAGAGTAAACAAAGTGGTACACGAAAATCCAATTGATATATGGGTACACGCATGCAGTGAAGAATAGGACCTGGGAGAAAAGACGGTTGGTTTTCAAGCACCATTACGATGTGGGTGAAGTGGGACTTCCCATTATAGATTAAGCTTTGATGGGCACCTACGAAAGATCCAAGGGATGAATCAGAAAGTAAACTTCGGTGAAACTAGTATGCCTGTCGATTGAGCACATTCAAGTCTTGGGTAAGGGGACCGCATGTGTACCCTCCTGTCTTTTGGTGTTGAATAGAAAGGAATAGAGGGCACAAGTACTTGAGCTGATTAGAGACTTGCAAATATGATGAAAGCCTAAAAGTGAATAATCTCAGATAAGTTGATTGTGATACTGTTTTTCTTCTCTATGGAGCAGAAGCAAGTAATTGTCATAAAATTGAGACTTGATATATTAAAAGATGCAAGTGACTATCCTGACGGTGAGAAAAGCTCCAATTACATAATTTATTCTGAAGGACTATTTGTGAAAAACTTTCATCCTGAGGAAATAATTCGACACCCAAAAAAAAATTAATGAGGGAACATATGTTCGTTCGATGTTGTTCTCATAAAACTTCGCAGCAACAGACATTCATTCTAACCAATGAGGGGCTAAAACTTCAGATATTTCAATATTTCAAATAATTCACATACATTAGAACCTGGAAAAAAAAACTTAGACTGCTCTCTCCCGCTATCTTCTATCATAAATTCCCCAATCCAATCAACTCCAGCAAGGATTATCTCTTATTATATCTGCGGAGAGAGAGAGAGAGATTTACAAGCGTACCTCTAGCTCAAGAACTATCCACTCCTTCGTGTTCGTCCCGGTAGACCAGTGGGAACGAAGGTCCGGTTCGAGTAAATGGGCAGCCTTCTGGGTCGGCGACGACTCTCGGGACGCTGCCTTTACCTTGAAGGGCAACGGTTTCACCCTCGGTTCTAAATGTTCCATCTCCATCGTTGCCCGCGCCCCCCTCAACACCTTCCAAACCTGGTAAGGAACCCCCGCTTTCTCCTCCGAGTTTCTCTTTCTAGTTTCCCTCTTTTTTATCTCTCTGAGTAAGAAGGCGATGGACAGCCGCCATGATGATCTCCTCCGTCTCTGAGGTGGGGCGGGGGAGAAGACGCGACAGAGGGTTTATAAGATCCCACGGCGCAGTAACTGGTACTCCCAGACTCCATATCACCTGGAGCAGGAGAGATGTGACCCAGGGCGATGTCTTTAGCCTACACTAGCGTTCCGGGATGAACCGTAGTCTCAAGCCAAATTTACAAAACTCGCTCCCTCTCTCTCTCTCTCCTGAACTCATTCAAAAGCAAACAGTTTTGAGATAAATGCTTGGAAGTGGATTCTGGTAATTAATTTTTTGTATTCTTTTTACGAGCCTTACACCTTAACCAACCCCAAATTCTTCCAATTTCCCAACCTTCATCCTAATTAGGCGGTGACCGCCAAGACCCTAATAAATCCTATTATCGAACTTTTCATTTAGGTCAACAATGGAACCCATTTCAAGGGCTAGCGATATTTTTAGTTGGTTTTAGTGGACAACATTGAGAACAATGAATGGAATGATTTGATCCATCGTTCAAGAGTAGTATACTATCATTCTCTTTTGGTTCGTGTATGTAGAAACAAGGTGGGTTTACTCTTTTATGAGGAAAACAAAGGCACCTTTTGACTTGCCTCTATGAAACCAGATTTACAAGTCCAAATGGTCAATTATTAGGCCTTCAATATTGCTCAGTTGTTCAAAATTCATGATGATAAGTGGTCACGTCATTGAGCATACTTTTGTCACAATGATCACTAAAAAATTTAGGCAAAGAAACTGTCTTATAAATTGATTACAACATGCTTCATTTGGCACATAGTTTAGTGACTTCAATTATGGACGGCAAATATGTTTTTGTCAACAAATCATTCACCAAATATCAATGTTTTTGTGTTGGGTTTTCATTGTTTACAATATCACACTAAAGAGACTACCATGTGCCTAACTTCTTCTTTTTTTTAAGCTTCAAAAGGGTATATCACCAATGTTCCAACAAGAGCAATTGCCAATCAATAGTTCTGTTGCTCTATACACTTCTATAATTTGGCGTATTCGCCATGTAGTTATTGTTTCGTACTTGAATCATTCTCTAAACAGCTTCCACTTGTCATTTACATTTTCTATTCAACATTTACAAGGTTGCTACAAAAAAGGTGTTGTGAAAAATAAAGAGAATGATATCACGATGATTATCAAATCATTATTTACTACAAGAGCATATTTTTCAAATTTTGAATAGCATTTGTTAAAAAGTCAACATTTTAACCACTATCTATATGAACATTGTATATTCTTTGTTAAAATATAGGCATGTCCTTATTCATTAATAATAATGATATGTAACTCACTAGTGGTTCTCAAAATATGAAAAATGAGAGGGAGGGGATAGGGAGTTCATTTTGTTGCCATGCTCCAAATATATCAGTAGAAAAATATTAGTCTTTGAATGAATATACATGTAATTATAGAAGAACATAATGATACAATAATTAATGAAAGTATGTAACCGGGTGTCATGGTTGTCTTGGCTGCCATGCAACAATATCAATGGTTGGTCGTGTTTGCTCTGTTCTTAGTAATTTTTTCATTAATGCTCTCCTAATAAGCTAGAACCCCATTGATAGTAAACATATAGATGTGATTTCTCAAGTTGCGTTGATGAGAGAGGGGCAATATGGACATGTTGTTGCCATACTCCAAATATATAGCTAGAGAAATATTAGCCTTTGAATGAGTATACATGTGACTATAGATGAACATAATGATACAATATTTATTAAAAATATGTAACTAGGTACCATAATTGTGTCTTAGCTACCATGGAACAATATCAAACATCTTGTTTGCTCTTTTATTTTTAATTTTATGTTAATGCTCTCCTAATGGGCTAGAGCAGCATTAATGTATCAAATATGGAGAAGCGATTTCTCAACATTCTTGAAACCTCAACTATTGCGTTTGATCTCTTCAATGCGAGGACCAAATGACTAATAGGATGCGAAATTTTTCTCATAAAAAACCATCTTATATTATAGATTTTGCTAATTTTCATAACGCGCGTGAAAAGTTGAGAAACCTTTCTACCTCCTGATGAATGGGCTTCAGAGCTCACGGCCCAAATGAGTGGGGCCCAAAGCCAGCCTCATTACTGGTTCAAAAGATTTGATCATATGACAGAGGAGCTGGCTAGCCCGTTCATAGTGGGTGGGTAATTACCATATCATCAATGGTCGGGTTTGTTGTAGGATTAGTGAATAAGGGCCTGAAAACACCGTGTATTTGATCAAATATTAGACTGGAGACTATGCCCAGCGTTTCCTAATGTCTATGATTATGGAGGACCCACCGACCAACCTTTTGATCCGGAGCTATGAGGCCCATTTTGATCGCAAGATTGAGAATCAGGGGCAAGTGTAAGATACCAAATTACACCGAGGATACAATTGCAAAAGTATGCCTTCCTTATTTTCTCCTCTTGATGGATACATCTCCCACAGTTCCCTCACGGACGGAAAACATAATGTCGCTACTCATGGGCCGTCATCTCCTACCTACGGCATCGCGCTCCAGCCGAGCTCCTCTCTCTGGTTTCCTCTTCACTACCCTCGGCCACAACGGCATAGCTCCAGAGCCTCCGTCCCCCTCAAGTGGCCTCGAATTCTTCGACCGGGCTAGGATTTCGGACCTCGTTTCCAGGCAACATTGGTCCGAGCTGAAGTCCCTGACTCGTAGCGCCCATCCCACGCGCCTCATGCAACTTCTCCTCGATACTTCTTCCGATGACCCAGCCGGCGTCGAGACGGCTTTCAGGTACTTCCGATGGTCGGAGAGGCAGGGGGGGGGCTCCCCCCAGGGACTCCATCTCCATTGCCGGCTTCTGCACCTGCTGGCTTCTGCCAAAAGGTACAGTGACATGAGGGCCCAGATCTACTCCCTGGTCAAGTCGGGGCAGCACTCGATTCCCTCTATATTCCACGCTCTTTCAATCTTTGGCGAGCGCCGGGATAGGAATTCGATCATCGTCGACATGCTAGTGTTGGAATACGCCAGGAGATCCAATGCCGCGCTCGCCATGGAGGCTTTTGACAGGGCTCGAGATTACGGATTTAGGCTGTCGCCTTTGTCCTGCAATCCGCTGCTAAGTTTGATGGTGAAGGAGGGAAGATTGGAGAGTGTGGAGAAAGTGTACAGGCAGATGATCCGGGGAAGGATTGAACCTAACCTGATGACCTTCAATACGGTGATAAACGGACTCTGCAGGGCTGGCAAGTTGCAGAGGGCGGCCGACCTGTTCGATGACATGAAGTCCTGGGGCCTTTTGCCATCGGTGGTCACGTACAACACGCTCATCCATGGTCACTGCAAGATGGGTCGAACTGGGAAGATGTATAAGGCCGAGACTGTTTTGAAAGATATGGTCTCCAAGCAAGTTCATCCGAACGTGATCACCTTCAACACTTTGATCGATGGGCACTGTAAAGATGGGAACTTTCCCTCTGCTATGAAACTGTTCTCTGAAATGAAACAAAGGGGGGTGCCTCCCAATGTGGTCACTTATAACTCCTTGCTCAGTGGGCTATGTGCTGAAGGTAAGGTAGATGATGCCCTGGAGATGCTCGAGGAAATGAGGGGTTCGGCTGTTGAACCAAATATTGTGACTTATAATTCGTTTATCAACGGTTATTGCAAGAAAGGGATGCTGGCAGAGGCCAAGGGGATGCTAGATGATGCTTTAAAGCTAGGTTTGGCTCCAAATGTGATAACGTATAACACTTTGATAGATGGGTATTGCCGGTCCGGGAAAATGGAGGATGCTTGCGAATTACATGGTTCAGTGTTTAGCAAGGAATTTCCTCCCAATATTTCGACCTATAATTCCCTAATATTGGGTTTTTGTCAGAGTGGTGATATGAAGAGGGTCAGTAAGGTCTTGAATGAAATGGAGGAAAATGGTTTGAAAGCTGATCGTGTGACTTATAACGAGCTTATAGGCTCTTTATGCATGCAAGGAGAACCAAAGAAGGCATTGAAGCTGTTAGATGAAATGTTGGAAATAGGTTTAAGCCCCAGTCATGTGACATATAATATTTTAATGGATGGATTCTGTAAAGAAGGCAACCTGCGTGCCTCTTTGAACTTGAGGTCCAGAATGGAAAAGAATGGAAAACGTGCAAATGTAGTAACCTATAATGTGTTCATGAAGTGCCTCTGTAAGAAAGGAAAGATGGCAGAGGCAAACAAGCTGTTGAATGAGATGCTGATGAAAGGTCTGATTCCCAATAGGGTCACATATGAAATAATACGTGATGAAATGATGGAGAGGGGCTTTGTTCCAGATGCAGATGGGCATCTTTTCAGCACCCAGTTGTAGTCCTCACTGGGTTCGCAGAACGACTTTAGAGAGATTTTGTATCTCTAAGCGTCAAAACAAGTAGCAACCTCTGATATACGCCATGAAATGGAAACAGTGCTTTCCGTGGGCACAGAAAGAGAGATCATGGCAGAATGCTTTTCTCCTGGGAGAAGAAACTGTGGCTCCATTTATGAAGGCTTGTAACCAAAGGAAGCCCATAAAAAAGGATGAGCAAATGGCAGACCGCGAGAATGACACCATCATACACTGTCGCTGCTTATTGTGATAACAGGTTTTGGTAAATTAGCCTGGTTCCTAAGCTTCTAATGCCTCGTTGAGCATTGAAATGAGTAATTTTATCGTAGCTTTTTCTTTTTCTGGTTGGTGCAATAGCCTATTATATCATACAACATCTTATGAAACTATCCTGAATAACAAAATTTGAGGAAAACTACTTGTTTTGAACATGCGTTTGTAGAAGTTGATCTTATATGGCGAAAACCCGTTTTACATTGCATTTGTGATAAGTTAGATTTCATGATCAGCTGTTTCTTACAGAGGGGCTCCTTTAGTAGTGGTGGGACAGTTCACTGGAGAAAAAGGAAATGGTCACTAACTGATCACAACATATGGGGGGTGGTGTTCAGGAGTGGGTAATCAATAACTGAAGGTAAAGATGGTCAAATCTGAGAGGATGAGGATTTGAGCAGAGGCAATGAATGCATGGCAGCTAATGTATAACAGAGAGGTTAAAAGGGCGATGCTAAAAGAGAGATTTGCCCTTTGAGATTTTTGAGGTTGAGGGGGATGCCCGAATCCTTGGTGTTCAGCTGGTAAGCTGGGTAGCAGACCAGGGGTTCTGCGTGGGGCCAGTCGCAGCTCCTCCAGATTCACGAGGTGGTTTCTTCTTCTGAATGTTTTACAAGGCATTCGTCTTGACATTTTCTTTTGTAATTTTTTCTTATGCTAGTTTTTTTCTTCTTCTCAGGGGCATTTTCTTCTGGTCCATTTCGACCATTCTAATTGTTGAACTTTTGTCATTCTAGCATCTGTGATGACTCTTCGAACGATATTTGGCATAATTCCGTTGAAGAACATTTTCAGGGATGTGAAATACGAGGGAAATTTACTGTGAAGAAACCATGATACCTTTGCGGATGCTTTTACATCATTAATTCCTAGGTTCAACGAAAGAGTCTGGTGATCTTGATTATATCGAGAAGATGAGTTTTTACTTTGCATGGCACCAGGTGAGGGATATATATGTGCATATAGGCTCTCCTAACTCAGAAAATGTCCTCTTTGGTTAGATGGGCCTCACGATTGGAAATGACATTCTATTTGCCCTTGATCCTGGCTGGTGTAAGCATAGCTTACGACTGATCTTGCCGGGCAAAATATATGGAGAGAAATAACATCAAATTTGGACGGAAGTTCATAATTATACAAGACATGATCAACACGGTTGTTTAGCCTGTCGTCGGCTGATTTAGAGCTGTGGAAATTAGACGATCATGAAGCCGGCCTGATGAACTTCATCGAGCTGCATGGCTTATTTTTCTTCCCTCAGTTTCTGTTCTGTTTCCTTTTTACCATAAAACATCTTGTTAGAGTCCTGACGAATTTTTGCGTCTTTTTCCTTCAAGAATTTATTGACTGCTCCTGGCGTGCCTTCGACATTGGTTCAGGTAACGGCCGCCGTAATGTCGCCGCCGTGCGAGATGGCTTCCGATCCCGGTAAGAATCAGGCGATCGTTTCTTCTTTGCTTACCGAGGAAGAAGCAGATCATCGTCTTCGTTTCTGTTCCATGCTGGTGGTGGCAACGGTGTCACCGGAGCACAGTTCGCGGCGGTGGTGTCGCAGCTGCGCGGGCTGGGAATCGCCGGCGTCAACCACAACATTCTCATCATCCGCATCGGATCACTTCTCTACACGCTTCTCGCCCCCGCCATCCACCACACCGACGACGGCGCTGCACGGCTTCGTACCAGGGGGCGGGTTGGTCGCGGTGGCGGCTCTGGGGGATTTACTTTAGTTTAAACTGCACACGAGACTCGTTGTACAGAGAATTTGCGAGAGAGTAGAGAGAAATAAAAATAATTAAAATAACAAAATGGTAGTAGTTTGATATGATTTTCTGGTGTCACAAAAATGTCTGCCATCTTTTACCATGAGCTGCCCTCCGACTCGGTCGCGAACGAGTTCACTCGTCCGGGAGTCGGATCTTATCAGGGCTCCCCTCGACGCCATCCGCTCCCTCTCCCTCTTCATCCTCATCGCGGCCACCTGTTGTAGCCCTAAACCCGTCACCCGCCGCTTCCCCCTCCCTGCTGTCCATTGCTCTCTTGAGTTGGATCGTCCTTCTGAAATCGTTCGATTGTCGTGTCCTCTGACAGCGTTACTCTCGATTTCGGGGCTCTTCTGAAAAAAGCTATCGAATCTCGAATCATTTTGGTTTTCGCAGTCCGTCGGAGGCATGGGGGAGGATAGGAGGAACAAAAGCAACAGCAACAGCAGGGCGCACCCGGACTGCATCAACGCTTCCAACCCTTACCACGAATGCGTGGAGTACTGCTTCCAGAAGATCGCGGAGGCCAGAGAACGCGCCACCGACCTGCATCCCCCGTCCCCTGGTATCCTACCTTTCTTCTTTCTTGAAGACCTTATCGTAGATTTGTGAATTTTCTGCGGGTTCTGACGTCTACTGCGCATATGTGGTCGCGGCAGCCGTGATAAAAATGCACAGGGACTGAGACAACTAACCCTGGTTGGGTCTTTTTGTCTGTTTTCCGTCTAACCTGTTACCTATTGCTGGAATTTCCCGTGGCATATGCCTGAATTGCATAACTAGAGAAATCGGAGGAAACAGACTGCTTAGTGCCGTGTGATTGCAAATAGGAGTTCTAGCGATCCAAGTAGAGGACACAATTAAGTATCATTAACAACAAGTCTTTTTTCTCCAGCAACTGGAGGAAAGGTGCCGGCTGCAGACGTGAAGACCATTGCCACGTGATGTAAAACTGAGAGAGGAAATGAACAGAGAGAATGACGAGAAACAAGAGATTAAGATTTGTGGCTGTAAAATGAGATGCTACTTTTTAATGGAGTATTTTCCATAAGGAAGGGTTCTGTAAACTGCAGATGGACTGATCATCTTTATTATCTATCGCTAAGAGGATGATTTCTAGGACCCAATAGTCAGGGTTTCCCAAATAGTAGAAGCCATTTGGCAAAAAAACTAGGCAATAGACGGAACTCAACTCAAAGGAGAAATAGCATTCTTGTCTGACATGTAGTGATGTGAAATTTTTTGAATTAACCCTTATATGTAGTTAACCAATCTGACAATGATATACTTGCTTTGGAGATGACGCCTTGAATGTGGATGGGTAGATTGGAATGTTCTTTTTTTTTCTCCCACACCATTCTGTTGAAATGATAGTTGGTACTAGAAGCATTGGTGATTATTTTCTGACTGTTGGATCGAACTAGATTCAGTTCTGAAACGTGTTTTGTTGTTGTCCGGGGCGTCCAATGTCTCTGCTGGTTCTTTTGTACTTTAGTTTGGTGGCTGACGACAATCATTGCCTAGTTCTTGCTTTTGGATGGTAGGCCTTCGTCCTCTCAGGATTTCGATCTATTTGTTACGTACAATATTTCGACAATCCATTCTTTGCAGAGAAGATTGTGCCTCTTCAAGGTTGTTGTTATATCTTGTGTGTGTGTCGTGTCGATCACTCTTTGATGTTTTGCAGGGCTGCACAAACAAGATGTTGACTCTGCTGAGAGGGTCCTTTCTCCTGAACGAGCATCAAGCCCAGAAGTGCAAGCTGATGGTAGTGATGGTCAGAAAGACTTTGATGCAGGTTACCCACCGATGAATGAGAGGCAGAAAAAGTTGTTTGAGCTTAGGCTTAAGATGGTGCGCAGAGTTTTTACACGCGGGAATATGTTACCCCAAAAATATTTCTATGATATTCAAAATGAATTGCACCAGTTATTTCTAGCTAACTGAACTGTTTTTTGGCTCCTGATTTCTAGAATGAAGCAAGAAAAGCGAACCAAGCAGCAATGGTTGCAGAGAAAAATAAGCTTGAAGCACCACCGGAATCAAGGGGCATCTCTAAACAGAAGTGGCTGGAAGACAGGAAAAAGAAGATTGGAAAGCTTCTGGATGCGAATGGCTTGGATATGAAGAGGGCATACATGCTTGACACACAAGAGATGGCTGAAGCAAAATATAAAAAGTGGGAAAAGGATCCTGCCCCTTTCGGATGGGATGGTAAGTGTTTCTGTTTTTATCCATCTTTTCATTTTTCATCCTTGTTTTGCTCTTATTATGATAAACAAGTAATAACAATTACTTAGTCCGGTCTTCGTTTATGTTGACATACATTTCAAAACATGGGCAGGAGAACTGGATCCGGAGAAATGTGATCTTATTAACGCTGAAAATATGAAAGGGTCCTTGAACTCATACATCTCTCTGCCAATCCCTTACTCAACCTCTGCTTGTGGACATCTGTCCAGTTTTATGCTTGTGTATTTTTATTGAGTTTGACTAGATTCACGGGTAGATTGAGGTTATCTACAAGGTGTGTTCCACTTTGCATTCCTGCCATTGTTATTCATCTCTTCCTATCCTTCTCTCTGTTGGCATGGGAACTGATGCTTAGTTCTTCTCTCTTGCTAGTTTTCATCCCCTTTTTAAAGCTACTAGATTTTTAGCTTTCCCCCCCGCCCCACCCCTCCCCTAGCTTTATTTTTAAAGAACATCTTCTGTACTAGTTGCCTTACAAAATCTTTTATCAGTCTTCAATCAGAAAACATTATACAGCGCCTACAAGAAGCGGACAAAGGACATGGAAGTTGACATGGAGGCATACAACAAGGCAAAGGAAGAGGACCCAGAGTTCTACCGTAATGCTTCAAGTCTCCAGTATGGCAAGGTCCTTCATCAACCTGCAAACTGTGGATATTTTTCTCTGAGGTTCCAGTCTTAGAACATCATTTTGTGCAGGCTCCAAAAATTCCGGACAAGAACATTGACCGGATGGTGAAGGAGCTCCAGGATCGGGATGCCAAGCGGAAGTCATTCAGCAGGCGGCGCAAGTTCCATGAGGAGAAGGACATTGATTCAATCAATGATAGGAACGAGCACTTCAACAAGAAGATTGAGAGGGCGTTTGGGAAGTATACGCTGGAGATCAAGAACAACCTGGAGCGTGGAACAGCTTTACCAGACTGAGTCTGGTGGACAATCTGCTGCTACTATGTTTTATGCACGGCATGGCGGGGTTCTATTTCTGCTGATTGGTTTGTGGGATTAATTGCACCAAATTAGAAGTAGAACCAGGCAAAACTGATCAAACTGGCGACTTTGGTCTGGTTTTCTTTCCCAGACAAAATGTTCTACCAAGCGTGACTTTTAATGTGCTCAAACAAAACCATCACCACATATGCAGTGTAGCTCTGGCTGCAATCCTCTCTGATGCCCCATCACCAAAATGTAATATTGATCCTCTTTTGTCTGAACTATCCTTGTTTTTCATTTAGCCATCCTTGAGTATTTTTGGTATCGATTGTGTCTGCCCAGTGTTGCTGGTTATCTCATCATCGGTCAGTTTTCTTGCAAGATTATCAGAGATTCTGGGTGCCTTTCGTTTTGTTGCTTCGATGTGGGCAATGGAACAGTTGTGGGAACATCAGATTCATGGACTAGGGTTCTAAATTATTAGTTGCAAAATCATGATTCGAGGGATTTGTTTAAGAGCTTAGGAGGCGGTCGTGAATTGCATTTAGACGGAAATCGGTAAGTGTGGATGACGAATTGATTCCACAGATCTCGCGGTGTTAATGGATGATCGGTTGAATCCCTCTTCGTAGTTGGAGGTCGAACATCAGGCACCAAAGAGGGTAGGCTGAATGGGGAAGGCGGTGGAGCTGTGAGCCGCCTGACCACCGTATATATTTCTGTCCTTGCACAGTCCTTGCCAATGCCCAGATTTTTGTCCTCTCAGGACAGTGATCGGGAGAGAAGCACTGGGAGAACACCGGGGGGATTAGGAGAGGAATCGGGGCGAGTGATCTGGCCAGAAGGGCATCGATCCGAGGGCCGGTATCGGGATGACGCGGGGGAAGCAGAAGATCGAGGCACAGCGGAAGAACGCGGAGCGCAATCAGAAATCCAAGGGCTCCCAGCTCGAGGCTCGCGCCGCGGCATTCAAGATTAATTGCCCCATCTGTAAGGTACCGCGATTCTCCGCCCTCTGACTCTCCGTGATGGCGTCTCCCGTCATCCTCCTCCTCTCCCCATCTCTTATCATCTCCTCAGCACCGCAGTCACCCGTGTGTGCTGTTCCAGGGCAAGTATAGATCGTACATCTTTGCCTAATGGATATTAACCTGCCTTTGTTTGAATCTGTTTTACCTTCTTCATGCCACATCGGTCGTAGTTCTGTCCTACTTGAAGAAGAATATCTGTGATCTCTTCCACGTTTGGGGTGATCTGGGAGAGTGGGAACGTGCGTGAAGAGACCGGAAGTGGGAAGAGCGGGGGATTGAGGCGAAAGAGAAACTGAGAAAGGGAGAGATGGTGGGCGTAACGGTGTAGAGAGAGGATGCCCGGGTAGAAGATTGCTGGGGAGGTTGGAGGGGACTCCATTGCAATAGTAGAGGTGTCCAATCCTGGAGAATCTGGGAGATCAGCTTCTCTGTTGGAAACTCTCGCACCGTTGGAGCTCTTCATGAAACAGCAGTATGGATAATGTGCGCTGATGTTTAATCTGACTGTGTACCACACGAGGGTTCATGTTTGTTCTTGGTTTGGGACACTACAGAAAATGACTGTTTGATATGTGTGTTCTAGAGAGGACGAAGGATGATACAGGTGGATCTTCTTTATCTCTGTTTCAGCATCATGTTCTGCAGTTGGATTCCTCGCTCTGCTGACTTCTAACTTATGACCTATTTGCACTTTAGGATCACCTTTTTTTCTTTTTTTAGTTGTAGACATTCATAGGCATTGAGAAAGCTCTAGTGAGATATGCGGTGATAAAGGATGATCTTGGCCATGGGATTTTCTGCAAACCAAAGAGGTGAATAAAGCTCATGCAAAACCAATTAGCAGTAGATAAACTGAAGCTAATTTGTGGGGTTCTTCATGCTTGCGTTCAGCAACATAACCTAGTGACATAACCTACTGATGATATTCGTCTTTCTACGTTTTTTGAAGGCCATCTATATAATTCTTTGATTCATTTCCTTTCAAAGGTATTTATTTAGTATATGAACTTGAGTTTATCTTGGATAATTAAAATATGTAAAATGAAAACGTAGGCTCCCGAGTCCTAGGCTGAATATTTCTTGTTGCTTGATAGCTTCTCGTTGTTCCAATGTTAGTGAAGAAACAGGCGACATACTAAAATTTTCCAATGTTTGATGTGTCAAAACTCTGTTTGAAGAAAGAAAATTTTCCTTCTGTTTTTTTTACTTTTAATGTGTTTGGTCTCACAATCGAATCTCATCATAAACATCTATAAATAAATGTGAATGACCCAAAAATTGTGTTCAATGACTGTTAATCGTGCAGACTTAACCTATGCATTATGGTTTCGCATCGGCTTGACAGGTTAAGGATAGACGTCCTATGCCTAAATATGTGACCTTCGAAATTCAGGTGTTTGAGTAAGGATTTTGTCTCCAAAATCTTCCTGTGAAGATTGGGGCTGTAGGTCTGTTGTGTGGCAAAGTCAGTCAAGGTGATACTGTCATGATGTCCATAACACCTATGTCAAATTCTTAAGGCATCTAATCATGTTGTACGAATCATTGAAGTGCTTCTATGGTATGTCTTTTGATGAGATGAGGTCTCAATAGTTATCTTGACTTGTCACAGTTTATGGCCTCAAGCTCAAGGTTTTTGTTTGGTTTTTGAAAGGGCTTTTTAATAAAGCCTTGATGTACATGGGAGCCGAAGATCCCAAATTTCTGTAATTTTGTTAATAATTCGAAAATCCTAGTATCAATTTCAAAAGAGCCCAATGCTGTCTCATTGGGTGATGGGCCCAACAGGTTGGTTCATCCAAGTGTACTTAAAGGGGGTCTCCACTTTTCCTAAGAATGAGAACTTGAGAATTGAAGGTGGCGAATGTTGAAAATAACTTCTTGATCTCTATACACATGTTCAAACCTGTAGGCAATACATTAATTATGTCATACTTGCAGATTTATGTCAGACTGAAAAGTTTATGTTTTACAAAAGAAGAATCTTCGATGGATCGAAGTTGGGAGCAACCTTGCATTGGCCTATGCCTCTTTTTTCTTATTTCCTTTCATTCTCTTCAATTATTGCCCCTTTCACTTCTCCGTTGATTAGTAGAATGCACAAGATTCATGTTGTCAACTATCCTCACCAGTGTTATTGCCATCTTACTCTCTCTGTATGTAATTTTCCATTGAACCAAGCGAGGAAACAGTAGTTGCTGCTTATTTTACTGGGAGGGCCATCTGTTTCAGGTCCAACTAGCAAACCACAATCAGCTCGTGGACCACTATGGGTCGAAGCATCCAAAGGAGAAACCCCCAAACGACTCGGGTTGATTCAGCTCCAAAATTGGAAGAATCTAGACATGCTCACGACGTCACCCTTCTGTTGTCCATCCCATGAACTGGTCAGGTGATGCTCCTCCCTCTGTCTGCCGTGTTGCTGTTTCCTGAAAAATGGTTGGTTTGGGTACAAAAATACGTAAGGTGTGCACCACTGTCAAAAAATGTTCATAGGCCCAGAATATTTCTATGTTCTGTTCCTACTGTTCCGTCTTCAACTCTCTTCGGCGAACATGGATCTTCCCCTGCCTCGGTGAGAGACTCTGTAGTTTTCTTCTACTACGAATGCTTCTTGACCGAAGGCTTGGCCAGCTCAATCTGCAGAGTTAAACGTAGAAGGCGTGTGACAAGGAATAAGCCAATGCCCAATCTGCCTGATCTGTAGACGGCTCTCTTCCGCTTCCCATCCCACCAGAGAAGCTTTCTGGTGGGTGATGCGATGACTGCTTGATGAGACTCCCATCAGCCGAGAAATTAGAAACAGACTGACGGCTCAGAGCCACTGCCCCTTGAGCCCCCGGAAGTCTGCATTCGATATCCTATCATGTGCGTATCGTGGTAATGGCCGGTTTTTGTCGGTGGAATTATAGAATCCTTAAGACGCTCAGTTGTCATTCTGGACTCTGCCCATTGGTAGAGAGGTTTGAGGATGGGCCCCTGTTAGAAACATGAGGTTCTAATGTGGGGTTTTTTAACGTGCTTAGGCTCCTAATCTTTCGAGCCATCTTCATCTTCTAGGGTTAAATACAATTAATTAGGTTTTCAACCTATTCAATAATGGCACCAGTTCAGCCAATTGAAGAATGGCTTATAATATGGGGTATGCAAGCAATAGGACAAGTCTCCACAGCTGCTTTGCGTACTTCGTTCAAGGAGAAATCAGGGTCGTCCCAGGGATGGGTACTCTTAGCTTCAAATTTGCATGAAGAAAGGCTCACCCTTCACTCTTTCATCCCTGGATCTGGGGCTTGGAGCTGTCCCAAGTTCAGGGTCAAAGAAGAGGATGAAGAAGAAAAACAGCGACATGGTAGACCGACAGCAATAGAGTAAACGAAAGAAAAGGTGTCGTCCACATGGAGGTGGACGAGAGTGGTTTTCTTATGGCATTGACAAAATGTCAAGGAGCAGAAAAATGAGAGAGGGAGAGGGGGGGGGGGACTCTGGTACAACAGAGTCAAAAGAAAGAGGGACGAATGGCTCCCGACTCTTGGTTCCAAGTGCCTGGTGGAGAACTTTCTCAACTTTATACGCTGACCTACTCATAAAAAGACATTGGCAATGAAAAGAATCCAGAGACCTGAAGCTACCATGCCATCAGCCTCATCACCCGATGCAATAAACAACAAGTCTGTTCCTCGTTGGGATGAATTTTCTTTTCCTTCCCTTCCCTTCCCTTCCCTTGCTTTATTCTGAAACAACGGGCCGGCCGTACGATAGGTCTGCAGAGGCTGCCTCATAGCAACATGGATTGTGGGTTCTCAATGTACTCCTTGAATGCCCTCAACCACTCTGCACCAATCGCTCCTGCAATTCAGGCATAATGCATTAGCCGATTGGAGGAGCTGAAAAAAGAATCAATTAATAGGCTCTCGTACCGTCAATAACGCGGTGGTCGCAGCTCAGGGTGACTGACATGAAGGAGCCAAACTCGAATTGATGGGGGCTCGTGCCTGGTACGACCCTCCTCTCAGCTGTCCCAGTCCACCAAAATACCTCATTCAGAAGTGTCTTTTGTGATGAATCTGAACAATAGATTTTGTACACGACAGGTGCCCAACACTAGCTGGACACTCGGTCTAATAGAAGACGAGTGATGCCAACTAATTCGAAGCTCCTCTCTTAGGTTAGGAGAAGACCTACCAGAACCCACAGCCAGGATCGCAGCCTGAGGAGGATTAATTATTGCACAGAATTGCTTGACGCCAAAGGGTCCACCTAAATTTGATACAGTGAACGTGCCTCCCTGCAAATTCCATCAGATCAGAGCCAGAAAACACGAGCAAACCCTATGGTTCTCCTTGTCCGTGATACCTTCAAAAAGATTCTACGTTATCAAGGCACACACCTCATAATCTTCGGGTTTGAGGTTGTTGTCTTTAGCCTTTTGAGCCAGAAGCTTTACCTCCGCAGCGATTGCAGATAAACCCTTCTTGTCTGCATCCTGCAGTGGCCCCAGCAAAGAATGTCAAAAGCTATGAGATAATGCCAGTTCCAACGATTAGATTAATCGTAGTACTCACCTTAATCACGGGAACAAAGAGTCCATGCTCTGTCTGAACTGCTACGCTTATGTTGACGTTGTGGTACCTGCAACCGTGCTTACAGAAGAGGGCTGAGAGCAGATCCCTTTTAATATCCAGAAGAGTTCTCCAAAAGGGATGATAATGCTCACTGTCGAATATAATCGTTCATCCAGGAACTGTTGCACTGTGGAACTTTCCGCAGAGCCAGAGCAGCCGCCTGAAATTAGATTTCACAAGGGTTAGAAGATTCAGTTTATTGCAACGTGACCTCATTCTGTAAAATTTAAATATTTTACGATTAGGTTGTGATAATGTGTCTATTTAGCCTTTAAAACAACCAAATAATACAAAAAACAGAAAACAAAGTTAAACCTCAGCAAAGGAAAATGACATACAAATAGGACCACAGAGAGAGTTTACCTCTACTCCTGGTCAAGGAATTACTGTTTTAATTCTATGAGAGAAAGAGAAACAGCAACCCATAGATCATAGATTGAATGAGAAAGGAATATGACCCCACAGAGCATCATCCATTAACTATACCGATTTTGATTAAAATGACAAGACGATCTGTACTGTATTGGAAGTATGCAAGCGCTGAAGAGCAAATAAAATTTTCAAGCAACCAGTCATATTTACGTTACTAGGAGGGGCAAAGACATTCCCAGCGTCAAATCCTCAGTTGATTATCTAACCAGCATATATAATCGTCAATCTATTGTGGTCAGAAAGGCATTAAAATTCTTGCTTCCGTATGTTTCTAAATACCCCCTGAGTCATGATGGGGTATAACCTCTGCTCAAGCCTTTACATTCATTTGCTGGAGAGCTTCTGATATCAAGGTTCAGAAACTTGATCAAGTAGATCATGTTGCTGTCCTGCACATGTCTCGGTTATCATGCGTGTGAAATATAAATGCTCCTCATTTTCCTCAGTTAAATTGCATAAAAGTCGTTTATCATAAAATTCACCGTTTTGGGTCAAACTTCCTTTCCAGTATTCTGACTTTCATTCTATTAAGGAAGAAAAGTGTGTTTCAGGGCTGTCCTGTCGTTCCACAACTGCATCCCAACACCCAGTTATCCAGCAGAAAGACTTAATATTCGTGACATTGCAGCCTAGTAATACATCCCCAACAACAGTCTGCAATCTTGAAATCTGTTTTTTTTCTTTTTTGTTGAACACAACGGTATTAGATAATAATTGGTTATGTTGGTCCAGAAACCGTGCCCATTTAAAAAATTACACCGACTCATTTCACTAACCCTTTTTTCCCTCAGGAACATAAATGCTTTCAAGCCTCTGCTTTTCAAGTAATCAACTCGCCTTTTCACGAGTCCATCTACAGGAGATCAGAAGCACCTCACACGTTTTCCAACCCAGAACGTAAATGATTCTTATTCTGAACCTGAACTATTTTCTTGCTTTTGACAGATTTGATTAGTCAACTCCATCTATATGATCCCCGGTAAGTCTTTGTGACTGTATCACGAACTCGTAAACTGAAATATACATAAAAATGAAAAGAAACCTGAAAAAGTTCATAATGCACTGTTTTTCAAAAAAGCAAATGCAACAAACCTTTATCACAAGGTCATTTACTGAAATGCGTTTCCTGCCAGAAGCTTCTTGTAGGGTATTAAGTTGGCCACGCAAACTGAACATCATATAAAACCGTTCAAATCAACAACCAACTTGTATAGTGAGCTAAAAAATGGCGAATGATTAAGAAAAGGTCTCACTCCATAAGTTTTTCCACACAGCTATCCACTGTCAAATAATAGTGAGGAATGGTTTGCTTTGAGAGAAGCAGCCGTGAAGCAATCACCTGTCAGGTTTTTCAATCAAAAAATAAAAAAGACCAAAAAATCAGGGCATAGTTTTATCGGTATTAGCTTCCACACTTGTAGAGTGACGGTAACTGGTGTCTACTTTTCTTATCTGTGAGTTTGGAATGTCAGAATAATCCAATGAAGGAGCTGCAGTTGGTTCCGTTACTTTGGAAGATGGCTTGGAGGTGCGAGCTGCCACATTTTGAGAACGTGACAGGAAATCAGATTGAGAAATACAGCCTCGTTGGAACAAGTGCATAAAATTGTGAATCCTTCTCTATGGCATTGTGTGCATGGGAATGTTGTAATTCATGATCATATAACACTGCTCATACTCTAGAACCAAAAGGAGATAAAACAAAAACAGTATTGCTGATAGGCTTGGAAGGGTAACAATATTTCCATTATCAAAGTATCACAATGAAGCATGGTCATGATAAAAACGTAAATGATCCACAAATAACACGATGTTGTGGAAGCATACATATACATGGAATTGCAGGAGATGATTATCAACTGAACTACAACTAGGTAGTCTGGTAGACTGAAAGATAAACTTTAGAGAATAATCCCACAAGAGGATTAATTCGAGTCAACTTGAAAGCCTGCGTGGTTCATATATGAATACTGAATTCCAAATTGATCAGAGCTTCATCACTAACTTGTACGACTCTGGAGGAAAGTAATGAGTTCTTTTTGAAAATGTCGAATAAATGAATATGTTAATCCTGAATCTAACGCATTGGTGGGGAGTGACAAGCTGGTCACGAGAAGCTTGACCCATCAGAGAAGACCAACACCAGGAAGACATACAAAAATCCAATGGCATCAGGAATTCGCACAGGCAAAGAAAAAAAAAAGAAACCGGAAACATCATTATTCACGAACAATAATGATGGTAACAAGTCCAAGAATCCCAATTCAGAAGAGAATGCTTGAGAAATGAAGAGGCATAAACGAATAGAAGGATAATATAATTTGGAGGAGTAATAAGAAGACAGAAGAGTACCCTATCCTCAAAAACTTGATTTATTCATCAAAGATGACAAATATGGTAGCAAAGTGGCAATATTAATTAGTAGAGGTGTGGTCAACTTATTTTATTTGATACGTTTTTATCTTAGATGTCTGTACACTCCCCTAATCATAAACCAAAATAAAGATTACCTACTCCAAAAGTAAATATATAAGCATAGGAATTTCGAAAATCGAAAGAACGGGAGAAAACCACAACCCAGGTAATCTTCAATATCAGCCTTCAAAATGCGGCCATCAGGTCCTGTGCCTGTGATGCTGGAAAGAGGCACCTACATTCATGTAACTTAAAGTTAGATAATTGCTATCAAGTTCCTTACAAGAAGATCAGTAGTAACTTGAAAATAATATGCCCTGTAACAAGCACGAGAACTTGAGAACTTCGCTCGTCATTTGAAGTAATTTGTCAATTTTATAATGGATAGTATAAAATAGCTACTAAAGCTATGTGCTCACTTACATTATGGTCCTCTGCTAACTTTCTTGCAAGTGGACTTGAGAAAACACGATCTTCTGCTCGTGTGGTCTCATCAGTCTTTGGTGCCACAGGTCCGTTCGTTTTAACAGGTTCCACTTCCTCTTTTTTTGATGTTGGTTCAGATGGTGCACTAACATCACCAGCCCCAGGAGATTCGGAAGCTTTGTAATCCTTAAACTTCACAATATCATCTTCATCCTCCACAGTTATGGCAATAACCTAATGGCAATAAAAATTCCTATTTTATTATCATATCTTCAGCATAACTAAAAATACAACTATATTTCAGAAGGAACGTGACATGGTAGTATGAAAACCTACATCCACTCTCAATGTTTCTCATGTACCACTAAACCTGTCCAATGCCATCAATACTTACATGCATAAATTTATAAAAGAACAAAACCAACAATGTAAATATGAAACGCAAAAGGAAAAATAAACACTTTTATAATTCAATATACTATGCTCCACAGAGAAGATCGGTTAAAGGTAATTATAGAGTGATGCTAGAATGGAAGAAATATGGCCACATAGTAGTTCTACTAAGAGAAACCTATTGGTTACCAGATTCAAAAGCGAAGCTAATATCCAGTACATGGTGTCACACACATGGGAGAACATACGAATAAGATTAAAAGAAAAGGCCATACCACTAGATACGTACACAAACATATCAACATAATCTTCTGAAATGGAGACACCAGCTATGACGAATTTTGCTTTCCAAAATGAGAATATGTATACCTCACCAACTTTTATTTCCTTTGCACCATCCCCATGTATTATCTTAGCAATGTAACCTTCCTCCATGCATTCCATTTCTACTGTAGCTTTGTCCTATATATTCGAAATAAAGGACAGTAAATAAAAAAAAAGTTTCAAGGTATAAATAGCAGAAAGATCAATACATGAGGCCTATATACTTGAAAACAGAGTCATTACAGTTTCAACTTCACAGAGTACTTCTCCAGGAGAAACTTTATCTCCTTCTTTCTTCATCCAACGTGCAATATTTCCCTATGCAACCCATCAAAACGGAAATGTAAGTACAATTCAATTACTAAAAAAATCACTCAATAATACCATCCCATAATGAGTAAAGGATAAAAACCTCAGTCATTGTAGGAGATAGGGAAGGCATCCCAATCTCTTGATGGGGTGGAAGGTCTGGAAAATGCCAAATAGATTTCTGTGAAAAATATATTGAGACGAAATAATGCCATAATATTGAGACGAAATACGCACCTCTAAGAATATTTTTGAAACAAATAAGGAAAATACTGAAAATGAAAATATTTTAACAGTGATCCTAAACACTTTCATATATCCTCAATATACTGTGCTCATAAAAATGTCCCAAATTTCTACTTTATGCCCCCAAAATGTCATCATGTCATCTGAGGGTGAAAGGTATCCTCAAAATTGAATTGGATAAGGAATAGTTCAGAGTTTAGCACGCTTATGCTTTCCTCAATACAGGATGGGACTGCGCAATCTTCAGAGTAGAAAAATATTTAAACCATCGAAAAAAAAATCAACAAGAGACATTCTCAAGTTGATTTTTTTCTTCTTTCTTAATCAAAAATAGCAAATGTGGCCGCCTGTGGCATTCGGATTAAAACAAAGGGAAAGTCTACAGATCTTCTCCTTGTTCAAAAACGAATCTTTAACCAAAACTTTGAATGGATGCCCAAAATTACAAGTTTAGCCATAAGCTATAGAGCAAAGTACGCCATAAGGAAAGATTAATTCTTCCCAAAGCTGTATTATTGGAGAGAATGGTATGGTACAAAGAAGGCAGCAAAGGATGAATTACTCTTCAGCATATGTGCAAACGATTTGCAGTACTGTCGTTCCAGATTAACACATGATGCAAAATGAACCTGAATCCTATCTGCGTTTTTACCATTTTTCCAAAAAAATCAAAGAGCGGATGCATGTCAATGAGACTAAAAAAATTCCTTGTATAGCCTGTGGTTCTCTCTCCATAGCTTGGGAGCATATTCCTTTCCTATTTAGAGTTGCATAAGTAACTTGTTCAAAAAGGAAAAGAGATGGGATCTTATCCTGCACAAGGTGAGAAATTGATCATGAAGTTAAGATAGACATGATACCTATTTCGTTGAAAGGGATGTCAGCCCTTAAAGAAAAGACAGTACCAGGTGGATCACTCACATTTTCTCCCATCCAAAGTAAATAAGCATGTGACATCGAATTATTTTATATTTTTCTATTTTCCGTGTTGAGCAGTAACATGCTGAGAAAAGAGAGGCTTCATCTTCTCAAGAAAAATGAGTAGATTGAAATCGTCTATCTCTACACGCTCACAACTAGTGTGGTCTTTCCCAAAATCTTTGTCAAAACTAAAGCATCCCAAAAACCCTTTTGGAAGGTGATGAACGGGTTCAATCCATCACAGTAGTGGAAGTTCAAATGGTATAATTCCCTGATATCCAATGTTAAATCACCATGAGACAGGACGAAGCAGAACAATTTGTGGACAAATTCTTGCACCCGTTTCTCAGCTCATGAAATAAGTGTCAACACATATTCTCTTATTTCCCAGCTTTGATTTAAAAATGTTGCATAACTCCATGATAGAGGTTCACAAATACAAGACTTGATGGTATCTGTTAGTGCCCAAACTGTTGGGCCCATTACCAGGCCCACTGTCCAGGTTACTTACACCCAGAGAGGGAAGGTAAAGTTCTAGGTGGGCCAAGGGACCAATTAAGGAGGTCTATCCTCGAGGGGTCCTCATTGGGGCACTTTTGGGAAGTGGACTTGGGAGAGCTGGGGGCCCTCCCGAGTTCGTCCCTGAACTGGTCCTAGGGTTCCTTCGATGATCTCCCCTACTTCTCTTCCCCGTTTTCTATTTCAGTTCTTTCTTCGATCCTTGTGTATTCTCTCTATTTTCCTCGATCTCAAGCTATATCCTGGCGTTCCTATCAGTATTAAATGAATTTTTTCCTAAAAAACACCTTTTTCTTACTTAAAATAATTTCTTAGCATCCTATCGCTAATTACCCTCCACAGATTGATAGCCAATATGGAAATCAGTATGATATCACCTACAAAATAATATTTCACAGACACTTTGGGATATATTCAGCGATTACACACTTGGAACACAGCCATCTTTTCCCAACAATGTAAGTTTAAAAACTTTTCTCTGTATCTGTCCTCTACTAAACTTCACAAAATTTTCTCAATCATCAACGAAAAATCATGTGCTTAAGCCAACTGCCGACAGGCACAACCATTACCCAGGTAACTCTTAACATTACATTCCAAAATTTTCCTGTCAAGAGACAAAATCAATTACTAGGAGCGAATGGACCCAGGAAACAACTTCCAGGGCATAAACGTTTTTTAGTGTTCCATGAAAACATAGATATCAGGCGTGAGATCGTATGAGGCTAGATCCAAACATTATCCAAACAAGGCAAGTAATATACTGGATTAAAAAAAGGTGCTGAAACCTGAGAATTTGGAAATTATAACTTCAAACAGGAAAACAAAGACTACCTGAATTTGTTGAAAACAGTCTCTGCATGTGTGACTGCAAGCTGTCAAAGTAAAACACCATGGAATATCAACTTCTATCTGGGAGAAGAAAAAGAAGAATAACATATGTGAGCATATGACTTACTACACAGTAGTTTTTTTTATCCCCACTGCAGTGCTCAAATTACTTCTTGTGATCATTCTTGCTAAATACCCATCTTTCAGATGTCTAGATGATTGTCCCTGAAATTTTACACCAGCTTGATCAGCTTGAAAATTGGCTAGGCAAGAGGGGAGAATGAGATAGATAGGATGGACCAAAATTCACAGGAAATAAGAGATCAAGTTAAAGATTCAGAGCAGCCATCAACAGAACCCGAGGAAAATCAACATGGCCAGCATTTTCCGTAAATCTGACTTTATGCACTGTAAAACCGAAAGATGAAATATCTATATATTGTCCTTGAAAATATTTCCAACCAAAGAAAAAAGACACCGTCCTCAATCTGGGCTTCTTAAGAGATTTAAACCCCAACTATTTTATGAAGTAACATTAGTAGAAAAGAACTGTTACCTATTCCCATAGATAGACGTCATCCAAGGTGGTGCTAAATCTACAACCTAATGAAGTAAACTCAAAGATAGCTAACTGCCTCACTGAAAGAGAAGCTCTTTAAACATGTGTCACCAGTTGATGGATGCTCTAATGTTCAAGCGTTCTAGAAATGAGAGTTGCACTTCAACAAATACAGGGCGGATGATTATATGGTTAGTTTTACAGACACCACACATCACACGTCATAAGCCAAACGTCTTCAGAGTGCAAATTGAATTTAAAGTACGAACATTCCCCTTAGAAAGTGTGCTACGCATCACGAGTAATCATCTAATAAAATCTTCTAAAGTGGAAGGTCTATAACATTAGTTATAACCTATTCAAGGAAAAAGTATATAGTCACATATAGAAATAATTTTAGATGAGACATTAGGGGTTATGGAGGTCAGTGCTCGACCGTTCCATTTCAGTTCTGTGATGAAGTTTGTTTCGAGCAGTCAATTTCCCAAGGCTAGCTAGCTATGTAATCACTCAAGCCACGGAACTCAACCAAGGATAATTTCAGTCGATATGTGAAAGAATAAAGAAGGGAAGTTCAACAAAAAATTGGATATTATCCATAATAGTTATTGACGAGTTACTATTTCCCAAGATAACTTTCATACTTTCAAAAAAACTCGCAGAGGACACCTAAAATCTCAGTTTGAACGTGCAATCTAAGCAGGTTTCACCGTTCAATTCCAGGATATCTGGTGACGAATGGAGATCACTTCTAGTAAAATTTCGGCGACCCATGAGCAATGCCTTGCTTACATTTTAAAAACCATTAATCTTTTTTCAGCGACACATGAACAAAGAATCGGTTATCATGGGGCAATGGCGTTCAATAAGCTCAATTACTAAAAGCTACATTTGGAAAGTAGAACCTGTATGACATAAAACTAAGATCGAATAAAAAGCTAAAACACCTTTTCCAACGTCAGGTATTCTCACTATGAGAAATGCCAATAGCCTAAAAAGGCAAACACTTGCACCATAGATCAATCTAACTAAGAGTTAGCGTACCCGATGCCTCCGGCAGGGTGGAAAACGAGGGCTTCCGTTCGCAAAGGGCGATTCCGGAGCTCCCTGACCGTTGGTGACCGGCGCAGAGGACGCGGATCGGGCCAGGGGACGTCGGAGGAGAGGATCCACCGACGCCGGCCTCCGCGTCCGCCAGGCGACTGCGAGGAGATGCCGGACAGCCATTTCCAGATTTCCTCCTATCCTCCTCTCCCTAGGACTAGGGTTCGGCGAGATGCGAAAGGGGAGAAGGCAGCAGGGGAAGAGAATAGACCAGAATGGAAGGGAAGAGAATACCGCCACCGGTCGGCTCCGCCCCGGTGGAGAGCCATTGACAACGGAAAGGGGGGGGGGGGGGGGGGACGTTCACTTGTCCACGTGCTCTCCTAGCGACTGCACGTGCCTCTACGTGGATAGTCGTGACTCTGCTGCGTCTCCCCCGGGGACGGCTAGGATCAAGCAAGCGCCAGAACAAAACTGGATATCTTCGCGGAATTTCATAAGACCACATACTTGGGCCTTTTACCTGTGAGCTAGGATGTGGAAGAAGCTCCTATCATTTTGGAACAAATTATGTTATCGTAGTTTTTCAAAAATTATAGGTGATATTATTTCCGCAAAATAATCCCCTGGAAGGTTAGAGCATGCGGTCCATCTAATGCGGTCCATCTAATCTATAATTTGTTTTCGAAATGGTTGTGCTACGGTAGGGAGGGGCTGGGCTTGGATAAGCCCTTATTCAGGAGGGCCGCGGTCCATTTGATCCCAGAGCTGAGGACGTGATAAGACGGCATGAAGAGATGCGGCCATGGCATCTCAACGCTGCCCTCCCCTCCTAGTCTGCAGAGAGAGAGAGAGATGGGATTATCCGGCACCGGCGGGGCGGCCCTCCAAACCCTGCGTCTGGCCTCCGCCTCCGCCGCCCGCAGTGGGAGGATCCCCCAACCGAGCCGCATCTTGCCTGCCGCCGGGAATCTAACCGTGACGGTGCTCTCCCCTCGCTCTCGTCGCTTCCTCCACTGCTGTAGCCCTCCCCTGTCTTACCTCGTTAGAGCATTTTCGGCGCCGGCGATTCAGGCGACCCCGATTGTTACGGAAGAGGATAAAGGTTGGTTACCCGACATTTACGTGGGGTTCTTTCTCTGCTGATGATTATTTCCCCTGGGTTGTGACCCTCTGCTGTTTCAGTTTCTGCTGGGAAGCAACGGTGGAAGGCGGCCATTGATTTCAAATGGATTCGGGACAACAAGGATGCAGTTGCGGCAAACATCAAGAGCCGGAACTCCAGCGCCGATCTGGAGCTCGTCCTCGAGCTTTACGACAAGTATTGCACCCTCCAGAAGGTTAGGTTTCGAGTGGAGTCATCACTTTACTTTAACTTATTGCTTACTCTGGAAGTCACCGTTCCTCTTTATCCTTTAGAAATGAACAATGCTTATCGGGATGTAATGTAGACACTAGGCTCGTTGTTTAATCCTATTTTCTTTTTCGGGGACTGAAGATTGATTTCTCTATCATTGCGTGAGCTGTGGTCTGCTATAAATTGTCGTTACATTCGCACGTTTTCCTGACAATGCCATTTTCCTTTTGTGTGTATACAAAGCTGATATTTTCTCTTTTGTTTAATTTCTCCCGTTGATGATGGGTTTCTGTGACCTCCTCGGGAAAATCCGCACTTCACCCGTGCTGTGGCTATTTCTTCAGGTTTTGTGGTACCAGAGCTATAAAATAATTTGACATATTTAACTCAAAGATCGGGCTTCGATGTAACCCTCTCCCTCTGTCTGTAAGTATAAAGTTCTAGGCTCCCAGATGCTGGATGAAATCTCATAAATCTCCTAGTGCAGTAAACTGCATGAAATCTCGTAAATCTCCCTGATGCTGCAGTGAATTTTCATCCAAGATAGAATAGGCGATCATCCCCCCTGATGATCAGTGAAATGAGTGAGTTCTCCCTGATGCTGCAGTGGATTTTTATAGTTTTTTTATTAGTGTTACTTTTTTTCAGATGGAAAGGTGCATGATTTATCAATGCGGTTATCATCCTCTGTTTGATTCAGCATATGTGCTTATGCATTTCGTATTTCCACTTAAATTCTCAATTTTTCTTGTTTCGATGTACCATGAGATGATATTTAGTTCATTGGAGCTTTAGACGTGCATCACTAATTTTTGGTCGCAGATGGCAGGAAGTTGAACGACTGCGGGCTGAAAGAAATGTCATCGCAAATAAGATGAAAGGAAAGCTGGAACCTTTGGTGCGCCAGGCACTGCTAGAAGAAGGTCAGGGCTTTTGCACGAGAAACTTGCTATCTGAACCTGCTCTCTGTAAAGTTTGTTGACCCACAAAATAAAGCTGAGTTGTCTAATGTAGTTATTCTTGCTGCAGGGAAGAATTTGAAAGAAAGACTCATTGCATTAGAAGAGGACCTTACTCACGTTACAGATAATCTTCAACTTGAAGCTCAGTGTATACCAAATGTTACCCATCCTGCTGTTCCTATTGGTGGAGAGGAGAATTCTGTTGAGAGAAAATTGGTAGGATGTCCACGGGAGTTTAGCTTCCCCATTAAAGATCACATGCAGATTGGAAGGGAACTAGATCTCTTTGATTTTGATGCTGCTGCAGAGGTATTGTTCCCTAGTTATCTTTTTTTTTGCTTATATGTTTCGGCGTTATAAACAGAACCCCGCTCCCATCCCTCCCCCCCCCCTTCAAATTAGAGTAGAGGCAAAAGTATAAAAAATTAGACAAGGAATGTGGAAGATATAGCCTATGCTCGGGAAATCAGAAAAGAAAAGTTAAAAGGTGAATGGAAAAATACCCGAAGATAGCTCTTCTTCTCATCTAGCCAGATGCCAGGATAGGAAATTAATGAAATTAACTAAAATATTACGGTTATTCTCTTCTTAGTGCAAGTTAAAATAGATTCCTGATAATTTCAATCTCAAAACCCTTAGCCAAACCAACGGTGTCTCTAAACTCTGCATGATGATGGCATGCACTTCTTTGTAATTCTGCTTGAATATTCTTCATAGCTGTTTATTTAATATTTTCCTATTCAAAATATGTGCAAAAGACCACCTTCCACCATTCAGTTTCTTCAACAGAAGGTTGAATCCAATTCAATTTCTGCAAGGGATCATAACACTTCCAATGACATTTGTGAAAAAAATGTTGTCCTACCATGTAACCATTATCTCTGTACAATTAAGTAAGATATTGACTTCTAAATACCCTTTTAAATTTCTTAAAAATAAGAACCCGTTCAAATTCTATTTCTGCAATCTATTATACTCTTAACCAATTTTCCCATATGTATGTAACAATTTTTCAAGTTTTACAAACTCAATGACCTGTCTTTCCTTCTCACGGTGAATATTTCTCCAAATAAGAGTAAAAAGTGAAAAGGATGATGAAAAAATATCCTTCTATTGCCATTTCTGAAGTATCTGGCATTATAAATCAATCCACGAAAAATATCCACTCAAAATCTTAATAGCAGTTACCAAGACATACATTTTTGTGCATTTCAATTTATCCATTCAGATTCCGTGCCCCTTTAGATCATGTCCAATAATTTATTTCTGTTAATTTCATTCAAAAATAGTTTCTTCTTGACCGTCAATTTTGACCCTGCTGGTTTTTGGTATGTTGAAAATTTATAATCACTGAGTGGCTTGCCTTTCACACTTTGTCTGAAATCAAATTTCTAAACTGAAGCATTCTGCAAAAAGATAAAAGAAGGTCCAAAATTTAGTATCATGTGCTGTTCGGTGAAAGATCCTCTTTTGGAAATGAAGCAAAAAATTTCAGTTTCAGAGGCTCTTCTACTTCCACTATTCGTTTCTTCATCTGCTCTTCTTCTGCATCTTCTTTGTCGTCCAGTCCTCTTTTCCTCTTGCACGATTCCACTCATAGTTGCTCTTCCACTACACATGTAAGAGTGAACACACATCTGTCGAGCAATTGTCTCCAGTAGATCTGGATATTCTTTTTTCCAGTTGTCTTTGGGATCACTTTTGAGCCACCAATGTTTGTGGCAATCTGTCTCTAAGGTTCCACTTTTCTGAGAAGATGCTAAAACAAGCTCATTTTGTCAGATACCTTATGCCTAACATACAGTGAGGTTGAACTCCTAGGAGCAAGTGCTTCAATGCCTATTCATCCTTCCTCCTTAGGTTGGAAATTATTCTGATGTGTAAAATGATATAGGCATCACCTGTGTAAAATGAACTAGCCAAAACAGAATTCGCCTTTCAGTTGGGATTTATAACTCTACCGTTTGGAAGCACTTCACTAACTGCTGCATGTTGTCTTAGTCTGCAATGATATGATAAGCTGACAAAAATACGGTATTGGCCTCTGTTTACTCAGTTTTTGCTTTGAGGAGCCTACAGTAGCTTCAACAGAAATCTTTCTGCGTAGGGTGAGTATGATTTCAACCTGATATTCTCTCCTTGCAGAATCCTTCCGAATCACAGTGCCATAGGAGTAACCATACTGGTGGTGTCAAGTTTGGACGATCTATTTAGGCAATGGACCACCTCTGAGTTATTGAAGGACGGATGTTTCAGCCTAGTATGGTTTTTATTGGAGGCCACCTTGTAGTTTCAAACTGATTTCTGCATGGCAGAGACACCTGAAGGGTGGGTGGATAGCATGCTGGTTTATCCTCTTTGCCGCATCTTGTGGTATTTGTGGTCGAAAGTAATGTTGGGATCTTTAACAGATAGAGCATGACGCAAATGTGTATTTCTAGGTTCAAATATGAGAGCAATTCAATGGAAACTTTTTAGGGGACATCATTCGATGGGTATTTCTAGGTTCAGATCGAGGGGACTAATTCCATATCACTGAGTACCATGATACATTAGGGGACATCATTGGCATTGTCTTATTGACAAGTGATTCATTAATTTGGGAAAGAGGCCATATTGGTGAACAAACTGCTCTTTATTTTCGCATGGCCCTTGTCTTTATTAACAGTGAAGTACCATTATTCCCCCTCTGCATTCCATGGAGAGAATTCCTCACCAGACGCACAGTTAGATATATATATATATATATTTACTTATTTATATGTATTTATTTATTTATTTTCATGAGATTTAATTTGTGCACCTTTCAAACTTCTCCCTTCCTGATAAACGGTGGGATTATTATTTGGATTATGCATCTAAATTTGATAAGCATTTTTTTGTGTGGTATATGCTTCATGGCCTACTGTATTCTGTGCAGGTTAGTGGCTCAAAATTTTATTACCTTAAGAATGAAGCCGTTCTCTTGGAAATGGCTTTGGTGAACTGGGCAATTTCTGAAGTATCAAAGAAGGGTTTTACACCGTTAATTACTCCGGAGATTGTGAGATCATCCATTGTTGAAAAGTGTGGGTTTCAACCTCGTGGGAAAAATACTCAGGTTTGTGTTTTTGATCATGATCATGAATTGAATTATCTCATCTTGATGATTCATTTGATCTTTCATTATTTTTATCACCCTAAACTGACGTGTATTGGCTGATACACTAAATTTTCATTTATATGTTTTCGTATTTTATTTGCAAGAAATCGTTTAAAATATGTCACAGTGACTTTTGATGACTTATATGAACATTTTTTTGTCACACCCTGTTGTTTAAATTATTAACCCGCATACTAGTGGGTCGAGAGTGTCTTTCTCCATGGTTGGCCCAGGCATGGACCACGGCAGCCCTGCAAACCTGATTCTAGGAGCCTTTTTGCTGTCTATTAGCTAGTTTATGCTTTCTCTGAGTCCTCAGATAGGGACACAAGTTTGTAGAATCTTTTAACAAAATAATTTGACATACCGCATTGATCAATTTTCCATGTTTTTAGCTTCAGAGTGCACCTTTAATATTTGTGAACAGGTTTACTCTATTGAAGGAAGTGATCAGTGCCTCGTTGGAACTTCAGAGATTTCGGTTGGAGGTATCCATATGGATTCGATTGTTCCTGATTCTTCATTGCCTTTGAAGTATGTAGCCTATTCCCACTGCTTCAGAACGGAGGCTGGTGCTGCAGGGATGGCATCTCGGTAAACTGACGGTTTTTACTCATAAGTCCCAACCATCTTTTTTGTGTTGAACAAACTGTCAAACACTACCTGTAATGTAATGGCATTTCTATGTGCTGACTGATTCTCTTAACTCTTACTGGGATTTTCATTGGCTGTACTTTGGAAACTTTGATGTGTTGAACAGGCTGTCTAACACTAACTTTAATTTAATGGCATTTCTTTGTGCTGAATGATTGTCTTTAACTCTTACTTGGATCTTCATTGTCTGCAATTACAAGCATGATTTTGTGTTTGAGAACAACAGTAATTCAAGTTTGGTCAGATCATCAAACCACCACGTCAAATCTGATATGCCAAGCTGAGCGGGATGTAGGGAAAACATCTAGTTTGCGTTAAAAAAATTTAGAATAAATACTCACATCAGTAGAAAGTGTATAAATGGACTAAAAGTTCGAATGAAGGTTATGTTTAAACCAATAGTTTAGTGAACTTCCCTGGATTTGTGGATTTCCTCCACTCATCTCCTTTGTGAGCAATCGCTGCATACTGGGCTGAGCTTCATGGTGTGGCGTGCCAGGAAAGGGCAACCAGTTGCTGCATGGCTGAAGCTGCTGGAGCTGCTGTCAGTTAACAGTGTGGACAGGGGTAGCAGGATAAAGGTGACTAGCGGTTTTGGGTGATGTTGATGGGATTTCCTCCCATTCCACCCTCCAGCTGCCTTATTCCTCTATCAGCAGCTGTGCTGCTAGAAAACTTCTGATCCTGGATCAGATGAGATTTGTCAATCATCCATATAACTAGCTGAAATCTCTATGATTGCAGGCTGACGCCAGTTCAGCCTACCAGTTAAGTCAAGCCGATTTCTGTCTTTTTTGCATCGTTGGAGCCTCCAACCCGGAAAAGGAACAGGAAAAGGGAGAAGTATTTCCAAATTTCCATCATCGTGTTAAGAAGAATGCTGTTTGGAATGTTTCTTATAGTATTGGCATATTAAGATGAATGCTAAATCTGCAGTCAAGGACCAGCATATGTTGAAATTTGTCCAAAGGTTATATAGTCGATGATTGAGATCCTAAAAAATGATGATTGGACTTATGCTAATATGATGATGATGATGATATTAGGAAATCTACACGTGTTTTCTTCCATTTACAGATAATTCTGCATCGTTAAAATAGAATTAAAATAGCATTAAAAGATGTGTATTAGTTTATATGCAGATAAAACTGGACAGGACTTGAAGAATTGAGGTTTTTCATAAACTAAGAATTAGAGTCTTTTTATAAAACAATTCGCAGGATTTGTTCATATTCTTTGTTCAGTGAATGTTGGTCTTCATGTGTGTTTAATATGACTCCTATCATCATTTATGTTGATTTTTTTTCACACAAGATATCCTAAATTTTATTCGCAATGATGATTGGACTTATGCTAATATCATCTGATGCAGTACCTCTTCAATTTTGGTTTGCTTGAGACTTTTGACCAAAAAAGCTGAGGCTCATTTCTATGCTTTGGTGCAATTTTTGTCAAAAACATCTCAGATGTATAGAACTTGCGGAAATTAGGATTTAAGTTCCTGCGCAGTTTGGATTGATTCACTAGATTGACCAGACTGGCAAAAGTGTCACACGTTACATGGTTGTGCTCTTGTATCTTAATGTTTGCTCTTTTGATTCGTAATGCTGTCAGATGTATGCCATTCTACTTATTAAAACACAGATGAAGATTTGCCTGATTGGTGCACACTGACTAGGAAACCTGTACACTTTGCCATGGAGTTCTTATTTGGTAGCGTACAAACATGAGCTTTTATTTTCAAACACATGCTATACACTTAGTTCAATTTTTTTTTGTACATCTGGACAGTGGTCTCTATCGAGTGCATCAGTTTAGCAAGGTGGAGATGTTCATCCTCTGCCGGCCTGAGGACAGCAACCTTTTCCATGAAGAGCTTATTGAAATTGAAGAGGAGCTTTTTGCATCTCTCGGACTTCACTTCAAGTAGTCTCATTGCCTTCTTTGGGGTGTCACATCCTACACATATTCTTGTTTACGAATCGTTCTGATTTTACCCACAGGACTTTGGAAATGCCATCAGAGGACTTGGGGGCACCTGCATATCGCAAATTTGATGTAGAGGCGTGGATGCCGGGTCTGGGGCGTTATGGTGAGGTATGCCAATTCCAGTTTTTGGAATGTGGTCGTGATGTCGGTTGTTTGTTAACAAAGGAAGAGACATTGTTATCACTTTGGTTTCTAGGGAAGCATTATTGATAGCAATATGTATTCCAATCGCATCCATTAGAAAAATGGGTACTTCGCTTTTTCATGTCAGGCATTTGCTTTTCACCATCCAAAGTGATAAATTATATTATTTCTTTATTATGTTATTTAAAATCTTATACTAATATATTGTTGCAGCACACAATGTGTTTTGATTGACCTATGTGATGACAGATATCGAGTGCCTCAAACTGCACAGACTATCAGAGCCGCAGATTGGCTATTCGTTACCGTCCATCTTCATCGGACCAGGAGGCAGCCGTCAGTGGAAAGAGAGGCAAGGGAGCCAGTGCCGCTCCAACCCAGTTTGTACACACACTGAACGCCACTGCTTGTGCTGTTCCTCGCATGATCTTGTGTTTGCTCGAGAACTTCCAGCAAGAAGATGGATCCGTCATCATTCCTGAACCACTACAGCCTTTCATGGGTGGGCTCGCTGTTATTTACCCAAAGTCATGATGAGAGATATCGCAAGAATAGAGAAGACCCGCTACCTTCTTTTTCCTTCTCCTGGTGGGACTCCAGGGGAGTAGAACCAGGTGATGATTATCACTGCAAAAACAAGCCTGTTGTAACATGAAGATATTGAGAAAATTATTTTTTTCCGCTAGATCTTGACAAGATTACCAATCTGAGAATTTGATTTCAGAACTATATTTAACCCAAAAAGTAATTTTGGGTTTAGTCATATGTGAGTTTACACACTAGGATGCCACTTTCTCAAAAAAAAAAAGGTTTTTCTTTCTTTTTGCCAAGAAAAACCTGTTAACTTTCTGTATGCCATGAGAGCACCTGTTTCAATTCTTTTTGTAGAAATGCCTAAATCATGTCATTGAGAAAACAAACTTTTCATGGCTTGAATATACTAAGAAAATGGTTTTTTCAACTTGATCATAATAAGATTACTAAATGGTAGAAAAAATGATTTCACAACTCTACCATTTAACTTTCTCAAGAAAATAATTTTTCTGACACATTGAAAGTCAGAAATTTAAAATTGTATTATGTTTAGAAATCAATTAAAAATTAATTGAAGCTTTTAATTATTTATGAGGTGATGTACTTAGGACTCCATACAAATGAACTCTCTTCGAAAAATAAAATTGTTATTTTGTGTAGCATCATTTGTTTTCTTGGATGCAATGAAATGTAACATCTTTGCAAATCAATCTACAACTACAAAAATAGAGTTTGATCATCTTTGAGTATATGGCAATCTCAAAATAAAATCTATTCAAAATGTCCACCACATGGCATATATGAAATTAGTAATGGAGTATAGAGACATGTTTTGATAATATACTTTATTAATCTGACAAATTTAATATTTTTGGACAGAATTTTGAACTTGATGTAGCCCAAGACATAAGTTGAAATCTTAATTTCGAATTTAGGCTAAAGTATCTTAAATTTGGGTCATAAAGTGAAGATTGCTGAAAAGAGGCCACATATGTCACATGCAGTATAGAGGTCCAAAAAGTAATCTTTCCTTCTTAAAGGGGAGGGGCATTAAATATTATTTAAAGTTTATACCAAAGATCTATTTAACATCTTTACTTATTAGAGTTTGTTTCAAGTTAGTTTAGAGTCAATCAGAGTATATCTAAAGAATATGTTTAAGATCTTAATTTGTCAATCTATTTTGGGTCATTTTATAGTCAGTTAGACTCTATTCTTAAGATCTATTAAGGATCCTTCTTTTGAGAGCATCCCACCTTTTTTTGGGCTTAAAAGGCCCCCATTATAGTATGAGGAATATATTTTTCAAGTTAAATCATTTTTTCTCATTATGAAAAACCTCTTTCTTTGCTTGTAGATTCAAACACTCCCTTGTGAATTTAAGGGTTAAAGTCTCCGAATATATGGATTTAGAGCTTGGTTTCTTCTCTAAGATTGGAGTTTCATAGATTCAAACCTTGTATATTGTTTATTTTCTCCATTATTGTTACATCACTTCTCTAATTGTGGTCAATAATATCATTATTGTATCATTTGTGAGATGTTGCCAAGTCCCAAATGTCATTCAAGTCATCTTGTATGTAATTCTCAAATCATTTTTTCATGAAGTGATATTTGTGGAATGCAAAACTGATTTCTACAAAAAAATAATTTTTTTATATATGAAATCCATTGATTGATTTATTCTACATGCAATCATTCCAAAAATTGGCAAAGTCCATATTTAGAATATAACGCTTTTAGATATTCAAAACTTGAAATCCTAATATGTGAAGTAACTAGTAATGCTACTTTCTATAAAATTAGAAAATTGAACAAAACAAGTTTACAAATTTCAAGAAGACTCGAAATAGAAAAATAAAAGGGCTCTCAAAATAGAAAGATACTAAGATTAAAATAAAGGAATTAGAATGACTCAAGTATCATTATCTTGTGCCTCGATTAGATCTTTGGATGAAATTTAAATGTGAATTAAAATTTGACTTAAGAGATAATTTTAAACATTATGATTTGATTCGAATTTGACTAGAAATTTCATTTGTGAATCTCAATTTTTAATCCAAATCTCAATTTTGAAAAACTAAAAAAAGCCAAGTATATAAATTTGATGAAGACATAAAGGACAAAAATTATCTGTGTTAAAGGTTATGACAAAATTTAAACTCAATTAAAACTTAAGCTGAGAGATAAATTTAAACATTATAATTTTATTTTGAACTTGAGAACAAAGTTCATTTTCGAATGTTAATTAAAACTCAAACTTCAAAATAATTTTGAAAAAGAGAGAATTGGAGAAAATGACTCAAGTATCGTGATTTTGCACCATGCTTAAATGTTTCAAAAAACTTAAAATGTGGAATAATATTTGAATTCGGAGACAAATCTAAACATTAGAATTTGATTACGACATGGACTCGAAATTTCCATTTTAAATCTCAATTAAAATTTAAATTTCAAACACAACTAAAATTTTAATGTAAAGAAAAAGTTTGACTAAAAAAATATTTAATAAAATATTTAAATTTCAAATAAATTTTTATTTTGAATTTCAGTTACAAGTGAAATGTTTAATAAAATTGGAAATTTAAGCCAAAAATATGAGATTAGGAGAAAACTATAAGGGCCATAATAATAGGGGCCTCAAAATAGGAAAATACAAATATTTGAAAAGTAGAAGTAGAATAACCTGAGTATCATGATCTTGCACCAGGATTTCATGCTCAGACAGAATTTAGAGGTGAATTAAATTTTCATTCGACTATTAAGATATAAAATATTATGATTTAAATTTGAATTTAAGTAGAAAATTTATTTACAAATCTGAAATTAAATTGGAAAATTAAAGAAAAATAACTATCAAAATTTGAAGAAGACTAAATGGAGAAAAATAGTAGGGGTCTCAAAAGAAAATATTAGTTTTTCAATGAAATTAAAACACGACATCAAAATTGAATTTGGGGATAAATTTAAACATTATGTTATTTTAAATTTATCTAGAAATTTTATCTTCGAATATCAGTTACCATTTCAATTTCAAATAAATATAGAAAATGAAACGAACAGCAAGGATAAAAATTCGAAGAAGACTCGAAGGCCGAAAATACTTGGCTTCTGAAAATAGAAAGATGGTAAGATTACAAGTACAGAGTTAGATTGGCTTAAGTATAATGATCTTGCACCCCGATTAGCTGTTTAAACGAAAAATAGAAATCAAATAAGCTTTGAATTACGAGAAAAGAATTAACATATAATGACATAATTTTAATTTGACTAGAAATTTTATTTTCGGATCTCAATTAAATTTATGATATTTAGTATAGGTTTAAGGTCAAAATGAACAACAAGTGTAAAAATTAGAAGAAGACTGGAAGGACGAAAATAGTAGCAGTCTCAAAAAAGAACAAAAACAGATCAAGCATCATATGATCCTGTACCCGAATTAAAAGAACAGAACAAAAACAGATCAAGCATCATGATCGTGTACCCGAATTAGATGTTGACATAAAATTTAAACTTGAAAAAAACAATGAATTGAAAGCAAGATTTAGATATTAAAACTAAACTTAGAAGCTCACCACAAACTACGTTTAAACGATTTAACTCTTTGAGAACTATATACTACTGGAAATGGAGATTGCTGACGCAAAGGTGCCTCAGTCAACAGCAGAAGAAGACAACTTCAAGAGAAGAAAACTCACGAAATTGTATTGAAAAAAGATAATACGCCTTTAAATAGGCTAGAAAGTGTTACTATGGGCGCCAAGATTTTAATTTCAAATGAAATCTAAATTTAAAGTCAATTTTTGGCCGCATTTTGAATTTCAAATGAAATTTGACTTTTTAAAAACAATTACAATTTCAAATGAAAATTTAAATTTCGGACTAAATTTGAGGTTCAACGAAAATTTGAATTTCGAATTTTAATTTCAGATAAACTTTGAGAAAGAATAAAATAGATATATGGCCCTAATTTCATAATTGGCCTGGTTAAGTTAGCTGGGCTTCCAGCTGCAACAGTGATTCAGCAGAACGTTTAAGAGTTGATAACTTGATCATGTTTCAGCTTTGGCTATATATTCCGAAAACAATATCACAAGTTTTGATCTGAAACTAACGTGTCTTGGTTGAAAACTCTTCACCCGGAATCCACAGAGCGAAAAGATTTTGCGTCTTGAGTTCACAAGGGGTTTATCATGAGTCCATAAGATCGAAAATTGCTCGCTGAGTCCACAGGGATACTGGATCACCAGTAGAAAGGGAGAGCCTGCAAAAAGGAAAAGAACTCGAAAATTGATGGATAAAGAAACGTGCCTCCTTGGGACTACAGTGGGGGACCTATTTATAAGCCAAAAGTTTCTTATAGATGCCTTATAAAGGAGAAAATCTGTTATGATCCTCGAAATAGGGAGAAAAAAACAGTTTAAACCGTCCGATGAAAAAGGAGGATTCTGCTAGAAGGCCCTTATGAAGTAGGAACGCCCTAAAAATAATAGAGGAATATTTTACATGAATAAAATGTACAAAGTGTGAGATTTAGGCTGACTAAACAAGTGACCAAATCTCTGAGTAGACCATTTGGGGTTGAATTTCGGCAAAACATAGTTGTCACCTCTCTTGAGTTTCTGATTCTGTTGACTTGATCTATAAAATCATGACACTTCATTCTATTAATTTTTTTAGCCTTTTCAATTGAGATCTTACTAGTTCCCCCACCTGGGTCAAAACCTTCCATTCCTCATTTGACAACAGGTTCTGGGCTACATTAAACAAAAACGGCCTTGAAGGTGTTTCAAGTAAAGTCGGCCTAAAGTTGAATGGTAATGGGCTTCAAGGTACATCAATACTGGGTCTTTATGCATCCTCAGTAGTGGGGTTCAGGGTTTGGGCTGCATCAATTGCCCAGAACACGAGCAATATGCAAACTCTGCTTCAGCCAAAGTATTATCCTACTGTGTTTCAGGGCAATCTTTGCATCTGTAGGTCAATTTACTAAATATATTTCCCTAACTTGTGTTCAACGAAAAAGCAAAATGTTAAATTAAATAGATACATCAGGCCTGCATTCTATTGATTGACTTAAGAGCCTGATGATCAGTATGTAAAATAAACTCTCCCTGAATCAAAAAGAGTTCCCATGTTTGGAGAGCACAGCCCATGGCATAATTTCTCTTTTACTAGCTTCATCAGTCCACTTGAAATGACCTTTTTCATACATGCAGTAACTGGAGATATCATTGAGTTAAAATTTTCAAAGAATTTTATATAAAAATGATGCAAACCGATGTAAACTTGGAAACGAATGATTTGTAGTTGCTGTTGTCCAATCCTTGATGCCTTCCACAGTTACTCATATCCCAACAATAACAAAGTAGCAGTGATGAAGTCAAATTTCTCCAACTTAATATATAGCTTATTCCACTACCAAAGAAGCCTGAAGCCCAGTATTTTTAGTTTCGTCAGATATCCAAATTTTAATTTTAAATTCAAAGATAACTTGGTGCTACAGGTGGTGGCCTATTTTTAGGCCCAAAATGAGTTATCAAGGATTCTGTTATCATCCTTCGAAGGTTCATCTGTTTTCTTCTACATTTTTTCTACGATCACAACAGATTTCCCCCTTGTAGCGTAAATGAAGTAGGTCCCCCCTTGTAGCGCAAATGAAGCACATTTTTATGAATCAATTTTTGAGGCTCTCCACCTCTACTGGTAGATTTCAGTACCCTGTGGACTCAGGATGCCACTTTCGATCTTGTGAACGGAGGATCAATCCCTTGTGCACTCAAGGAGCGAAATCTCTTTATTCTGTGGATTTCAGGGCAAGGAGTTTTCAACCAAGAGACCTTTCAGATTGTACGTTGTGATTTTACTTTCAGAATATACAGCTAAAGCTGAAACGTGATCAACTAGTCATATCTTCTAACAAAAAAAATCTTTTTTTTACCTTTTATTCATAAAGTTTTTGGGTAAACCTTCTGGTACATATTTATTCTATTTCCTAGATGAATGTTCTGGTCAGAATTAGGTACCTATACATCCTAATGATAAGGAAAGGACTACTATTAAATGTACCATCGATTTTTTCATTAATACAATACCTTCAGTTTATGTAATACACCATCCACTTTCTCATCAATATATGTGTGTTATGTACGATTAGAAATATTATCAGATATGATTTTAAGTCAGCCATTTGAGTGGTGTCTAGCAACTGTGTATCAACAAGAACCTAGTGCTGAGTTAGGAGAAATCCCATTTCTTAGTGCAGTCATCAACAACTGATTAAAGGTGGACAAGGCCAAGATAATGGTGATCCAAAATCTCCCTTTTAAAGGCATATTCTTAGGTTAACTTGCAGAATATTCAAATGAATATATTGTTAAATTAGAACGTCTGCGGTAAAAAGACAACCGAGCACTAGAGAAGTACACATTCTTCTGAGAATCATGGTGACCATGAAAACAGTTTAACCATATTTCTCTACATATCTTGCAGGACCTTTTTTTCTTTCTTCATATCTCCTGAGATCCCTCTCTCTGTCTGATGTGAGCTTTGTCTCCATTCTCTTTCTCTATATTTCGTGAGATCTCTCTCTTTCCTGATGTAGTCTAAGACACGTGAAGTCTCAACTTCAAATCTAGGCCATAAAGTGAAAGGTGCTAAAAAAGGGAACCCACATATATCTACATTATGTCTTTTCAGTTCTACAAGGTACTTTCTGTCTAAAAAGGTCTACGTATTATCTATCAAGGATATCAAGTCTGTTTTTTAGGTCTACTAAGGACCTTCTACTGTCAGAGTCTGTTTCAGATCATTTCACGGTCAGTCAAAGTATTTTTAAAAGATCTGTAAAAGATCTCAGTCTGTCAAAGTCTCTTTTAAGTCACTTCACAGTCAGTCAGACTCTGTCTCTAACATCTGTTATAATTTTCCTTTTCGGGAGCGCTCAGCTTATTTTTTTGGCCTATATAAAAGCTCTAAATGTAACCTGAGGTCCTCAGTTTTTAGTTGAATCAGTTTTCTGTACTATGATATCCATTTCCTCTGCTTATGGACTCAGGCACCCCCTTGTGGACTCAACGGTTGAAGACTTCGAATCAGTAGATTCAGAGTCACGTTTCTGACGCTATGACAGTTGAGAAAGAAATGACACGAGTTGTGATCAACTCAATTGTTGTGGGGGTCAAAGACTCGTCTGGAATCCTCGAAAAATGTGCTTCAGTGGGTGATTCTGAATCCACAGAATCAACCACAAGGTTCCATGAGTCAACAGGGGTGCTGGACTCTACCAGCAGGAGGGAACTTATAGAGAATCGAGGTACATCAATACTGGACTTTAGTAGCGGGCTTCAGGGTTTTGGCTGCATCAGGCACTGCTTCTTGAAAAGGACTCGTCTAGGAGTCCGTTTCATAACATTGAATGTAGATGATATTCCCATTGTCTCTAGTATGTCACTGACTCATAGATATCCATACTGCCATCTCCTTGTCTCTGGTAAGTCAATGACAGTTGCAATCGTTGTTTTAACCAGAATAAATACTTTTGAATTTTTCTTCAAAGTATGAAAACTTTCTTTTTGCTAGTCATTATAACGTGCTTCTTCTTTTTTTTACCTGTGCTGTAAAATTTATGTTCTTTTATTTGGCATAAATCAAACTTCTCACCATTTTTGGACAAAACATAAAGTGAATTGCATTTAGATTAAATTGCTTGGGTCTACATAAAGATAGATGAAAGACATCATAGTATATTTCACCAAAAGAAACTTTTCTCATTGAAAATATAAGGAAATAGATATCTGTAACTATGGTTTCGTTATTCTTCTTAATCCACTAAATTACAAGTTCATGTGAATTGTTTTGAGTATCACTACTACAATAGTAACATGGAAAATAAACAAGATATAGGCTTGAGTCCACAAAATCAACAACAAATAGGCTTGAAGTTTATGAATCAAAGTCTTCAACCCTTGAATGCACAAGGGGGTGCCTGAATCCAAGAGAAGGAGGATCCTAATAGATCTTAGGGACAGATCCTGACTGACTTTGACCAACTGAGATCTTAGACAAATCTTCTTAAAATACTCTAACATGACCTAAAGCATATTCTGATAGTGAGAGACCATGAGCAGATCTTAGATACAGATTGAACCCCATTAAACTCTCTTCTAGAAGGAATGAGACATAAAGTACCTTCTAAAAGTTAAAGGACATAAAGTGGGCCCAAATTCAGACCTCCAGCCCACTGGTGACATATGTGGGCTCGTTTTTCCTACAATTTTAACTTTATGACCAAAATTATGGATAAGTGGCTCTAAACTCGAAGTTGACACTTTAACTTGTGTCTTGGACTACATCAAATACTGTTGTAGTTGGAAGACCAATTTACTTAACTAACCTAATTACGAAAATAAGCCCATATATCTATTTCTAATCTTTTTCGAATTTCATCTGAAATTTAAATTTGAATTTTAACTTCAAATGCAAAATTTAAATTTTCCTTTGAACTCAAATTTTGTCTGGAATAAAAATTTTCGTTTGGGCTCAAATTTCAGCCAACATTTGATTTCAAATTTAGATTTCATTTGAAATTTAATTTTTTCACCCAAATCAAACCAACTAGCCTATTTTTTTTGGTGGTAGTGGCATGTTTCCTATAGCGTCAGAGGCATGTTTCCTTTTATTAATACAATTTCTGCTGGTGGACTCCAGCACCCTTGTGGACTTAGGGAACTCTTTTCTTATTTTGTTGTTTTTTGAATCACCCCGTTGTGGACTCAAGGGACCTGTCCTCTTCACCCTGTAGATTCAAAGCGAAATGACAACCATTATAGCACGTTATTCAAGGATTCAGCATGTGTCTTCAACCGTCACAACATCAGAGTTAGTAAGTATTCTATTGACAGTTCATGAATTTTATGTCACTCGACATGCACATGACTAGAATGGATCCAACGATGAGTGAAGAGCCAAGATACTAGCAACTTAAGTTCTTCATCGATACTAGTTCAAGGCAGATTAATTTTGTGACGCTTAGTACACCAAGTGACCTAATCCGGCGGCAAGTGAAGCACCACAATGCCAGAAAATTTAATTTATCAGATGTATTGTTATTGGTTCAATAAAGGCAATAATCGATTATTGTTGGTAAAACATAAATTTTCTATTAAATAGAAATAAAATATTAAAATCACTCTTTACATAAACTAAATAATTTTTTTATGAAGGATTAAATAATCTTTCTATGTTCAATCTGAGAGTTACTTCTAAAGTAATATTTTATTAGGTCACTTTCAAAGTGCTAAAGAGTTTCTTTTTATCTAATCATGATAATCTGCTTCTTCTTTTGTTTCACTACATAAGAAAATTTATTTTCTTTTATTAGACATTAAAAATATGCTGTATTTTTATAAATAAAATAGTTATATTTGACCAAGTACGTGGCATCTAAACTATATTGCCATAGTTTACTCAAAGAAACATGACAAGTATTTATCTCAACAACATCACTTTTGAAAACTTCAGATCACTCCAACTCTTGGTATAATTTTCTTTAAAAATGTTTCAGCATTCTGATATATATAACCATAATATTTTCAAGCCTATTAAAAAAATTGTAATCCCACTTTTTCTACAATATTTTATCAAAATTCACTTAAAAATATAGATATCATATAAGATTCCGATTGTAGAAATTTATCATATTTCCAATTCCCATTCAAATTGAACAAATCAATCTTTATTGAAAAATCACTAGAGCCATTATAATGTCATCCACTTCATAAGTTTTTTGTAACATTTTAGTGTAGTCAGTACTATTTCATTCTTCAAATTCTTCAAATCAACAAACTTTTTATATTGAAATAGGACAAACTTTCAAATTCTCTTTACCTCGTGACATCTTAAGAATCTAAATCCAGAATAATAACCAGGCTTAATAAAACTAAGCAACACAAAACTTGAGAAAAGGATGGCCTGGGTGAACTGTAAATAACTCTGATGCTGTGGGGCTTTAGGTCACATCTTGAATACTTAATCATTGTCGTTTCATCTTAAATCTGCAAATTACAGAAGATGAGTCTATTGAATATACAACGGGATGACTTAAGCTCAAAAAATTAAAAACAGAGTTCCCTAATTCGAAACTCACAAAATTTTATTTGACACAAAACATAGAATACCTTTAGGGATACATTGAATTTGGTGCTAACATTTGAATTTTCAATGAAATTTTAATATAAACTGAAATTATAAATGAAACTTAAATTTTTAAACAGAATAAAAAATAAATGAATTTGAAGTTAAAATGATTTTTTAAATTTTAATTTAAAAAAACTGAATTTCATATAAAACTTTAATTTCAGAAAAAAAAAATGAATTTTAAACAAAGATTTAACTTTGGGACGAAAATTAAAAGAGAACAAATAGAGATATGGTACAAATTTAATAATTGGGCCACTGGTACTTGGGGTGGGCTTTAGGCTGCGTCGAAATGCGGAATGATAAGTTCTAGTTCAAGAGAACATGTTTTTTGAGTGCGCAGAATAAAAAGCCTTGTGGCAAGAGGAGGGAGTTCTTTTGGGCCAGAATGAAAACTGTTTAGCGTATCTAAAGGCACACCCTGTAGCCCCAGAGACATGTTACCTTTTTTTTAACACAAATTCGTAGAAGTTCTCTCCTTCTGCTCGTCGACGCCAGCACCCCTTTGAACCCAGAAAACCTTCTTCTTGATTATGTGGAATTAGAATCAACCCTTGGTAAACTCAGGGACCTTCTTCTTGACAAACACTGGAGCATGATTTTTGACGATTCAAGATGATTCAAGATTTTTGTACAAGTCATTATTCCCTTCTGAACTTTTGCTGCGTTAAGTGGCATCAGGGAAACAATTGACTTCTAGATTGATATTATGATGTAGCCAAGACACAAGTTAAAGTGTCAACTTCAAGTTTGTGCTCACTTATCCTCAATGTGATGTAGTGCATAAACTGCTGTTGAAAAAAGTAAAAAGTAATAGAATCAAGAGTAATGAAGTTTTAGACAATCTAAGATGAGTCAGAGACTCAAGAGACGTGAAGACTATTTTTTGCCCAAACTAAGCTTCAATTGCTCCACAAAACAATTAATTCACATGTTTAGTGAGCCTAAATCTTACAATTCGCACATGAAAAATATCATCTATTCTCATCCAATACACATTCCTCTCAAATTCAAGCTCGTGATTTTACTTCAGAATATATATGAAAAGTCAGCAAAGGCACTATCACATTCACTTGTAGTCAGGAGAGTGATATATTATTCATCAGAAAAGGAAGAAGACTCACCCTTGCATAAATTTTTAGTTATAAGTTGCACTATCAATTCTTAGGTATGTGATATGATCATTAATAGTGGGAGTAGTTGAAACATTGTCGAATTGATTGGATCAAGATGGAAGTCGAAATGAAAGTTTCGGAAATATGTTTAATTAAATTTTCATTAGGTAGGATTTGATGATGGGCAATGAAATGTTCTTGAGATTGAACAATCTCACATGAGATTAAGTAGGCTATGGCAACTTGATGTTGATGCTACACACCGTAGGAAAGAAAATATTTATATTTTCTATAGAAATATTAAAAAATTGATTGTGGTGTAAATATAAGTAGTAAACTTTAGTAAATGAGACAAGAATAAAAGAAAAATAATGCTCATTAACAAGACAGTTTTTTAAAAAGCTTAATATTAATACTGAATAATTTGAACTATCTGACCCAAACATCAAAATAAATGATGTGACACTAAATGTTATTAAAAGACTATTATCTGAATTTTCTGTAATTCAAGAACTGTCTATTCATTGTCCACAATTGTGAGATGTACAACATCATATTGACTTTTTATCAGGAGCAGGCTTGCCTAGTCTTCCAAAGCATAGGATGACTATATAAGAAATATCAGATTTGAAATAAAAAAGTCCAAGACTTTAGTAAACGATTGCTCCATGCTTATTGTGCTTTTTACAAAGAAAGATGGCATGTTATTTATGCTTTGTGGTTTTCAACTTTGTCAAAAGTTTATTTAAAGAGCAGATAACATTAATCTGAATTTGGCCAAGAGATAAAAGTTTATTTAAAGAGCATATATCAATTGTTGTATATTCTCTTAGCAAATGATTGTGTCTTGCTTGAAAACTCGCTGCTCTGAATCCACAGAACAAAGAGATTTTGCCGCTTAAGTTCACAAGAGGTTGATCCTGGGTGCATAAGATGGAAAATGGCTCCAAAAAAGAGAACATCCAAAAAGGAAAAGAACTCAAAAATTGATTCATAAAAAGCGTGCCTCCTTGGGAATACAATAGGGGTCCAATTTATATGCCAAATATTAGTTATCAGTAATCTTTAAAAGGGGAAATCTGTTAAGATCCTAAAAAATGGAGACAAGAAAACAGTTTAAATCGTCTTATGAAAAAAGATTATTCTGTTAGAAAGCCCCTAAGAAATAGAAATAGGATCATTCTCTGAGAGGGATATTTTAAATGAATAAAATGTGCAAATTGTGAGATGTAGGTGCACTAAACATGGGACCAAATCTCTTAGTAGACCATTTGCAGCTAAATTTGGGCAAAAGATAGTGTTCACATGTCTTGAGGTTCTGATTCACTTGAGTTGGTCTAAAGCCGTTTCAACGTAGATGTTAATGGGTCCTCCACCTGGTTGAAAAACATTCAATTTTTCATTCCACAACAGTTTCTTGGTCTAAAGTCAGGTCTCTCTAAATGGTTGGTCATAAAGTGATGTAGAATGATGAATCAGCTTCTGAAACCTTTTAATGACAAATTTATTATTGTTTATTATGATGATTTTTTTTTTACACTATTATAGAAGAAAAGGTATTAAAGTAGACGAAGAAAAGGTCTCAAGTTACTCTAAGTATGAAAAATGGTGTTTGGAAATGGACTGATAAACTGTTTTAGTTTATCAAAAAAGTATTTTTATAAAAGATGAAATTGTATTAAAATAGTTTTAGTTTATTATGATGAAATGATATTAAAACTACTTCAGTTTTAGTTGTCTGAAACTTTGATAAACTCTTTGAAGTGGAATCTGATGCATCCATAGTTTCCATTTGAGGTGTACAACCACATTGAAATGTGATTTATCTATAATTCAGTGAAGAACTTTATGTGGCATGGAAAAAATAAAGAGCCTAAAAATTAGAATTTATAGGTTTAATCTGACAAACGTTCTGATGTAACAGCAATGTTGCTAAAAAAGATATGGGCTTAAATCCACAAAGCCTTAATCTTTGTAAAAAAGATTATAAATCCTGCCTCTAAATCCTTAGATTCGGTGTCTTAAGCCCTTGAATCTACAAAGGGTTGCCTGAATGCACATGCAAGAAAGAAAGATTCGCACAATGGAGAAAAGTGATTCAACTAAAAAGCCTTTATATAGGCTTAGAAAGGAGGTTGGGCACTCCCCAAAAGGAAGATCATGACAGATCTTAGGGACAGATCTTAGACAGATCCTCTAAAACTACTTTGTCAGAGATCCTAAACTGAATATGACAATCACAGAATTTTCAAGAGTAAATGAAAAATAAAATACCTTTTAGAATTGAAAGGGTTACATGAGTCTCTCCTCCTTCAAGCAAACTCATCCTCAAGTCTGCATTTCAATGTGGGTGAAATAGTCATGTTTGGTTGGAGATCAATGAGCTATGCATTGACATTGATCTATTGTAGAACTTGATATGGTCTATATTTCTTTCGATTCAACTTGTTGTAACTCTTTGGTGAAAAATAATTTGTATGAAGGTACATAATTGTGTTTCTCAAAATGAAAAATCATCTTGACATGAAAACCCTTAATTGATATTCTTGATATAGATGTCATATATTGTTGAGAAAAATCATCATCATCATCATCAGCGCGCAAGTTCACCAAATATACTGTTTTTTGTATAAAAGCATCTGCAACTTGATTTAGTTTCCCTGACTTATGTTTAATAGCAAAAGTGTTTTATTAATAGAAGTCTAACTCTTTACTAATTGATGAACTTCATGATTAATAGATAAATTAGATTATTTATGAATCAAATAGTTTTTCCAAGTTTGTAAAGCACCTTCCACGGTTTAAAACTTAAGTTCCTTCATTGTTCATTTTTTTATTTATCTCATAAAGGTTTTCATTGAAAAATCTTATATGTTGACCTTCTTGCGACGGTACACCTCCAATGCAACTTATGGATGCATGATTAAAACTGGAGCAGAACATACTTTCTCTTTTATCATGATAAAACTTTTACTAGCTTCGTCAGTCTATTTCAAATGATACTCTTCCATACATGTAGTAACCTTCTGTGAAAGGACGTGAACCTGTAGAAACTTTGAATGAAATGAATTGTGATGTGTGTTGACCAATCTTTGATTCCTCTGACCAACCCATAGAAACATCCCATTTGCACTTATAACATATCCCAACAATTCCAAAGTAGTAGTCAACAAGTCACATTTATTCAAGTTTATATATAAAAAATTCTGTGCAACACTTTGAATACTGATCTGAGATATTTCAATGAATTTTATATTAGGTATGCCACTAACACAAGATGGTTTTTTATTTTGGAGAACATAGTTACGTATTCCTTGCAACTCTTTAAGAGAGAAATTACTACGATAATTATACTCTTTTGATTTAACATGACACCTTGGTCGAGACAAGACCTTACAGTCAGTTGAAGAGCGATATTACCGGCCTAAACTAAAGAAAGATGTAGAAAATTTTGTTCGTAAATGTCAGGATTATTTCACACGTCCATGGGCTGCAATTTCAATGAATTTTATATTAGGTCTGCCACGAACACATAGAGGAGCTGACTCTGTTTCTGTGGTTATTGATAGATTTTAAAAATTGGCACATTCCATTGCATGTAAGATGACCAATGACGCAAATCAGGTGGTAGTCAATCACTTTTTTAGAGAAATTATTCATCTACATGGAATTGCTAAGTCAATTACCTCTAATAGAGATTCTAAGTTTATATCTCACTTCTGGCGGACTCTTTGGAAGAGGTTTGACACATTTCTTAAATTCAATAGTACAAGTCACTCACAAACAGATGGTCAAACTGAAGTGGTGAATAGAACTCTAGAGTAATTTGATTCGTTTATTTTAAGAGAAAAGTCAAAACAATGGGATTATGCTTTGGCACAAGCAGAGTTTGCATATGACTGGATGATTAATCGTTCGACCAACCAATCTCTATTTTCAGTGGTATATTGCTTTCCTCCAAGAATTTCATTAGATTTATTACAAGTACCAAGACCGATAAACAAGGTATGGGCTTGAATCCACAAAGCTCTAATCTTGAGGAAGAAGAAACCTGCCTCTGAATCCACAGATTCGGAGTCTTCAACCCTTGAATCCACAAGGGACTACTAGAATCCACAAGTACGAGGGGGAGGTTTTCACAGTGCAGAAAACTGATTCAACTAAAAAGGTATCTCCCTCTGGTTACAGTGGAGGCCTTTATATAGGCCTAGAAAGGAGGTTGGGCGTGCCCCAAAACGAGGATCCTGACAGATCTTAGGGATACAGTCTGACGAACTCTGAAATGACTTAAAAAAGACTATGACAGATTGAGATCGTAGAAAAATCTTCTTAAAATACTCTGACATGACTTAAAGCAGACTCTGACAGTGAGAGACCCTGAGCAGATCTTAGATACAGAATCTGAAAGTCAGAGGTCTTGAATAGATCTTAGATATAGATTGAACAACATTAGAGTCCCTTCTAGAAGGGATGAGACATAAAATACTTTATAAATGTGAAAAGACAAAGTGGGACAAAATTCGGACCTCTAGGCCGCTGGTGACATATGTGGGCTTCTTTTTCTTGCACCTTTCACTTTATTCAGGATAAGTGGGCCTAAATTCGAAGTTTACACTTTAACTTGTGTCTTGGGATACATCACGTTTGGTGTGAAACAGTAGACAGAAAAAGTGGAGAGTAACTTGTAGACCGATTTACTCATGTAATTGTACGCGAATTCTGCTTGAGTTAAGATAAGTTCCCATTGTCTAGGTTTGTCTCCTGAAGTACAACGGATTGAATTACAAAGTGTCCCATTAATCAGTTTTATTTTGACCATTAGTTTGTGGATGACATGTAGTACTGAATTTGAGGCATGAGTGAAATCTCTTCCAAAGAGTATGACAGAAATGGGATAGAAATTTTGAGTCTCTGTCAGATGTAACAGTCTCATCTGTTCCGAATTTTGAGTCTCTGTTCCATGCAAACAGACTATCTCCATGAAAAAGAAATTTGCTACTTGAACTGTATCATATTATGTCATCTTTGTATATAAAATAAAACATGTCATCTTTGAAAATCTATCCACAACAACAAAAATAGAATCTACTCCTCTTTGGGTACGCGATAATCCCAAAAAAAAATCTATAGAAATGTCAGTCGATGCTTTCTCTGGAATAGGTAATGGAGTGTACATACCTATGTTCTGGCTTTATTAGCTTGACAAATTTGACATCTCCACAAAAGTGCCCCCCAGGTCTTCATGCATGTAATTCTCCAATTAACTTCTCACACAAAGAAGTTTGAGGGATACATAACTGATTTTCTCGAAACAACTAAACCTCAAGAATGGGAAATCTTTTAGATGGTTTGCCATGTTTCAGCCAAATCTTCACCTTCTACATGGAGTTCTCTCAGATATTCAAAATCACTAACTTCTCTCACTATAATAAAAAAATTCTGATTTTCGGCTCAGTGCATCAGTCATTTTGTTTGATTTTTCCGATTTGTGATTTATCATAAAAGAAGTCTCACCGTTGAATGATTTCAAAGCTTGACGGTCAGTAAATAAAAAGAAATCTCATTGAAACAAATAATGTTCCCAAGTATATAATGATCTAACCACAACATAAAATTCTAATTTATATGTGCTCCACTTTCTTCTGACTTCTATTAATTTCTCCACAAGAAAATTTAAATTTTCAAGAATAAGTTGAAGAGTTATTATGTAAAGGTCGATAAAGGAAAGTATGAGCCCATGCTCTGTGCCTGTTTTACTTGTTTCAAAGAAAGATGGAAGTTGGCGGATGTGTGTCGACAGTAGAGCTATAAAAAAGATAAGAGTTAAGTATAGATTCCCAATTCCACGTCTAGATGACATGTTAGATATGCTTTGTGATTCTAAAATTTTCTCAGAAGGTCATTGCAAGAGCAGATATCATTAAATCCGAATCCAGCCAGGAATTTTATGAGAGTAATGAATCAGGTTCAGAATCCTTTTATTGGTAAAAATGTTGTCGTTTATTTTGACGACATTATTATTTACAGTAGTATTACGAAAGATGAGCACATGAAACATCTCAGATGAGTGTCTAAAGTGTTACAACAGAATAAATTATAGATTATTTTGAGAAATGCGACTTCATGACTATTAATTTGTGATTTTTAGGATATGCTGTATGTGTAGATGGTATCAAAGTGGATGAAAAAAAGGTCAGAGCTATCGAAGTTTGGTCAACACCAACTACAATTTATCAGGTTTGAAGTTTTCATGGGTTGACACCATTTTATGGAAGATTCATTCGAAACTTTAGCTCAATAATGTCTCCTGTTACTACTTGTATGGAAAAGGGTCAATTTAAATGGACTAATGAAGCTAGTAAAAAGTTTTATCATGATTAAAAAGAAATTATGTTCTGCTCATGGTTTAGCCTTTCTAAATTTTGATAAACTGTTTGAAGCAGAATGCGATGCATCCATAGTTGGCATTGGAGGTGTACAGTCGGAAGAAGGTCGGCCGATAGCATTTTTCAGAGGAAAACTATCTGAGGTAAGAAAAAAATGGACAACGTATGAACTAGAATTTTATGATGTGGTCCAAGCTTCACAAACATGGGAACACTATTTGATTCAGCGAAAGTTTATTTTTTATACTGATCATCAAGCTCTTAAAATCAGTAAATAGTCAGACTTTTATCGATAGAATGCATGCCAGTTGGAGCTCTTTTATTCAACGTTTTACTTTTGTTATGAAACAGTAGTCAGGAAAACTGAATTGACTTGCAGATGCTCTCAGTAGAAAAACAGCATGTTTGTTGAACCTGCGTGCTGAAATCACAAGATTTGATTATCTCAAGGAATTATACTTAAATGATGATGATTTTTCTCAACACAATATATGATATGTACGTCAGGAATATCAACTAAAGGTTTCCACCTACAAGATGGTTTTTTATTTTGGAGAACATAGTTATGTATTCCTTGCAACTCTTTAAGAGAGAAATTACTACGATAATTATACTCTTTTGATTTAACATGACACCTTGGTCGAGACAAGACCTTACAGTCAGTTGAAGAGCGATATTACCGGCCTAAACTAAAGAAAGATGTAGAAAATTTTGTTCGTAAATGTCAGGATTATTTCACACGTCCATGGGCTGCAATTTCAATGAATTTTATATTAGGTCTGCCACGAACACATAGAGGAGCTGACTCTGTTTCTGTGGTTATTGATAGATTTTAAAAATTGGCACATTCCATTGCATGTAAGATGACCAATGACGCAAATCAGGTGGTAGTCAATCACTTTTTTAGAGAAATTATTCATCTACATGGAATTGCTAAGTCAATTACCTCTAATAGAGATTCTAAGTTTATATCTCACTTCTGGCGGACTCTTTGGAAGAGGTTTGACACATTTCTTAAATTCAATAGTACAAGTCACTCACAAACAGATGGTCAAACTGAAGTGGTGAATAGAACTCTAGAGTAATTTGATTCGTTTATTTTAAGAGAAAAGTCAAAACAATGGGATTATGCTTTGGCACAAGCAGAGTTTGCATATGACTGGATGATTAATCGTTCGACCAACCAATCTCTATTTTCAGTGGTATATTGCTTTCCTCCAAGAATTTCATTAGATTTATTACAAGTACCAAGACCGATAAACAAGATATGGGCTTGAATCCACAAAGCTCTAATCTTGAGGAAGAAGAAACCTGCCTCTGAATCCACAGATTCGGAGTCTTCAACCCTTGAATCCACAAGGGACTACTAGAATCCACAAGTACGAGGGGGAGGTTTTCACAGTGCAGAAAACTGATTCAACTAAAAAGGTATCTCCCTCTGGTTACAGTGGAGGCCTTTATATAGGCCTAGAAAGGAGGTTGGGCGTGCCCCAAAACGAGGATCCTGACAGATCTTAGGGATACAGTCTGACGAACTCTGAAATGACTTAAAAAAGACTATGACAGATTGAGATCGTAGAAAAATCTTCTTAAAATACTCTGACATGACTTAAAGCAGACTCTGACAGTGAGAGACCCTGAGCAGATCTTAGATACAGAATCTGAAAGTCAGAGGTCTTGAATAGATCTTAGATATAGATTGAACAACATTAGAGTCCCTTCTAGAAGGGATGAGACATAAAATACTTTATAAATGTGAAAAGACAAAGTGGGACAAAATTCGGACCTCTAGGCCGCTGGTGACATATGTGGGCTTCTTTTTCTTGCACCTTTCACTTTATTCAGGATAAGTGGGCCTAAATTCGAAGTTTACACTTTAACTTGTGTCTTGGGATACATCACGTTTGGTGTGAAACAGTAGACAGAAAAAGTGGAGAGTAACTTGTAGACCGATTTACTCATGTAATTGTACGCGAATTCTGCTTGAGTTAAGATAAGTTCCCATTGTCTAGGTTTGTCTCCTGAAGTACAACGGATTGAATTACAAAGTGTCCCATTAATCAGTTTTATTTTGACCATTAGTTTGTGGATGACATGTAGTACTGAATTTGAGGCATGAGTGAAATCTCTTCCAAAGAGTATGACAGAAATGGGATAGAAATTTTGAGTCTCTGTCAGATGTAACAGTCTCATCTGTTCCGAATTTTGAGTCTCTGTTCCATGCAAACAGACTATCTCCATGAAAAAGAAATTTGCTACTTGAACTGTATCATATTATGTCATCTTTGTATATAAAATAAAACATGTCATCTTTGAAAATCTATCCACAACAACAAAAATAGAATCTACTCCTCTTTGGGTACGCGATAATCCCAAAAAAAAATCTATAGAAATGTCAGTCGATGCTTTCTCTGGAATAGGTAATGGAGTGTACATACCTATGTTCTGGCTTTATTAGCTTGACAAATTTGACATCTCCACAAAAGTGCCCCCCAGGTCTTCATGCATGTAATTCTCCAATTAACTTCTCACACAAAGAAGTTTGAGGGATACATAACTGATTTTCTCGAAACAACTAAACCTCAAGAATGGGAAATCTTTTAGATGGTTTGCCATGTTTCAGCCAAATCTTCACCTTCTACATGGAGTTCTCTCAGATATTCAAAATCACTAACTTCTCTCACTATAATAAAAAAATTCTGATTTTCGGCTCAGTGCATCAGTCATTTTGTTTGATTTTTCCGATTTGTGATTTATCATAAAAGAAGTCTCACCGTTGAATGATTTCAAAGCTTGACGGTCAGTAAATAAAAAGAAATCTCATTGAAACAAATAATGTTCCCAAGTATATAATGATCTAACCACAACATAAAATTCTAATTTATATGTGCTCCACTTTCTTCTGACTTCTATTAATTTCTCCACAAGAAAATTTAAATTTTCAAGAATAAGTTGAAGAGTTATTATGTAAAGGTCGATAAAGGAAAGTATGAGCCCATGCTCTGTGCCTGTTTTACTTGTTTCAAAGAAAGATGGAAGTTGGCGGATGTGTGTCGACAGTAGAGCTATAAAAAAGATAAGAGTTAAGTATAGATTCCCAATTCCACGTCTAGATGACATGTTAGATATGCTTTGTGATTCTAAAATTTTCTCAGAAGGTCATTGCAAGAGCAGATATCATTAAATCCGAATCCAGCCAGGAATTTTATGAGAGTAATGAATCAGGTTCAGAATCCTTTTATTGGTAAAAATGTTGTCGTTTATTTTGACGACATTATTATTTACAGTAGTATTACGAAAGATGAGCACATGAAACATCTCAGATGAGTGTCTAAAGTGTTACAACAGAATAAATTATAGATTATTTTGAGAAATGCGACTTCATGACTATTAATTTGTGATTTTTAGGATATGCTGTATGTGTAGATGGTATCAAAGTGGATGAAAAAAAGGTCAGAGCTATCGAAGTTTGGTCAACACCAACTACAATTTATCAGGTTTGAAGTTTTCATGGGTTGACACCATTTTATGGAAGATTCATTCGAAACTTTAGCTCAATAATGTCTCCTGTTACTACTTGTATGGAAAAGGGTCAATTTAAATGGACTAATGAAGCTAGTAAAAAGTTTTATCATGATTAAAAAGAAATTATGTTCTGCTCATGGTTTAGCCTTTCTAAATTTTGATAAACTGTTTGAAGCAGAATGCGATGCATCCATAGTTGGCATTGGAGGTGTACAGTCGGAAGAAGGTCGGCCGATAGCATTTTTCAGAGGAAAACTATCTGAGGTAAGAAAAAAATGGACAACGTATGAACTAGAATTTTATGATGTGGTCCAAGCTTCACAAACATGGGAACACTATTTGATTCAGCGAAAGTTTATTTTTTATACTGATCATCAAGCTCTTAAAATCAGTAAATAGTCAGACTTTTATCGATAGAATGCATGCCAGTTGGAGCTCTTTTATTCAACGTTTTACTTTTGTTATGAAACAGTAGTCAGGAAAACTGAATTGACTTGCAGATGCTCTCAGTAGAAAAACAGCATGTTTGTTGAACCTGCGTGCTGAAATCACAAGATTTGATTATCTCAAGGAATTATACTTAAATGATGATGATTTTTCTCAACACAATATATGATATGTACGTCAGGAATATCAACTAAAGGTTTCCACCTACAAGATGGTTTTTTATTTTGGAGAACATAGTTATGTATTCCTTGCAACTCTTTAAGAGAGAAATTACTACGATAATTATACTCTTTTGATTTAACATGACACCTTGGTCGAGACAAGACCTTACAGTCAGTTGAAGAGCGATATTACCGGCCTAAACTAAAGAAAGATGTAGAAAATTTTGTTCGTAAATGTCAGGATTATTTCACACGTCCATGGGCTGCAATTTCAATGAATTTTATATTAGGTCTGCCACGAACACATAGAGGAGCTGACTCTGTTTCTGTGGTTATTGATAGATTTTAAAAATTGGCACATTCCATTGCATGTAAGATGACCAATGACGCAAATCAGGTGGTAGTCAATCACTTTTTTAGAGAAATTATTCATCTACATGGAATTGCTAAGTCAATTACCTCTAATAGAGATTCTAAGTTTATATCTCACTTCTGGCGGACTCTTTGGAAGAGGTTTGACACATTTCTTAAATTCAATAGTACAAGTCACTCACAAACAGATGGTCAAACTGAAGTGGTGAATAGAACTCTAGAGTAATTTGATTCGTTTATTTTAAGAGAAAAGTCAAAACAATGGGATTATGCTTTGGCACAAGCAGAGTTTGCATATGACTGGATGATTAATCGTTCGACCAACCAATCTCTATTTTCAGTGGTATATTGCTTTCCTCCAAGAATTTCATTAGATTTATTACAAGTACCAAGACCGATAAACAAGGTATGGGCTTGAATCCACAAAGCTCTAATCTTGAGGAAGAAGAAACCTGCCTCTGAATCCACAGATTCGGAGTCTTCAACCCTTGAATCCACAAGGGACTACTAGAATCCACAAGTACGAGGGGGAGGTTTTCACAGTGCAGAAAACTGATTCAACTAAAAAGGTATCTCCCTCTGGTTACAGTGGAGGCCTTTATATAGGCCTAGAAAGGAGGTTGGGCGTGCCCCAAAACGAGGATCCTGACAGATCTTAGGGATACAGTCTGACGAACTCTGAAATGACTTAAAAAAGACTATGACAGATTGAGATCGTAGAAAAATCTTCTTAAAATACTCTGACATGACTTAAAGCAGACTCTGACAGTGAGAGACCCTGAGCAGATCTTAGATACAGAATCTGAAAGTCAGAGGTCTTGAATAGATCTTAGATATAGATTGAACAACATTAGAGTCCCTTCTAGAAGGGATGAGACATAAAATACTTTATAAATGTGAAAAGACAAAGTGGGACAAAATTCGGACCTCTAGGCCGCTGGTGACATATGTGGGCTTCTTTTTCTTGCACCTTTCACTTTATTCAGGATAAGTGGGCCTAAATTCGAAGTTTACACTTTAACTTGTGTCTTGGGATACATCACGTTTGGTGTGAAACAGTAGACAGAAAAAGTGGAGAGTAACTTGTAGACCGATTTACTCATGTAATTGTACGCGAATTCTGCTTGAGTTAAGATAAGTTCCCATTGTCTAGGTTTGTCTCCTGAAGTACAACGGATTGAATTACAAAGTGTCCCATTAATCAGTTTTATTTTGACCATTAGTTTGTGGATGACATGTAGTACTGAATTTGAGGCATGAGTGAAATCTCTTCCAAAGAGTATGACAGAAATGGGATAGAAATTTTGAGTCTCTGTCAGATGTAACAGTCTCATCTGTTCCGAATTTTGAGTCTCTGTTCCATGCAAACAGACTATCTCCATGAAAAAGAAATTTGCTACTTGAACTGTATCATATTATGTCATCTTTGTATATAAAATAAAACATGTCATCTTTGAAAATCTATCCACAACAACAAAAATAGAATCTACTCCTCTTTGGGTACGCGATAATCCCAAAAAAAAATCTATAGAAATGTCAGTCGATGCTTTCTCTGGAATAGGTAATGGAGTGTACATACCTATGTTCTGGCTTTATTAGCTTGACAAATTTGACATCTCCACAAAAGTGCCCCCCAGGTCTTCATGCATGTAATTCTCCAATTAACTTCTCACACAAAGAAGTTTGAGGGATACATAACTGATTTTCTCGAAACAACTAAACCTCAAGAATGGGAAATCTTTTAGATGGTTTGCCATGTTTCAGCCAAATCTTCACCTTCTACATGGAGTTCTCTCAGATATTCAAAATCACTAACTTCTCTCACTATAATAAAAAAATTCTGATTTTCGGCTCAGTGCATCAGTCATTTTGTTTGATTTTTCCGATTTGTGATTTATCATAAAAGAAGTCTCACCGTTGAATGATTTCAAAGCTTGACGGTCAGTAAATAAAAAGAAATCTCATTGAAACAAATAATGTTCCCAAGTATATAATGATCTAACCACAACATAAAATTCTAATTTATATGTGCTCCACTTTCTTCTGACTTCTATTAATTTCTCCACAAGAAAATTTAAATTTTCAAGAATAAGTTGAAGAGTTATTATGTAAAAGTCGATAAAGGAAAGTATGAGCCCATGCTCTGTGCCTGTTTTACTTGTTTCAAAGAAAGATGGAAGTTGGCGGATGTGTGTCGACAGTAGAGCTATAAAAAAGATAAGAGTTAAGTATAGATTCCCAATTCCACGTCTAGATGACATGTTAGATATGCTTTGTGATTCTAAAATTTTCTCAGAAGGTCATTGCAAGAGCAGATATCATTAAATCCGAATCCAGCCAGGAATTTTATGAGAGTAATGAATCAGGTTCAGAATCCTTTTATTGGTAAAAATGTTGTCGTTTATTTTGACGACATTATTATTTACAGTAGTATTACGAAAGATGAGCACATGAAACATCTCAGATGAGTGTCTAAAGTGTTACAACAGAATAAATTATAGATTATTTTGAGAAATGCGACTTCATGACTATTAATTTGTGATTTTTAGGATATGCTGTATGTGTAGATGGTATCAAAGTGGATGAAAAAAAGGTCAGAGCTATCGAAGTTTGGTCAACACCAACTACAATTTATCAGGTTTGAAGTTTTCATGGGTTGACACCATTTTATGGAAGATTCATTCGAAACTTTAGCTCAATAATGTCTCCTGTTACTACTTGTATGGAAAAGGGTCAATTTAAATGGACTAATGAAGCTAGTAAAAAGTTTTATCATGATTAAAAAGAAATTATGTTCTGCTCATGGTTTAGCCTTTCTAAATTTTGATAAACTGTTTGAAGCAGAATGCGATGCATCCATAGTTGGCATTGGAGGTGTACAGTCGGAAGAAGGTCGGCCGATAGCATTTTTCAGAGGAAAACTATCTGAGGTAAGAAAAAAATGGACAACGTATGAACTAGAATTTTATGATGTGGTCCAAGCTTCACAAACATGGGAACACTATTTGATTCAGCGAAAGTTTATTTTTTATACTGATCATCAAGCTCTTAAAATCAGTAAATAGTCAGACTTTTATCGATAGAATGCATGCCAGTTGGAGCTCTTTTATTCAACGTTTTACTTTTGTTATGAAACAGTAGTCAGGAAAACTGAATTGACTTGCAGATGCTCTCAGTAGAAAAACAGCATGTTTGTTGAACCTGCGTGCTGAAATCACAAGATTTGATTATCTCAAGGAATTATACTTAAATGATGATGATTTTTCTCAACACAATATATGATATGTAATGCCAGGAATATCAACTAAAGGTTTCCACACTACAAGATGGTTTTTTTATTTTGAGAACATAGTTATGTATTCCTTGCAACTCTTTAAGAGAGAAATTACTACGTATAATTATACCTCTTTTGATTAACATGACACCTTGGTCGAGACAAGACCTTACAGTCAGTTGAAGAGCGATATTACCGGCCTAAACTAAAGAAAGATGTAGAAAATTTTGTTCGTAAATGTCAGGATTATTTCACACGTCCATGGGCTGCAATTTCAATGAATTTTATATTAGGTCTGCCACGAACACATAGAGGAGCTGACTCTGTTTCTGTGGTTATTGATAGATTTTAAAAATTGGCACATTCCATTGCATGTAAGATGACCAATGACGCAAATCAGGTGGTAGTCAATCACTTTTTTAGAGAAATTATTCATCTACATGGAATTGCTAAGTCAATTACCTCTAATAGAGATTCTAAGTTTATATCTCACTTCTGGCGGACTCTTTGGAAGAGGTTTGACACATTTCTTAAATTCAATAGTACAAGTCACTCACAAACAGATGGTCAAACTGAAGTGGTGAATAGAACTCTAGAGTAATTTGATTCGTTTATTTTAAGAGAAAAGTCAAAACAATGGGATTATGCTTTGGCACAAGCAGAGTTTGCATATGACTGGATGATTAATCGTTCGACCAACCAATCTCTATTTTCAGTGGTATATTGCTTTCCTCCAAGAATTTCATTAGATTTATTACAAGTACCAAGACCGATAAACAAGGTATGGGCTTGAATCCACAAAGCTCTAATCTTGAGGAAGAAGAAACCTGCCTCTGAATCCACAGATTCGGAGTCTTCAACCCTTGAATCCACAAGGGACTACTAGAATCCACAAGTACGAGGGGGAGGTTTTCACAGTGCAGAAAACTGATTCAACTAAAAAGGTATCTCCCTCTGGTTACAGTGGAGGCCTTTATATAGGCCTAGAAAGGAGGTTGGGCGTGCCCCAAAACGAGGATCCTGACAGATCTTAGGGATACAGTCTGACGAACTCTGAAATGACTTAAAAAAGACTATGACAGATTGAGATCGTAGAAAAATCTTCTTAAAATACTCTGACATGACTTAAAGCAGACTCTGACAGTGAGAGACCCTGAGCAGATCTTAGATACAGAATCTGAAAGTCAGAGGTCTTGAATAGATCTTAGATATAGATTGAACAACATTAGAGTCCCTTCTAGAAGGGATGAGACATAAAATACTTTATAAATGTGAAAAGACAAAGTGGGACAAAATTCGGACCTCTAGGCCGCTGGTGACATATGTGGGCTTCTTTTTCTTGCACCTTTCACTTTATTCAGGATAAGTGGGCCTAAATTCGAAGTTTACACTTTAACTTGTGTCTTGGGATACATCACGTTTGGTGTGAAACAGTAGACAGAAAAAGTGGAGAGTAACTTGTAGACCGATTTACTCATGTAATTGTACGCGAATTCTGCTTGAGTTAAGATAAGTTCCCATTGTCTAGGTTTGTCTCCTGAAGTACAACGGATTGAATTACAAAGTGTCCCATTAATCAGTTTTATTTTGACCATTAGTTTGTGGATGACATGTAGTACTGAATTTGAGGCATGAGTGAAATCTCTTCCAAAGAGTATGACAGAAATGGGATAGAAATTTTGAGTCTCTGTCAGATGTAACAGTCTCATCTGTTCCGAATTTTGAGTCTCTGTTCCATGCAAACAGACTATCTCCATGAAAAAGAAATTTGCTACTTGAACTGTATCATATTATGTCATCTTTGTATATAAAATAAAACATGTCATCTTTGAAAATCTATCCACAACAACAAAAATAGAATCTACTCCTCTTTGGGTACGCGATAATCCCAAAAGAAAATCTATAGAAAATTTATAAGGGAATCCTTTGTGATAGAAAAATTTTTTATTATATTTTGTACTGCCTCAGGTATAACACCAGAATCATGTAAATAAGTATTCTCTTTTTTTATGAGCATAAATACTATACGATTTTCTTTCAAAGTATTAAAAAGTTCCTTTTTGTCAATTATCATAACTTGTTTCTTCTTTTCTTTAAGTGTGCTGAAAAACTTATTTTCTTTTAATGGCCATAAAACTCATTTTCTTTTAGTTGCATCTAAATTATATTACCATGGTCTACCCAAAATTAGATGACAAACATCCATCTCAACAACATCACAGTAAATTTCATCAAAAAAAACTTTTCCCATTGAGAACTTAATTAAATAGGTCTCTGTAACTCTTATTTTATACTCCTTTATCCACCCTATTCTATATGAATGTGGATGTTTTTCAGCATTCAGCCCTCATTTTTCTACCATCGAAGTAGAAATAATATTTTTACTACTATCAGAATTAATAATCATACCTTCCCATCAACAGTGCATTTTGTTATGAAAATATTATGATGTTGAAGAGGTTCTTCCTTTCTAGTGTATACATCAGCCTTCGCATGACTAGAGAGTGACCATAGTATTCTTTTTCTTTGTCTTCCATAACATTCTCTTGAATTTCTTCTTGATCTTCTGCACCTTCAATTTCATCTTCATCACCACGTTAAGGACAAGCATCACGTTATGGACAACATTTGATTTGCGACTTTCTTCATTATATATGTAACATTTTGGAACATAGTTAGGTACATATGGATTTCTTTGAGAAGAGCTTTGCCCACTAGAAATAGATCTACTTGGTCTTGGTGCAGCTGAGGTGTTTGATCTTTCATTACTAGTTGCAGATGAAATATGTGTTGGTCTTGACCTTTTTGACTAAAATGTTGACGTATTAATAGAATTTTGAGTTCACGATTTACCTTTCTCCAATAAAGCTTGTGCATGTTCTGATGCCATAAGGCATCATGTTCTGATTGTAAAGCAACCTTTTCTTCAATGTCTCATTCAATTCCACTTTCAAATCTAGAAATCATATGACATTCGAATTCAGTCAAATCGACTCTTGAAGAATGTCTGAAAAATTTCTCAGCATATTCTACGACAGATCTACTTCCTAGTTTGCAACTTTGATATTTGTGATATAAAAATTGTTCATAATAAGGAGGAAGAAATCTAGATTTTAATCATTTCTTCATCTTATCCCAAGTTTGAAAATTATTTTTTCCTAATCTTGCACGAGTGGATTGTAGTCAATCCCACAAAGTAGAGGCTCCACCTTTGAGTTTAAAGACAACTAATTTCACCTATTTCTCATCAGAAATCTTTATATATTCAATTTTTTTTCTCAACTTCAGAAATTCAATCAAGAAATTCTTCTATTTTCAAATGTCCATTAAAACTAGACAAATCAATTTTTATTCAAAACTCTTTGCAATCATCATAATCAGATCTACTTTTTACATTTTCTATATCATTTGGTAAGTTTTTCCATGAGAGGTTATAGAAATCATTTTGTTTTTGACTAGTTTAACCATGAGATTGAAATTATTTTGCAGACATTCGTGCTAAGATTTATTTTAAAGTGTCATTCAAATCTTCAAATTTTTGTTCTATATGAATTTCGAAATCAACAAACTCTATTTTTACAAATATTTCAAATCTTTTTCAAAGAGTTTGATAGAAGTGAGATATAACTATTTAAGAATATCATGTAGATGAATAATGCATTTGAAAAATTGATTTTCTATTTACTTGCATCACTTTTTTTTTTAACATGTGATGAAATGCACCATTCTTGAAAATCTATCAACTATCACATAAATTGAGTCAGCTCCTCTTTGTGTTTGTGGTAGACTTAATATAAAGTCCATAGAAATATCTGTCAATAGATAATGTGGAATGAACAATAGAGTGTATAATTCAGTATTTCACTTTGTCTTTTGTAGGTTTGACAAATCTGAGATTTATGAACAAATTTTTTGATGCAGCCTAAAGCCCACTTCAAGTTGAAGTTGGCTATATTAAAAAATTGAGGCCATATTTTTATTTTTCTATTTTTATGAGTTTTATTTAAAATTTAAATTTTCATTTGAATTTCACCTAAAATTCAAATTTTATTTTTTATTTTAGATTTTTTTAAAAAAATTGAAATTTTATTTAAAAATTGATTTCAAGTTTAAATTTAATTTGAAATTGGAATGTTGGTGTCAAAATAAGACTTTTCAACCTATTTTAAGAGATCCTATTGAGCCTCAGAGGCACTTCATATTTCTGTCAATAAAACTTTGTAAGTTTCTTCTTTTGAAGTTCTCTCCCTTTATTGGTAGTCTCCAGCACCCTTGTGGACTTTGGGTATCCTGTTTAATTTCATACGTGACTTCACCTCCACAATATTAGAGTTGGTCACAACTTGCCCAAGTCATCTCCTCAAATTTTGCTGCATTAAGTTTCTACATCTTTCTTTAGCTTAAGTCAATAATATTGTTCTTCAATTGATTGTAGAAACTTGTCTTGACTAAAATGTCTTGCTTGAAGAGTATAATTAATATAGTAGTTTTTTTCAAAAGTAGAAAGGTAAAAAGGAATACATAACTATGTTACTCCAAATAAGAAGTCATCATGTAGGTGAAAACCTTTAGTTGATAACCTAGATATACAACCCATATGATGTTGAGAAAAATCAACATCTTCTTGATATAATTTCTTGAGATAATAAAATCATGTGATATTAGCACACATGTTCACCAAATATGTTATTTTTCCACTAAGAATATTGATGTGTACTTATCATTATGTTTAAATGTCTACTATCTGATAATATTTATAATTAAGACTTAATAAGATATTATTATAGATATAGGTCTCAAGTTGAACCTAAAGAGATTGATTAATATGTAGTGACAAATTAATTTAGTTTATATATAGAGTGATTTTAATATTTTAGTATTATTTAATATAAATAATAAAATATAAGCATGAGGTAAGAAGAATAAAGAGAGTATAGAATAAAAGGAAAAGAGAGAGAGAAGAGAGAGCTCTCACAATAGAGAGAGAAAGAGAGAGGAGGAGAGAAAAGGATCTCATAAGAGAGAGAGAGAGAGAGAGAGAGAGAGAGAGAGAGAGAGAGAGAGAGAAGAAGAGATTTCACAAGAGAGAGGGAGGGAGAGAAATAAGATGATAATAAAGAGAGATAAAAATAGTCAACCCATTTTTATGGTGACCATGATTCTCGGAGTAATGTGTGCTCAATAATTAACACACATAACATAAGGTTAAACGTAAGTGTTTCCACCTTATTTTAACACTTCAATGTTCATTAATCAGCTTTTAATCTCATTGATTTCATGTTTGAACATAAAAAAATCTTTATTATTCACATAATGCCAAAAATACAAAGATTTTAAGATTTGATTTCAAGAATCTTTATTATTGAAATAAAAAATTATTAGAAAATAAGTTAAACACTATCTTAACTTGATCTTAGATGAGTTTCAGAGGATTTAGAAAAGGAACAATAATTATTTGTTAGGATTTAAATTAATTTTACTTATTTCAATTGAAACATATGTAAAATAGACATAACTTGTTGTAAAATATAAATAAATAATATAAATAAATACTAAAAATAAGTAAAAAAATTATTGTCTAAGTTTAATCTACCTCTTGGGCCATTAGAGATATTAGTGTGGTAGTTTAATTTCATTCAGACATGTCACATTATGTTAGAAGTTGCAGAAATATTGTTTAAAAGTATTACACCACTTGTTGAAGAAATCGACTAAAAAGAAGGGTCAACTACGTTGTCACTATCATTTGGGGGGAGAAGGAAAGAGTTGATCACTTGTCAGAGGCCTTGAGTATAATTAGGAAAGGAAGGATCAAGCTCACCGATTAGCAAAGACATTGATTGAGCAAAAAGAGGAAAGAAATCGATGTTGTATTTGTGACTTTCGTGAGGATTTTAATAATAATCGAAAATAATTAATTATTAGATTTAATGGTGATACATGTGATAACTTAAGTTCTCAACATCGTGGTGCTTTGCTTGCCATTGGATCATCTTTTTTGGTCGCATCTATGTTTAGCGACCTAGGATCTACAAAACAACAAACGAAATGCTTCACATTTCGAGTATCATGGTGGTTTTCTTACTATGGGATCTACCTTATTTAGTAATTGGTTCACTAAACACCATTAGACCAAATTGCCTCATATCATTCTCTTGAAATAAATGAAAATATTTAGTCCCACATTATAAGTTTTTCAATGATTAAGCTGAATATATATCAAAGCTTTATTCTTAATATAGAGAACACTTCTCTTGGAAAAAATAATGTCTAAGACCATCTTGGAAGAAGGCAATGTGTGTTATGCTTATACGCACATAGTGTGTACGATGCTTCTTGCTCCACAACTAGTTGGCTCTCAACATATGACAAGGGAGTGATGTACATATGTGTGAAGCATGTCCTTAGTTACTCAAGCCTAACTTATGGCTTTCAAGGTCTGGGTCTACCCACTTGAGTGCTGCGCCCCTCTAGATTAACCATTGAGTGTCGGCTTGTTATTGGGCGGTAACTTTTATAATTTATTTATATTTTTTTTAATTAAAAATTGTATTAAGTCCTTTAACTTTAAACTTTGAAAATTAAAAATATATTACAATATTTATTTTACAAGTTAACATATAAAAATTAAATAATAAAACTATTTAAACATAAAAAAATTAGCTTTAACAAACATCTATAACTTCACTCAATTTTTTAGATTTATGATTAATAACAAAAGTAAAATACTCAATAAAAGACATCCATTTAGCATGTATTCTATTAATAGAAGTTTGACATTTGATAGATTTAAGAGCCTCATGATTTTTATATAAATTCAAGTCATATTAAATTAAGTAATATTCTTACATTTGTAAAACACGAACCACAACATAAAATTTCAATTCATATGTTGTCTATTTCTTTTCTTACATCTAAAAGTTTTTCATTGAAAAATACTATTACCCAACCTTCTTGTGACAGTACACCTCCAATGTCAATTATAGATACATCACATTCTACTTTAAATAGTTTACGAAAATTTAGAAGAATTAAAATATGAGTAAAATATAATTTCTCTTTTATTATGGTCAAACTGTTAATAGTTTCATCAATTCATTTGAAATTATCTTTTTTCAGTCATTTTGTAACTTAACACATTATTGAGTTAAAATTTTAAATAAATCTTTTATAAATGATGCTAATCTATGAAAGTTTTGAACTTAATGAATTGTTGTCAATATTAGCCAATATTTGATAACTCTAACTTTTTTTTCATCTACTTTGAATCTATTTGCACTTACAATGTACTATAAAAATATTAAAATAGTAGTCATATAAAATCATTTTTTTTCAAGTTACTATATAATTTATTATGTTATAACACTTTAAACACTAATATAAGATGTTTAATTTGTTCTTTTTCTTTAGTACTATAAATTAAATTGTCATCAAAGTAAATAATACTAAATTTATTAATAATTTTTTTTAAAACTTTATTCATTACTTCTATAAATGTACAGATAAGCAAAAAGATATCACCAATTCATAAAGACATCTTAATTCATAAATGTTTAATAAGTAGTCTTCTACTCATCTTCTAGTTGAGATATGATGATATTTACTCTTTATATTAATTTTTGAGAAAATTTTAGAAGTACAAGATATATCCAACATGTCATTTAGGTGTGGAATTAGAAATCTATATTTAATTATTAACTTAATAATTGCTTTGTTGTTGACACACATCTACCAACTTCTATTTTTTTAAAATAAGTAAAACATGCACAAAGTATAATGTTAATACTTTCTCTTGTCAATCTTTTACTCAATAACTCTTCAACTTATTTCTGAAAATTTTAATTTTATTCTAAGGTCATCTTATAATGTGATAGGTTAGGGAAGTTGATTTCAAATATAAGATCAATATGATGTTATATATCTCATATTGGTAGAAGATGTGTAAATACTTCTAGAATTATAAAAAATTAAGTTAATAGACATTTAACAACTTTTAGTGTCACATCAGCTATTTTGTCATTTAAATCAGGTTTTTGAATAATCACAAATAATTTAATAATCATATCAAACTCATTAAGAAACTCATTTTAGTTGTTGGCGTTACTTTTCTCTCTTTTTTTATACTAAAATCACTATCTTACATTGGAGCCAAAACAAACTTTTTCTTCAGGGATTATATGTGATAATTTTTGCCAACTTTTAGGTTTTAAATAAAATAATAAATTATATATTTTTGTCAGTCCCTCCATTTGTTGTCACATAGGATATTGTTCCATGATCATGAATATGATTTATGAGGTATTCATTTACTTAAGCTCCCAAAAGATGGTGCACTCTAGCGCCTTACCCTCTCCGAAGCGATACGCAACGATAGCTCCTATCTTCGCCCGCCGTAGTCCTCTCTTGCTCCCGGTGCCATGGCCGTACTCTCCGTCTACGCTCCGGCGGCATCTCCGTCCCTTGCTCCCTCCTCTTCGTCCTCCTTCACAATCGCAAGGCCGCGCACAGTTCCTCCACCGTATAGGCCATTTCCCGGCCGCTTCAGGGCCCTCTTATCTTCAAGCGTCTCCCTTCCGTCTCCAGACTCGACGAGTCTCCCGAATCCCTCGAGCTTCTACAGCAGTGGGTTGCGTCTCGAATTCGAGCCTGGGACTTTTGCTTCTTCTGCTCCGCCGGCGGGGTCTCCAAGGGGGGCCGAGTCCGACGTGATGGGTTTACTGCTCCGGGAGCGCATAGTGTTTCTGGGGAGTGGTATTGATGACTTCGTTGCGGACGCTATCATCAGCCAACTCCTTCTCCTGGATGCACAGGATCCCACCAAGGACATCCGGCTTTTCATTAACTCTCCCGGAGGATCCCTCAGGTGAGGAGGGAGCCCCTTCGTGGCAGTCTTAAATTATGTACTGGCTTTTGGATTTTTTTCTCCACATTAGGGTTCTTCATCTGTTTGGTACCTTTTCTGTTGTGAAGCGAGTATTACAGTTTCTTCCTCTGTCTGCTACCTGCCACAAAATATTATTGATGTCCCAAACGACAACATCACGGTCCATGGATGCTGTAATGAAAGGAATCTTTGTTGTTGGATTTTGCATTTTGAAGATCTTCAGGCTAACTGATCGGACATTTGAGCCTTTTTGATCAGGTGTGACGAGGAATTTAACTGGGACAGGCATATGGTCAACGTGAGTCAATTAGAAAATAGGGTTTCCCCTCTTCTACATTTTCTTTGTTCTTTGAATTTTCTGAATGTGTTCTGCATCTGTTGGGTGGTTAGTGAACATTGTATCTTCACGAAGACATTTAGGGCCTTCATTTCTCGTGGTATTTTTGGGTAACATATGGTAGATCTGTTAAGAAAAGACCTGCATGTGGGACTCCTACGAAACATAAACTGTGTTTATCTGCCTACTCAAGAGAGAAGTAGATGATTTAACAATGAAGTCTGATATTCCTCGAGGATGCTCGTTGCTGCCTAATTGGGTTATCTATGAAAAGAGTGCTAATACTATATGGTTCTCCATGGGTCTTGTTGGAAAGAGAGATGAAGAAGACGAGTAGAGCCAGAGCAATGGATCATTTTGAGTCGAAGAGAGTTGGATTTTGGGATCTGAGGAGAAAGATCATGGCAGGGCTGGGTTTCTTGATTATTCAATTCATGGATGAGGTTTATTATGCTAAAAAAACTAACGACTCAAGATGATTGCCTTGCAGAAACTTTTTCATTATGAGGTGGCCACAAAATTGTTCTTATTGCTGTGGGCGGATGGAACTTACAGTGTGCATCATGGTGACTAATTTCAGTTGCCTCCTTCTATGGAGATTTTGGGTGAGGGAGTAAAGCTTATTAGGGGGTGTTTACTCCAACATCTACATACGACAGCAGTATGGGAGAGAATATTTGAGACATGGCATGCATCTCAGGGATTGGTGATTTAAGAAATCAGATGATATTTTATATTGCGAGGAATGGAGTTGTGATTTTTGAAAGAATAGAGGCCTTCAACTTGGGGTTATGAGTACAGAGGTTTCTTAGGAAGGTAAGATGCTTTGATGTTGAGTGAAAGAGCTGCAAAGTTCTTCAAAGGCACTCAGGAAAGTTGATACTTCCTAGAGCAGAGTAATGAAATTTTGATTTGAGGGCTTACCACTGACTGGATGTGGAATTAGTGGATGGTTTATGGTGAATATTTATGTGCACATTGCCGTTGAGCTTCTGGTGAATGTTGTTGATCAAACAAGGAGTAACACTTTACAGAAACCTTTTAGTTTGATTAATTTATTCGGACTAATTTTTATGAGGGTTCAGATCATGACTAATCATCTTGGTGCTGCAAGATAGAGAAGCTTGGTCAAATCGGAGCAGGCAGTGTTTTTCATCTTCCATAACGCTGGTGCATGCTTTCCACTACTACCTAGGGGCAGTAGTAGCATGTATTCCCCTCAAACTTCATCGTTCTCTATTTTTGTTAGACGAAGATCTTTTCTTAAAGCAAAATATGATTCGGTGAGTTAGAGCTTGTTTGTGACATTCACCTGGAGAATATGCTCTCTTGTTGTGGTACTTTAGCTGCATGGCTTTAGTTCTTGAGAAGTGTATGTGGTGTTTTTCCTACAATTAAGATTTGACTGACCATCACTGGTAAATCTTGGAGGTTGGATTTTCTTCATCTAAACTGTAACACAAGGACCTGGCTTGACGACGTGTTCAGCATTTTCAGCTATTTATCATTTAAACCGTATATTTTCAAAACTTTAAATGTTTGATGGCTATTATTTAGTCCTTTGTTGTACACATTGTGACTTAATTTATGTGCCAAATGTCTTCATTTATGAATTGCTCTAAACTTTATGGAACGGTTGTTGCTTGTTTTCCTATATTTTTGTTGTCATAAATTTTTAAAAAGTGCTTCTACATATGATAATTTTATTTTAAATGATAGGAGGTTATTTTTAAAATATTTATCATCGCACACGTGCTTGTGGACGTGAACGCACACATGCACACACCTGTTTGTGTCTAGGGTTAGTGTTAGGTCTGTAAGGTACCATTTGATATTTCGCCCGGTAACTATGTGGTCATCAGTTATGGCTGTGGATGCTGGTTTGGGAGTGTAGAGAACTATCCAATCTCTCATGGCGTTATATTAAAAAAATTGATGCTTAAGATTGCATGGGTAGTAAAATCCAGCCATTTCGGAGATTAGGAAAAGGGCAGTGGATAGTGAATCGTTGAATTATTTTAGATTTCCATTTGAACGTCTGTTTGCAATCAGTGTCCAATACGAACTGAAGAACCATGCGCTAGGCAAGAGCCTTTAGATGCCCCTTTCAGGTGATTTTCTATCCACTACGTTTGGCTTCACGGTGGGCAGGCTCCTTGCAATTACTTGAGCGGGAACATGAGGGTCATTATTCTTATGACAGGTTTTTCAGTTTATTTTTGGATGCTCCAAAATTATTCAATACTTCACAAAATATCCATTTGCGCATTGTTCTGTGCCATTTTGGGAGGCTTACCACATTCTTTTTTTGGTCCGGCAGTCCATTTTATCCTGTAGGAAATTCTAAGTACTTATCTCTGGTGGTGAGGAGTGTACAAATAATGGTCCATGGTGAAGCTTTCCTGAATCAAAGCAGGCATGACCATTATCACCGTTTGAGCACACATCCATCTTTCCTAATCCTTTGACGTTTTCCAATTTTCTACATTTTTTGCCCTTATGACTCATTCAGAATGCAAAACACGTTGGTCAGTCAAAAGATTTCTTGTTGGTAGATTCTCTGACCTTGGTGGGCCCCAAAGACTAAGAGAGAGGAGTAAACAGACAAATGCCATCTTTCTCCTCTGCAACCTGGTTTGGTCCATTCCACTCTGGCGAACATTATTGACTGTCTAATTGTGGGGGCCGGATTGGTGTCTTTTGGCAGTGCGACGATGGCCATCTACGATGTGCTTCAGCTGGTGAGGGCGGACGTCTCCACGGTGGCGTTGGGCATTGCAGCGTCAACGTCCTCCATCATCCTTGGCGGCGGGACCAAGGGGAAGCGGCTGGCGATGCCCAACACCCGTATAATGATCCATCAGCCTCTGGGTGGTGCCAGCGGCCAGGCCATTGACGTGGAGATCCAGGCAAGGGAGATCATGCATAATAAGGACAATGTGACCAGGATCGTCGCCGGCTTCACCGGGCGGACCTACGAGCAGGTGCAGAAGGACATTGACCGAGACCGCTACATGTCCCCCATGGAGGCCGTGGAGTATGGCATCATCGACGGTGTCATCGACGGCTATGCCATCATCCCCCTTGCCCCCGTGCCAGACCGGGTGAAGCCCAAGGTCAACTACGAGGAAATCATCAAAGACCCCAAGAAATTCCTGATTCCCGACATCCCCGACGATGAGATATACTAGTCACCTCCTCAGAGCGCGCGACCGATTCTCTGAACGCCTAGTGAACAGTATGACTCTTAATTTTTTGATCTGATCTTTGTCTGGTTTGAGCTTGTTCTATGCAACTGCACTTGGCCCTCCTTCCTCAACCAGGCCAGTTTAGGGGCGTGCGTTGCAGTGGGTGCTCCTGTAGTTAGCCAAAGTGTCGACGTCATGATCCCAGCATGGGCTTGTAGCGTCTAATAATAATCCCCGTCACCGGTGGAAGAAGAGCGGTAATTTTAGGAGTCGAACAAATGTTTGGGCTGAAACGGAGGGTAATAGGAGACGACAAAAACTAAAAAAGCAAAGGGCTCTCCTTTCATACCCTTCAGCAGCGCGCGCCCCTGGTGAAGCATCGGGAAGAGATAGGAGAGCGGGGAAGGCGACGGTGCGGAGGCGGCGGTGGTCAGGGAATGATGGTTTCGGGACGCCCTAGAGTGGCCTTAACCCGATGTCCCCCTCTTCTGCTCCCCTGAAGGTACTCTCAAAGGCCCACCTCTCACCACTCCGCCAAATCTGGTCCAGCCTCCCCCGCGGTTTCTCGCGGTGCCCGAGCCAGGTCGCTGCCTCTGAGAAAGCCGTAGAAGAGCTTGCCGCCATCTTCTCCGGCGGGAACTCCCAGGAAGAGCCTGCCAACCGCGCAGTCTTCGTCAGGCTGACCCCTGTCCACGTTGAAGGGGCCCTGCGCCGCCTCCGGTCGGACCCGGACTCCCTCATCCGGCTATTCCGATGGACCGAGGGGACCCTCCGGCTGCCTCCCACCCCGGGGTCCCTCTCCTTCGCTGCCCACGCCTTCCTCTCTCGAGGGATGTACCACCCCGCACGGCGCCTTGTGGATCGGATTGCGCGTTGTTGTTCTTCTCGCCCGTCGGATGCTCTGGCAGCTCTCTCGGAAGGTGCCGACGCAAGTCGCTTACGGCTTATATTGACCATGTACTGGGAATCCCCCCATAGGTACAACGCTGTGATGAGCCGATTTTTCTTCAATGATAATGCCAAGGAAGCTCTAGATTTTCATGTTACTGTGTCGTCCAGAGGCTTCCCTCCATTGATATTTCATTGTAACAAGCTCATCAACGCTCTGTGCAAAACCAGCAAGACAGATTCCGCCAATGAACTCTTCCATTTGATACTCAGAGAGGGCCCTGAACCAAATGTGGTCACCTACAGTACTCTGATCAGCTCTTACTGCAAGGAGGGCAGGCTCAATGAGGCAATGGCGACCTTCAATTTCATGGTGGAGAAGAAGTCTGTCGCTCCTGATCTCATAGTCTATGGCATTTTGATCGACGGATTCTCAAAGGAAGGTCAGATGGAGGAATGTAATGACCTTCTGATGAGAGCCCTCAACAGTGGAATTCGGCCTGATGTGGTGATCTTCAGCTCGATCCTAGATGGCTATGTCAGAATTGGCCACTTGAAGAAGGCATCTGAATGGTACCACGTGATGCTTGCCAAAGGAATCAAGCCTAATGCTGTCACTTACAGCGTCCTTTTGAAGGGGTTGTGTATGGAGGGTCGGGTCTCTGAGGCCCATGGGGTCCTCTCTGCCATTATAAAGCTCGGATTCAAGCCAAGTGTGTTGATGTATAGCAGCTTGATCGATGGGCTCTTCAATATCGGTGACCTCAAGGGGGCTCTGGATTTGTATGGGCATATGATCTACAAAGGAGAATGTGCCACAGATGTGGTTGTTGACAGTGTGCTCATTAAGGGCCTCAGTCAGGCTGGTAGGATCCAGGATGCCCTCAGGTTCCTCTTCAAGTCAGGCATTGAGCCCACCATTGTCACCTACAACGTTCTGATTGATGGCTTGTGTAAGATGAAGAGATTGAGAGGAGCTATGGCCCTGTGCAGACTGCTGAATGTTAACAATTTGACCCCAGATGTGGTCACTTTTACAGCAGTTCTCAGTGGGATGAGCGAACTGGGGAAGCCAAAGGAGGCCGCCATGGTGTTCTTTCAGATGCTGAAGATGGGGTTCCATGCTGATGTTGTGAGCTATGGCAGCTTGATCAATGGGTTCTGCAAGCACAAGGCTGTAGCCTATGGATTGAAGATCTTTCAAATGATGCATAAAAGTGGCATACTTCCAGACATCTATATCTATAACGTTCTCTTATTCGGGCTGATCGGAGATGGATCCTTGGAAGAAGCCCGCAAGATGTTTGATGAATTCCCCGCCTGTGGGTTAGTACCAGATGTCATCACCTACAACACGATGATTGGTGGCTATTGCGGTGCTAAAATGCTGAGAGAAGCTGTTGGGATCTATGAAGAGATGATGAACAAAGGGCTGCGACCAACCACGATTACCTTCACCCATTTAATCAATGGCTGCTGTAAGGATGGTAGAATCAACGAGGCAATGCTGTTCTTCAAGCTGATGCTCTCTGGTGGCCTGGCACCTAATGTCTACACCTACAGCTGTTTGATGGATGGACACTTGAAATCCCGGGACATGGAGAAAGCCTTTGAGCTCCATGAAGATATGCTTAAGTGCAATGTTCAACCCAACATAATTAGCTATAGTGTCCTTATTAATGGGCTCTGCAAGAAGGGTCGGATAGGTGATGCATCTCTGGCTTTCCAATGTGCCATTCATAGGGGTTTCTTGCCTGATCTCGTGGCTTATGGGATTCTCATCCGTGGGCTCTGCAAGGCAGGTAGAGAGCATGAAGCTCGGATGTTACATGAGAGAATGGTGGCCGATGGCATCCAGCCAGATAGTTTATTATCTAGCTCAGTCGCCAAAATTCTGAATAAAGCGGATGAAAGCACTAGCCATTTAAATCAGAATTAAGCATCTGGACAGGTGGATGCTTCTGCCATCCTTTTAAGAAAATTTACAAACTGGGTTCACTGAATATCGCTCATTATATATCAGAATTAGTTGCGTTGGTATGAAGTTCATGCAGTCTTCTTGTGCTGGAATCATTCCAGGCGGTTGGATCATCACCATATTTGAATTTGCTGAAGGTAATAGTACCAATCCCAATTATGTTTTTGTTCCATCTCATATTATGATACAAGGATTTATTTTAATGAAGTTTTTTCTTCGGTGATCTGTATACCTTGAATGTCTGGGCATGGTTGAAGATCTGCAATTGAGCATGATTTATTCTAGGCTTCTATTATGCTGCCTAATGATGCAATCCATTTCTTGAGATCGATTGAATTCCAATTCGACTCCCTCCCAAGGAGCTCGATGTGAGCCTCATAAAGTTCTGGTTTGATTTATGAATAACCCTTCATGTGGGAAATTAGACGAAAATCCTGTTAAGATCAAACTATTATACCAGGAATACTGATGAATACAGATCCTGCGAATTTCTGAGAATGCTTGACTGCCCCTGCCTACCTTTGGCTTCTGGGTTATGTCTCAGTTCAAGTTTCTCTCTTTGTTATTACATCTTCCTGCTTAAGTTAGATATAATGATATAATTAGGTGTATTACTGATGGCTTGTTATATTTGGTGACATAATAATATATTATACAGTCTTGATTTCTGTTGATTGTTTGCATGAAGGAAATGGGCGGGATTTTCTTAGTGGAATGATCCCATTTCTCTACATAAACATGATCGAGATCCTAAAATTAGCTCTTCTGCGCACAATCTCCTATTTTTCTACAGAGATCCTGATATCTGGGATGGAATCTACAGGTTTTTTATGACAAAGAACATGAGAACTAATGGTGGTGAGAATCTGGAATGCTGAATCATGGAACTCTTTGGCACCAAGTCCGAAAAACAGCCATGTCTGAATTACCTGCTTTGCCATAATTCAAGACATGAATTATCCTAGGATGGACTGAGAATAATAAAAAATGAATTACATAACATTTGGGCAATTCTTATACAAGGGAATCTCTTTTTCTTTTTCTTTTCCTTAATGAATCCTAGCCTTGAGCCACCAAATGGGTATGCTTGGGGTTTTAATTTTCAATTGATCAGACCTATCTTAACATTTGCTCTCTAATTGTGGTTGCCATGTGATACACATGCAATTAAATAAATAAAACACGTCTATGTTTTTAGTTTTACCTCCTCTTTTTCAATTTGTCCTTCATGACATCACAAAATACATCACGCTTAATATTGTCTCTTAATTATTTTTCATTGAATATGAGAGGGACTCATGATATGTCCTAATTACCAATTGAACCATTTCTATTTTTGCATAGACAATTTTACCCTTGTCTAAGCAAAAGAAATTAATTCATTGATAATTTGAAATTAGAGTCACTGCTGGTAATGCTTAAGTTTTGATAATATTTCTTGTTAAAGGATAACACAAGTTCTTAAGTTTTACCAGTCAAAATACCAATTATTGAAGTGTACCATTTATGCCATGTACTTTTTACAGATTCTTTGACTCCATAGAATATAGTATTATGCAATAATTGGTAAGCTTTAATTGTACCTCAGAATATTAGAAATGATTATTTCAATGGTATAGTTATTTATTTTGAAAGATGTAGTCATAACATTGGATAGTACCCATTAATCATTTACGTCGTGATATAACTGGCACCATTTTTGAAGTGTTTCTTATGTAAAAAATAATATTATTCTTAGGTTTCTAACCAACGTAATCTTAAATTTCATTTCTGAAATATAGCTGTATAAATCAACCTCCTAGATAGTTTTAGTTAGCATGATATCAATTAGTCATATAATTGGAAAGGGTTCTTCTCAAAAAATAGCTAGTCATTAGAATAAATATTTCCCATACCTAAAATTCATAATAATAATTGATTTTACTTATCTTCCATTGGTTTACTAATTGCCACTGCATTAAGATGCTCGATATCTTGTTAAATAGTTACTTAGAAGAGAATGGTGACTGCCTACAAAAGAGTTTAAGACCCAAAGCTCTACGAAAAATTAGTCATAATTAGACCACACTAAAAGTAAGGTAAGTTACTTGAATTATGTTATTGATAATGATATAATTGAGCTAAGTAAAACCCAAATAATTGACTTAAAGCGTAGTTGTTGGTATTTTATGATTTTGAATGCTTCAAAAGTTTCGTTGGAATTATATTGTTTGCACTTTGTTTGTTTCTAGTAAGTTACTAAAGGAAAAGTTCACAATATAATTGATATGGATGGTTAGGTTTACTTTCACAGTTTTTAGATTTATCTTTATTTTTTTTCTTCATAGCTCTTCTAAGGTGACATTTATGTAGAACTTTTTCTATAAGAGAGAATCGAAGGCTCCCTAAGACGATCCTCGACAAAGGCTCATTGCATCTTCCGCCCGCTCATCTTCATATTTTCCTATTGAATCAAAAGTGCGTAAGGTCGAAATAGGTCAGTCCCACTTCCCGATGGTGGTATCAGATGAAACCTGGCAGTCGAGCATCGATCGCCACTTCGAAGAACGACGGGACGGGAGGAGGGAGCGCAGAGGGAGCGGAGCGAACCTCAGGATGGCTGGGACCGTAGCCGCTATTCGGAAGACGATGGATGATAGGCGATGAATGCGCATCCGCTCTATAGAATAGAGCCTCCTCGATGGGGGGATCAGATGAAATCTTTCTTCCGAAAATCGATCGCCACTCGAAGAACTCGAGGTGGAAGAACGGTGGGACCGGAGGAGGAGGGAGCGAAACTCAGGAAGGCTGAGAAAATTGTCACCATTGAAAACGAAAACGATTGATGATGAATGAACATCCGCACTGTAGTTGACTCATTGTTTTCGAATGAACCGTTCGCACGTGCTATCCGCACGCGCGCTGGCATCTAACCCGTTCGAAATTTCAAACGCCATCCCCATAAATGAGGGCGCCATCCCCATAAATGAGGGCGCCTTCCCCCATCCTCCCCCCCCCCCGTTCCGACTGAGCGCGGCGAAATAGATGAGGAAAAGAGGTGGTGCATCAGGAAAATCCCGTGCGGACCGCACGACGTTCCGCAAGTCTCCTCTTCCGGCGACGCCGACGCCCACCGGAAAGGCCTCCTCGGAGCCCCGAGATCTCCGCTTCACCGCGCTCACCTCTTCCGGGAGGAAAACTGTAACTATGTTGGCGTCGCCGCTTCACGTCCCCACCGTGACCACGCCTTCGCCGCAGAGGACTGTGGGGACTATTGGCGACCTCAAGGAGCTCTTCTCTTCCCGAAGTTGTGCTGCCAAGAGGATCCTGGACCACAGCCACTCTGAGATTGTCAAGGAGCTCGAGGCCTCCAGAGTGAGGCTCTCCAAGCGTTTGAAGGTGAGGACGGGCTTCCTCCTCATTTTCTTACGCTAGATCTCGAAACAGCGCCGTTAATTTTTTAACTGACAATCCTCTGATCAAGTCGTGGTACTGTACAAGGATCTCCTGTTTTGCTACTAGTTCGCAGACATTCGCAGACATTCGCAGACATTCGCAGACGATCGTGAATTCTTGACGGATGACAATGCTTCGATCATGCATTCCGAATTAATGCATTTCGATCTCGAATCACGAGCTTAGCCGTGTTTTGGAACAGCTATGAGGTTTTACTTTCGACTTTCGTTTTCTCATGTAAACTTGGCGTAAATAGAACATGAACTTGGTTAACATAGTGATACGCACCATTTCTTCTCTTTTTATTGTACACTAGCGTTTTATGGCCCTCGTGTTGCAGGGAAGTTGTCGTGCCTCTTAGTTTACGTTTGGCATTATTTGTTCTGATCCATATCAGGCCTCATCTACGTTTCTGTTTCACAGCTTCAGATGCAGACATGTCAGCAACTCTCAGAAGAAGTGGAAAAGGACTATAGGAAAATGTCGGAGAGAATCACGGAGAACATGGAATTAATGAAGGTCATTAATTAATTAATTAATTACCTTAACGGGAATACAAAATTTTAGTAAACTTTTCAAAGCACTGAGCTCATCAGCTGCTGTTGTGTTTTGCAGGCTTCATATACGGAACTCATAACTGAGGCTCAGGCATCGGCATCTCGTGGTAAAAATTAAGACATTTTGTGGCACCACATAAATTTCTAGGCTTGCAGTATTTTTCTCTGTGACAAAGAAATTTCACCTGCTCAGTTATGTTGTGAAATGAACTTTAGTCAGCCAATAACCGGAAATTTGCATTAAATATAATGTCCTTTTGATTGCTTCGATGCAATCATTCCACTAGAAGCCAGTAATTCATGAAGATCAGGATATTTTGTGGCTATCAGCATCTTTCATTAGCAGATGCTACTACTATATTAGAACACCTTATGGCGATGCCATCTCATTGATTTTCTTTTTTCTTTCGATATCCTGGGTAGTGTGCAAAGTGACCATCCTGGAGCTTGCCCAATCTTTGGAAAAAGCAATTGACAGTCTGCGTAGCCGGTACAAAGTCCCGCTGACCTCGGCGTAACAGAAAATTTAAGGTGGGAATTGGCGTCTCTGTTAGTCCGGCATGCTCCATATAATTAACCATTTTAAAACAATTTTGGAGCAATTTAGATGTTATAGTTGGAAGCTAGGTTATTCTAAATGGCATCATGAGTTATGTTGTCGGTCAACAAACCAACAGAATTAATTTATTTATCCCGCTCATTTGCTACACTCAACAATCTCTGTTTCTTATCCTCTTTCCAATGCCTGCTCACCAGGTCGGGGAAGTGGAATTATGTTCTTTAAGAATGGAATCGCTACTCCTTATCCTTCTATACGTCGTCACCGGTCGTTACACCTTGCGGGTTACTGTCTTAGTTACAGTACACGCGCGGCGCAGTCATCTCCCAAAGCTCAGACTCAGAGGGACAGAACGGGCCGAGCATTCATAAACTCAACAGGTATATCGTAGAATATCGATACCATATTCTCTTTGTTTTCAGCTAGTAGGTTTTCCTCTTGTTAGAATGCTACCCCGCGTGCCGGGCCGCACAAATAGTGGGCAGTCTAATACGAAATAACCTTACCATTGTCATCCGCCCGTATTCCAGACCTACCAGCTTCATCGATATCAAACGCCCGTTGTACATCGATTAACTAACCGTCACATTTCAGAGTGTCTTCTAATCGCCGCGAATAGTTGCCATACCATGCTCAAAACCCCTTGTAAGGGTACAGTTACTCCACAGGGTATTATCCCAGAGTCGCAGAAGAAATTCGCGCTCTCTGTCAGGCTCCTCTCAGCTTCTGAAGCAGAGATTTTGAAAGTTCTAGTTGTTCTGAAAGACAGATTTGAAATGGGTGAGCACCGGAAAAGCGACGAAAAGGAAAAAACGAAAGAAGCTCGTTTTTTGAGGCGACGCCTTGCTTACTCTGCTCAAAAGCTGTTGCCACCTTAACTTCCTTCCTGAAGTAGATAATGCCGTTTCTCTGATACACAGCCTGCGAGAATGAACAAGTAGAAGCAACTCACCCCTCTTGTCTCAACTCAGAATCTCTGACTCCCTAAGTCAACGCGGATCCCCGAATTAACAGGAAGAAAAGAAAGGTCGAGAGGAGATTCCGCTTACCCGGTTGGGGTGGAGGCTATTGAGCTCCACGACGGCGACCTCGTGGCCCCGGATCTGAACAACTCATGCGGAATAAGGAGGGTGAGAGGGAATAAGGAGGGGGAGTGGTCAGGCGGGATCGCGGCCTACCTGCTTAAGGAGCTTCTGTTCGGGGTCTCCTTCAGCCAGCGCCTCCACCGACGGGGCGTGAGGAGCCGCCGCCATGGCCGCCGCGTCGCCCTTGGAAGGGTTCGAGTTCAGTAAGGAAACTTCCTTTGGGAGGGTCGCTCCGTCTACCGGCCGACTCAATAAGCGACCAGTTGTTGAGGCTTCGCCAGGGAGCAGGCCCGTTAGCAAATTCTTGCCCACTAAGGCTCCGGCCACGTGTCCCACCGACGGATTCTTTGATTGGCGCGACGTGGCGACTTCCGTGGAGGAAGTTGAGCGGTGCGGTTGCTTTTTCTCTCTCATAACCCAGCCCCAATGCCCCCCCTCCTTTTTTGGGCACTTGGCGAGAGATAAGTTTAAACCTTTGGTATACACGTGTGTTCATCAGGGGACAAGAAGGTGGTCTCTGGGCAACTATTTCGAGGACAAGGTAGCTAGCTGCATGTGAAGGGCCGGTAAGGAAGGCGTTTGGGTGGTGAGCGTCGTTAGTGAAGTAGAATAAATGGGCCGCCGCCAAACGGCTCGCCGACGTCGTCTACTGGAACAACCGAGTTAGTTGTAAGACCTCTGGAAGGGTTGTTGCGAGTCCACCGAGCCGATGAGGCCCGGCGCCAGGCGAGCCCCAGCCGCAGATGCCGGTTGACTCACCGTTGCCCTGCGACACGTGGCGGCGGCGGCGGGTTTTGGCAGGACGCTACCTCCAGACGAAGCACGCGTCACCGATCCTCTCTCTCTCTCTCTCTCTCTCTTGCTGTGTCTCATTCGGCTGGGTTGGCAGGTTGTTCGGAAGAAGGGTTGCCGAGAGGGAGGAGAGAGAAAGACCAAGGCAAGGAGGGGGTAGATGTGCACGTGAGAGATCCAAGAAGGGGGAGAAGAGTGGGAGGAGCGACGACGGAGGATGATGGTGATTGGAGGGAACGGGGGGGGGGGGGGGCTATAAAAGTGGCGTGGAGGAGGAGGAAGCAACTACTCACTCTACCTGGGTTTCGTGCAATTGGCCACCATTGTCTCTCGTCAGTTTCTTAACCGCCCAGAGTCCACTGTCTACGGAAGAGAGATGGTGAAGAGTCGGGAGAGGGTTAGGAAGGCAGAGAGGGGAGCGGCGGAGGCAGCGCCGGCGGGGAGGAGCAAGATGAAGGTGAACAAGGGGGCTTGGACTGAGGAGGAAGATCAGAAGCTAATCGAGTACGTAAGAACTCACGGCAATAGGAAGTGGAGGACCCTCCCCGCCAAAGCCGGTAACTCTCTCTCTCTTTCTCTCTCTCTCTCTCTCTCATCCTGGAGGACTACTGAGAGGAGATCCGTCGCCATCTGCGGCAGGGTTGAACAGGTGTGGGAAGAGCTGCAGACTGCGGTGGCTCAACTACTTGAGGCCCGGCATCAAGAGAGGAAACATCTCTGAGCAGGAGGAGGACATGATCATCCGCCTCCACAACCTAATTGGCAACAGGTTCCCTCTCTTTCTCTCTCTCTCTCTCTCTCCGATCATTTGTCGGGATGACGACACATCAATCAGCAACGGGCAAGAGTCTCTTCGGAAACACACCTCTAAACACTCACCACTGTAGAAAGGAGGATTAATATGAGAATCTTCTAATGGCCCTTCAAATTGATGACTGATGGAGAAATGCAACGCGGTTGGACAGGTGGGCTCTTATCGCGGGTCGACTGCCTGGTCGAACAGACAACGAGATCAAGAACTACTGGAACACCCACCTCAGCAAGAAGACGCTCACGATCACCGACCTCAACAACAGGCTCAACGGGCAGGAGGGCCCGGACGCCGCTTCCGACTCCGAGAACCCGCCAAGCTCCGGCGGCTTTCCCACCAGCTGGCTCAATACTGAGGACCAGCAAGCCTGCCGCGACGCGTGCCCGCAGCAGTGGGACAGCGGCGAGCCGGGGGAGATGTCGTTCGACTTGAGCGAGCTCTTCGGCTTCTCCGAGGTCATCGACTTTGCCCAGCTGGAAGTCGGTGGCTCCTCGGAGGATGATGCGCTCCCGATCTGCCCAAGCCCCTGGACGGCACCGGCAGACCATCCGTTCGATTCCCCGCGGTTCGGAGGGGAGATCTCCAATCTGGGTGTGGACCTAGGGACGTGGATGGACGATGCCGATTATCCCATGCTTTAACTGAATCTTGAACCCCGGCCATTCCAGGATGTCCCTCCTCTCTCTCCCTCTCTTCCCTCTCTCTTTCTACAAGTGTAATGAATGATATAGGAATGAATTAATTCCTAGTAGACCACCAATAATGAAAAGATTTGAAGCTTAAACTCTATCGTTCGTAAACTGACAGGTGTGATCTTCGAGGTTTGATCCGCTGTCATCGTGACCTCAGAAAAACAGCCGCAGCCGTACAAGTGCGTCATTTATTTACATGATAGGGAATGATGACTCGAATAAGACAATGGTCCCGAAGCCGGAGGGTTGTCCGCTCAGCGAGAGAGAGAGAGAGAGAGAGAGAATGGCAGTGATGCAAGGCGATCCACAGAGAAATCTGTTAGGATAAAAGGAGGCAGACGACAATGGACTCGGAACCTAGATAGGAACACCCTAAGACTAACAGCGATCGGACTGCAGTCAGCTGCCGTATTCGACGCCACATCTCCACCGTGAAGAAAACTGGGCTTGGGCCCGCCATCGCCTTATTGAACACCCCTTTCTCTCTCTCTCAAGTAACATTAGCGTGAGACGTCTATGCAGCCGACAGACCAGATGACACATTTATTCGCATGTAGTAACTGGGTCATTGTCGTCTTGGTATCACAGATGGGGTCGCCGGCTGCTACCACATACGTACAAGACACGGACTCAGAACACAAAGCACACGGGCAAACCACACAGAGCACAACCTACTTATTCATAGGACGGGGGGCGGGGGGCGGGCGGAAGAGCCGACGGTCATGGTTGGTCACTTCAGCTGACAACCTTCCGGGGGGCGGTCCTCGCAGCGGCCGGGATCTCATGAGGCCGACCGAGGAGGTCCGGCTGGCCGTGCCAGCCCCCCGCCTTCATCGGAGGGGGCACCTCCTGCTGCCGCCACTCGGCCTGCGGTGGGCGGGGAGCTGGGCCGCCGAGCGTCATCTGACCCAGCTTAGAAGCAGCCTCCGATACCCTGACCGGAGGTCGCCTCGGGTGAGCAGAACCTGCAGGAGAGGAGCAGCGGCGTCACAAGAAGGCATCATCGGCGAGCGAGTAGGTCAAAAGATCAGCGATGACGGTAGGCACTGGCCTGGATTGTTGTTTCTCAGAGGTGGCTGATATCGGGGCTGTGGCCGCTGCGCACGGGTCTTAGCAGTCTTTTCGTTGTTTTTCTCCGTCCCCTGCAGTGTTAGACAGAGAGAGTGAGAGATGAAGAGTCAGAAACTGACGTCAATGTCTCCAACCCGCCATTATTCTCTGTTTAAATCGTAACCCCAAACCTGATAATCCATCTCCAGCTTTCTCTGGACACCTGTGCAAGAGCATGAATCAATTACTTTAATCTCTCTTAAGGATATGCCAGTGAGCGGAAAGGGAGCAGCTCTACTCACCCGCCTGTAAGGAAGTGTTCGCCTTGGTGAAGTTAATCGCCGGCTTCACGATGGGTATAGCGCAAGTATAATTCGCAGAGAGAGCTCCCAGGGAATACCTCCGCCCAGCATTCCGCTGCTCCACTGCTTCCTTCGTTCCAACTGAGAATAAACATCGCGACTTTCAGGTACCAACGCAGATAGTTTTCTTCGTAAAAAGATACCCAAAGACTAGTGTCAGGTCCACAGAAACAGACCAGACGGAGAAGTGTGGTGCGTTGTCCCAGTCGCCCTCGGACGAAGCGAAGGTGGGACGTAATAGTGGCAAGGCTGCATAAGAAATCCTTTCTTTAGGATTCAGAGGAAACCCTAACCTCCAGGCTAGATGAGGGATGATGGGAGAAGAGTCACCTGGAAGAAAGGATGCTGCAGGGCCTCTGCAGCACTCGGCCGCCTGCGAGGATCCCAGGAACAGAGTATCTGTACGCAGAGGGCGGTTAAGGAATATCTCAATGAAAATGGGTTTCCGAACTCTTAATATAAAATATAAATAAGTTGTGTTGCTCACTGTGATGAGGCTGACGGCATCCTCACTGGCTGATGGGATTAGCGCTGATAGAGGAACACCTGAGGACTGCAGAGTCGAATGTGAGGGGCATCAGATTCGAATGGCGTGCGGAGAGTTCAACAAAGAACCGAACAGGAGAGACATGACTAAGGGATGCAGGGAGACAGTTTCATCATTGGAGATTGATGATTGCCCAAAAACAATTGATTCGCATGTAAGAATCTGAGAGTATGCAGGATAGTTTCATATGATAATTTCAGAAACGCGAAGATTACCATGCACTGCTGGGCGGTATAAAGAAATCATCTTTATCTTTACAATGGTAAACTAAGTCATCTTTTTTCAACTAAATAACATATTTTCTTTTCACGTCTAATAGATTACATAATTTCTCCCCATAAAGAAGTAATTAAGAGATAACAGCCCTTCAAAAACGCATTAAAAAATTATATCTCATCATCCAGCAAGGGAAAAAGATAGAAATGCCAACTATAAAAAAAGTTAGAGCTCGCATTTATTTCTCGCTCATCATCCTGAGAAAGTAATTCTCTGGCTTTGCCAAAATTTCATTCAAATTAATTATGAGCATCCCATTTCAAGAAACAAGAATCGACAAAATTTTGGAATCACTTGGCAAAAGATGGAAGCTAAATTTACAAGAACAAAGAGATCTACTAAAATTGTTACCCATAAATTGCAATATTGATATACTCGGATAATCAGCAACTTGATTACATGGTAATGCCCTCAATAGAGGCAACAAATAAGCAAACCAATAGCAATCGCATGTAAAGAAATCTCAACTACACTTCACCACAAAACTGACCTGTGGAAACTGATACTTCATCTCATTTGCCAGACGTAATCCCTCAGCCCAAGAGTTCTGATTAGGAGAGCCAATGACACTGCAGATTTTGTAAATCTCATCCACTTCACTGCGTCCCAGCCAGAAAAAGGAGAAAATAGAAGAATTAAGTTAAAGCAAGTTAAGATGATCGATAACCTGCCAGTGTTGTCAAAAGGAAGAAATCTATCACGGCAGATAATACCACTTATTTGTGCAAGACGACACGCCAGAAAAACCGATACCACAAGCAGTGGGAAGGGAGAGAAACCAACGAAAACAAAGAGCAAAAAGCTCATGACTAGGGCTTTCCTGATTGGGTAAGGACCTATCATTCCCAGCACCTGATGCAGGGAAAAGGTCACGTGAATCATAATGAAATTCGCTTTGGATTCCATCAGGATGTGAGAGCTCGAAGACCTCGCTACAACAATAATTCAGTAAAACCGTGCAAACGGTCATTCGGTAAAAGTGCATAATTTTTTAGGTTATTTTTAGTACAATAATGAGCAAGTATTGGAAAAACTCAAATGTAGAAATCTAAACAAGAAGAAATACCAACAACAATAAAAGTGTACAACATGGAAATTTAACATACTAATTGGATGGGTACAAACCTCGAACCAGGGAAAAGTGGACGAAGTGTAAATAACTCAGCCATTATAGCGCCCATTGCCCACATATCTACAGATGAAATGCAATACAACATTAAATATATGTACATTGGATGCAGTTATCAGGTGATAATCAATTACAATTTGTCATTACCAACTTCAGCGCCATATATAGGTGACTGAAGCAAAACTTCTGGGGCTCTGTACCTGAAGAATATACATTTTCGGTAATAATAATTTAGAGTACTTAGATGCAATAACTGGTATTGAAAACCACAAGGGAAAATAGAAGAAGAATATCAGAGGATGGCCAACCAGCGGGTGGAGACATATTCTGTATATGGTGGCTTCGAGCAAACTTCTCGAGCAAGTCCAAAATCTGCTACTTTGATAATGTCTTTCGTAACAAGCAAGTTTTCTGAAATTCACCAAGCAACCGAACCATTGATTAAGTGAAGGAAATACGTAACCCACAGAAAAAAAGAGGAAACTTATATTGTTTGCCCATTAACATAATATATACAGAGGTTGTATGGAAAGAAACGCATTATGTCCTGCAGATAACACCATGAATATTAGAGTATGAATGAGCTAAAACTGGATAAGAGTTCTGACTCCAACCATGGTGGAGTTAGTCAGAGTTAACACGAAACAGAGAAGACTTGACCATTTAACCTGGCCAACCCAGCCAAACAGACTTTTCCGAATCAGTGTACAGAATTCAAATCAAGATAGTCACCCCCAAAGGGAGGGGAAGAGGGGTCTTGAACGTTTGAATACTTCATTTTCTTCCCTTAGACAAAAAAGGAAGAGTTGGGGCATGCCTCATCACATCCATCAAATAAATAATCACATCATTTCCTCGAGCTGGTTTCAACCAACCCTGTTTTCCTCAGCCTAGGGATGCATAGAACTTTTCAACGAGTTGGCCTGTGAGATGAAGGCTTGACTTCAAACAATAGTTTCAATCATTCCAGAAAAACTCCTGACAACAAAACAGCAGAGATGGACCCTGATCTATGCCATGTTCAACTCAACATCAAGACTAAAAGCTACTTCAGCTGGGCATTATTGGTGAAAATCTGCATGATTCCGAGTGGGTCAAAGCGACTTCTCCAGTCAATTGAAACTCCCGTTTTTCGGACATGTGGAGCGGAAAATTACTAAAAATGAAAAGCACTTGATGATAGGGTCAGACCATTAAGAAAAAAGTTGGACTGAAAATGAGAAGCCTAGAAGTGTAGAAAGATTGAAGGGAGATCAAATATGTGGTGAAAACTCTAGCTTTCTAACGAGGAAATTATAAAAAACTAAATTAGTAAAGCAAGAATCCAACGTTATAGATATATTGTAGATAACAACAAAGGCATAGAAGATACTGAAGCTTACCAGGTTTTAGATCACGATGAAAACATCCACGATGATGCATGTACGCAAGAGCATGAAATACTTGAAAGCACCAACTCCGGATTTCAGCCTCAGAAAAAAGTTTTGTTCGATCCTTCATAAGTTGGTACAGATCGAGCTCCTGGAAGAAAAAGGTCACAGTCCTCACCGAAGATGAAAATTTAAAAAATAAGCAATTAAAGTAAATAGAATAATGTCATCACAGCCATACCATGTACTCAAACACAAGATACAAAATGTCATGCTCTCTAATAACCTCCTTCAGCTTCACAATATTTGGATGCTCCATCATTCGCAGAGACTGCACAATAGACAATTGTTGTAAAAAATTAGCACCAAAATGATGAGTACAAGTTCTTCGTTCCATTTATCGTGTTCAGCAGACAAGAAATATTAAGGACGAAATTCACCAACCTTCACTTCTCTGAGATTCATACACTCCTCCCAAGTGTAGTATTTCTTCTTCATTTTCTTAATTGCAACCTAAGATAGAAAAGCAAGCAGATTAGTAAATTTTTCACCTTGCAGAGAAAACATCAATTCCATCCCAAATTACATACAACTTCCCCAGTGAACTTATTTACTGCTCTCCAGACACAACCAAAGGTTCCATCACCAACCTCCTTAATCACTCTGTAGCTGTAAAAGGAAGCAGATATTTTGGAAAACGAGAAATAATGTAATAGAAGAATTACACTCATGCAAAATTGAGGACATACCAATCCATTCTTCCCGCTGAACTTTATAGGATTTCAGTTGCTCCAGTCTTATTCAGGGAAAGAATGACTATGTATACCCTAATTGTGAAACATTTTGACAGATCTGTATGTAAAGGACTACTAAATCGACTACTCCACACCCACTACGACTCGTGAATAGGATTAACGAAAGGAGACTGAAAACTTCTGATGAAGAGGGCTTCAAAGCCTTATTTCAGAAGTATCATGAGAGAACACAACCTGTTTCTAGAGAGTGTGCACGCACAAATCCAGCAACCTCTCCAGACCAAGGAAAAGAAGGAACCTTCTGGGAAACTCGGAGCTAGGAACATTTAGAATAGTTGGGTAACTCATATCAGCCAAAACAGAAAGAGAAGACTCCAATACGGCCGAAATGTGGTCCTCTGAGAATTTGGCGGTCCTGTAAGCTTCTCAAAACAACACTAAAACTTAATAGCCCATCAAGCTGGCCCATTCACATATGCAGCAGCAACAAAGAAATGAGCCAACAGGAATAAAGCCAGGCAGGAGCAGGTGAACTAGGTAGAAGTAGGAAAGTAAGGCTCGAAGGCTCTAACCCTGCAGGAAATTAGCACACAAAAGTAAGTGTTTTGGAGCGCACTGTTTACTGCATACTCACAAAAGTACTAACATATGTAGTAAGACATACCCCGCAAGACAGATGGCCATTGCAAAGATTCTTAGAAAGTAAAATGATCTCAAGCAGAAACCAGTTCAGGGTTAAGTGCCAGGGCATTTCACACAAAAGTCCTTGAGTTGGACTACTAGTAGAATCTCAATAATGATTCAACACAGAGTCAGAAAAGACATGCATCAGGCCTCCCTCGATGACCTTGGAGTAGCTGGACGCTAAGTGTAGTTTGCAAAGGAAACGAGCAGAAAGTTTCCAGAAATGAGAAACCTCCAGTCAAGAACTTCCTGGAATGATAAAACACAGTACTGGAAGCAACTTGACTGCAACCGCACTTGCTCCATATCTTAAGTATGGAAGTTAAGCCCACAACGGAGTATAGGACAGCCTACAGAAGGAAAAAAAACAGAGAAATTAATATATTTTCTAAGAGCTAAGTGAGAATAATCAGGGTAAAAATGAGAAGATGCAATGTAAGTCATTAAATGACAAAAAAACACCTGAAAATTTTGAATCAAGCATAACGATATTGAAAGAGAACGAACTAAGTTTCCATGAAAATAAGCTAAGTAAAAGAAATAGAAAAATAATCAATGAAATGATTCTTTAGCTAAATAATTACTGGACAGCTAAAGAATCAAATTAAAACATAACTTCAGTCAGCAGAAAACTGTTACCTACATACTATGCTTAACAGAAATGTGATGATTTGTCGTATGCCCTATTCAAAAAATGTAGATACGATGCATGAGCAATCAGTATTAAGATTAAATTTAATTTTCCTTGAAAGAGGGTAGTATACCTTAAAGCATACACTTATTTCATCATTTGTTTCACCATAAGTCTCAAATTAATAATGGTTCGAAGGATGTGGTAGTTTTTCGAGTGAGACTCCTAGATAATTTAATGTTTTAGAAATCATCACATAGAACCACTTGGAAATAAATTTATAGTTGATATGGCCTTTTAGAAAGCTGAGAGACTCTGGGCTCTAAGTTCATCACTAAATTCAAGTTTGCATAAAAGAGGCAAAACTCTCAATATGAGGAGGAATATTCATCGGATCGGTTTAACAAAATAATAGAGATGTAAGACATCTTGAATATGTGGATCAACAGGAAGTAAAACTCGATCTCCTTCGTGTAAGAAGAGTTTGCACGATAAGAGAAAGATTTGAATTTTAGAACATATTCGTAGATCGTATATTCACGGATAATTCTTCATAGGCATTACAAAACCCTCTTCGCCATGAACGAACGACTGGCTGTCGCATGCTAAAAGGTAGAAAGCTAAAAAGAAATCAGGAATTTACAAAATCATAATAACGAAAAACAACACTAACGCAAGCACATATGGAAGCAAATGTAAAAAATAAAGATCCTTCAGTGACTCATAAATTCCACTGCAGAACGAAGAACCCTGGAAAGCCGCCGTCCCCAAAGGAAGAAAGGACATCCGATTTTCCCAAACAAAAATATTTTGGGTGCCCTAATCGATCTCGCCAACGCAATCCAGTCTCCCCATCGGTCGATAACAACAACAAACCATGAAATCTACAAGCTACCCTTCACCCAAAAGATCTCTAAACCCAAGAACGATGACAGCATGGACATATGAACCACCGATTTCCTCTTCTGAAGTCATAACCCAAGTCAAAGCGTACGAACACGCAGAGAATAAAGGGGAAGCAAGCGGGAAAAACTACGGGGGGACGGTTACCTTGGAGATCTCCGGCATAACCTTCTACCCCGCAGGCAAAGAGGTTCCTAGGCTCCGCCTCTCCCCCTCGTCTCGCCGACCGCGTCCTATCTTTATATAGCAGGCGATACATAAAAAAGGCTGAACAGACCGAGGAAGGCGAGCCCCAAACCAAACAGAAATTCTCCCAAGAGGCTTCCAATTTATCTCCGCGTCAACTCGTTAACCCATTCCTTGTGAGCTATTTAATCTAACTTGTACCCAAGAGAAGAACACGCGTTCAGTGGTGGACTACCGATACCTCACGTCATTCCGGGGTAGAGCGACGGAACACCGAACCGCCGGGTTTCTCGGTCGTGACTCGTAGATGTCGGACGGCGACGTGATGTGGGGCTGCGTCGGCGCGCGAGCGGAAGCGTCGTGGCCCTTTAAGACATCCCCACGATTTCAGCCAAGCACCCTGTAATTATTTTTGAACGATAACATCCTCATTGGAGTTATGTGGTTCCATCATCTGAAAGTACCAAGGGGTCATCTGGAGAGAGGCGATCCTGGCCGTTCGATGAACAGTTCTTCCGGAAGCGTCTCACCGGGAATCGAGGTGGCCCCTCATGATTGATTCGCGTCTCCCCGTCGATTGGTTGAGAAGAAACGAGAGGCATTATTGTCTACTTCAACTACCATTATACCCTTGTTGAGAATCAAGTGGACACACCTTATCATCTGAAAAATAGAAAAATAACGATAATTTATCAACTAATTAAGTGTACGCATTGTTCGGACGTTCATGACACAGAGCGGAGTCCACTTGTACCTGGCATGTATCTATATATAGGGGGGGTGGGGTGACGGAGAGAGAGAGAGTGAAATGGGACCCTCCTTACTTGACAAACCCCGTTCAGGTCGAACCAAGATGAGAGAAACGAATTAAAATGAGACCAATAATTAAATAACAGTTTTCCCGGAAAATTATTGTTAATGGGCTGGTCTTAAAATGGTCGAACCATTGGGCCCATTGGGCCCATTGGGCCCATTGTCGATCACTTATATTTGGTTAGGGCTGCATCCGCCCACCTTTCTCTCTCTCCCCCTTCCCGCCGCATCTACTTGAGAGTAGGAGGGAAACCCCGGGGGGTCGCCGAAGTCCATCCCCGCCTCTTCTCCATAGATTCCCAAGTCTACGGTGGGCGGCGGCGTCTTCGCGGTGGATAATCTATCAGGAGAGTCATGGGTGTGGAATTCACTGGAAACCACGAGATGGAGATTGCCGTGGAGGAAAGCGGCTACTTCAGCGACTCCGAGGTTGTCGCCCATGTCCAGGAAGCCTTACAGTCCGTCGCTCTGGTAAGCATACACGATTGGTCTTGAATCACGGGTGTCTAGGTCTCTCTCTCTTTCTCTATCTCACTAGTTAAGTAGCCCATGTTCGTCTTCTCTATCATATTTTTTTCTCAGCCTTTGTCTTATTTTTGTCAGCGTTAATTACCTTTTATGGATCTGATTCTTCTGTTAATTGTGAGGCTTAACTGAATAAAGAATTTAATTTTAAAAGTTTGATTTTTACTTAAAAGTTTATGGGGAATAATTTGTCACGGTATGGCTCTTTGCATGGCGTAGGGTGATAGGGAGCAGTATGACTGGCTTTTATATGAAGTATTGTGTCCTACGAAAAGGATGAGTCCTGATCAAGAAGCTCTACTTTTGGTAGGGAAAGTTCCTACTTCTTTCTAAACTCAAGATTTATAGTTTTTTTGGAAAGCACGTTTTCCATATTGTAGTTGTAAGTCGTCTCTTTCTGCTTTCCAGACAACGCTTAGGGCTCTTTCTGGAGCTGTTCCGTACATAGACGCAGATTATCATCAGTCTTTATATTCTTTGGTGAGTCAAATTTCTGTCCTTCGGCTTTTCTTATGCTTTCTACAAATTTGATTCTCGTTAATATTTTTTCTTGTTAGATTTTTAAAATGAGCCTATGGAGGTGTGCGCCTGACGTGAGAGGTGCACTGATAGATTTAATCATCAGTCTGGTATGGTCTTCTTATCTCGATGGATAAGCGATTATTGACTCCCTGCTAAATATGCACTTCTCATCATTAATTTTATGAATTATTACCAGGCTGCTTCAAGTGGTGTATTCTTGGATGGGTGCTTGGATATGCTCGTTAGAAATTTTACCCCTCCAATAAAATTACAAGAGTCTCTAAGTGATAACGAATGGATCGCAAGAAAGAGCGATGTCGTTGACTGTGTGATGTCAGCACTGCAACATATCACTGACTTGGTCCCTCTTTCTCCTATGAGGCTCTGGCCAAAAATCGTGCGGGAAATGCCAAAATCAACTCGCAAGAAGGTATTTAGAAACCTCTGATGTTAGTTTTTATGAGCGTTGATTAGAATGATTTACCTGAAATTCGTTGTAATTCGAGAAAAGAAATTAAACATGTGATATATTGGTTGAAAAAAAAAATTGCAACTTAAATTTATGATTTTTATACCTGGATGAAACTTCATTCAATATATGCATTCTTTCTCTAATTTCTCATATTTTTGTGATATTATCGTCGGTATTCTTGGTCAGGAATGAGAATAGGAGCCAATATGTTTACTGTTCCAAGTACAGGCGAAGTTTTCCATAATCCTTTTTCCTGCAAGTCTATATTTTCTCCTGCCTGCTATTCTCAACGATTACGTGCTTCTCTATTCATCTCGTGGTGATTGTTCTGTCACCTATATACCTGTCTTGGTCATGGGAGAACATCTTTTTCTTGGCTTTGGCTATTTGCAATTCTATGCTGCTCTTTCAGCCATGAGAGAACGACTTATTTTTGGCTTTGACTGCTGATATGCTGTTATGATATCAATGCATAAAATCCTAAACATATTTTCCGGTTTTTACAGGATCTCTTGTTATACGTGGAATGCATGCTACGATTGGAGAGGAGCATGATTGGAAAATTTGTTGGAAGCTTATTGCTGAAAGCATTGATGGATCGGCTGCTAGATTTGGATGTTAGTTTTTTTATGTTTTATTTTTATCTTGTTACTTTTGGATACTTGTTTTATCCATTCTAGGCTTTTGATTTGTTTCTAAATTTTATAGACGGATATTAGTTGGGAAGATATAGCTCAGGAAGATAATAGCAGAGGAATATTTGACATGGAGCTTGAAGATGTACAAGAGAATGCAGGCGATGACAGAATTGAAAAGGTAATGATATGGTGTTTCTGAAGGCAATCGTTTACATTCTTGTTTAGTTTTGACTAGAATTTTTATAATAATTTCCATGGTGAAATTTTACGTTTCCGTTTGTCTCAGATTCAACAACTAGCCCAAGATTCTTCTCAGTGCAACAATACTAATGAAAAGTTAGATATTATAGATGGTTTGATGGCGCTTACTTGTGAACATCTAAAGTCATGTGTCGATGATGGCCGTCTGATCCAGGTACTGTTTGAGTGCATGCTGTTAGAACACTTTTCTTCAACATTCCCAAATCACACTGCAGTAAAAGGGAAGGAAGAGTGGAGCAAAGGTAATTGTGTGGTGCTGTCCCATAGTGAGCACGGATAATGGAAACAATTAACATCACTTCCCCGTCCCATAGCGAGTGGGAGCATGTCAAAAACAATGAATTAAGGCCCAGTCAATTAACACTCATATTTTGAAAGTGCTTAACATTTTTTGAATTATCATATCAATCCTTTAAACTGTTTATGAGCAAAACATCTTATTTTGTGGTACTTTGTATGATAATTAGTCTAACTGGTAAAATATGTAAAGTTGTCTTTAGTTTTGTATGCTAAACCTTTGTCTTCATAGAATCCGTTTCATTATTAAACACTTTGTTTCGGCCGTTATCTGATCATGTTTTTTAGATATACGAAACTCTGTTTTGTTGAGGACTCATTAGTCATCAGACAGCACATTAGTCATAATCATGTGGTAAACCATTCTGATTACATATGTTGCACTATGCCCCCTTATTTTACCCGAAATAAGTGATTAGCATTTTTGTTTCAAATAATCGATCTTCTTTTTTAGATTGATATTTTAAAGCAATTTTACTGTCAGCTGACTCTTATTGCCGTAATTTCAAGCAATTTCAACATAGGCCTGAAGATGATGTAAAGTCATTCTGCATTCATATTTAAGATTATCCTTTTTGACCTTTGACTAAATATTTTTTATTATGATAGGTATTTGGAACACTCCTTGAATCTTTCCAGAAAACTGTTTTGAATGCTTATAAATCAAAATTTGCCCAGGTAATTCATTCAGTCAGTGGCTTCTTTTCTATTATGATTATTATCATAATGCTCATATTTTCTTCATTTTAAGTTATCTTCCTATCTGCATTTTGTTGCATTTATTTCCTTTTGCTGGTGTTTCTCTTGACTCTGTCCTCTTTTGCAGTTTATTGTGTTCTATGCTTGTTCTCTGGATCCGGAAAATTGTGGTGTACGATTTGCTTTCACACTGAGGGATATATTCTTGTCGAGAACCAACCCACCTCTGTTTAGGTAAAACCCTGCACCCTTGATTATACAATTGTACCCTTGATTTTTGTGCAATTCCTCATTTACTGTAAAGTTGTCACTCTGTTCAACAAAAGTTTCCCTTTGGCTATGAACCTCCTTTGATTTGGATTTTGGATCGACTAAACTCTTCTATTTTCAACCCGGACTGGAGAAGAAGAAATGTACATTAAATCAGATCGTTGTCTCTTGATCTCCGGGGATCAGGTTAAAAAATTAACGGTTCTACTGTTCTAGTTCTATAAAAATACTTCACATTGAAATGGAGCTTTGATGACTTTGACTTTTGTTCTTTTCATTTTCTAAGTCCGAGTTCTTTGTTAGAGTATGCTTAAATATGATGCTCCTGTGACGAAAAGGTTACAGTGCAAGAATTCTTTGTTGGAATGGCTCTTTTCCTACAGTTTCAACTTTGATCGAAAAATGTGTATCATGACCCATTCCGACGATGACAATGCATTTCAGGTGGTTTATATTAAGAACACAATACTGTCATCAATAAGATTGGATTCTATTATGAAAGGGAATAACATTGAAGGGAAATTGCCAAACTATTTTTGATTGGGTGTGAGAAGCATGTAGTTAGTAATTATATCTCCACTCCATTTTTTAATATTTTCTCATTAAGTTAAGTTGGAAGATTCTGAGATTTTTCTTTCAAGATTTGGCTGCTTACCTCTCTTTGATCCATACTACTGCTGACTGTTGATCCTCTCGTGTTGTATGCAGGATGAGTGCTGTTTCATATCTTGGAAGCTACTTGTCTCGAGCAAAGTTCCTTGGTTCATCACTGGTTTTGGAAATACTTGAAAGGTCGCCTCTCGTTCTTGTCTCATAGATAAATGAGAATTTATGCGATGTGCTAGCGAATTGAATCACAAGAGATCAGATAATTTACACATCAAGGTTATCTACTAATGGGGTGACAACTAGATGCATAGATTTTGTTTTTATGTAGTAAATGACTACGCATGCTGTCTTTAGAACTTTCTGGTGTTGCTTTTGGGGAATCGGTTTTCAATCTAGTTTTTAAAGTTTTTTCTCACACTTTTATGTCATAACAGTAAATACTGTTTGGCATCAGTTAATTAAGATGGTTCATGGAATTTTGAATTGCCGTCCTTCGTCATGCTTTGATCACAACAATCTGACACCTATTTTAAATGCGATGTGCAGTTTAACAGAGTGGTGCTTTGAGTATTGCCAGCTTATTGACGTCAACAGGACAGCTGAACCTAAAGTCCACAGAGTCTTTTATTCTGCATGCCAGGTTGAATGAATCCTAATTATCTCATAATCTATTCTTGATCTTCCTCCCTTTCAACTATCGATGCCTTCGTCATATATAAGAGGAACTTTGGCTTTTACTCGGACAGAAATAATTAGAATAGTTTTGTAAGGCATTTTTTGTGGAGAGCATGCCACGTCCACCAAATGATGTTGACATACGGTGGATAATTGTAGGGAGTGAGGAGAAGATAATTGTCTTAAATTTATCTTGAACATGAGCCGTGTGGTTATTTCGGTCAATCATCTTTTCCTGAAGATTATTAACCTGAGGTGAAAGTTTCCCAATTGACTGTTTCAAATTGTTTCCAAGTTTTAGTCTGAAAACATCAAAGTGGACAGACTCTGGTAAGTCTTGCAAAACGAGATGTATAGTTTCCTTTATCCATTAAAAACGAATGCATAAAAGAAAATAGAAAGAGACGATGACTAGGCAGTATAAGGAGAGGATTTCCTCTTCTATTCATCGATTATTTTATCTGATATTTTATGTGGTGTCTATTGGTTGACTCTTTTCTTAGTAAAATGCAGGCTGTAATGTACATCTTCTGCTTTCGTATGAGGTCATTGATGATCGACCCCCACAACAAGAGCCGAGTTTTCCATATGCCTTTCGAATCTGTTCTTCGCCATCCATTAGATCCTTTGAAGGTGAGCCGTTTAACGTGATTCCCTCAACACTTTTAGAAATCAAAATGTGTGGATCCCAGCGCGGCTGCTTCCGACACCAGCGTACCATTCTAAAATGCCCTATCTTGCTCCAATTTTTTTACTCGGACTCCTTTGGGCGACAGGTTTGCCTACCGTCTATAGTTGAGGAGTTTCTGCAGCAGGCAAAAGCCACTCATTTGTTCTCATCGTCAAAGGCCTTCATATTTGATAATTTTCTCGAATCTGAGTTATCCAAGGCCTTTGGGGGCATACAGAGGCTTGACATGTTCTTCCCATTCGATCCGTACCTGTTAAAAGGTTCTGACAGGTACAGTCACCTCTTCCTCCGTACTCACCAGTCTGACTTCAGTTTGGGTTCTCGTCTCAGCATATGCATATATATTTATATTCATATATTCTATTTTTCTCTGTTATTGGCGGATGTAATGTCTGTACATCGTAAATGCCTAAGCAAGGTGCAAAGCGCAAGCTAATGGCGGATGTAGAATCCTGTTTCTCAGAAGATAGTCGGTAATCCTTTAATTGTGTTCTTCTTTCCATTTTGAAGATATATTCGGCCGAGCTTTGAGTTCTGGTCCACCGTCAGAAAAGCCTATGATGGGGATGACAGTGAAGATGAGTACGATGGAGATGAAGACCTCGAGAATGGCCGGCATGGAGTGAGTCTCGAGGAAGTGGATTCTGAGGGTGGCTGTGGGCTCGACGGTGACCAGAACCCAGAATCCGAAAGTGAAGGAGAGGATGCAGATCTCGGGTGCTCGCTGAACAAGATGTCGATCACCCCAAAGGACACCACATTGAAGCACGGCTTGCCTGCCAATCTCGGACCCCCTGCCAGAATGCCCGCCAGGATCAGACCCTCTACAAGCCCGATTTGACCCGATTTCCCCCCTACGAGCTTCAGAGTCACCCTGGAAAGATGTCCCTTGGAAGTGGTGTTGTATACAGTTTTATCTGTTGGATCTCAGTTGGCAAGGAAGAATGTTACGAAGGCTGTGTTGATAAGGTTGGTCTCTTTTTTATCATCCTTCTTCGGGCACCCAAGTTCTGAATATGAATATGGTGGTGGTTTGGGCCTGATGTGAGTATGCGTAAAAATCGAGAGAGAGAGAGAGAGACGGTGGACTTATGAAGATCATCAGCTAGTTGCTCCTAAATTAAGCTGTCAATGCGAGGGTCGTCACTAGAGCTGTCATTTTAGAAAGGAATGGCGAAATGTGGGAGGGGACGATTTTCACTGAGACGTGTTATGTTACTAACATCTCAAGTGTCTCATGAACTTTCAAAGCATTGCCCATTCAACCTCTTGTCAAGTGGCGTTCACTTTTCGCCATCTCTGATACGAGAACGACTATCGAGTGCCCATTTAACTTCTTGTCAAGTTTCCAGAGGGCCCAGTCCATCCGTTTTGTTTTCGCGCAGGTGGCCCAAACAGAGAGGGGTCCATCTCCCACAGAACGCCACTGCTTGTGCTGTTCCTCGGATGATCATCCGTTTGCTTGAGAAACTCCAGCAAGAAGATGGATCCATCATAATTCCTGAACCACTACAGCCCTTTCACGGGTGGGCTTGGTGTTATTTACCCAAAGTCAAGGTGAGAGGTGTCGTGAGAAGAAAGTAGTCGCAAGGGAATCGAGGTGGTGTGGAACCGGGTAGATGATTATTTATTTCCTCATTGATATATTTACCAGTATTTGATTCTTTTGAGACGTAGCTGTCCAATGGGGCCTACTTTGATCTGGTTATAGTTTTAAGCAGGTCCATCTTCATTCATTTGCTCCTGAACTTGCCGGTGGCTCACTTGGTCGGCATAGTGCTTGATTTGTGCTGATCAAAATCTTGCTAAACTTGGATCGATTCACCCTTGTTGTCTTGGCCCTTTAACAGCCGTAACCTTTTCCCGCGGACTACTAACTTCATTTCTCAGCCTGTTCAATACGATCACCGACAGGTCTACACGACATCTTTCTTCTTTTTCCCTTCCACATCAGGGAAGCTAATGCGATGGGATTTAGGGGACAGCCTAGCTGAATGATGGTTTTTCTCACACATTTTAGTATAGAATAATAGCCACGGCCATCAGCAGGTTTCCCGCAGCCAGTCTCGTCTCTTGGCCTTGGCGTTTCACCTCTCTGTGATGCCGTACCAGCAGCGCAGATAGAAGAGCCCCACTGTGTTGTATTTATGGCCTAGGGCAAACCGTCGTAGAGAGATAAAGAGAGAGACCCACCTAAGAATCAAGCAGTTCCAAGAGAAATTATACTTTCATCACATACAAAAATCTCACTTCGAAGAAAGAGGAGGCAGATGGAGAAACTCTGCTTCCCACGCGAGAAGGTGATCAGAACACGCGATTCAGCCTTAGCATCCTGAAGAAATCGCAAGAAAAGTCAAACACCAAGAGGTTTTTCCTCACAGTTTCAGCTTCCGGAAGTCAATCTTCTGGACCGGGTAAGAATACGCTTCATAGTTGATGGTCTGTCCGAGGCCACTGAGCTTGGTGAGGGTTGTAATCAGATCCACCTGCCACCACAGAGGGAAGAACAGGACACTTGCTGAGGCACTTGGAAATTTAAAGAACCTTTTGAGCAGTGCTTCGCTGCCGTTGACCCATGAGAGAAACAGCAGGGGAGTTGACTCTCTGAATTGTATCTCAGTTGACCCACGGCCATTGAGCTATCTCAAGGTTCGGATATCCCCTCTAGGCACCAGCATTAGGGGAGAGACGTGAGTTTTTTTGGCGGGGAGCTCTCACCTCGTAATCAGTCTGAGAAACGGTTTCTCTGCTTCGCTGATACTTCTCGACCCAGGGACGGACCTCAGGATCCGAAGCTAGCAAGCTCTCTGTTGCCAGCTGGTTTGGACCCAGAAACGCTGACATCACTGCTAGCTGCAGAAGGAAGCGTTCGTGCAAACTTAGAAAACTTGGTTCCAGAGAGATTCTAGGTGGAATTAGACAGCGATTGGGAACTAGCAAGAGCAATAATACATTACAAACACCTAGGCTCTGTTTAAGGATGGTGATGAACGCAAATATCATGAAATCTCGATTCCTTGACCTGGGCAAGGAAGAGGTGAGGGTCACAGACTTTAATATGAAAGCATGAGTGCATTCCAGCAACATGGTCAGGTTTAAGGAAGCCTGGGTACTACGAAGGGAACCAAAATATATATTTTTAATAATATTAGCCAAAATAAGAAACTTATGGCCTTTACCGAGTCCCTAGTTCTCCTGTCGACTTTTCATGAGCGCAGTCACATGATTTAAGGACGCAACATTCTTTCTTTTGAGATCTGCAGAATATACAGAAGACAAAGCAACTTTGGGAGATCACCTGACGAGGACCCAAGCCTACTGCCGTGAACTTCGCTTTCATCTCCTGGACAGATGCCTTGTCCCACTGAGGGATGCGCCCTTCAGGGTCGGGTTCTTGGGAATCAGTCCGCCCAAATTGTCTGTCGAACAAGCCCCACTGTGAACATGGTCAGGAAGTAAGATTATTGCGGCCTAACTTGATGAAAACATCTCTTCATGGTAACAAAGTTACATATCAATGCATACAAACTAAGAGAACCCCACGGGGGAAGGGTATTAAGCTTTTCACCGTTTTACCTTCAATAAAATCGATCATCTTCTTGCAAATCATATGCTGTCAATTCCATAATCTGCCTCTTTTAAAAAAGTGGCGATCCCACAATACCATGGCAAGGAAATACTATCCAAGCGTCCCCAAATCCCAATTGTACACGGGCTATTAGACTGTAAATAAAACCAAATGTAAAGAACAGGAAAGGAGACTGTGATCTGGTGGCAGATTTGTACTGAGCATTTCTCCAGGGTAAACATTTAAGCCTGATTAAGAAGACAGTTTAGCGAGAGTGACCGTGTGTACTCCTCACATTTTCAGGACTTTCTATAGACAAAGGTAATAGGCAGCCACCTATAACCTACTTTAGGCCCTGTGAAATGCCTTGCAAGCGTTCATCCTTAGTATTTACTTTGCCTTTTCCAGGCCACAGAATGAAAGCTTGGAATGCTACGCCATCTTCCCTCCCAGAGACAGAGAGCCACATTTTGATGAGCAAAATTACTCCGCTACATGTATAGAGACTTGGGTTGGATCCAGAAACGGACCTGACCAGTAGAGCCATAGGCGGTGTAGAGTATCCTTCCCTTCTCTTCATTCCCACCACACTTTCGAATGGCAGAGTCGATGAATGTTTTCCTTACAGCAGATTGGGCTACACCGCATTCCAAGCATTGAAATAATTACTCACTTAGAATGATGTTCCATCAGAGGTAACACTATAAAAAATAGAAAAAGAAGCGATGGCAAAATTGAGAGGAAATAACAGTTCTTGCATGGTTGCGACGCGTTTGCTAGATTTGATCAAGCATTAACAGAGGAAAGACGGAGCTATGCCAGTGGGAACATCTATTTACATATGATTGCAGGGTCGGACTGGATAAAAGATGGCATCTGACGCGCAGCCACAGTCACATTTCTAAGCGACAATGAAGCATACTTTTTCATGAGCATGCATCAGTTATTGTCGTGTGTTCAACTGATAGCAAATATGAGCTTTCCAAATGCGCCCAAATGTAATTGAAGAATCGTTGGACTCCAGTTAAAAGGACGGCGTTCCTAAGAGTGCTCGCCCCACATAAATCAATGTTCGTATAGCAGTGTAAATACGAGACTTCCATGATCTTCCCAAGGGCCAATCATTTGTAAACGCAAAATCAACTATCAGCGACTCAAACTCTCAAACAGGATGTGACAATAGGTGTTTGTAGTCATCGCATATTTTGATGTGCATAATCGTCTATTTTGATGTGCAAGACAAAAAAAAATCGAAGTGAAGAATTTTGAACCTAAACGTTTTAGGATGATTGAATCACAGGATGACCCTAAAGTAGAAAATTCATGTACGATCATTATTTCCATTGTCATTATATAAGAAAGCTTTCATTAGACACACCAAGAAAAGAATCGGTACAGAATGACCAAGAGACATGCTACATATTTCACCAGCAAATTGGATGAGGTCTGCATAGGAAAGAGGCCCTCCCTTGGAGAAGGCATCTATCTCCTTCTTTGACTCCTCTAAAAGACTTAATGCCGCACCAAGCCCACTGTTTTCAGGTCTGCTAATCTCCGAGCTTCATGGAAAGAGTAAGAATTAATGAAGCTAGAGATATAGAACAACATGACACATAAGTGGAAGGACCTAAAGAAGAAGTAAATATTTCTGAGCTCCAGATAGGTTGAATGGTGAAATGTAGGAGTCCTCAATGTCGCAATATTTTTTAAAATAAGTACCTTAGCCTGATTGATCCGTTTGGCCCTCCAGTTTTTGTGGCCTAGAAGTGCATTTTGGTCAGTCAGAATTTCGAGGAGGAATTAGATGACACCAAGTCAACACCGTGCCATTAAATGAAATCATGAAGAAGATTGGCCTGACCTTATCATATGTGAGAGCATCATTTAGTGCTAGAGCAAGTATAGATGGGACAAGGTCTGGGTGTTTCTTCAAAGATAAGAGAGGCAGGTTCAGTGGAATATGGCAACAGTCAGAGAAGATTTTAATAGTCGAAAATATGTTGCAAGTATATCAGGTACATACCTTGATGGCTGTCGAAAAGTTATCTTTGATAAAGGCTGTAAAAAGAGATTGAATTTAGACAGCCGAAATAAGTGACATAGTTAATCCCTAAAACATCATGAGACCCTCCAACTTACACTGGAGTTCAGACCGTTGTCTTCTCTGAATTAAATCAGCAGCGCATGCCAATTCAGTAAACGACCCTGAGCTCGCCAAAATTTCCTATATATGACAACTAGACGAAAATTGTCACTGTATCCACACTAATTTTGGGACACCAATCTCTCGACAGGAAAGCATCCACTCAATCTATATATTATGTGCGTATATAACTGAGAGAAACAAGGTGCTATGTGGATGCAAAATGCATAACGCGGGCCAGGCATATCAACGGTATAATGCAGCCATATCAGCAGAACAATACAATCTGGTCCTGTTTGCATGATATACTTGAAATGGGTCATTTATCGAGATTCTTGCCCTGAAGTCAACATGGAAGTCCACTGGAACAATGTTAGAACCTTCAAGCCAGAAATCTAGGAGAGATTCTACGGCTGATTGAGGTGGTGACACAAGTGGAGGGCAATTGTTCCAAACAAAAATGGTGGAACCGTCATCCAAGACTCTCGTTGGAATATTATGCGGATATTTCACGCTGCAGGACGGGACAACATCATACGTTTGGATCAGGTACTCTGAAAGGGAAGGATTAGTCCAAAAGGACCAGAACTTCATCCGCGTAAACAAAAACTAGAGGGTAGGAAAGGGAACTTTTATCTTGTCAGAAACAGTAAACAAAAATCTTGAACCATGTAGAATATGTTCAGAGTGACACGATTGGAGGAAACACTCCAAAGTTGTCATGCTGGAACATCTCTTTGAGACAGCGATGAAACTATTCGAAGTTGGGTGTTGGTAGTTGAACAGGGAAGCATATAAAATGCCATGCTGACGCGGAAGATTAGTGGAGAAACCTCTTTCGCACAGAATTAGCGACTATCAATAATTTCCCTCCCTAATATAGAATCTTCCTGGGTCAGCTTGGTTATGCACGAAGAATTAGACGGGAATGCAAGATCGAAGAAGAAATATCAAGTTGCAGGAAAACCAGGAGACTTCTGCAATTGGGCAGACTCGAAAAATGTAGAGCCTAACAGGCTTTCACATACCATGCCTAACACAGCCCCGACGCATTTTAGAGCCTCTCTCCTGCCGATGGAGTCCACACCTGAAGAGTACCTCTCGGTTCTACGGCAAGAGACGACCACCTAAGTTTTCCCCCACAGTAAGAGCTCTGAAGGTTAGCTAATGGGACATAATGATTAAAAGATGAGGATAGTGAGGAAACGCCATCCATGGAGGATGGGGGAATTTGAAGACATGGCGTCATCCCCCTTTCTTATCTTACATTGGTAGCGTGTCTGGGAAGAACTGACGATGGAGCTTGAGGGGAGTGAGGACGGAGGGAAGGCAAAGTTGAGAGATAAGAGACTGCCATTAATCAATCTGGCCTCTTTCTCTCTCTCTCGTTCCCACCCAACACCTCTACTATAATCTACTTTGTTTTCCTGGGAGTGAGAACCAAGGAGGTGGCAGAGAGAGGTATGCAGCGAGAGGGAGCAGGGGGAGGAGCGGATAGTGAGCGAGAGAGAGAAGAAAGAGAAGAGACAGAGACAGCGAGAGGAGGGGTCTATCTCCCACGCGGCGAACCACTGGTTAGCGTGCAGGAGATATCGTGTTATCTGTAGGATATCTATCCATGGGGGACACAAATCAAAACACCCCCCATTTCCTCAGAGTGCCGATCAAAGGGATGAAGCGGGCAATTGAAAGAAAATATCCTATCCATCCCGAGCCTTGGAAGACCATGATAAATCAGGAGCATCACCGGGGGATATTTCCCGTCCCCCGCAGGCCTTCCTGATCTTCCAGAGATCCCTAGACGACTGTTTTCCCGATTGCCTTCCATTTCTGAAATTTCCAAGCTCTACCTGCTTCCTAAATTCGGAGCCAAGAAGCGCAGTCCGCTCTACTGAACTTGTCCTCAAAATCGAAGTCCGTCGGAAAATGTGCTGCATCCACCAAATTCTGACTTTTGACAGGTTGTAATCGGCAAGGTTGGGAGCTTAGCTGACCATGTCATCTGGCTGTCTCATAATCACACGGCAGAACTATATTCAAATTTAATGCTGCGCATAATGCAGAAAAGAAGGAGAAGGCCAACTTTGGAGGCCTAAGCGTTTTAAAATTAGGCTGTAAAAAAGGATAATGCTTAATAAGGACCCAAACTAATGTGAGTACTCAAAAATGATTTGAGGTTTATGCAAAAAAGTTACTTAAAATTAAACTACCATTATTATTGTTTTATTTATTTTTCATGAAGTTCAAAAATAGATTTGAAGATGATGATTGGAGAGATTTTCACATGAAAATTCATTCAACAAGTATTAGTAGTCATTTCAAATTGAGTAATTTTCAGATTGGTTAGTAGAAGTTGAAGGATTTTTCTATTAAAAAAATCCAGATTTTATGATAATTTTCCCACTAAAAAGAAAATTAAATTAGTTGCATATAAGTTAAAGAGTGGGGCCTCCGTATGGTGGGAACATTTATAGTCCATTTGTGTTAGATCAGGTAAAAAACCTATTTGCAAAAGTGATAGAATGAATAAATTATTAAAATCTCAATTTCTTCCTCATAACTATATATCTCAGAATATCAAATTACAAGATAACTTATGAATCTCAGAATGTGCCAAAGAATCTTTTACATTATATTTACAAGTTGATTTCATAGAATCAATATTTACACCATTTCAAGATTTAAAGTGGTATTAGATCAGATATATTGAAGAGAAATTAGTGTTGCAATTATTTTATAAGATAGATGATATTGTTTTCTTTCAGAGCATGTAAAATCATTATTAAAAAAAGTATCTTAAACTTCTATTAATGTCTCAAAGAGAACAAAACATTGCAATAGTTGAGATTATTTGTGTCATAACATTGATGCATGAGATCACAAGATCTAACATTAAATTTGCAAAGTGCAAACTTAGATGAAGAAACTAAGAACTATTAGATTAGGTGAAACACAAAGATGGTGGTGAATTAGGGTTTCTATGATTTCTTGTGTTTTTTTATTTAACTTGTACATTATATAAGTATCATTAGATGTGTCAACACACATACTCTCAAATCTCTCTTTCACTAAGAACACTATAATTTATTAGTTTGTACTTCACCTAGCTACATCCAATATAGAGGAAATTTTCATTAACTATTCATTAATCCCTCATAAATTACACAATAATTTTTACAAGATCATCCACCCAAATACATCAAGTTAGTATCTTCATATACTCATCATTTTCTATGCCAAATATGGCTACTAATATTTTGTGCCTTCACCTAAATCACTTTTCCCTCACCACCTAATTAATTATCTTAGGGTTGAATGGACAACAAGAATTGATGATAAAGTTAATTATTTTTTCAAAATTAATTAGACAAGAGGATAAAGTGTTCTTGCATATTGTGGACGCATACTACCAAAAGATATTGATGTTCTTATTTGAACCTTCATTTAATTTTTTAGTTTTTTATGCATAAATCGTATGTCATAAGTCAGCCTTCATCCCATAACAATTTTCTATTTTTTAGTAAATCTTATACATTTGAAACTCTATATTTCCTAATTTTTTCATTTAAATTTGAACTAATGTTTTCTATCTTGATGGATAATCATTGGCTATCTAGATTAGATCCAAATCACCAAGTTTACCATGACTTTTTGTGTACATAATAGTTGGATTTCTCACCATCGAGATGCTGTATTTGAAATTTCAATATCTCTTTTCTTTTTTCACTTTTTAATAATTTAATCAACATGAAATCTTGGAGAACTTGTCTATCATTAACTAAAAATATTAAATAATGTCTAACATGATTATAAACTGTATAATCAAAGTAAATATAATTTCCATGGTTTCCTTATACCTATTTAACCATACTCATCTTTTCATTTAAAAAGGATTCTTAAGCTCATATTATTTGTTGGTCAAATGTTCTAAATATGGAGAATCATTTAATCTCAATAATTAATACCTTGGATTTTATTATTAGTAATAAGATTATAAAATCATTAAAAATAATTTATATAATAACTATGTTGATCATATTGAGTATTTGAGACATATTCGTAACATATATAAATAACCATGAATATTTAATAATTTCATATCAATAAACTTTCACATGTAATTATCAAAACCAATAACATCAATAGAAATTCAATTTTGAATCAACATAATGAGAGACTTTCACCATTGAGTCCACAAAAGAATAACCTTGAATTCACAAGATGAAAAGAGTTCTTTTAAATCTAAGAAGTATGTTGGAATCTACATTAAAATAAAAGGATAACTTTAAAAGAGGAAAAACTCGTAATACTTCAAAAATGACTTGAGATCACAATATGGGCCCCCTTACATTTGCCTAAAAAGGGAAAAACATCCCAAAAAGTAGACAAACTATAAAATCAAAAAAACATTCTGAAATAAAATCAAAATATATTTGTAGATAATATAAATATAAAGTACCACCCAAAAAATTGGGTCTTATTACACTCAATGGGGCCCACTAAGTTGAAATTATTTCTTTTTTTATTTTTATAGAACAATTTAAAAGTAACTAAGTCTCAACTTTTATGATTAATGAGCTACTTCAGCTTGGGGTTATAATGTGTGGGCCAAAAAAGGGCCTAAAAATGAAGTGGGATGCCTCAAAAATAAATATACTCCAAAAAAATGAAAATAGATTATGAGCCTATCCCTAAAATAGACAAGATAAATACGTAACATAAATTAAAAAAGAGTAAACGTAGATCAAGGCAAAACTTTGTTGGCAAGAAGCATGACTCTATCTTATCACACTTCATTGAGGCTTAATTATTTATTTTAGGTCTTTTTTTATAGTTTTTTGTTTGAGGTCCATCTCAAGTTTGCATAATACTTGAAATATCAAATTTTAGTGATGCAACAAAAAGATCTTGAAAAAAAAAATTCTTGGATTTTTGGTTACACTTAGATAAAAAGGAGGGCTTGAATTGTTATGACCCTAATTTTAACTTTTGGTTAACTCTTCTTATAATATTTATAAGGGTTCAACCCTTTGTTATGTACATAATACAAAGTATTTTATTATTGGGTTTTGTTAAACCAAATGTCTCATAACTACAATCATTGATAATGAGACAACTCTTACAATCATTTATGATGTGTAAATCATTATTTTTTATTAATAATACATCTTATTAATATTAATATTAATATTTTATACATTAATGTAAAGTAATAATATAGAAAATTATAGAATTCAACATTATGGACACAAATAAGTTCGTCAAATCCTTATTTGATATTTGACATGCATACATAAAAGAATATTTAATCATATATTGAAAAATGAGTAATAATCATAATTGGATCACTTGGTTGCTCTTGTGTGTTTGACGTAATCAAAAAATTACTTATTTAATCCTCTAATTATCTCCTCCTTTTTGGTGATGACTCATAACATGCAAATGCTGCATGTTAACTATTGCATAATTTAGATAATTAGTATTTAAATTGATACAAAATGAGATTTAATTATACATAAAATAGGTGAAACAAAATTTATGAAATATTCTAAATAAATTTCTAATTTCATGTTTCCTTATATTTTTTATAGCATGTATATTTATTTATTCATATGCTTCACTTGAATAATAATTATAAAGAAAATTTCATTTGATGTCTAAACTATGATTTTTAACATTTGATAATTATTTAATATGATAAAAATATGTTTCCTGATTTTTAATATTTTTCAGATTTTCTTGAGTATTTTAGGTTTTATTTTAAGTTTAAATAAATTTTTCAAAGGTTTTTCTATTTTTCCAAATTTTTCTATTAAATTTGAATTAATATTAGTGCTTTGAGTCATGATTATTTATATTATAAAATATAATCATGAGTTTTATGATTTATTATGCATCTCTTAAGCCCTAAGTCAACTCATGGATAAATGAGTTTAGATTTACCCTATTGATTTCTCTCTTATGCCTAATTTATTATATTTATTTGTTTGAGGGGTAATAGACTTTATTTAATATTATGTTTCAAGTCATATTAGGCCCATAGGCCAGCTGGACATCCCACATTAATTGAGGAGAAGGCCTAATAAGGAGGCATCTTCGCTCACTTTAAATTATGATAACTACCAACTTAAGGTGGGTGGTTCATTTCTTCATTAATTAGAGAGAGGGAAATGTGGTACTATCTGATCAGCCATACCCCTCTCCTTCATTAAACAACTCTTAGGACTATCTTAGCCCCTCAAGCAACTCAATCTAAGAATTGAGATAAGTCATAAGGGTCTAAGGGTAAGGAAAAGTAAGGAGACACTAAGAGCCACTCACCTCCTTTAGGCTATTGATGTGACTTAATCATTATATAGTAAATTACGTAAATTTAAATATTTATAAAACTAAAAAATACTAAGTTTTAGATATTTATAAGTATTTCTGAAAAAATATATCAATTATAATTTAATAAGACTTCCACAAATAGTGATAATTTTTCAAGTCAATTAGAGAAATGTAATATATTATTATCTTTTTTTTTAAATTCCTCAAAGAATATATTTTTTATAAATTTTATACTAAGAAATAAAAATAAAATATATTTAAAATTCACAAAAAAAGGAAATAAGGGTGCGGACGACATGATGATGTCAATGCTCGACGAATACAAATTTGACAGAAATAGAATTTCACTTGACAATTAATACGTAAGTAATTACAAGTGATTTAATTAATCAAATTAAGATATATAAAAGTTAAAAAAATTGTAATTGAATGAAATATAATTTAGTAAATTTAAATCACACAATTTATCACTAAATGAAGCAAAATTAAGTTGAAAGTAGGAAAACAGACTTTTGACATTGCGGTGGTGATGCATTAATAATGTACTGAAATCCTAAGCATTTGAGAAGATCGTCATCTAATGTCTATAGTCTCAAAGTCTCTCTTTAGATAAAGACGACATGGGTAATTTCTAAATCTCTTTATGAAATATAGAGATCAATGAAATAGGTTGTCGAATCGTCTCTAACGACTATCATCTAGTGGAGTAGAAAAATAACAACTCTACAACTCTCCGATGGTTGTCACCCAACAAAGAAGAGTTAGATAGAGGCGGGGCGTATGTCAGGGAGCTTTATCCTCATGTTCACACAGCGAGATAAGGTTCTTCATTACATCCGATATCCTCTCAAGAGGTGACGACTCATATATCAGTAGATTGTCTTCTTCTTAACAAAAAAATTATTCATCGATTAATTAGAGATAATTTACTTAATGAATTTGTGATCATTCATTACGAATTATTCAACAATTTTAGTAATGATACTTCACGAATCATGTTGACGAGATTTTTACTAATGATTCAACGATTCTAATAGCTTAATACTTTACTAGTGATTTGTAAGAAAGTCACAATAATCAGATAAAAATACAAGTTTTGACTATGAGAAGATTCAAACCTGCAGTAGTTGCTCGCCTGCATGGAAGAGATTGAAATAAGTATTCTAATACTTTTATCAAGTGATGTCATCATGGTATATCTATATAATAATTAAAGAATAATTTAGGTATTAAAATCTTTGAAGTCTTTTGAGGAAAAGTGTGACATGAATTTAGTATCTCATCACTTATGTGCTAAAGTTTTAGGTAAATATATAGTACTATCACATTTGTAAGCAATGAGTCATTGTCTCCCACATGTATGATTATTCTTTACCCCACAGTCAGCTGGCCACTAGTGACGTGGAAGAGGAGTGGTGCACATGTGTTCTCATCAGTCCTAATCGTTCGAGACCTTACTTGTGATTCTCTCTAACTATACTTTTGACTTACTTGTAGGCCCAACTAGTCAAGGGGTCCCACCCTTTTATTATATATATATATATTTTTCTTTAATTATCTCAAAAATAAGACTATACAAATTATATAAATTCATAGAAAATCACATAATTAACTAAAAAATTATGTTAATCAACTGAAAATTACTTTTTATAATTTAACATAAATATAAGTCTATTTATCATGAGTTAAGATTAAAATTATATTATTTACTAATTATTAATTCATGATAATAAAGACTTATCAACTACCTTTAAAGAGAGGAATCTAATATAAATCATGTACACTCTCCCTCATAATCCAAGGGATTAAAAATAGTCATGACCAAGGAGAGAATAACGAGCCACATAGAGAAGAGAGAAGGTCATTACATTCATAGGAGTGGACACCTAAGAGAGAGAAGAAGAGATCTCTACAAACTTAAACCCTTGAACCAAATCAAGAACTCTAAAAATGAATCTCTTTGAGCACTCCAAATAACATATAGAAGTCATCTTTCGTGTATGTGGTTCTTTCATTATATATTACATTTTATTTTGAATGAATAAGTTTTTTTCTTATTAGATTATCTTACTTTTGAGATCCTCTTGGTGAGAAAAAATTAATATAATTGAAGAGTAGGTAGTGATTCGATTCTTTGATCCTAGAGTGACACTAGGTTGATCCTAAAATAGAATCCAACCCTTCTACCCTTTTCTTAATGTATGTAGATCTCTAAATTCTTCAAGATTGATCACATTTCTAAGAGTGAGCAATAAATAACATATTTAGAACACTTTACATCTTATTGATATGAGAGGAAAAAATTCTAAAATCCATACAACGTCAAGATAGAATACATGTCTCTTATATAGGAGAGAGGAGAGATGAGAGAGATAGATAATAAGTCATAGTGGGCCAAGAGTCTGATACCATTATCAAATAATTTCCCTCAAGTTAGAGCATATAAGTCGCACATGTCTAACTTAGTACATGTGGTGTCGTAAAAGATGCTAACTAAACTCTTTGTAAAGATGTCCACAAGCTGATGAAATAATATCATATGAGGAGTAGAGATAAGTCTAGATATAACCTTATCTCAAATGTAATAATAGTCGATTTCAATGTACTTTGTACGCGCATGAAAAGTAGAATTACCAATAATAAAGATTATTGCTTGATTATCGTAATATATGGACATTAGAGAGGGAGAAATAATGCCAAGATTGTCAAGAAGTGATCGAAGTCATATTATTTCTCACGTTGTCTTAGTTATAGCTTGATACTCGGATTCCATAGTGAAGTAAGACATCACCCTCTGTTTTTAAGACCGCTAAGTGACTAAGTTACTGCCGACATATGTGTAATAACCCGTAGTAGACTTTTAGTCACCCTTGTTACTTACATACCTGACATCAAAATAGGTTGCAATGCGGAGATAGCTATTTTGTCGATAGATGAGTCATTTCCTTAGAGATCATTTGATGTAGGCAAGGACTCATAGAGCTCCCTCTCAATGAACTCGTTAAAACTTCTACATAAACTAGTTTAAGACATAAATTATGTACACAATGTCAGGGTAAGTGACGGTGAAATATATCAACTTGTCCAACAATCATCGATACTAGTTAGCATCATCGAGTAAAAGAGATAAAGTGTTTGACAAATGTGGGTGAACTTCTATGGGCAAAGTCTCTAGCTTGCACTAAAGGAGGCCTATCTCCTGAAGTATGTTGAGGACATATTTCCGCTGAGTAAGGGTGAGCTTTCCATCTTGATATGCAAACTCAATCTAATGAAAATATTGCGGAGTCCTCAAGTCATGAATGTTGAGGTACTGTTGTGAGTAAAATTTAGTAGCAGAGATATTGACCTCATCACTTCTAGTCACAAGAATGTTATCAACATAGATTGTAAGGATGATAAGGCCACCTTTTGTCTTATTTGTGAGCACGGTGGAATCTATAGTGCAGGTGGCAAAGATAAAAGTAATGAGTAAACTACTAAATTTGACGAACCAAGCACATGGAATCTACTAGAGCCCATAAATGGCACGTCGTAAGAGACACACCTTCGATGACTTCTCTTGAGCAACATACCTGGGAGGTTGCTCCATAAAGACCTACTTTATGAGATCACTGTAGAAAAAGACATTAGAAATATCTAATTAGTAAAGATACCATGTCTGATTCATGACGAAAGAGAGGAGTACACGAATGTAGTTGAGGCAAATGGTAAGAGAGAACATCTCAATGTAGTTGATCCCATATGCTTACATAAAGCTTTGAGCAACCAGATGAGTTTTGTGACAAGTGATGGAGTCATCCAAATGATACTTGATGGTAAACACTCACTTGCACGTCACAATGTTGACATTAGTTAGGTGTGGAACTAAGTTTCAAGTCCCTCGAGCGACCAATGTAGTTACTTCTAAATCTATGATCGCCTTCCACATAGATACCTATGCAACCTCAACATACAATTGTGGAAGCGACTCATAGGCCACAAAAAAAGTAAAGGGATGAAAGGAGGGAGAAAAGCGGTCATAAGAAACAAACTAGGAGATGAGATGGTGGATGTAGACATGTGTACCTTTGCAGAGGGCAACAAAGAGATGAAAGTCATCATGTGGAGTAGTGACCAAAGGCACCAAAGGGATCGTAGGAGAGGAAGAAGAAGATATTACATCCGAAATAAGAGAAGCTGTAGGAGACATGAGCTGAAGAAAGACAGGTGCGGGTAATGACCTTAAAGGGAGTAGACAAAAGGGAAGAGAAGAGGGAGAGTCCATAAGAACTACCAAGGGAGGGAACTTAGGTGGAGGAGATGTAGCAATCCATGGAGGGGGAAGAGTCAAAATAGGAGATAAGAAAGGAAACTCCTCATGGAAAGTGACGTCAACCAAAGTCACATAATGATGGGTATTAGGAAAGCAGACTTGATAACTCTTTTATATATGAGAGTAACTGACAAAGACCCCTTTAAGAGCATGAGGGGTGAGTTTAGAAAGAGAACAAAATGAATTCTAGACAAAGGCGATACATCCAAAGACTTGAAGGGGAAGAGAAAAGAGAGAAAAATCAGAAATTAAGTGATGGAGAGGAATGCCCCCTCAAGAGAGGCGGAGGAAAGTTGATTATGAGGTAAGTGACAGTCGTAAAGGCGTCAGCTTAGAGATAGTGATGAACATTCATCTTAAGAAAAAGTGTGTGTGTGATGTTAAGGAGTTGACAATATTTACACTTGACAACACTATTTCTACTATGAAGTATGAAGACATGTGGTCTAGTAGAGGACGTCACGATCATTGTAGAAGGTATAGAGAGATGTTTGAACAAACTCAAGAATGTTATTAATATAAAGAATCTTGGACGTAGTGGTGTATTGGGTGATAACTTCGATGACAAAGTGAGTAACCACAGTGATGACCCTAGAATAATCACAGAGGAGGTAGACTTAACTCACATGAGTGTAGTTATCGACAAAAATGATGTAATAGCGATGGTCTGAGATAAAAGAAGTACGAGATGAATCTTATATATCAGAATAGAGAAAGTCAAAGAGAGCGAAAGAAGAGATGCCATCACAACTAGGATAAAAAGTATAGTGATATTTGTCTAGTTAACAAGATTCACAGATAAACTTAGAAAGAGAAAGTTATGATAAGATTTTTTGTAATTTAGAGAAATAAAGATGGCTTAAATGACGATGTCACAAAATAGAAGAAGTTGTTGTAGAGACAACAAAAAGAGTCCAAATGCCAGATGAGAGTTCGTCATAAATGAGTTCATAAAACCTCGTTTATTTTCACAGCTCAAAGCAATCCTCTATCTGATATGTAAATCCTTGAAAGTACAGAGAAAGAATGTGATTATATAAAAGTGGGTATGAGTAATAATACTTACGCAAAGAAAGTTAGTAGAAAAATCAAGAATGTAGAAAACTTGGGTGAGGTGAAGGAATGAAAAAATCAAGGTGGCACCTGACTTTTGACCAAATAGGTTTGGCCATCGACAATAATGATAGGGGGATGGGTCAAGGTAAGTTAATAGGAGGAGATAATAGTAGAGATACTAGTCATATGAGTTGATGTCTCTGAATTAATAATCCACGACATCAAAGAGGAAGCAAGGAGAGCATGTGTAATTGGCGTAAAGGAGACCAGAAGCAAGGCGAGATTGACAGGCATAAAAGCATTGATACCATTAGTACAATAAATGATTCATACTCCACAGACGTCAAAGTCACGTGGAAGGTAGGAGTTAGAATATGAGATTGAGTAGGAGACGTTAGAGTTGGAAAAGTTATTGCCAACTATGTGAAAGTAGACTTGTCGAACTACTTCTAACGCTTAGTAGTTAGATGATTCTACTTCTCACAGTAGAGACATGAAAAATATTTTGCCCACGTCTACAAAGAATATGACCACCGTTAGAGCAGGAAAGAAAGGTATCATTTCGAGCTCATAGAGCAACAACAACAAGAGCTGAAGGAGTAGAGGTGACAATTGAAGAAGATGAAGAGGACCAGATGGAGATACTAGTGGTGACCCGAAAGACTATCGAGAAGATGGAGGCGAGATCAGGCACGCAATCTTTAGAGAGAACTACCCCTTGGATTTGGGATGTGATGGATAGATGAATTCTACTAAGATAAACTCTAGCATAAAACTCCTAATGATAGTGTTAGAAGGCCAAGAGGTCGATAGTAAGGAGCTGATAGATATCAACCTCCTAGATGAGGGCATGGAGGCAATCATAGTGGGCCTAAAGAGAGAAATCGACTTATTTGCAGAAGAGAAGAGTCATGAAGATCTCCACAACTCAATCGATATTCGTCCGATTGAGTTGAGGTGATGTGTGCCAATAATACTAGACTTGATGTTCTGAAGCATCCATGTGATGATGACTGAGTCAAGTTATGACTATGTTACATAAGAGGGGTCCCGAAGGCTAGGTGAGTCCTCTAAGAGGTGATGGAAGAGATTGTGAGCTCTAAAGAAGAGCTCAAAGCTAGATGCCTATGACACATAATTGTGGTTGTTTGAAAATGTACGTCAGTCGAGTAAGTTACGTCGTGATGAAGTGACGAGTTGGAGGAATCCTTGGAGAAGAGAGAATACTAATTAGAAGAAGCTTAGAGGGCTCGGAGGTAGGCAACAAAGGGGTGAGATGATGCCATAAGGTTAGTGGGTCCAAGCTAGAGGGGCAGGTAGTGGGGTGAACATATCCTTCTTCTTCCATGTTGTTTCGTTTCTTTAATTCATCAAAGTTAAGCATTCATTAGAAATATAGAAAGACACGAAGAAAATATAAATTAGTTTAGGAGTAGATTAATTTCCTTTAGTCTTTATATTGATCTCTTAGATGACATAAAAAGATCTAAGAATATTAAAGTTTTTATTTACACACCTTAAGATTAAGTAATTCACAATCATCCCACATTTCACTTGTTTCTTACCTAATTTTACTTCTCTTGCTGACTGAAAAATCATCAAAAGAATATTGATCTATTCCTCTACTATGCTTGAGTCAACTCTCTTTTATCTTCTCATCTCATTCTTCATAAAAAAATTAATCTTGATTATAAGTTAAATATCTCCTTAGTTTAAATAATTTCTTATGTTTCAACTCAAATAATCCATAAACTATACTTATTAGTATTATTAGAAAGACATACAAACATTATAAATTTTATTTTTGACACTACTTAATTATGATGTTTTTGATCGATCAATGACAAATCTATAATCATAAGTAATGAATATAAAATAGTTATGATTTCTAACTTATAAATTATTATTATATTTATTCATTGAATAAATTTTAGTGTGAATATTCATAATTAAATTTGTGACAACATAATACTATTTTATAAGAATATTTGAAGCATATCATTCAAATTCAAAACTTAAATTCAAATAGTGACATATCAAAATTAATATATTATTATTATTTCTCTACTTTCTCCCCCCTTTCTCTATTCTAAAATTTTCTCTCCTCTTCCCTTATCACAGTTCTCTCCTTTTGAGTTTCAAGGTTTCTTTGACTTGTACTTTTTCTCTTCCTTTTTTCATCATAAAAATACAAAGAAAGTTCTAATTTTCTCCAAGATTAATGTTCTAATTTTTTTTTAGACTCAAAATTGATATATTGGTATAAATTAAATATTAAATAAATCATGTGAATAATTATTTCAATTTGAGGTCCAATATGTAGAGTTTAAAATTTGAAATAGAGAAGATTCAAATGAAATAGAGAAGGTCCAAGTAATTTCTCTATCCTAAGGTCAAATTAGAAGTATTGAAGTAGATGAGTGATAACTATATTATGAGGAATTGAATGATCATAAGTATTGAATATTAATTTAAAGTCTTCAGTCTCATTCTTTACCTCATCATTCACCATGATAGAGAAATCACCTAAAAAACCTTTAGTTCTTTTGAGAAACCCTAGTCACAACCCACAAAACCCCTACTTAGCTCTTAATTCTACCCTATAAACCATATTTATCCTCAATGAATCATTCGTATGGTGACTACAAACTTCTAAAAAGAATCTAGCTTCAAAAGTTCTAAGATTCAAGGCACAAATTGATCACCTCTTCACCCACTCAATTCCTTACTTGGCTGTTATCCTACTACTCTTCATTTTTCTTCATCTAACCTTTCAATCTAGACATTAGTCCTACTTGATACCTCTTAAACTTCTTCCTAATCATCTCGCATTATATTCTTATACGAATTAGATCATCACCTAGAAACAACTAAAAAATTCTTTTGCTCCAAACCTCGCCCAAACAACTTCCATCATCAATCAATCGATCTAAACTCACCACTAGATAATTCCCAAGGTGCCAACATTCTAGCTCATGCTGTGGAACTGTCTTACCCTTCACCCTTCCCTTAAATCCTTGCTCCATGTCCCTCTCCACCTTATCATGCTCGTTCCCACTTACTCTCCTCTCCTCTAAAAAAAAATCCTTCTACTCCCTCCAATACCCTCCCTAATCCTCCTATTCTACCCACAACACACTCCTTGAGGCTCAAATTCCTCCCTCTCCAACTACGGCTGCAACAACCAACAAATGCTATTGATCCAACCATTTGACTAGTAGCCCCAATAATACTCCATGCAATATGCAGAGCTTGCATTCAACCCCTCTTCTTAGTCTAATAGACTGCTGAAATGACCCAAGAACACTAATTCATTCCTCTCTTTTCCCACCTTGATAATAGAAAACTATTTAAAGGATCAATATTCTAATCCTAAAGTCCTTAGGAGCAGAATAGGTGACCTCACCTACTTTACCTTGCAACAAATCTCTCTCTCATCTTATTTTGACGCCCTTGGTTTTGATGAATTTTTCAGGACCTATTTAGGCATTTACCCAACTCTCACTTGTCATTTCTACTAAATGCTAAAATCTCCTCATTCAGTCTTCTTCCATTTGTCAAAAAAGTTGAAATTGAATTGAATAAGGAGCTTCTAAGCATAATCCTTAACATCCCTTCTTGAGGTATCTCAACTTTTGTTGAGGGAATTGTTCCTCAACTCTTAACCTATCTCACTATCATCATTGACCTTGAATCCACCACCATTGATACTTACCTTATTTATCTCCTAATTTCTCATATCTTAATTCATCAAAGCAGATCCTATGATTTCCTACTAGGTTTGACTATACTTCTATTCAATAACATCCTTTATGGAATTAAAACCAATCTTAATTTCATTCTCATGTAGTCATTCATGCCTTGCAGCATCACATAGTATTACTTCTAACCCTCATTATGACCCACATTTTCTTATATTTTTTCATCTATCTTTGTGATGAGGACATCTTTTGAGTCATCCTCATTATGTCATTGATCATTACACTCTTATTAGGTAGGATGAATTATGTTCTTAAAAATAATACATGGGTTCCATGACGTCCCTCTTCTTTGAAACCACCAAATTGGTCCTCCTAAAAATAATACATGGGTTCCAAGAACTCTTTGCCTTTCCATATAATGTTATAAACTGAGTCACCATATTGAAAAGAAGATGATACCACTTGAAGATAATTTTGATTGAGTAAACATGCATTTCTTCTCAGATTTGATTACATGATGTATTTTTTGTTGTTGTTGATAAAATGGGAGAGAAATTTGTTAAAAAATATGCACCAATTAATGGGGAGCATGTATGAAAGAGATGCAACATATAGGGGGGAGCAATGTATATAATGCTGAAGTGTTTGGCCATTCACGCCAATATTTATAAGATTTTGTAAATATTTAAAAAGGGAAGATTATTGTTTTAAATGATTTTGATGTTAACAAATTTATCATAGAAATCTAATTATGAGAAAATATCAATTTTTTTATAAAATATGTTGACATTTTTATTACTTTTATTGTTTTTGATTCACTATTATTTTAAAAAAACTCAAATATTTTCATCCTTGATTAATCTAGTTTTTTACATATATTTTGTTAATAATTTAGAAGGTTCCAATTCATCTAATTGAATGATAAAACCAAATAACTAGATGCAAATTATTGGTTAATTAGACTTTTAAGTTCTATAGAAGATGTTTGGTTGAGATACACACCAAGTATCCATTCATAAGATTATTCCCTAAAAAGGGAAAATTTATTATCATTAATTTAATAATAAATATTATTAACTAATTTATTGTGGAGCTTTTTTGTTAGAATTCTAATTTAGTTGGAAAACTGATTTTACCATAAACATAATTTTATAACTAAATAATATTATTTTAGTATAATTTAAGGAAGATTATTGAAAAATAAATTATGTAATTACTTTATTTGACAATCCATTATCTAAAACTAACTTTATTAAAGATGTATCTTCACTCTCAAATTGGTCAACTAATAGAGAATGTGAAGTTCTTAATAATTTAAATTTAATAAGTTGATAATACAAGCGTACTACTAATTTAATTAACATAATGTCTTATTTTATGAAAATTTTAGACTTAAATCAAACAAAATATGAGTTGGAAGCTCTTTGGTCTTTCTCAATAGAGAATAAATTTTGGCCTTGTAGGCCACAAAACGTCACCATGAAGAGGGACTAAATGGGGTAGATTGGGCCTGCTTATAACCAGTCGCATTCTCGGATGAGGGAAAGGGAACTGAAAAAGTTGACTTAGAGTTAATAATCAACCTTCCAGAAATACCCGAACTACCCCGATGGGATGATGTTCGTTTCGATACCCTAAGTTCCTTTTCCTCGTCTATAAATACTCTTTGGCGTGTGGAGTGAATAGTCCTTACGCGGCTGGTTGTGTCCCAGTTCCTAATACCTGCCGCCGCCGCCTCTAGGTTTCTTCCTCTGCGGAGCTCTTCGGCTCGAAGAGCTCGGCTCATTCTCTTCGTCTGGTTAACCATGGCGACCCAGCAAAGCAAGAAGAGAAAGGCAAATCCCCGAAACCCGGCCGGCTTGAAAACAACTATCTCTTCTCGATCCTCTCTCCGTTCTGATCTGATTATTTGGTTTGCCATCTTGGTTTCTTTTTTATCTTGATGATGGATTTTTAATGACTACAGTTTGTGGCCGACGGGGTCTTCTTTGCGGAGCTGAATGAGGTGCTGACGAGGGAGCTTGCCGAAGATGGATACTCAGGGGTTGAGGTCCGCGTTACTCCTATGCGCACCGAAATCATCATCCGCGCCACCCGCACCCAGAACGTCCTAGGTACGCGCGTTCCCGCAGTTCAGAAACTTGTCCGTGTTCCTATACTCGGTCCGTGTTTTTGCCTTAGCTGTGTTGAATGTTTCCAGCTTCGTCGTTTGTGGATTTCGAAGCTGATGCGTTGATGTTGGAATGCCATCTTTGTGTCATTGATTTTTTTATTTTTTCAAGTGAAGTTTATAAGTCTCTGGCTATTGTTGTGACGCTAATTGGTCGGGTGTGCGGGCTTTAGGTGAAAAGGGGAGGAGGATTAGGGAGCTGACTTCAGTGGTCCAGAAGAGGTTCAAGTTCCCAGAGAACGGCGTTGAGCTGTATGCAGAGAAGGTGAACAACAGGGGACTCTGCGCCATTGCTCAGGCGGAGTCCTTGCGATATAAGCTTCTTGGTGGCCTTGCCGTACGGAGGTAAGATCACCTCCTGGACTGAAGATGAGCGATAGTCATTTGCATGATTTGCTGATTTACTTGTAATATATTTACCTAAATTTACCAAGTATCCTAGGAGTAGTTTTCAAGTTGCCAGGACGATCTGTGGGATAGGCATGCTGAAACTTTTCCTCGATTCGAAAAGTCCCTCCGTGCAATGCGGTCTTTAATCTGTTTAGCCCCGCGTTACAGTTCTTAACTAAAGTTGATACAAAGCTGTGCTTTTCTGTACCATTCTTTTTAAAATCTTGCCAACCTACCATGAAGATTCTCTGGTTTGATTCATCCTACTTGCGCTCATTAAATAGTTAAGATCTTTCCATTTTAGTAGTAAGATCTTCAGACGTTGCGCATAGAAAAGAAGCTGTTTGTTCAGCAGCGGCCAGACAACCGCAGGGATGGATCCACAGGTTTCAGGTTAAAAGTACCAGTTGCCTACTGATTCCATCGTACAGTTGCTTGTGTTTCAAACGAGGACTGTGGCTGTTCGCTCCTTCCTAACATCTAAATATTACGTCATGTCACTCTCATTTTGGGACGTGAATGATCCGAAATGTGTTTCTCATTTGAATTCTTTATCAGGATATTGGGCCTCCCAGATCCTTGGGGTTCTCAGCTCACATTGCGTTAGATTAGGTTAAATAGTTTTCAGACGATTTGACGGGGAATTATGTTCCCAGATTTATATTTATGGTTTTATGTCGATAAATGTGTTTTGTTCCTTCAAACTAATGGAGGGTCTCTGATGGTTGATGAATGTTACTTGCGCCTGTGGAGTAGCTAATGCCCTACGTTCGCTAGTGAGGCCTCTACTTGTGGTGCAAAGAAAAAAAGACCTGTTTATTCAGCAGCGGCCAAATAACCGTAGGGATGGATCCACAGTTATTGGAAATAATGGCACTTGTCTACTGATTTCATCTCACTGGCGTCTTTATTTCAAGAAACATGTATATTTTAGGTTTCCTGCAAGTTTTCTTCTCGGTGGTCATTCGTGTCTACATCAGGTATTATGATGATTTTGAATTCCTTAATAAAAACATTAATGGAAACGATCATCTTTGTCCAAGATCTCATTAACCTGATCCCAGGTCTTGTTCCTTCTTTCTCTAGTAATTGCACCTGTAAAACAGTCTAAGGCCATTCCAGGATAGTAGTGATGGTCTTCTGATATGGTGCACAAAGAAAATTGCTGTTTGTACAGCAGCGGCCAGACAACCGTAGGGATGGATCCACAGATAAATGGTTGCAAGTTCCGTCTGTCTACTGTTTCCATCATACATATGTTTATCCGAGTGCATGGGATTTTCTCCGACATGGAACGTAGTCGATTTTGTAGATTTTTGTAGCAGATCTCTTGAGCCATTTTGGGTTTGTTGACTTACGTTGATCTTTGCCCAGGGCTTGCTACGGAGTTCTGCGGTTCATTATGGAAAGCGGTGCTAAAGGGTGTGAGGTATGTAGTGCTCGTAGTTGATGTGTGGTAGTGGTAAAAACAGGACCGATGAAATACACAGTAGACGGTAGATGCCTCAGTTTTTGGAACAATTGTTCCTATTCCTTGTTTTGATATGGTTCTCCGCATTGGATGGTCGATTCCCAGGTGATTGTGAGTGGAAAACTCAGAGCGCAGAGAGCAAAGTCAATGAAGTTCAAGGACGGGTACATGATATCCTCCGGTCAGCCGGTCAATGAGTACATCGATTCTGCTGTCAGGCACGTTCTTCTTCGGCAGGTCAGTACCTGGGTCAAGGGGCCGTTTCTCTTGCCACGTGTTTTCACCCTCTTCCCCTCCCCCTCTTGTATCTCTCTCTCTCCCCCCCCCAGCTCTCTCGGTCAAATCTGAAGTCTACTTTTCTGTGTTTTCTTCCTTTTGGGCAGGGTGTGCTGGGTATCAAAGTGAAGATCATGTTGGACTGGGATCCCAAGGGGAAGGTCGGCCCTGCCACGCCGCTTCCTGATCTGGTTACCATTCACAACCCCAAGGATGAAGAGGAGCTGCCGCCCACGCCGGCCACGGCCGTTCAGGAGATTCTCGTCCCGGTTGCGGCCCAGTGACCGATGGCTCCAGCTTGACTAACGGGTTTTGATATGGCCGAGTAGCAGCCTCTTTTCTCCGTGGAGCCTTTCTCTTATTTTGTTGCTTACAAGACACGATTAATTTCTCTCTTATATACCCATTTCTTCTACGTTTTCCAGTTTTGTTTTCTTCTATGCTGAAGAGCGACGACAATAAGAAAATTTTATGCTGCCATCTAATTCTGGTCTTCGTCAGTTTGGTGTTGGTTGACAACGCTTTGCGATAGAAGCAGCAGAGACAACATCAGTTCTGATTGAATTCGGGTTAAACCTGCCTCTAGGATGATTCCAGGCTGATTCCATTCGGTCCGTTAAAAACCAAGATTCTTCCTACTACCATTATGATGAATTACTCACCCTCGTACAGGTCAAGCAGAAGAAAGTGTGGACATGCTCACTCTCGTTTCTCCACCCCTCAAGTTTCTCACGCTTCCCTACTACCGTTCTTGTTCCTGCTCCATATCCTCCTCTTCGATGAGGTGCGAGAGGACGACTCTAGGCTTTTTGGGCACGGAGGCGTCTTGTCCAGCACCCACTTCCCGGGCCTTCTTCCCCTCTCCGCCGCCCTCCACTGGAAGCTCAGCAGAAGCTTTCCTCTTCCCATCGTCGGCAGTCCGTTCATCTCCGGCCTTCTTCCCAGCGGCGGCCCCTTCTTCCTTGTGCGACTGCTGGAGCTTGCGCTCACACTCGGAGAGGGTCGCGCGGTATTCGTCGCCGCCGCCGAGGTCGAGCGGCGTCTCCCCCGCCCTGGTCTTCGCGTCAAGGTTGGCCCCTTTCCGGATAAGGTACTTGGCGAGGTCTAGGTGGGAGCCCTTCACGGCGTAGTGCAGCGGAGTCCAACCCTTGCGGTTGGCAGCTCGGACGGACGCTCCCGAGGAGAGGAGGGCGCGGACGACGTTTGTGTGGCCCTTCTGGGCGGCGAAATGGATGGCGCCCATGTCGTCCATGGCAGCCGCACCCGGGTCGGCCTTGTGGCTGCAGAGGTAACTGACGACCTCCAGGTGCCCAGACCACGCGGCTAGGTGAAGTCTTCGAGGAATTATCCGCGTCAAGGGAACCAACTTGAAATGAATGAACGACGGCGACAATAAGCGCATACCATACCATACCATATTGCAATCACGTATTGTAGAGACAATGAAATGTGAGGATTCAATGGATGCACACAAAAAAAAAATTGGGTGACAACAGAGATAGATGGCCATGTTGAAATGCAAAGCGGGCAATTATCGGCCAAATATCAGACTGGGCCACTATCCCCAGATGGGAAAGTAGTCCCCAAACGGAGACGAGAAGTAAATACATCTATGAATATTTTTTCTTCCATAAGCAGTTTGTCAATACTTGATTTCAGAGGTTGGTGCTGTTTCAAAGAAGCAAAGGCTGCGGTTGACAACCAGGGTCAGCCAAAAGTGGCTTTCAAGGTGACTGACGTGGTATATCTTCAATATCAAGAACGTCCTAGATTACAGACCAAAGTGGAAAGCATCCACAACATGATCCAGTAGACCATTATAATTTGAGTCATTGGCCACGGTGAAAAGAACCCACAATAATTTGGGTATTGGTCAAATTAAAAAGAAGTAGAACCATTTCTGGATTACCCAGATAGCAGAGTTACATTAAATAGAAACAGAGGGGATACACTAAGATACAGTAAGTACGCATATCTAGGCACATACACTAAGATCCTATGGTAGTTTCAATGCCTAGACATCAGAAGTAAACCATGAAGGAGTAGACTGTAGTGGGTGAGCCCCCAATATGCCCCCAAAAAATCTTTAGAGCTTGAAGCAATTTTCAGGTTTAGGAGTTAAGAATTTCTGTAGAATCAAACTAGTTCTCCTTTTATTAACGAATTATTTTTCATAAATATCCTACCGATACTTCTTTTGAAAAAAGAGAAACAATTGCATCGTGAGAAACAACGAAAAGAAGAAGTGAAAAGTGAGGAGATAGATTGAAATCAAATTCATGGTCGTGCCGTTTTCAAAAGAGTTTCAATAAAGAGCCGCCGCGTTAGATCATGACAACGCCAGAGTCTGATCTCGAGTGAAAATAGCGGGAGATTTCAACGTTGAAAGAAATGTAGGACGATTGAGCATCACAAGAGCATGCACTGATGTCTACTGTCAAGTGTCCATAAATCAGGAGAAAACCCTCGGAGACAGTGGGAAGAGAGAATTTCGAATGAGAAAACTAGAAGGCACAGAAACTAAGTAAAAAGCAAGCATGGTGCGGACGTACCGGAGAAACAGATGCGGATCCATGAAAATATCTAACAAAGCGATATTCGAAACCATTCGTAACGTCAGTATCCATTGGAGACCATTGTGGGCGTAAGCACACCCCGGCTCATCTTGGAGAGGCTAACTCTTAACCTAGTCACCTCTAGCTTGCCTACCCATTATCTCCTCCTGCCCGTTGCCTCACAGAATCAGTTGCTGATCAGTCACGATACATAATCTACAGGAGATATCTCTTGGTTATCGGGAAATCGGTCGGAAAAACGACGACAAACGCGCAGGAAGGCACCATGAAAGTAATCGAACAGAGGCGACGGCGAAGGATACGGGGTGCGGGAGTGCCTGTCCCGGGCATTCACCGAGAGGGGGTTGGAGCTGCATATGGTGCGGACGGCGACGATGTCCCCCGCCCTCGCCGCAACATGCAGCGGCGAGTCCTCTTCCACTCCTCTGCCCTTCCCGCCGGATGTCTTCCTTCGTTCGCCCCCCATCTCTCTCTCTCCACCCTCTCTGCAGTTCGATCGACGGGAAAAAGAGGGCAAAGCGGAGATCCAATGTTGATTATCTTCCATTCGTCTACACCGATGGATTAATGAACCGTAAACCGAAATAATAACGGCCCATAACAAAACTGGTGCTGCTGGGCCTACGCGAAGGCCCAGCGTAGAGGTATTGGAACCCAGAAGAGAGGAGAGAGAGAGAGAGAGAGAGAGAGAGAGAGAGAGAGAGGTTCTCCTTATCCAAAAATAAATATGAAATAAGGTTAGAGGCTATTTTATTCCTCGAGGGGTGCACATGGAATCCCTCACACGGGTCGTGTCGTAATTTGAGCCCAATGAGCAATTCACTATCATTTATTACACCTGAAAGCCATTCTCTCTATCTCTATTTACATGTATATATATAGAGGATACATATTTTATTGATTATATATAGGCAATAATGTCTATTATCAGGTTCCTGCTTTTTAATCCCTGCAACTAGCGAAATGATAAATAAACTCCGAGAATCGCCATTAGCAACCTCCCATCGGGACCGTCCAATTAATGCTCCTTAACTCGGATGGTCCCACCTACCCCCCCTCATTGTTATCGTCATACCATGTACCAAACAGGCGTGTCTGGTTTCTGATTTATGTCCATCTGCTCTGAACAAAATTAAGGCTGATAATTAGAGAATTAATATGGTCCCATTTCAAAATATTGACGCATATTGTCGGCGGCATTTATGATTTCCCGATTGAATTTTATTTTTTATTTCACGGATTAAATAATATAATAGATCGTTGATCTTAATTTTGCTGCTGCGAGTTGACGAAAACACCCCGGATCGTTTAGGTCGCAGCCCAGCGAAGAGGGTTTGGTGCATGCCGTAATTTAGTCCAATCTATAAGGGCAGATGTTGTGGGGGAAGTCAATAAATGGCTCTTTCAGTTCAGTGACTGGTGCAATCGTGAAGGAAAGAAGACCAGAGGAGTGGACTGAGAGGGGAGGAGAGATGAGCCTCAAGGTATGCCTGATTCTGCTCGCTTCCTCTCGTGCGAAACGCACTATCGCTCCTCTGGTATCCATCATCCGTTCCTAACTCGCGTCATGATCTCGGCGTACTCTATTTCGATTTCGGTGTACGCCTTGCTCAGCAGGATCGGCTTGGGAGAAAGTCTTATTTGAGCTTTCTATGAAAAATACACGCGTCGCTGGTTCAATTTTATCTTCTTGTCGGAGGTCATTTCTCTTCACGTTGCGATTATGAGAGAACGTTGGTTTGCTCTGGTTCGGTTTCGGGCTCTTAGATTGTCCTATTTATTTATTGCCACCGTGGGAAGCGTGATATATCTGATTTTGGCATCTGATGCCCAGTTGTGCCTGTTCACAGCAACGCACCATTTCTGCCGATCTTGTCAGCATGGAAAGACTGTCTTCATTCTTTGCTATCACTTTCACTGATACCGGCTTAAACATGGTTTGATCAGGCAGATACGAAACGGGATTTGCTTCTTCTGTATCTATCGGTGTCCATTCAAGCTATACCTTTGCCTTGAGATGAGAACGCCGTTATTTCACCAAAAAAATTTCGGTCTCAGATGTTTGGACCTCCAGTTCAGAAGATTCAATGCGCCTTTTCACTTTTATGCTGTTCTCCTTAGAAGTTCCGATGAGGGTTAAAATTTTCGGATAAATCCCAATCGGGATCGAGCATGTTGATTGAATCGTTCCATCTTGCCTTCTGGTACATGTTTCCTACGATTTCTCGCTAAAAAATGCTTGATGCTAGTCCTTTTGACAATCTTCTCTTATGAGCAAAAATCTTTGTTTAATGGTCTCTAGCCTTTTCGTATGGAGACACCCACCGTGTATCGATTTATCTTCCGTCTTGTGAAAGATCTGTTGGGCTTGTTTTTTACTGCTTTGTTTTGTCACCAGGAAGAGTTCGAAGAGTACGCCCGGAAGGCTATGACCCTACCCGAGAACACAACAAATGAGAACAAACTTATTCTCTACGGGCTTTACAAGCAGGCAACTATTGGACCCGTGAATGCTGGTAACTATTCTGTTTATTATGTTAGTCGATTGACCGGTGCTCGATGCATAGATCAACATGAGAACAGATAAACATCTTAGCTGATTGTTCTGTGACCAACATATTCTGAATGAGCTTGGGGCCAATATGCGTCCACCACAATCGTAGATTTGGGGGGGGTTTAGAGAGGGGGGGTGGGGGGTAAATCACCAACTACTGAGAGTCCCCTGTTCTACTTCCCCTGAGTGAAGAAACTTCCTTCGACAGTGAATGCACAGAAGCTTTAAAGAAGGTTCATTCGGCTTGCATCGCTATATCTCCAAGTAAGCCATAATAATTTATTTAACTTTATTTCTAAATTTTGGTTTCCCATGAAAATCAAAGGGGGGGGGGGTGGGTGGTGAGATTCCTCAAGAAGGTTAATCTCCCAATCATGGGTAGTCTTCTCAACCATTTCTCCTTTTCCTTGCAATATCTGAATCTCATGCTTCATCTCCAGACAGACCCGGGGTGTTCAACCAGAGGGCAAGAGCCAAGTGGGATGCCTGGAAAGCCGTCGAAGGTGAAACAAAATAGCCAGACCCCTTTGACCCGGTTGCCTGCCAGCTATCTCTCTCACCTCGTTGACTCATCGTTACTCATGGAAGCCGCCATCTTCCCCCCTCACAGGGAAATCCCAGGAGGAGGCAATGAGCGACTACATCACCAAGGTGAAGCAACTGCTGGAAGAAGCCGCCGCCGCTTCTGCTTGACGCCATCTTTCCCCTGGGTCAACTGTTCGAGAGGGTGCCAGTCTCCCTTTTGCCTCTCACGTGATCTCTGCTGTCAGTTCTCTCGTTCCAGAATAAGATTGTTTTATCAAGGAGATCCTGGGCCCTGTCTCGGTTTTCTCAAGGCTCAGGTCTCAATATCAGACAATTTGGCCCGGCCCAAACGTGCTGGCCTGGCCCATACCCTATTGGAGCTTATTCTGGGCCATAGCAGCAAAATTGTGTTTTTCTATTTAAATGAAATTATCGGGTTTTTTTCCTGTACAAACTCCAGCCGGCCGAACGTACGTCGCCTTCAGGGACGTACCGGACCACGTGCGGCGTGAACCACCCAGAGACTTGTGGCCCAAGAAAACCCCGTCCGATTTTCCCGCGGAATACTGCCACCTCGGATCGTCTGGTTCTGCGGCCCCCCGTGCAGGCGGCTGCTAGGCGACTGATCGTACGTTTATGTAAATCCTCCTCAAGGACACCGCAAGCAAGGCGCTGGTCCTCCGCTCCGCCTCTCGTTGAATTTCCACGTGGAAAATTCTGACGGCTACCGGCATTCTCGACCAAGTACACACCCCCGTCTTCCCAATCAATATAAGCTCGTCTGGACCGTCCTCCCTGTCCGCCGTCAACCCCCGAGATAGAGAGAGAGAGAGAGAGAGAGAGAGAGAGAGAGAGAGAGAGAGAGAGGGATGGTTTGCAGGGTCGCCGGAGCTGGGCTGGTTAGGCACGTCGGCTTGGCGCTCTTCGCCTCGGGCCCGGCGGCGCGTGCAGCTGCTGAGTCGGCGTACTCGGTCCTGGGGAATGGCGCCTTAGGGTCAACGCCGGTGCACACCGCCGTGTGGCTGCTGAGGTTTCAAACGGCCAGGCACGCGAGCACGCTGTCGTCTCCCCCCGCGCTCGGGGGGGAAGAGGAGGCGAAGAAGACGACGGCGGCGGCGGCGGAGAAGTCTGATCAGAAGGCCGTGACGAGCTACTGGGGCGTTCCGCCTTCCAAGTTCACCAAGGAGGACGGCTCCACGTGGCGCTGGGCCTGCTTCAGGGTTCGTCCCCCCCCCACCCCCCTCCCACCCCTTGATGCCTCCCCCGCGGAACAACCATGAATATATATAGATGGATGGATCCGTGCGGAATAACACACTCCTCCAATGGTATGGTATGGAGTGATGATTGAATTTGGATTTGTCTCTGGTTGGCAGCCATGGGAGGCATACGAGCCGGACCTGGCGATCGATCTGAAGAAGCACCACGCCCCCACCACCTTCCTCGACAGGATGGCCTTCTGGACAGTCAAGTCCCTCCGCTGGCCCACCGACCTCTTCTTCCAGGTAAGAAAGCACTGGCCAAAACTCCTTCCGTCGTCATTGTAGGCGGATGATCTGATCTTCCTGATCGCCCTCTCCGCCGCCGTCTGTCTGTTGGCGGCAGAGGAGGTACGGGTGCCGGGCGATGATGCTGGAGACGGTGGCGGCGGTGCCGGGGATGGTGGGGGGGCTGCTGCTGCACCTCAAGTCGCTGCGGCGGTTCGAGCACAGCGGGGGCTGGATCAAGGCGCTGCTGGAGGAGGCGGAGAACGAGAGGATGCACCTGATGACGTTCATGGAGGTGTCGCAGCCGAGGTGGTATGAGAGGGCGCTCGTGCTGGCCGTGCAGGGGGTTTTCTTCAACGCCTACTTCCTGGGTTACCTTCTCTCCCCGAAGTTCGCCCACCGGATGGTCGGCTACCTCGAGGAGGAGGCCATCCACTCCTACACCGAGTTCCTCAAGGAGATCGACAAGGGCACCATCCCCAACGTCCCCGCCCCCGCCATCGCCCTCGACTACTGGCGCCTCCCCGCCGGCTCCACCCTCCGCGACGTCGTCCTCGTCGTCCGCGCTGACGAGGCCCACCACCGCGACGTCAACCATTTCGCCTCGGTACTACTACTACCATCAGCACTACAGCTACCTCAACCAGTCGTCCCCCTCCTTCCTGCTGTTGCTCTCTCTTCTGTGTTTGACGACTACCGCCGTGTTTTGCAGGATATCCACTACCAGGGGCACGAGCTGAAGGAATCCCCGGCGCCGCTCGGGTACCACTAAGAGAAATTGTTTTCATGGCGGAGGCCGCTCTGAGAATAGTAGAAAACTACCCTTTCTCCGTCTAAAACCCTCCTGCTAACATTCCATGCTCTCTGCGCCAATCAATGTCTGGAGAGAGAGAGAGAGAGATAGTCCAAGAAAGCGTTGTATGCTTTCAAGGATCTACCTGGAGGCGCTGGGACGGGCTTCTCATTTTCCCCACCGGGAGAGGATGAGGAGACCGACGACGGAGAAGCAGATGCCGCCCACGCCGCCGACGACCAGCGCGAAGGCGTAGATCTGGCTGGGCAAATTGAGCTTCGTCTGGATTCTCTTCAGCAGCTTGTCAATGGCAGGCGCCAGCGCTGCCGCCCCCGCCACACGGAAGGGCCGAGTGACGTTGTTGCCCGTCCACATGAGAATCACGATCTGTTCTCCCGTTCATCTCAAACATCAGTGAGCAGAAGAAAACCGGCGGGGATGGGTTGTATCGAAGAAATCAATCTGGGAGATGGAGAACAGAGAGGGAATGGGAGAAGATGCCTGCAAATGGAGCTTCTCTCGCACAGGGTGGGGAAATCGGATCTCAGTAAGGAGATCAACGGAAGTCAAGGGGAGGACGGATGGATGGATGGATGCCTTGAAGAAGGGCCCCGATTGATCTTGGCGTCCGGAACTCGGGTCCAGCGACGATGAATCATCACCGTAGTGAGAGTCATGGCAAGTTGAGATGGATCTGCCCAAAGGATGGATGCATTGCAAGAAATATGAAGGCAGGCCGGTAGTAGATGGCGAGTTCAGGCTGGTAGCTTACCCCCAAAAGAGCTTTGAGGTTGGCGGCGGGGTTCTTCCCCGTGCTCTTCTCATAGCCGAGGAATGCGAGGGTGAAGAAGCTCGTGTAGGTCACTCCGTCGAACAACCCGTAGGCCAGAACTGCCGCCAGCCCCAATTTCGCGATTCTCGAGCTCATCTCTGCCGTGTCTGCCTGGCCAAACGATCAGCTCCCCCGAAGATGACGAGATTCCAGAGATGAGAGCTTCAGAAATGAATCGGAGCAGATCCTCGGGCTAGCAAAGAAATCTCACCTTCCACTTCGACCAGAAACCCTGCTTCTCATTGCCCTAACGAAGCAAAATTTCAACACAGAAAGAACTCACGATAGCATCCCACGACAATCGACGCAAATCAATCAACAGCGGCGATGTAATGACGGTACCCGACTCGGAAGAGCGTCGAAATCGGGACTGGTCCCCCCTCCGGCGGCGGCATCGCCGGTGGAGCAACGAGAGGCCGTGCAAGGAGTCCGGAGCAGCGAGTGGCCGGCCAATTGATGTGTCGCCCCTCCGGCGTACGTCCGGCGGAGACCAGACAGCCGTATAGCGACAGGCCACCCCTCCAGAACTGCGCGAGGGAGACTCCTCGGCCCACCGATGAGAAGAGGCTTACACCACGGGTTCAGAAGCGCCGCCGCGTTCGACATGCTGGCCTCACATCAATCGGAGAGAGAGAGAGAGAGACGTAGAGGAGATAATATAGCTATAAACGAATTAAATTAAGCTGGAAGTTAAGTGTTAGAATTTCAGAAACATAGCAATAATTAAAATATTTCAGAAATCTTTCGTTGGAGAGTATTCACGATTTTCATATCATTTTAAAATGACATTCTTCTTGCTCCGTAGAAGAAGAGTTCAGGTCAAGTTGAGACCTAGCACGGACCCAAATGCCCCTCCATTTTGTTATCTTATCATTTATTATCCGGAAAGGTCTTTGATTTCTCAGGCCATTAAATATTTTCCACAATAATTAAAAGTTAGATTAGACCCATGCAGAAGAGGAGAGCCTCTTGCCCGCTATTAATGATGCGAATTATCCGGTTTAAATAATTTCTCCTCGTAGGGAGAGAGAGAGAGAGGCTTTCGGGAGTGAGGAACACCGGCGCCGGCCGCTCAAGCAAGCCAAGAGGCGAACCAATTCAAGCCCGTGAAAATTGTTCTCAACATTCTTACCGAAAATGACGAGTGATGGTACTGCTTCTAACACAGGACGAAGACATGAAGACACCATCCACGTCCACGAGAAAGTCCTCTGGATGACGATTTTCAAAGGAAAAAGTCCTGGCCTTTCGCACCTTCGAAATAATGAAAATTAAAACAAAGTTAGTGCTATTTCATTTGGCAGATGATCAGTTCCGGGTCGGCCGGTCGGCAAGAAGATGGCAAGCTCCATGAGAACAAGTAAAAAAACATCATGATAGAAGCCAGGTATCCATGTCTGAAGATGCCATTAAAATAAATAAATAAATAAACAAATAAACGAATAACCAAATAACAAATAAAAAAATAAATAAAAACTAGTGATAGTGGCGTCGGCACGAGAAGATTTCATAGATATAATTGCCAGGGTTGTGGCGATACGATCCCAACCTCAGAAAAGGCTCATCTCTTATCCTGACTATTTCTGAGCTTTTTCATCTCGGGTTCCTTGTAATTTTCCATAAGCAGGTAGCAGACATCCAACCAGCCCCTTCTTTTGGCACAATTTTGTTAATGGGTAGGTCTCTAACAGTGGCTGATGAGCTGACAGGTGTCGACTGAAGAATTCATCTCTAGTATCTATCCGAGAACTTGAAGACTCTTGAAGACTTCTGACTCAAGACAACAACAGCCAACATCGTGTACTATATCAGGAGAAAAAATATTATATGCTGCCCATACCCATACCCATACAGGCCTGTTAAATGCTAGAAGCTAAAACAGTAGGAAATAAACTGGAATCCGAGCCGCCGTTCATGAACCACATTTGGACATTGACGAGGGTTTAAAGCGCCTCCTTGAGCTTGAAGGTCCTCAGAATCGCCCTCGCCTTATCATACTCGTTGAGCCCAACCAACATCTTCTTCACACGACGGGCAAGCCCAACAGTATCATCTTCAATGCCCGATGCCAGCCTCTTCTCAAGCCTCCTCCCTATTTCCATCACGCACTCCACCAGCAGCTGCAGCTTCTGACTCTGGTCTCCCGTGACGCCTGAGCCAGACCAGACGCCCGATAGCGAAGAAATCACCCTCTCTGTCCTGGTGATTGCATCGTGTAAATTGGGCATCACACTTCTAAGATGGGGAACAACTTTTCTGGCCAGGAGCGCATCCAGAGCAAGCTCCTGCAGTATTGACGCCGAGAGGACATCTTTCCACAGACAGATATTCTTCAGTAAACGGACAGACCTCCCAAAACGGTATGCTGCAATTCGTGCTGCATCGGGAACGGCTCTTATGACTGAAGCACTCCAGGTGGGCACGCTGAGACTCTCGATAGCCTCAGAGAGGCGACTCCGAACCTCGGTGACCAGTTCCGCCAGTTTCTTGCTGGACGGTTGAAGATAGCTGATGACCAGGTTGGTAGCGAAAACTGCATTTTCTGTCATCCGAGTGCTTAGGATGTCCCAGCAATATTTTATTTCATGATGCAATATAGGAAGGGCTACCTGTTCCACTAGATCTGGAATGAGATTGGCGTCGGGATCATTCGGGTCAAAACTTTCTTTATTTTCCTGCAGCCCATAAGTGAAGAGTTGATCATGCCACTGCATATCGCAGAAATCTGACTGCTTGTGGAGCGGATCCCACTTCAGAAGCTCCAGTCTCATGTATGGCGAGAATATATGGGGTAGACTTAAAGACATGTATGCATCCCGATAGGTCATGGAATAAAGCTTCTTCCATTCTTCAAACCGTCCTTTAACCACAGAAAGTTTAGAGTACTCTTCCGCTGCATCACTGAAAACGAGTTCTGCAGTCTGAAGCAATTCCTCTCTGCTTGATGAGTACGCACCAGCTTCACTATCACTCTCATCAGTGCTCAATTCTCCTTCTATGTGGTCGTACGTAGTATCAGTTGCAGTGGATGACAGCCTCTTGGATTCAGAATGAACTTTCCTGCGCTTTCTGGCTTCAGCCCTCCGTTCCATGTCAAGACGCTTTTGTCGATTCAAATCCCGCCCAAACTCATCAAGCTGGACCGCGAGATTCAAACTTTCCTTTGCAGCAGCGGAAGCAGCCAGAGCTGCAGAGGCGGCAGCAGAGACCAGAGCTGCTGAAGAGCCTCTGCTAAGCACAGACGTTGCTGCACTAACTGCAGCCTCTACTTCGGCCATCTCATCTGCATTGTCAGCGTCCCTCCTTTCTCTAATGGCCGATGCTCTATCTTCATGGAGCGTCTGCATCTGCTCCTCCAGTTCCTCAATGTATGGCGCCTTGTCCTGTAAGAAACTGCACATGATGGAGATGAAGTCCCGGAGCTTTTGCATAAAAACGAACTTCGCATCTGCATCTGACAGAGACTTCTCAAGAGTGGTGATATTTGTTAAGGCCTCGGACAAGTTATCATCTGTTCTCACGAGAGATGACAGGGTCCTACTGTGTGCTTCCTTGAGCTTGCCAATGCCCTCTCGGAGCGCTCGAGTAGCAACCTCCGCCTGTTGGGAAATGGACATGGTCTCTGCACTTTTTGAAAAACCATAGGCAGCATCAAGTGACAGACTCTTTGAGACATTCAGAAGAGAAGCTTCAGCATAAACAGCAGGTTGCGACTGGATGATGGGGGCCGGCATGGGGCCATTGATAGGCTTGCCAGATGACGCCTCATCAAATCTCTTGCCTAACCCTTTCCTGAACTGCTCTTCCTCCCATATTCTCTCCTCCTCATCTTCTTCATCGATTACCTCTCTGACATCCGCCACCACAGCAAACTTCTCCACCTCAACAGTCTTCTCCACAGTGCTCTCAAAAACACCCTTCCTAGATGCATGCTCCTCTTTGTCACCAAGCAAAGAAATCCTGCCACGAAAGTCATGATCTTCTTCATCGCTAGATCCACAAGAAGCACTAGGTCCTGCGCCACTATCCAAGGAAATGTAATCTGGCGCTGCACCACGAGACTGACGAAGCCGCTCCCTCTTCGCTCTAATGGCATTAATCGTGGCCTGGTTAGGTATCGGAGATGAATCCTTGCCTTTCCCGTTGATGTCCAATCCTGCAAACCTGCGATTCGCTGCATCGCCCTTCACATCCACTTGGTCCAGTTGCGCCATCTCCTCCTCCATCTCTTGCTGAGGCGACGGTGGCGGTGGCAGCACTGCCGGCGCATTCTCTTTCTGCATTGCAACTGTTTTCACGAGTCCCTCAAGGCCCTTGAGAACAATGACTGGTTCGGCAGGGGTTTCAGCTTTGGCCGGTTTGGGCGGTTCAACAGGGATAGATAATGAAGACAGCGGGGCTGCCGACTTAGGCAAACTGCCAAGAGGCCGAGCGTTCTTCTGGAGCTCGAGGAGCTTCTCCTTGGTGTACTCCCCGGTCTGAGGCTGCAGACTGGAGACTTTGGGGAGGGAGGCAGCAGCACGGTCCTTGGAAGAGGTGATTCTGTGGACAGATGCATGCCTGGAAGAGGCGGCAGATGAGGAGGTTGGCCTGGACGTGGTGGAACGGCGAACTGGGCCCTCCTCGTCATCAGCGAAGCTGAGGAGGCTCCTGGGCTTGCTAACTACGGGACGGGTGTGGGTCTGGACGGTAGACCCGCCCTTACCGCCACCAGATGTGGAGGCGGCCGCCGCAGTGGTGGAAGATGGAGCCGTCTCTTCTCCATTGGCGTCATCCTCTGACCGACGGCGGAAGTTCCTGCTCTTGACGCCGCCGCTGCTCATGTGTGCGGTATCAAAACGTGAAGCCTTGGCCTTATTTCTGCCCCGCAAAATCTACGGGGGAGCCTGTATAATTGTCGCAAACCTAGAAACAGAGAAGGGCAGGAGCAGGAGGCGGCTTCAGCCAGAAGCTTCCAATTGTGGCCGAATTGGCAGGAAGAAAGACCCCACAAGGGAAAACCCTAGAAGAGGAGCTGGAGGAGCCAGGAAAGGATAGGGGAACAGACGTTTAGCCAGGAGAAGAGGCCCCTCAGAACAGGGCAGCGGGCAACGAACCAGCGACGGAGAAGCCGATTCCAACTGCGCCACCCGGAGAGATGGAGCAGCAGTCCGTCTAGAAACCCCAAGCGGCGCGAGATCTCGCGTTCTGCCTTGCCCAGCGTGGGAGCAGAGGAGCGAAGGTGGGGAGGGGGCGTTAAAAGAAGGTTCTTATTTATGGGTTCGGATAACAGAAAAACCTCTTTGTGAGAGTACTCATACTTGGGCTTAAACCAAGTACCCGATTAATGGGCTAGGCTTGAAGTCTGTAAAGGCTCCGGCAAAGTCGGCCCACAAAGCTTCATGGAAATGGTCTTCTTGACGTGGAATCATTGACGGATCAAATATTGTGAAAATATTTAGCCTTGATTCCGCAAGGCATGAAATTTTGGCGAGGAAGAACAGAATTCAAGCTTTGAATCCATAATAAACGGATTTGGATGATCATTAAACACTGATTAGAAAAATGTCATTTGAATCTTCAATGGTTGTTTGAACCCACAAGCATTTAAATCTCTCACAAGTAAATAAAAATTTGTAATAATTCATTTACAAGATATGAAAATTCCTTTTTTCCCTTTTGTCAATAGTTCTTCTATGTCCTCATTTGAATCTATTATATTCAAGATTCATCTTGCCATGATGAAAATCAAATACGCTTGCTACTATCTAAGACAATAGATCTTCAAAAGGACCATTTGGTACAATTTTAATAATGACATCTAGTGTCTATATGGAACCATCGTCATTTCTCACTATGACATGTGTTTTTGATTTTTGATAAAAAATTTAAAAGGTTTCTTACTTTTGATTGATGTGACTTTTTTTCTCCTATTTAACCATTTTAAAAGCTCACTTGATAAAATGATCTTGGATCCCTTTAAAATAAGGGTAGACGAATCAGAAGCTTAAATGGAATGATGAAACAAATGCCTTTAAAACTAGTCCTGAAACCTGAACAAAATGGTGAAATGGATCTATTTAAAATCAGATCCAAAACCTAGACAAAATGATGGAATGAATCTCTGTCTATTCTGTTTTTGACTCATTTCTGGGCCCAAAGTCCTGCGAAAATGAAATCCAACAGGTGTAAACCCAACCCTAATCACTTCTTTTATTTCTTTGACTGCTGAATGAATGGGAGAAAGAGAAGAATGTTGGGAGTAGAAGATCGCACAGGAAGAGGAAGCTCGGAAGCGAAAACCAGTGAACCATGGCAGAAGATTTCACCATGCCATTCCATCCATCCATGTGCTACTTGCCTCTTATCAAAGCCGAGGAGAATGAAACAAAGAAAATAGAAAGAGAAAAAATTTGGACGAAAGGAAGATCATATGGGAAGAGAAAGCTTCAAAGAGAATGCAAAGAGGAGAAGAGCAAAAATGAAGAACCATTGCAACAAAGAACCTCAAACAACCAAGGATTAGAAAAAAGGAAGAGAAAACTACTTGAAAGATCATGACGATGAACCACAAATGAAAACCAGACAAAAGTGAAGGAAAAATACTTTTGAAAGAAATAGAGATGATATTAAACAAGTAGAGAGAAGGGTAGACACGGTGCAAAACCTTACACTCTGAAAAGTTTATATTAAAGTCTACCTGATGCAAATAATAAAAAGTATAGATAGTGGCTGAAGTGAGTCTTCTCACTTCAGCACAACATAGTTCGTGTGACTGAGACTTAAATCTTGATGTCTTCCTCTAGCTACCTATGTCCTTACATCATAGAGGGATGACATCCATTACCTTCTCTATAACTGCTGTTATGTGTGGAGAGATAGTTGGTCATACTTCGCATCACTTGCTGATAGAAAGATCGTGATGAAGAATCAGAAGGAAAAAACAAGGATACTACAACAAGAATAACATATGAAACATTGTGACAAAGAACCGCAGATTAATGAAAACGGAAGATCGTGATGGAGAATAAGGGATGTATGAGGAGAAACAAATAAGATATCACGATATAAAAAAAAGGAAGAATGACAGAATATCTCACGGAAGAGAAGAATGATCCTCAACGTGTAAATGAGAAGAAAGAGAGGAGCAATAGAGAACAAGAAGAGACATACCTTGATCCACGCCACTAATTCTTGAGTGAAGGGGATAAAACAAGGACAAGACTGGAGGAGAAAGCGAAGGAACCATTCCCTCTAGGAAGAAGAGAAGAATGAGCCATTCTCTATGGCCGTCATCTCTTATCACAAGGGAAGAAGTGAAGAAAGAACGAAAAGAACAAAAGAACAAAAGAAGAATGAAAAGAAGAGAGGAAGAAGAACGTGAAGAAGAGAATAATAATGACTTGAAGAAAAAAAGAACAACGGGAAAAGAAGAAGACGAATCAAAGTTATTCATCCACGTTCCACAATCTCTATCAAATAAAGAAATATATTTGCGAGGGAGAAAAGAGAAGAGGAAGAATGTACTATCTATTGGGTCAAATTTCCATTTTCGCCATGTAAGAAACTTGGAACAAAATTGAAAGTACATCAATCAACAATGTGCCTCGTTCATCAAGGATGCGAAGGAAATATTCTTCATTGGGTAAATTTGCTTCTCCTTATTTACATTAAATTGTAGGAATTGATTTTTTCTTTGAACCTAGAATGTAAGAATAGAGAGTGAGGAGATTCTCTAGTTTTACTCACATAGAGCAGTAAAATTTAAAAGAGAGACGGGTAGCTTATCTAGTTTATCCCCTTAGAACTATGAATCTAAAGAGGAGTCTTGAGTGAAAACCTAAGTTAGATGAATGTTAGGCCCCCACCTAAGCCCCTAACTGGACCCTCTACTAGGCCAATAGATGTCACCATGGCCCAAGACTGACCGTTTCGAGATTTAAGTATGACCGGAAGCAGAATAAATCCACATTAGAGGACTAAGGAAGAAGTGGGCCCGTTGCCCATTCAGGAGTTTGGGTTTAAGGGTATCGTAATCACCTCCTTGAGGGCATCTTTAGCTAAGTATTGGGAGAGTGAGGCGCTCTAGAACTTTTCTTAACCAGTTCTAGGGTTTCCTTGAGAAATCCTTCTCATCCTACTGTTATTTTCCTCCTGTCTCAATCAAGCGCTCTTCCAATTATTTGCTCTTATCTTTGCCTCTACCATTCATACCTGTTAGGAACCGATTGGTTCCAAACAATGAAATTGTTAAATTTAGTGAAAAGTTAACTGAAACCTAAAGTTTAATGTTCAAAATATTAAAGAATTTGTGAAACCCAAATATAAAGTTTTTAAAAGTAGATGTTGGTTAAGAGGACAGAACAATTATAAAATTGTGGTGTGATTTTATTGACAATTATCACGTCAATCAGTATCATTTAGATATTTAATACTTGATCAAAAAAGAAAATAAAATTAATTCACCCCCCTCTTAATATTGTGCCACCACTTAGAGGCCAATAAGTAAGAACAAAAATCAAGCTTTAAATCCACAAGACACAAATTTTCTCAATCCTCGAAACCAGAAGAATTGAGTTTGACAATCATTGAATTCACAAGAATCAGTAAAATATCCCTAAAAAAGTACATGCATTACTTGAATTCACAAGTACTCATAAATCTTACAAAGATAATGAAAATTCATAATAATTCATCTTTTGGAGTTACAACATGCTAGCTTTTAAATAGTCACAAAGTCAATTATAACTCTCCTGAAAATATGGATCAATTAGGAAAACAAATGAAAAATGACTTAACACCAAAATAGTTAATAAAACTGAAAAATACATATGATTCATGTGATTTATTTGGCCTCAAATCTCATTTTGGGCCTTTTCCGTCTTTGTAGCCCATATTTCACGTTTATAGGCTAGCTGGGTCAAATAATTTTCGCCTTCCTCTTTTTTTGAACCCATCCGACCCCCACCTTAAGTTTAAACCGGACCTGACAAAGGACAGAAGGATCATATTTGAGGTAATTTTGGCCTTTCTGGGATGCTTCCATTGACAGTAATGTACATACAAGATGTCTGCCCATCAAAGAAGGAGATCGGTTTGAAATTTAGTCCAGTTCCTCTACAAGACGCATCTGAGGAACAACCTGAAAGCAGAATCCTTGGGGCTGACTGAAGTTGTCTCAGAAACCAACAGCAACACCGGCGTTGAGAACAGGACGGGCTTGGCTGCTGATCTCTCTACTCCCCGGCGACAACGAAGGGCAGTCCCCTGGAAGGAGTCAAAACTTGGATCAACGTTCGCAAGATGAAAAGGCTTCCTGGTAATTCAGTACCAGACGTGGTCTCCGATCGACAGCAGACTGGTCAGCGAGTCCTCGAGCTACTTACACTGATCATAAGAAACCCTTTCTAGGACATGAACCACAGAATCTTTAGAGACCATATACGTACCACAAACCAGATATGGAGGAAATTTCTTGGTCAGTCACTGAACACATGAAAAGTGCTCATGTATAAAAAACTATGGAACATGCTCAACACGATTAGCATTAGTGGTTTCAAGAGGAATAAAGTATCGTAGACAGGTGTATTGATTCACTGACTGGTTGAGAGAGAGAGAGAGAGAGAGAGAGAGAGAGAGTTAAAGTGCACAGCAAAAACAGAAGAGTAAACACCTTTACTCGCTGTCTTCAATTCATGAAATAGTTTTTCCAAATAAAATTAGAAAAATTCACAACCTTTCTGAGATAATGAAGAAAACGAACAGAGATTTCTCTAAATAACAATTCATGACATAAAATTAACTCAGATGATGTAATAAATAAGACTTGTTATCTCAAGTGAGATAGGAATGCAAACTCACCATCCCCCACTCCTGGAGAAGTAATCACAGTCCAGAGAAATAGCAAGAGACACCGCAACAGCTCTTTCAGAGAGAGTCAGTGGGCGAGAAACATCTAGTTCTTGAATCTGAAATGCGTCAGAAACAACTGAAAGCCTTTTCGTCTGCCTTTTGATTATTTGAACTGTATAGACAACCTCAACATTCATCAGTCCTTACATTAACATGTGCCCCACGGTTGGTGCGCGAATCAGCACACCCGAATCGTATCACATACTGTCCAGCGTCAGTGAAGAGCTGCCACAAATTTAGAAAAGCTGAATTAATAAATCTCTTCCTGGGTTTTCAGAATCATCGAAATTACCCTTCAAGGAAAAAAACAAGGTCACAAACGTGTTAGGAAAGGTGAGAGGATGAAAAAAGGGCGACTCAAGTATGTTCAGCCACTGAATGAACCAATCACCAGCCAAAACAATTTTGCTCTCTCTATATCTAGGACTTCTCCAACTTCAGAAGACTTTCATTGGCATGCGTATAAACTAAAATTTAAACATGTAACAGCTTTATAGACAACTTGGAATTCATACTTTTGTTTTGTCACCTTAAAGTGAGAAATTTAAAGAATAGTAAAGCTAAAAGAAATGTGTTCATAATTCATAAATAATCATGAAGAATATTCCACCAATATGGAAAGTATGCAAAAAATCACTTTTATGTTAATTCTCCAAAGGAGAAAAAGAGAGAACCTCTAAGCCAATACCCCTCCAGTCACGGTTAATTTCTGCCAGCACATTTTCACCATCGTCCTTCAGAGTAAATGTCCAGTTCCAAAAGCCAGGATTTTCAACCACAGCAAACTGCTTATTGCTGTCAAATAAACTAAAAAAATAAGTCCATATCAAAGGATTTGAACAGTAGATAATTCCAAAACTCGACATGAAAGAAAAAAACAGGTAACTTATATCATAATCACTACTATCCAACACATTTTTTAAAGACCAGGGTAGTGAAACACAAGAAGGTGTTTGTGAAGGGTCTCCGATGATTGCTCCAATAATAATGTTAAATAAAAAAATCACTCAACTCATGGAAAACAAGGGAGAGATCCGCTCCAAAAATTTGAGCATTGTGTTTCTGTAATCATCTATGGTTCTCTTTTCTTTTTCTGTCACAATCCTCGATATTCTTGCAGGCCATCCATGCAAGTAATGCTTTCTTATATTTGCTCCTTGAGTTTCTTTTTTTTTCTCTTCGATTAAACAATAATCCTCCACTTATCTTGCTACATCGCAACACAAGCTTGGCTGTACCAAACAAGGTGGAGCCACTTCCAAGGGCTGGGAATGAATGAGGGGCTGATCCCCACCCGTCCTTACATGGTAGATACACTGTAGATGGGAGCACCATCTTGCAAACTGGATTTATTTGCAATCCTGTATATTTCTGTCTCAGATGCAGATCAAGGTTTCCTTCTTGAGGTGATGCTTTTCAGAGTCAATGTTTGCAGAGTTGAATCACAGTACATAGAGCATTATGGTATTCTTAGATGTTACATTGCTGACCTTGATCTATGTAAATTCAATGCAAACATAATGGCATCCATCCAACAACTTCGTCCCTTCCAACGCCTTTCCCATCTGTCTAACGAAAACAAAAGGAGAACGCTTTGACTTGAAACTGCAACTCATGATCTTCACCGGAAGAAGTCAAAGAGTTTTCATGAGGTTACCCAGATTGCGGGAAAAATGATACAATGATACAAATCACGAAGTTCATAGGCATTAAGGGAGGAACATAAGCATGATGTATAAATGAAAAAGAATACGGTGTGACTACAGGATGCCAACTAAGCTGCCAACTAAAGAGCAGGTCTTGCAATTGTAGATCAGATGACAATCCAGGTCAAATGTAATTGCATAGTGCCTTTGCATGATGATACTACAATGGAAATAATGAAACCAAGAACAGATGACAATCGAGGTCAAATGTAATTACATGATGCCTTTGCATGATGATACTACAATGGAAAATTCATGTGACAAATGATTAGCATTCAACAAGCAAAGTTAACAAGTCACAGACTTTACAAGTAGACAGTTTTATCCAAAAAACTTTCAAGAGAACGATGAAAATATCTTACGTCAGATATAAGTCATAGATTCTCCTCCAAAGATGCCATCGTCTATGAACCACACCGATTTCCTGTAAGATAATAAAAAACTAATGAATTTTACATGAAAGTTATAATGATGCAAAATATGGAAGATAAAAAACAAATTATAAGGTAGTTGCCGTGTGATAGCTCCTAGCTTATAGATCCTAACCAAATATTAACAATATTTTATCTGCTTGATCTTGGGTCCCCATTAACTTCCATAAATCATAATTAACTGTTTAAGTACCATTCCTCTCCTTTTCTTGTGGCAAGTTTCATTACTCAATACTGCAGTCACCAATGGAGCCAAATGAGTCTTTTAACAGACATGAACATAAACCAAAATTTCTGAGAAAGACTTGTCAAGCCCTCAAAGAAATAATGAATGTCTGTTGATTATGACATCAGAAATTTACTACTGAGACAAGCTTATTAAATATCAGAAATACAAAATACTACGAAAAAGGAGGAGTGCAAGAAAACAAGTGAGTTGTTCAACAAATTAATCGGAGATAATGTTTTTCTTCACAGATAAATAATTTTATCAACTGCAAAGTGATGCCCAACTGGACCAATAAAAAATATCATCCAAGATCAGGAATAAAATACATATGTAGAGTAGGAAAACAGAAGCGAAAATTAGGGGAAATTAGAAAAATGGAGAACAAAAAGGGAATCACATCTCTCCAGAGACATGTACTATCCTTTCATTTATTTATCATTATCTAAAAACTTACGATGTAAAAGACAGATAAATGCATACCTTACCATCAACTTCAGCATAAATCGTGCTATTTATCCACCAGAATGGCCTGCGAACCTTTTAAATGACAACAAATCAGTGTTGGGATACCCTTTTGCAATTCGAACTTTACCAAGTGGTCTTACCGTAAATATCTCATTGCCCCAGGCATCAGTTATGTAAGCAGTGAATGGACGCCTTGAACGAAGCAACTGCATGATTATAAAATATAGAATATAGTTTCAAACACTGAACAAAAAGGAGAGTGTAATTAAATAATGAGTAAGCGTTAAGATCAAAATAGGTTCAGAGTAGAAACAGAACAAAAACATAAATGAGATATAAGAAATACATTATATAAATAAACACATTACACTTTAACTTATCGAGAAGATGACTTCTCAGACCTTTTCCTGTCATAACATGAAAGTTCAAATAGGCCAATCATGACTGGGACCAGCAGTGTCCGCTTCAATTTGGTGGGTAGAGTCCAAACACCCGAATTGGCTGATATAGCGATTAATTCATTCTATGTTCACCTGAGTTCTGCAAAAGAATATGTAAGAAGGCCAGGATTGGCTAAACTGGCCACACTACCTCTCATTCCTGTCTAAGTTTGCAACCAAATTGTATTGAGCAAATGGTCCCGGAGCTAGCATGGAGTTTTCTTTTAGTTACCTCTCTAAATCCCGCAGCACATTACACAGGCACAATTCCCACCAATCTGATTCATGAAAGCAGCTGCAAAGCCACTGTGAATCAGTCTGACTTAAAAGAAGGTTACACTGTCAAACCAGGATCTTGATCTTCTTGATCAGGTCTTCGCCCTCCCTTCTCACTGGAGCCGCCTAGAAAATCCATTAGTGTAGATTCACGAAAAGTCTTCAATTCACCTCTACACCGGTTTAAATACCGGTTACATCTATAGTGGGCCAAGCCCTTTTATTTTGAAGAAAGAAAGGAAGAGCCCATTAAATAGTCCATAACTGACTCACTTGAGGGCCCAAATAGAAGAGAGACACTACAATAACGAGATACTAGCTTGTTTGTCATACACAATTCATTTTGTTACGAAATTCTGATCCTAACTAGAATTTTATTGAGGGGGCTCCTTCGACTAAGTCATTTGACAACTCATTCAGCCCATTTTATAGTGTTTTACACCATTTCATGTACACAAAGCCCTATAGAAAGCTCCTGAAAATCTGTGTGCAGGGGCTGAGCCACTTAAAAATTGTTGATCTGAGTGCTTTCTCACTGTAGTATGTTGAAAATGACATTATTCGTTGGTCCCTTTTGATTTACACCCATGACAAAAATGGAGCAACAAAAAGGAAAAATAGGGTTCATAAGAGTCTTATCGGTTGATATCGTCTGCCTAAAAAGCTTTGAGCACTGATTGTGATTACGACTCATTCATATCTTAAACTAGAACAACATATAAGGACATTGGTAATTATCTTTATCATCATAATCCTGCTCTGAAAGTTCTTGTAGTCCTAGCATATATAAAAAAATGCAAAAATGCTTCATCCCAATACCATGAGGAATTATACCCAAAATAATGCAACTTTGTTATGTCATAGCGCCATTTTGATCCAGAGGCCCCCTTTGTTGTCAGAAGTTTATTTCACCAGAGGTGTGGTTCATGAACTCTTATATTGGTTAGATATGGGATCTTAGGATAGATTTGATAACCAGTTGGAACTAGAATAAGCTGGGTCATCCGCATGTATTAAGATCAAACCCGGATGACGGAGTGAATCATGAGAGGCCCAGTTGGAGACCAACTCGGATAAAATAATTACTTAACCTATTCAACCAAACAAATGGAATAGTCAGAACTCAGCCCCATTAACGTATGACCACTTTTATCAAATTGAAAACTAAATTAAGCTAAGCCTATGACACAGGGTGTGTGTTATCAAGCTGAAAGTTGGATAAACTAGAACCCGGAACTGAAGCAACATTAAACTAGTTAATTCTAACCAATTATCAAACCAGCCCCTTAATGTCTTTATTTGTCCACCTTTCAGTGACACATCATTCTAATGAGGCAAAAGAGGCTCAAGTTAGACAAGAAAGACAGAAATAAGTAATCGCTCATATAATAAGGAAAAACAACACTAAAGGCAGGCCAGCCTGAATGCTCAGATCATGAGGCTGAGGAGTTTCCAACTTCACTACTTGAAATCAGCCTTCACCTAGATTGTCAAAAGGAAAGATGGTCCTCATGTCCATGTTGATAAGGTAATAATCACAGGATATGGTGAGGATGCAGAAAAAGAAACAAACAGGTGAAGGAGAATGAAATCAAAGATAGGAGTAAGAAGCATTGTTCTTGATCCACAGGGAATTCTCCATGAATCTGATTTCCAAGATTACATTGGTACCTTTCACTGAAAAATAATCACCCCCACAAAGGGACAGTTCTTAGCAGTAACGTTTTCACAAGAATAAAAGTATTTAAAGATAAATAATTATTCCCATCAATAGAGAAATGACGTTTCTGAGCATGGTATATCATGATGTCATGAGACACAAAGTATACAAGAATATTTAATCAAAATATGGCCACATGAGGAATATAAGAAGAGAAAAATAGCATCCAGCAGATCAAGGGAGGTAAGGAAGGGCTAATAGCAATTGAAGGATATACTTGTCTGTAGATGATATTACTTTGCTCACGGATAAAACCTACAGGCTGGAAGCAAAATCACATTGTTATGGTCAAAAGAGATAATAATTCATATCTTAGTACAGATTCTGTGACACGTACAGATCCAGGATCAGCGGGATCAACAATGATATATCGGCTTTCCTGTAATTTTAAGAAACGAATGACACAACTTAGAAACAGATGGAAAGTGAGAAAACACAGCACCCAATGTTCCTTAAGAGAAGAAACAAGAAATGAAATAACTTTACAGATAAATAGTCCATAATTCATGAAATAAAGTTGTCATCAGAATCACCATAACTAAAGATCAATTTCCTCATAAATTTGTATGATGAAATTCAGGTTCCTAGAGACAGTAAAGATTGTTTCCTGATTTGTCATTTTGACAGGATCACTCAAAGTTATCTCACCTAATAACCACAGTTGGCCGTCTTAATATAACATCACAGGAGGCCCTAAGAGGTTTAATAAAGATTTCTGATGAATGAAGATATTTTCATTTCGGAATGAGGCCTATTGAAACACCTATGATCCAAATAACTTGGGAGCAATATATTCAAAAGTTCTGGGAGCTGGAGGCAACAATGATGTCCAAATAGCTTCATTTGAAGTAGTCAGGCCCCTACTAAAAAAAGATATTTCCCTACGTAAGGAACAACAAACTGAATCCGCCAGTAAAATATAACAGCAATTTTTGTAATTTGACACAAGAAAATACTAATCACCTTTCCACAGAATGTGTCATCATTAAGTGGGGTGGAAACTCTGACTAGAAAATTGGCTGTCTTGGAGAAACTTTATTGGCATCCATTACTTAACATAGAACTGTCTTATCAGTGCGGTTGGGGCATATAATGGCTAGCTACTTTGGGATCAGCTATATTATGGGTTTTCAGGAAAAGTTTATTGAGGACGCAAAATCATTGGTAAGGCAGTCCTCTTAAGAGGCTGATGCTGGGTCCACTTTACCAACAGAAAATGACATCCCCAAGTCCGAACTAATCAGGACGTAAATTGATCTTCAGAAAATAGGATGGGGAAAGAAAGGTTGAGGCAGAATGTGATGTTATGGTGACAGCTGCTCGCTTAACTTGCGATGATTGATGCCTCAGGGTTGTGTTTACATCATTCATCTGCGAGCAGGGAAGCTTAGCTCTCTAAAGGCCATGTACTAATGTTTTACAACATTACCATGAAGGGGAAGAAAGAAATACGAGATATAAATTGCCATAATCTATTCGGAGATTATCACTTTTGGTATGATCATCAAGAGCATTTTACTGCATCTGAGACTGGCCAGTCTACTTGCATACATGAAGAGCGTACATGAAAACCCTAACATCTGAGACTGGCCTTTGGATCCAAAATGCAGTGAAGTATGAAAATTCAATAATATAGTTATAAATGTGGATTAGTTTTACCAAATAAGTCTCTCATTTCTAAAGAGCAGTAGTTTCCTCTGCTACATGGAAATCATGGAATAACAGAAACACCCAAAAAAGGTTAATCAAAAGGCTAATCTCACAATGGCGTTGCTAGCACTAAGCACATATAGATCATTACAAAAAGGATAAATAAACCATAAATGTGTTACCTGTTCAAATGCGAACATGATATTTGCCCATTCTATATCTCTTGTTATCACCAGATTGGCTCTAGCCAGAAGAGATTCCAACTTTACCTGAAATAAATTTAAACATAAATAGAATGTTCATCTTCACAGGAAAAAAAAAAAAAAAAAAAAAAAACAGCCACATGAAATTGTCAACGATTTCAAGGATCTGGGTTCATCCATCCAGACTAAGTGACTGTTTGAAGTAATCCTTTTCAAAACCAAGAGTACGTTACAGTGGAATAAATTATTGCACGCAATGATTAAGGCTTTAGAAGATATAACCAACGCAAATATGTAAGGAATCAAAAATTTGATTATAGATCAAAATTTGAGAATCAGTAGAATATAATAAGAGGAAAAAAAAAATGCTGCAATGGACTGGCCGGGTGAAATAAATTACAAAGCAAATAACCCAGATTACTGGCTAATTGAGCATTTGTATCAAAGGTGCATGCCGATACTATATCCAGCGTAATCAGGCCATAAAATTGAAACATGATAAGTATATCACATTTTGATTCATGGGGTCTGGTAAATATGGATCGTTTTTAGCCATCTCAGTAAGACTTGCATCACTCAGTACCCCATAAATCACGTATCCACGATTTCAAATGGCCTAATCTTGCCTTGACTAGATGAAAAAATAAGCGCAATTCACATGTTGTGCCTGAAAGATCATAAAATGGTGTCCATTCTCCTACGTTCTACGTTGACGGTGTCCAGCATATCAACGCAATCCAATCCATCCTTTAATCTTGACCCGACACCCTCTAGGTTAAATTTTCTTTTGTATCTTCTTATATAAAGAAGGTTCCAACTTCGACACTTATAGATTCCTATCACTGGGTTTACGTATGCTTTACGAAAATTCCTACCACAACTACAATCACGTTTGCTCGATGTACTTTCTAACTTTAAAGAGTTTCAGCCTGACGGATGGCTCTTCGGCCAACAAGGAAATATACGCCAGGACTGACCTCCTCCGATGAGCCCCCCAACAATGAGCCGGCTATTTGCTGGCTAATACGCGGTAGCTTAGGCCGCCTGGACGCGGATTCCTTCTCCAGATGATTCCCGGGATCGGCCCCCCTCAGAAATGACCTCCGGAACGACGACACCACCGAGGTCCAACTGCCAGTTGCTTCACCCTCCACGGTATCACCTAACTGGACCGCGACAGGTTTCTTCCTCCTACCAAACGCTCCAGAAAGTCCACCGGCCCTCTTCTTCTCCTCAGCCCACAGCCGCACCAGCCAATCCCTACTCAGGGGCTCCTCCCCCCGCGAGGGCCGCCCGAACCAACGGCTCAGACAGTGGGACGCCGGGCCAGCGCCCATGCGGCCCCGCATTGGCGCCGTGGGCGGTCGCCATGTACAATACAGCTTCCTCGCCACTTCCTCCTCGCCGGCAAAGCTGTGCCGACGAGCCGCCAAGCAGGCAGCAGCAGCGGGGGACGACGCCAACGGGCGCGGGAGGGAAGGGCGCCAGCGCAAGAACCGTCCCATCTCTCCACGACAACTTAGCAGCAGGAAGATGTTGCTTTGGTTGGGGGGAAGAAGAAGAGAGAGTCAGAAGGAGGCGGGGAGGGAGATTCGAAGAGCTGTTAGCTGCTGTTAGGCCCATTTCCATAAATGGGCTGGTCTCCCTCAATAATGGGCCCACCCAAGCGAGGCCATTGGGTAAAAGAATAACGCCTCTGATTCAGTCAATCCGGGAAGAAGAAATAAACACTTGTGCACGAAAACGGACGAAGATATTTTCAACGGTCGGGTGAGATTCGTGCACTCGAGTCTCAAGTTTACTACCTCTCTGAGGAAGAAAAGCACTGCCTATCAAAAACTCTGGGATCTGGCCGACCACTCCTCAGTAGCTTATCAATCAATGGTAAGAGAAGAGCCGCTGAGGGCATACTTCCTCAGAGAGAAAAAGGAGGATAGGCGATTATTGGTAACAGCGGCTTCCTGATAGGGATTCGCGGTCCCTCTCACTTACTATCGGTGAAGTCAGCGTCGATGGTGTCGGCGCCGCCATCTGCCGGCTCGGGGCCGGCAGCGGTGGCGGCACCACTGCCTGGCTGGCCATACAAGGACTGCCCCAGCTGCATCACCTCCTGGTTCAGCGAGGACATGGCGTCTTTGATGTCGGATGTGGACCCACCATCGCTGGAGAGGGCCTCTCTCAACCGCTGGAGCTTCTCCTCCACCTTCTCCCTGACATCGGAGGGGACCTTGTCGCCCAACTCCTTGAGCTGCTTCTCCGTCTGGTACACCACAGAGTCGGCCTGGTTCTTCGTGTCGATAGCGTCCCTCCTCTCCTTGTCCTCTGCTGCAAACCTCTCGGCCTCGCTCACCATTCTCTCCACCTGCAGGAGGATGGAATCACAATCCACCAACAACGATGATGATGATGATGATGATGACGACTGAAGAAGGAGGAATAGAGAGGGATTGCCTCATCGGAGGGCAAGGTGCTGGCGCCGGTGATGGTGATGTCCTGCTTCTTGCCGGTTCCCTTGTCAATGGCGGCGACGGAGAGGATGCCGTTGGCGTCGATATCGAACTTGACTTCGATCTGGGGGACCCCTCGGGGGGCGGGGGCGATCCCGTCGAGGCGGAAGCTGCCGAGGGACTTGTTGTCCCTGACAAACTCCCGCTCGCCCTGGAGCACATTTATCTCGACGCTGGTCTGTCCGTCGGCGGCGGTGGAGAAGACCTCGGACTTGGAGGTGGGGAGCGTCGTGTTCCTGGGAATGATCTTGGTCATCACCCCGCCCAGTGTCTCCAGGCCCAGTGATAATGGGGACACGTCCAGGAGCACTATGTCGCTCACATCACCGGACAAGACTCCTGCCTGACCTTGGAAGGAAAAGAAAGAAACCATTCAGGAATTTGGGTGGGTGCCCAGCCTCTCTATTAAAGAACCAAGAGGATTAGAAAGATACAATAAAACGTTGAAACCGGGATTTGTTATATTTTGAAGGATGTCAAAGAATTTATATCCTCTTTTGTTTTAATTTGACTCCTATTTTCGGAAAATATTTAGCGGCCGGTTGTTTCTCTGACCCTAACGATTTCTTCCTTCTGTTTTTTTTTCCCTTCAATTGTAACCTTTGACTGGGGAGGTGGGGGAGTTCGATAAAGGATCGAACCTGGACAGCAGCACCTAAGGCAACAACTTCGTCAGGGTTCACAGTAACATTTGGGTCCTTCCCAGTCAGCTTCTTCACCAAGTCCTGAACAGCGGGAATTCGGGTTGATCCACCCACAAGAATAACCTCGTCTAGATCATTGAATGAAATCTTTGCATCCTTCAGCGCATTATTTACAGGCTTCTTCAGTCTGAAACGCAGGAACAAAGATTCAAGGATTTTACAAGGCTTATTTCATCAGCAGACTTTACCATTGTAAATAGAAGATCCTTACGACGAGAAAGCATAGACAAGGGGGGAGGGGGAGTAGGGAGGAAGGTTGGAATTCAAGAGTTTTCCCAAGTACCTATCAAGAAGGTCTGAACACAGCTCTTCAAACTTGGCTCTCGTAAGCGTCGTCTCAATATGTTTGGGGCCTTCAGCTGCTGCAGTGATGAATGGCAAGCTACCAAAAAGTAAAACATAGATCCGATCTCAATATCTTCACTGCAGTTGTTGCGTATATGCAATAACATATCAGAGAATGAACAAACCTGATATTTGCCTGTGTCAAAGATGACAACTCCATTTTTGCTTTCTCCGCTGTCTCAGTCAGACGTTGTAATGCTTGCTTGTCCTTCAAAAGATCTATTCCCTCATCCCTTTTGAAGGTTGCAGCCAGCCAATCAACAATTCTCTGTTTCATAGGATAATAATGTGTTTTAAATTTTTAACTGAGGCTGAGGAAAGAGCTCCAATCCGCTATATATCTGGACATGATAAGGAAACTCCTCACACCTTCCCGTTGGATCTTTAAACCAATAAGCAGTAGCATTTGAAAACACTCTAAGCTCTTGCAAAAATGAGTGACTCATGCGAATCCCAATGCACGAAAACCACTAACTGTGATGCCAAGTAGACCTATCTCTTACGTCTACTAAGGAATATGTAGAACACAAACCACAAACAATGGTAGGCATAAACAGTCCAAGCGCCCACTATCTCTTATGATAAAAACCTGCAGGTTCTTAGCACCAAGCCCCCACTAGGCAGATGCCCATCTGCCATGGGATATATAAACCAGCCAATGCGATGAATAAGCCAGGACTAAACCAGGACAAGAGCTCTCACGAAATATCCAGAAGGATCCAGCATTAAATGCCCACTTGCATCAACCACGAAATCAAAAATACATGGCAACAAGAAAATGAGTGATATCATTAACTAACCTTATCAAAGTCATCACCTCCCAAATGTGTATCACCAGAAGTTGAGAGCACCTCAAATACACCGTCTCCAACTTCAAGAACTGCAAAAAAATAGGAGATAAATAGAACTGGCCGAAACTATTCTTAAAATGCCCTGCAATACTGAGAAACATAAGCAAGGTAGCCGAAGGAAGTAATTATGTAATAACGCAATCGCACTGCACAAACACTTTGTCTTAGAATTATACAACCGAACCGACTTATAGAGCTGAAATAATCAGGCGTGATCATCCAAAACCATCTATTAAAACTGTAAATATTAGAAAAGAAATAACATAAAGCATACAATACCAGCCTGTTGGGTAACTGTATGTTACACTACGTACAGCTACAGTAATTTTGGAATAAAAAGGTGTTGACAAGATGGATGAGGTTGAAAATACGTCTATACCTGAAACATCAAACGTACCACCCCCAAGGTCAAATACGAGAATGGTTTCATTGTTCTTCTTTTCAAATCCATAAGCCAATGAAGCCGCAGTGGGTTCATTGATGATGCGTAAAACATCTAAGCCAGCAATCCGTCCGGCATCTTTTGTTGCAGTCCTTTGGGAATCATTAAAGTATGCAGGTACAGTAACAACAGCCTTTGTCACCTTATCATTTAAGAATTTGGATGCATCGTCCACAAGCTTCCTAAGAACCTATCCACAGAAAGAACCTTTGATAACTCTGAACAAATAAAGGCTGAAAAACTGAAGCCACAATTACCATTCAAATTACAGACTAATATCAACTCAATAAATTCAATTTTTGCCGCTTCCAAATCACATGAGATAGCCACTAATTGCATTGTGTCGCACAGAGTCATAAAAACATAGCTTGGTTTTTAGTTTTCAAATAATGTTGAATTTTCAAGATGCCCTTTCTACCAAATCGTCTTCAAGTTAATCCATAGGGGGAAAACAATAAAACATCGGGGTTCATAGCTCATAAACGAAATACAGAATTACCAACATATATACGCATAATCGCTTAAAACTGAAGGATGATCACCGGTATTTCACCCAAAAAGAAATAAAATTATTTCATGGACCAACTTAGAATGTGTTGAATCATCTAGCGCAGTTGTATGGTTCTAAGATCATTCCTACAATAGAATCATGTTTTATTCATTAATACGCCCGAAATATTGTTCCTTCTAACATTATAAACCCCTCTTTCACATTTCCCAACAGCCTCATCATGCCGCTCTCGCCCTTAAGCACTGAGAACTAACACTTTAATATTTTTCTATGAGACAATTTCGTTTAGAAAAGACACGCATATACATTATACGAACATAAGCTTTTATCAGAAAAAATTGAGGAACAATTTTCAATAGTTTTTTTATCGGATCAAAATACATAGCACACGTATTCATTGATCGCAAATTTCCTAAAACATTTAGAATCCACGTCAAAATATATTTCATCACCAATGAACCTTTTACTTGTGGTCAAGACTTATGCCATGTCTAATAAACGGAAGAACTACACCAAGAATATTGTCTATCGCAGGGGAAGCAGTAGTACTTGAGCACATCAATCAGTGTTGGCAGATTACAAAAGCTTATGTGTCACTCACTGCCAATATAAAAAGTTCCCTCAAAATGTTAAATAAATTTCAGCATTCCTTTCTGACTGAGGAAAGAGTACACGAATACAGGATGGGGGAAGTTAGAAACCACAAGCGGACGTTTTAAGCATACTGAACAGAAACAATATGAAAAAACACTGGGCATTAAAAGGGTAATGAAAGGAATTCTAAGCCACCTGAGCTGAGATCTCCTCTGCAGCGAACTGCTTCCCGATGGCGGGGCAATCCAGCTTGACGTTCCCGTTATCATCACGGACGACTGTGTAGGACACCTGCTTCGACTCCTCGTCGACCTCGGCCATCTTCCTCCCAATGAACCTCTTCACGGAGAAGAAGGTGTTTGCCGGGTTCACCACTGCCTGCCTCTTAGCGATCTGCCCCACCAGGCGGTCCCCGTTCTTAGCATACGCCACCACGGACGGTGTCGTACGCTGCCCCTCGGCGTTCGTGACAATCGTTGGCTTCCCCCCCTCCATGGCTGCCACGGCCGAGTTCGTCGTCCCCAGGTCGATCCCCACAACCTTCTCACACACTATACGCAGTGCCCCCGCTCTGCCCTTCCCACTGGAGCTCCTCATCCTCAGGAAGGCGGCCCGGGAAGGATCCGGCCGGCGGGCACCGAAGAAGATGGACTTCGATGCGGACATCCTCGCGACCTTGCGGGATTTAGTGAAGTCCCTCGCTGGGGATGATCTAAGGGCATGGACGTGGGCTGAGGATGCCGCCATCCTCTTGCCGGGGAGGGAACGCCGAGGAAGAGCTAGGGTTTGCGCTGGCGGGAGTAGAAGTAGCCAAGGGAATAAGTAGTCGACTATGGTGCTCTACGCGGGGGCGGGGGGGGTGGGTGTAACAGGAGGAGGAAGGAGAAGCGTGGGCGAGGGAGAAAACGCCACGTGGCGATGCTGGGGAGCTCAATTTGCGGGCCGTTCGTCCAGGACGACGAACCAGGTCCGGCCTATTCTCCTCCGGCTTACTGAACCCAGAATTTGGGCTCAAGTGGATTAGAGGCCCATTAGAGAGATATGGCACTTCAAAAGGGGAGAGTCAAAGGATGAGCTTGCTAACATATCTTCCAAATTTCTCAGACAAAGAGTCCGCACAGACACTACTAGGGCCCCTGTGATGCCCATAGAGCCGTAGCCTAGAGAGAGAGAGAGGCGAGGACAAGTAGCAATGGGAGAGTCACATGGTAAAAGATGAGGGATCTAATCCTTTAAGAAGAGCCTTGGGGGGGGAGGGGGTTGATATGCCATCGGAAGAGGAATCCACATCGAACCCATGAAGCAATAGCCGTGGGATTTCCAAAATGGTTTCCCTTTTCCTGAAATGAATATTTACAAATTCCATCGTGCATGGCAGATTGGCAATGATCCTCCTTAAAATCGCAAAATAAGTTTTGATGGCCTGCAAGCAATACAATACCCAAAGGGGAAATCTTCCCATGATGAACTCCACATCTGCCCAGAGCCAGTTTTGATGGCCTCCAGGCTCCCAAAAAGAACCATCATTAAATCCATAATTTCAACGCAGATGGAGGGCGGTGTTGACGACTAAGTCTTCTTAGCACAACGTTGTTTCCTTCTCAGATTCTTGCCAACCAGAAGAGCAACCGGGCGCTCAATTGAATGATGGCCTCACTGTTTTCGCATCAAAAGAGCAAGACACAACACATTTTGCTGGCACAGCCGCAAGGGATTCTTCAAAACAGTGACCCTCACATTCTTCGGCCCCACAAAGCTAATGTGAGCTATGCTGTAGGAGTCGCCCTTCTCTGCCGCAAACTGCCATTCCCTCGTTGTTATGGGGAACCAGTCTTTGGTTGCAGACCTGGTAGCCTTCACCTCCACAAACTCTCTGTGGCCCTTGTCCTCAATAACCAGATCATAGGGCAATCCTGTCTCGCCATCCTGGTTAACCCACTTCACAGAGACCGAGCTGAGTTTCTCGCTGAAGTATTTATAAGCGACGGCCTCTCCGAGAACTCCAGTTCTGCGTGACTGGTTGTCAGACAGGCCAACGGAGCCCAGAGAAATATCGTCTGAATTCACATTCGGACCATTTCCTGGAACAGGATCGCCCGTTCCTATCTTGGGCTCCAAACGAGACTTGCTCTGTCCGTCAATAGAGCCCACGAGCGCAACCGAATCAGATGGGGTGAACGCATTGCCTGCATGATGCAAAGTCAAATCCTCTGATCTTGCCGAGTCCTCTATAACCCAGTCTCCATGTACCTCGATGAGACTCGAAATATCCTCTGACCGAACAGCTTCTAGAGGCCTACTGGGTTCTATGGTAAGGCTGTCACATGGCGCTGGCCCAGGATTTGCCCCAAAATGGGATGCTCTGGAGAAATCCGGAGCCGTTTTCCAATCCGTCGGTGGCCAGTTTGCAGCAATGCCTGCTTTCCTCGAGAGGGAAGGATTGCTTCGCTCTGTGTTCACCAGCGGAGGGCAACTTTTGTGGGTATTAGAACCCTGAAACAGTGATACCACCGTTGAGATGGACCAGACGGGCTCTTCAACGGGAAGAGCTGGTACCTTCTGGCTGTTGACGATGAAGAATTCTGTCTGTCCCTCAGTTGAACCAGATTCTGCCATGGTCGCTATCATGTGAAGGAAATTTGCAAAATGGAGCTCGGCAGATCCATTGAAGAAAATCCTGGACAGCTCCAAGAAAATGGAATGGGAATCTGAGGCACGAGTCATATACAAGACATTATCCTGCAGAAACAAAAATTAATAATTATGCATGAAGATTTCCTTTTCAAGCTAGACTATAACTTTGCTACACAGAAATCAAATTGAACATAATCAACTATTGAGATTCAAGTGCAATTGAAGAAAGAAACCCCAATACATCAAATCGAATCGGTAAATGGCAGCCGAGGGAGGGGTTGACCGATAGAGCTATAATGGGACACGGCTCCACCTAAGTATTTTCCAGAGCCAGCTTTCCTATCCGCCATTATCTTTTTAAGGAAAATTCATTATATATCCGTGTTTGATTTTGCCCTACATGATATGACTTCTCTCACTCGGCTCTCACTGAGAAAAAAAAAAGTTTGCTTCTGCCCTGCTGAACTCAACACAAATTTAAAAGGAGCAAATTATTTTCCTTAAGCGTCAACATTACCTTACACTAAGACAGACTCTCCCGCTTCCCAACACCAACATAGAACATGTTAATATCATACTTTTAAAGCAAATTTTCTCTTTCCACTTAAACTAGCTAGAAGAGATGGTGTTGGCAATAGACTAGGAACCAATTCCTCTCGTATGATTCACAAGACTACTAACAGAGGCAATATGGGTGTCAGTATCAGAGTCTTGAGGTTAACAAATGACTTGACAAATAAACTAATCGTCTTTGTCACCATGTGGATTTAAGTTGCCAAGGATGCCATTAGGCATAAATGAAGCAGGATCCTACACGAAAATATCCGATTTCACGGGGAGAAGGCTTATTTGAAGAATTTGCCCAGCTTGAAGCCATTCCACTTTCATTTACCTAGCGAAAAATTGTGCTGAGTTTTCCAAGGTATGGTTGGAGAACCATTCAAAGTAGTATGAAGTCATTTGAGAGTAAAGCGACCAAGATCACTGATCAATGAGATTCTTCATAGACCTGAGAGCTTGCTGACTCCCCGAAAAAGGGGAGAGAGATACCAACACTTAGATCTAGGATGCCAACTCGGATGTTTAAATGCATGTACAAATAAGAGCGTAAACCTCGCAGACAACCTAGATCAGACAAGTCTACATCAGTGAAACCTGGAGACAGAAAGAGACCAAGATGATATCTCTTACCAGCATTCCTATGTCAAATGCAAGAAATTAATCACAACTCAATTACTCCAAAACATAAAACGTTTGCACTAGCAAACATCACCAAACATTCCTGCCTCCTATGGTTTCTTTTAGTTGCAGAGCTCCTAGAGAACCAAAAAATAAAGGTAATCAATCTGAGCTGTCTTGGCCTATTTTAGCAAGTTTGACAACCCATATTGACTGCCAATGAAAGTTAGAAGCTCATGTCCAATGCTACGTCACAGAAAGAATAATTCGCAGCCATTCTGTTTAGAAGAAAATGGACTGAAGACTTCCCGACTCAATAGAATGAAGTATCCATATCCGAATGGAAATTTGATCATTGACCTTGATGAAATAAAGGAAGAAACAACCTAAACCTATAAACGATAATTTTTAAAATTGAGACAATTTGTGGCTCCATCCTCTCCTTTGCTTCCCTTTTTTTTTTCATCTATCACACCTTCTACTGCACTTTACACAAATAAAATGTCGACCAAATACCTAAAAATTATCATCAGCAAATATGCATTAAGCCTGAGGTAGACGTGGATACTTTGTACATCGGAGTTTCAAAGTTGAATAAAAGAATACTCATTTTGTGTTGCATATTGGAACGTCTATCAATAATTTACTGCCATATGAAAGACATGAGATATGGAGTAGCTATGTATGTCAAAACTTCCACAAATCACCAATAAAAGGTATGCTTGCCTGCAAAAGACAGCTGCACTCAGATCGTTTCCTGGATGTTCCATCGGATCCTTTGATGGTATACCTATAGAATAACTTCTCAACTACGACAATCTGCAGCAGAGGGAGCCTCTCAGCCCCAAGCTTCTTCAGGGCAATATATCTGTCAGGATATAACTTAAAAAGGTAACGCTGTGCATATGGAAGGGCCCAGTTGACGAACGAAACTTTTTCTCTGGAGTCTTCTGAGCCATAAAATATGGCTTCACGAGAAATGATCTGTGTACAACATACGAATGCAATTGTCAAGAAAATAAACTAAACACTCCACGAAAGCGTACAATGTCAGAAGACAATCGAAATTAAAGTTTACCTCAGAAAGCGCAACAATACCTAATTTCTGCAGTAATGTGCTCAATTTTCCGGATAGAATTTCCATATCATCATTGGAAAGCTCACCAAATTGTATGAAATTAACATTATCGGAATGCTTAAACTGCTCTCGGAGTTCCTCGTTATCTGACCAACATACGATGCCAAATGATGGATGAAGAGAAACCCATCTATTCTGCATTGTCGGAAGCACCATGTTTTCAACCTTTCTTAGGCTCTCTCTTAGGAGAACAATTTCTTCATTTTCTATTCTTCCAGATTTGATATCATCAGACCATTTGATAAAAACCTGAAAAACCTGAAAACAATGGAAGAAATAGTATATTGGAAACGTACAGTGAGAAAATACAAATTCATGCCAGCCAGCCTATAAGGAGTTTCCACACATGAAGACGAGAAAATACTTACCAAATGAGCTGCTTGTGATGGTAACGTTACACTTGACAATTGCAACAATATCTCAATGTAGTTCCCAAACGGAGGGGTCTCTGGAACACCACACTCATTGACAAAAAAATCATGTAGATTTGGATATATTCTAATTAATGTCTTGGAGTTTTGGCCCGAGATGTTGTCTGCCAAGGCAGAGCAGAGCATTGCCTTCTCCACTTGGTCTAGGCAACCAGTTGGATCATGCCAATAAACTTGATTAGAGGACAAAAATGTACCAGATAGAGCAGTGTCAGTGTATCTTGATTTTCTGGAAGATGGAACAAATATCAAGGGATGTGATTTGAACTGATCCATTATATTAAGTTTCAACGAAGTAACCCCTTCCCAAATGAAGTTGTAGAGATTAGACATTTGCACAGTGCTGATACATGGGTTTAAAAAAAAACAAGAGGCAAAAGTTAGTACAATAGATGAGAAACAATATTAATAGCAATCTACAGATTCCCCAACATGTACAGTTACCAAAAATAGATACTGAGTCTGTCAGATCACTGGGTTCAATGGTCCATACTCCAATTCATTTCTCATATTGGTGGGAAAACAAACCAACAACTGACCATTTCGATTCATGTCATATGTAAAACCAGTACCCTAACTAGTATATCTTTACACAATATGTACTCACAATATTCTAAAATAATAAGCAAGCACATCTAAAAGTAAAAAAAAATGCAGATTCCCCCGTCCAAATAAATGACAAGCTCTCCCTCATAACTCCAGGCCAGTTCCCTCAATCAACTCCTCGCGTATCTCACCCAGCAAATGCTGAGTGCTTTCTACGAGCATCTGCCTGCTCTCAATCACATTGTCATACAGGATCATTCGACATTTCACTGTCAAAAAAAGGATGAGGGTGCTGCTCGAGGAAAGTCCTCACTGTGCAGTTCCCTCAGAGACCGGGAGACTAAAAACGTAGTGATTCTTTCCCCCGTAATTTTCTGTCCATGTCGTGTGTCCAGGGAAGATTTGGACGTACCTTGCTAAAGCGGGCCCTTGAAGTGTCCCACAGAACTGAATGACTACCAGAGCATCTTCATGTGTCACCTGGGTCTTAAATCCAATCTCATCTAGAAGGCTTCTGCTTTTAACCTGTTTTGATAAATGTAGAAAAATCCAAATCAGAACTGAAACGTTGAAAAAGCCAAGAAAGAGGGAAGAAGAGAGCAGCAATACCATAAAAAAAAATATAGTTCTTCAAGATACCTAAATAGACTACAAGAGAATTGCATCTCAACTGGAAGACCGTAGACATACCTGTGGAACAGCATATGGGGCAAATGAACCCAGTGTAGATCGCACTGCGTCACAATCATAGAATAGATCTTTTGGATAGTGAAGCTCTTCATCTGCTGTTGATCCTATCCATCTGAAATCGTGAAGACATTTCAGGAATGATGACCTGTGAGGAAGTCTACAATCAATGGACTTCACTCTTACGTAATTTCTTGTCCCTGAACCAAAAACTTCATCCCAGGATTTATCAAGAACTTCCAACAGGTACCTACACTTTTCCCTCTGTTTCCCAGAGGAATATGTTGATAATAAGCGAACTAACTCAGGTGACTCCCAGTCAATGATTTGTGATTCAGGTGAAACATTGCCTAAGTCGTATGGATTACTTCCTGGAACAATACTAGCGAGGTCTTTCACGTGCTTCTCAACACGAATTACTTGCACAAAATCAGAAACACCTAGTTCTTGAAAAAACTTCCTCCATTTTATCAACAAAGATGATGTGGATTCTGTACTATAATGCTTCAAATAAATGTCATCGACTTCATTCCATTCATCATCCTTTGGTTCAATAAGTTTGTTTATTTCAAAAGGATTCCCAAACTCTTGGCTGAAATGAAGAGGCTCTTTAGCTGGACATTTGTACCCATGATTAGTCAATATGATGGAGCACTTTTGCAAGGCTGATACTATTCCCATCCTTTGGATTTGACAACTCGAACACGCATTCTGAAAATGAAGCATCACATACGACAAGTACTCAACCATCAAGTTCTTGTCTTCGTTTGAATACTTGGCTGCAGATATGTCTGGTAAAATATGACTTATAATCACTTCATGGGCTGATAGCTCCTGTACACCGATTCTATGAAGAAGCCTAAAAATGACGTCTGTCCTCAACTCTTCTGTATTATCATGCAACAAGGACAAAAAACCCAGGTTCACAGTACGAAGTTTGGCATACAAACAAGGAAAATGGTGATTACGCTTGTTTTCAATTTCAACACCAAAAGAATCACCTGGCAACCAAATTGGGCCGTCAGTAGTTGAACCATATGTGCCATCAGAAAGAGGAATGAATGGGATCCTTCTAAGATCGCTGATCACATCAGATTCCATTCCAGCATTTAGGGTTAGATATTCAGACGAGTTCTGTGACAAGGTACTACTGAGAGCAAGAAGCCAATCCGATAACCAACCGAACCCTAGCTGTTGAATCTCATTTCTATTGTGACATATCGATGATAAAATATCGATCAAGACCTGGGGTCCATATTCTCTAATACCTAAAGTCTTTGCTAGTGAATCAGACAATGCAATGTTCCCGTCCAAGAAACCAAGGCCAAGATGCCTCTGAAGCAAGTTGTCAGACAAGAGTTTTCGAGCCCTCTCATCCCACCCCCTTAAAACATTACATGGAGGAACCCACTCCATCCCATGCCCCTCCAGAAGCAAACAACTTGATGAACGCAATTTGGAAACAATCATTTGTGGAAGGTAAGCGAAGAATCCGTGAACTTCTCCAACAAGTGGGACAAAACTCATGAAAGCAGATACCGCTTTACCTGGGCACTTCTTAAAGCAAGAAAGGGCCGTAAAAGATGTCTCTGCATTCACAAAAAGAGTAGGAAACTCGGAAAGCAACCACTGGTTCCACGCACTGTTTCCATCAACCTCTTCTCTAGAGGAAGGCAAAACAAAATCACCTTGCAGGATAAACTTCAGACCATAAGTTCTTAAAGGGAGAAAAGCAAAAGCAGGCTGCTGACTAAGATAAGGCACGTATTCTCCAGTGTCAGACTCCTGTAGTGTAAATGCCACAGCAATCTCTGTCATCTGTACTCCAGGCCTGACTACACTGGCTTGCAACTTTCGCCTAACAACCAACCAATTCATTTTCTCTTTCCCATAGGAAACTTTAACAATGCCATCTCCAAGAGGTTCTTTTCTCATGATAATAAGAGAATCATCCAGTATATTCTTGAACTTTATACACTCAAGCCGGTGAAGGAAGAGTAATAAGGATGGGTGGAGATCCGAAAACATGGACATAATAGAGTTTATTCCAGATCTTTCTTTAAGTTTCGACCGGAAAGGAAGCACAATACAAGTATTCCAGCATGAAGCATCATCTTGGTCAATCTCTGAAGATAACTGTCTCTCAAATAACCTGATGTCACAAGGAGAAATTACAGTGGGCAACACAAAACCGATCTGACCCTCACTTATATCAAATTTCACATGGAACCCATTTGAATGGATCTCTGGAGCATCAGTGATCTGCATGAGAAAACAGTTACTTCACATTCTCAATTTTGAAATTTAAAATCATAAAAATGTATCCTTTAGTATATAATAAATATGGGCAGCATGGAGAATCCAAGGCAATGCAGTGGTCCATGTCCCTGTGACAGATAGTATGGGGCTCCATCTTTGACAATGGAGATCAATTGTTTGAAAAACCAGGGTAAAATGGGAAGATATACATTGCAGTTTGCTGGTCTGTTGGGGGGGGGTCTGCCTAGCAGATAAAGGATTTTCTCACATCCACACAAAAAGAGCTTTCTCACTATACAAGTTTTAAAAACTTAGTGCTGACCATTAAGAAAAGGCTACCAGTCAAATTAGAACCACAATATGAAACATTGACACAAGCTAGATTTTTTGTAATAATTTCTTTGTCTCTTGTGTAATACAAGTTGAAAATATCTCACCCTTCAAAAGGAAGTTCTGATCAAATCACTAGATGGCAACTAGCCAAATGTGCAAAAAACAAATAAATGGCAAAAAAATGAAATGGTTCCAGAAAAAAATCATTTCTTATCCATGATTATTCTTCTAACGATCCGCCATTAAAATATGGGTATATCAAGAATGAGAATACATAATTACCTAAATGCAAAAAAGTCTTAAGGCGTCAGAAATTGATAAAGGATATGTTACCGCACCCGGAAGACTGATTTGAAGCCGATCCCTTTCTGTCCGATGTACCCAGCACTCGATCCCTTTTTTGTAGAATTACCAATATCACAAAGTGCTCTAATATTTTCAGCAGAAAATCCACGTTCATTATTTAAAATCACAATGCCAGTTGGATGCAGAATAAAAACCAGCGCAGGTTCAACATTTTCTGAATACGTGTTGTCATCAGCATTCTGCACCTGAGAAAAACGATTTCAAATACAAACAGAAATGATCAAGGGTAAACGGGCATTAAGTGGTATAGACATTTCCAGCAATAAGTGATCAATTTCATACATAAAGAAGGAAATTATTAAGAAAGATAGCACTAAGTGTCAAGAAATGATTAAAATGACAAAACTGTACATGATGAACAACTTTCTAGCGAAGTGATAATATGATCACATAATGCACCAGGAATAGTGGCTAATGTGACAAAAAGGTTTTAGTGGACACAAATTAATCCAAGGTGGTCATCAGATGACTATGGCTGATCCAAAAAGGGGATGAATGAAGCTAACAAAGAGGAATAGAGAAATAAAACAGAATAATTCGAAAGCACTTATCACCGGGTACCACACTTTACAGATACAAAAAGATGAGTTAAAGAAACAAATTAAGACACGTTAGAAAAAAAAAATGTAAAATTGCTCAATTATCCCAAGAAAAAAAAACACATCTCAGTTTATTGACTTCTCTGCCTTCCATCCAATATTATGTTGCTCACAATGGACGTCATTTCTCTATTCGTAAATTTCGTACAATAAGTCTACTTTCCGCGTCATTAACAGTCTACCTATTTCACACTGGTAGTTTACTCAATCTTGCAGAATGCAGCCATCTGATTACAGCATTTCAGATGGAAACTGACCAATCAGAGTAAGGTTAGGAGAGACCAGGAGGAAATAAGATAAACTCTCCCGAAACAAGTGACTTCTTGAAGATTCAGCCCATATGTCAACATGATTCGGTATTACTTTAAAATGTTCAAAGTGCGATCAGAATAGCACACACCCTCCCATGATCAGATTGAGTGATACCAATAACTAGTACCATGAATAGACTAATCCAATTAAGATAGGCTGCTTCTAACTTTTTCATCTACTCAGTTAAAGGGAAATCCGATTCTCTCTTGAAATCACCTGGTACTACAAATTCCGATCAGAATCAGCCAATATTTCTACTACATTCTCTCCCACAACGCCATCATGCAGAGGAAGAAAGGTGTAGAAGAGACAACACAAGGATGCCAGCAGTACTCGTTACCACTGATAGCATAGCTGCACCAAGAGGGCAGTCCCTAGAATAAGGAGACGCCATAAGAAGTCAACACAAGGAGACATTATACTAAGAAATAGACGACCAGTGAAAATTTTCTAAGAAGATATATTTGATCCCTCGTTAGAGAAACAGAAAAAAGCTGATGGCCATAGTATCAAAGTTGGGCATGAGTTTGGCTCACCAACAATATCTGATAAGTCTGAAGTTTCCTGAATTTTCAGACTTCTAACTGTCAGATGTTTCGCAATTTACAGAATGGAGACAGCCAAAAGAAACGTGGAAATCAAATGGCTGCCGCAAATAAGTCATGGCTGGATCAGCAGGTCCTCCACTGGAATGTCAAGATTGTCTTATATAATCCCACTCTACGTCATATCAAGCTGGCTATCCAGGTCTGTGGTTCATACATCTTTTGAGCAAACATGTCGTTCAAGCAATCCATAAGATTAGTTTATGGCAATAACAGATATTTTAAAAAAATGTCTGAATTTACAAGAATATGAACTATCCCACCAAGTGGTATGCTATAAATGACAAATCTAAATCATAAATGTCACGTATTTCATCTCAAATGTAATATTCATAGACGAAAATAAAACGCATAAAAGGGAATATAACAGAAACATACCAGCTCAAGCAGAAGGTGTGAATCTTGTGAATATAACTCTTGCGAAAGGCAATACAGTGCTCTCCCAAGTCGAGCATGCTGCTTTTTCAGCAAGCTACTCTCAGTGCAACTGGAACTTGGATCCAGACCAAATTCTTCACGTCTGATGGATTCAATAACAAGGGCAGCATTCTGAATCAACCTATCCCTAGACTCAACAATTTCATTCTCATTACCAGACTTATTATCAGAACGCTCACAGGGAAATTTGCTAATCTGGAGGTCCGCAAAAGCATTGGTGTTTACATCTGATTTAATGATGTCAATTGTATTACTGGAAAGCATTTCAGTAGTGTTCATTGCAGATGTACCTTTCATATCCTCATTACAAGCGGTCAAAACAGACTTAAGATTTTTACTAGAATCTTGGGAGGATGATAATGATTCAGCCGAAGTTGCTGATTTAAAGAGGTGGTAATCTTCAATCCATTCCACTATCCCAAGTGAAAGTCCGATGTCATGCAGCATAATGCGTTGCTCAGTTCGTTTGCATTCACGTAACATGATCAATGGGCCATCTTTAGCGGAAGATCGCAGTCCTGACATTAGTATCTCTACAGCGAAAGAGTGAAATTCGGATGGTATATGATTGAGACAATCCAGAACAAATCTTGCAGCAACATTAACGCCACTATTTAAGGTTAATCCAACGGTATCAGCAGAAAAAGAAATAGCATCACTATCACTCCGTGTAGCAATCTGACAGTTGAAAGAGCTTCCACATAGAAAACGAGATGCAGGATTGCTTATTTCCTGGCATTCCATACAATTTCTAATAATGACATCCATTGCTCTCTGTGAATAGCATTTTAGAAGAGCAACCGGAATATTGCTTGTTCCACCATACAAGGCCAACAAGGACAACAACTTCAGTGCAGCATGGAAAGGGGAACATCGAATTGAAGCTTCTAGAAATTCGTCAACATTTGCTGAATGATCAATCCTGATTAATCTTCCATCTGACAATGCAATGCATGATATTTCGTCATTGTGGACTTCCTTAGATAACCATGCCAAAAGAGGACCAAGTTTAGGAGCAAATACAAGGTCCCAATGTGACCAGGACTGTAAATCTGATAGCATTGGCACTTTAAGCAAGCATTCAATTGCATCTTTGGCAGAAACAGTATCATTACAATCAGCATCTCTATCCACATCGATGTTCATTCCCATTGCTTCTGGTGAATACCTTCCATTACATATGTTTGATTTCTCAATGAAAAATTTCCCCAGTAACGCAGTAGAATAGTAAACACGGTTCGGAGTACCAGTTGTTTTTTGTCTCCTGATAAGGTCTTGAAAGCGGGAATCAATTTCATCACTGATGAAATCAAAACAGAGCGTAGGGAATTGTTTTTCAAGAAGCATTAAAATATAACGCTGAGTTACACCACCAAGGTCCACCACGTTGTCTTGGGCCTGAGATAAAAAAGCTTTTAATTGGTTCAGGTTAACCACCAAAAGTGTCCTTGACGAGTCTCTAACAAAATGGCGGCTCACTTCAACAGGAATTCGATCTAGATTTCTCTCTAAAAAGTCAACGAAATGACCACAACCAAGCGAACAAAATACATCAACAGAAAATTCCCTTGCCAGCCAAAGCTCACAGTCATTGAATCTTCTGAGAATGGAAATTGTATTTTCTACAGGAGGATCTCTATTTGTTCTGAGATAATCACCTTGAAAATAGCTCGTGATTTTTTTAATAATGTCATCAACAGTAACTCCTGCAAATTGCATAAATGGAAAAGGAACAACGAAAGTAAGGAGCCCATCCTCAGGTCAACTATCAGATGAACTACATAAATTCTGGCTAGTTTACGACAATTAATCAGTGAAACCCTTACTGCTTTCAAGTTTATGAGCGCATATCGTCTTTATTGAAAGGGCATCTTTTTTCACAGGAAGCTCTATGCCAATATCCTCAGAAGAAGCAGGTGTTGAGTCACCAAATTCTGGCTCAACATTCTGAGAATCATAAACGGTATCCAGCATCCCATATTTAATAGATGCTATCTGCAGTGACAAAAGGTGGCCATTACACATTCACCTTCCATATGCTTCTATAGCAACAGCATGAAGATTATAAGCAAATAATTACACGTAAAATATGATGCTTTTCAACATACCAAAGAACAAACTGGTACCCCCCCCGGGTCTCCCTGTCGACTGTGACAACAGAGGTGGAGAGGGCCAAACACACTATTGTGTACTGCGATACTTCGGTTAAAACATTCGATCCCACGAATCCAATGAGACACGATTAATCATAGAATATCGGTGGTGGAACAGACTCCGGATCAAGTGTCATCCTGGATTTTGCTTTAGTCATACTGAATCCAGTTCAGTTGTGAACTTATTCAATGGTTAATCAGCCCTGATTCCATAGTTTTCTGGCCATAAATTCTGCAACAAGTTCAGTACGTCGAGTATGCCATCCATATTCTTCCTTAGGTGAAAACAGATAGAAAATTCAAAAATTATGTGCCTTTGATTTATAAACAATAGCTTCTCAATCTTTGGACGGGATTAATCATTCTATAAAAGGCACATCTTTCATTTTGACTGTGGCTTAAGTTTGTTATTTATCATAGTTTTTTTAAAAGATATAATAACCATACATAACCTACATCAAGCATTTCGATCTATATTTTAACATGGTTAGAATCATAAGCATTAGACACAACACACCAGCAAAATAACAAGCAAACACTGAATATGAATAAAAAAAATCTAGAATTTAGTTGATCCTCCATTATAAAAATCCACTAATGTAGATGCTTATAATGAATACCTTAGTAACTGAATAAGAGAGCGGCAGATTTATGTGCCCCTTTACAAGGTGGCTATTCCCATGGCCGGTATACCCTAGTAGAAATCACGACAAGGCCAATACACTAGCTAACTCCCTAACAAGACAAAATCCGGTGTTGTTGAGGATCAGAACCATTTGGCAGCTAATTTGACTAATCTTCTTGCAGATCAGAGCCCAGTAATTGGAAAAGTTCAATCTGGCTTTGCAAAAATTAGTCCAACTAAGTAAACCATTGATAGAATACATCAAAAAAGAGATCAGTCAAATGTACACGAATATCTTTTCCTAAAGAAAAAAACGTTACTTTCCTCCAATAAAGGTGAGGTCTAAAAATAGCAGCTCATGATAGCAACGAGAATATCACTAATCGCCCCAGAAAAATCTTAGCATAATTACCATACACATGGAAAATATTAACCAGTTCTCAGGTTCTATAAAACAAATCGCACTGTAGGACACTACACTACATCTTACCATCCATACCCTACTGTCAACACAAGACCCTAGTGTACTGTTTTTTTAAAAAAGTTTATCTGATAATAAAGCAAAGAAAAACCACCACTGCCCATGTGTACTTTGCCTTTAACGTCATGAAACAAACCCAGTGATTAAGAATAGCGTGGCTTCCAAGACATACAAATAAGAGGGTACACATCAAAAATAAATTTGGAAAACCACTACATCTTAGCACATTGTGGTTTTCTAATCTTCACCTATCCTTAATATTAAAAGGAAGTGCAGAATATCTGCAACGAATGGATAAGTTCATCAGTGAAAAAGTCAACCCTTAGATGCTATTTCCATGAGCAACATCCCTACTTGTCTGGATGAAGGGAACCCCACGATTCAACTCTTCAGACAGGATTGGGCGACACATAAAATCGAAACCAGCAGAAAATTTCACCATTAATTCCCAATTGAATATCACTTTCATCAAAGAACGTATGTAGAATTGACAGCCCTTTTAAGAAACTTAAATTACTATCATTGAAAGATTTGAAAAATATACATTTCTATCCCTTAGCACAACTGACCTATACCCATCCACATCAGACCTGGCTAAGCAGCTCATTTGGACGTATATCAATCAAAATTAAGATTTTTACCAAAACGTTCATCTTTCTACAACCCTACAACCATATCTCACATACACCCAAAAGCATGAAGGGTGGCAGACTTGGGGAAAAAATCAGACAACCTTAAACAAAAAGATTAATTTGGATTGTAAGCAGTTATCACCTTGATAACTTTAAACAAAATCCGACAACTGTATAACTTTAGGGTATCCGATCCACCTTTGATAATGAAAAACAAAACCAACTGGAAATCAGCCCATGAACCTGGATCAACTGATCTCACCCATATGGAGGTAGAACCGGGAAGAATAATCAACTGCACAGGCTGAACGAAGAAAAAAGGGCTGAAGAACGAGGAAAAAGAAGGTAGACGGAAAAGAAAGGGGGGAGAAAAAGCGTCCCTATGTCAGCAGCAATATCTTGACATTGCCTACAGCTAAGAATCACCAAACTTTTGACTACCCAATCCACCCAGCACCAGCCGCCATTCTGCTCTCCCTGAAAATGGCAAGGATTCTAAGGGGGTAGAACAGCTGGAATCATAACAGTGAAAAATTCCACACAAGGCCGTGAACCAAACTTTGCAATCATAATCTTTCAGCCTTTGACTGCTCTGTTAAGATGCCTTAGTTGAACATACCACGTTTCTAAGATATGAAGCGAAAGACAGACAACACAAGCACATTTCTCTTTTTTTTATGAAACATAACCAGAATAGGAAGCTAACAATATGGAAACCAAATTCAGTTTCATAATCTTCAAAAAATAAATTTCATAATTTCAACACCAACACGATGGAATATCATAAAGAAAAATCCATGCACTCAAATAACTCCAAGGTTGTAGTATATGGACAAGAAATAATTTGATATAACAGGAGTAGGAGCTCACAGCAACGTTCAGTAATCCTATGCCAGGGTATAAGGAAAAGATCCTTTTTGACTTCTTTTTGCTTTTTGGTGGAAGGACATAGAAGTTCGCCATCATGTCGAGAACCTGCAAAAACAATGCATGATTTTTCTTTCTGTCATGAGAATCAGATATCTGGAGGCAAATAAATAATGATATTATGTAATGAAGGCACTCTTAGGAACTAAATGTCAATCCACTCGATTGCATGACGATAACGTAAAAGCCTTCGTCAATAAAACAGAGTAACAGTAACAAGCCTCGTTTACACCTATTCATCCATATTTCTTGTGTTAATTTTCATTAGTGTTGTATCAAAATTTCCTCAAGCACGTTCTCCACTTATCCTCTGGGAAAATTCCTCCTAGAACACTGAGACACACTTAAAATGACTAAACCACAAGTATAGATGCACAAATATAAAATTATACATCCGGGGACAACTCTCCAACCATGATTTCGCACAACTAAACATGAACCATTATTTTGACTGGAGGAAAGTCCATGAATCAACACTAGAATCACTCGCAAATGCATGTGGAACAACACCAATAGCCATCTCTGGCCACCTTGCCAAGCTGTGCATGCCTGGTGGTTTGAGCATCAGCCTTCCTCTGTTTCTTCTCCTCAAATCAGTGCCACCACCTGATTAATGCCCAGAACCTCCTTTTTGCGGAGTATCTGAATTCTTGATCAAATTCTGGATTAAGCCCAACAGAAGAAGCATATAATGGATGCTCAGATTGATGAAATCTTTTAGGATAGATGCATCCTCAAGACATTTAGTTTTAATTACCCTACAATGGCCAAGCTCTTGCCAAAAAGTTTTCAGCTGATTTGCAAATTCTGCAACTGTTTTGCTTCCCTGTTGTGCACCCATGGCCTTCACCTTTTCTTCATATACTTGCGCTGCATCTCTAGCTTTAGAATACATTTGTTGGATTGCATCCTAGATATCCTTGGCTGTAGCCAAGAACGTACATGTGTCACTAATCTTAAGAGACACAGAATTCCATAACCATGCCACAATCATGGAATCTTCCTCATTCCATACCTCAAACTAAGGATCCACTGGTTTTGGCCTTGTACCTATGAGATGGCTGATCTTCCATTTCCCTTTCAGCACAATATGAAAACAAATTGGGACCACTTAAGAAATGTTTTTCCATCCAGTCTATATGAAGTTGGATGCCCGGAAATTCTCCAACTTGTTGAAACCGTATAAACCCCTCAGATTGTGTTGAAGCAGTCATCTCCACAATTTCTAACATCTCTGGAAAAGCTGACAGCTACTTTCAGTGAAAGAATTGTTGGTGTTGTTAGAAAAACAGACCTCATGTCAGCAATCAAGGCTGAAAGGATTCACAATCAGGTCGATGATCAAAAAAATAGTTTTGCGGAAAATTAGAGAATATCAGCCTACTGTGATTCCTCACAACGGAAGCAATGACAATCCAGGGCTGCATTCTCACATCCGACAGAAAAGAGTGGAAGAAGAAAAAAGGCACAAACCAGGCGTTCACATGCCTGTAACAGTCCTCTGCATTTCGTTCTCCCCTGTTGTCAATTGCCCACATGGGAGAAGACCCTCCTAGTTGTCATGAACCAAACAATCCTCGACTAAACCCCAGACTACAGCACAACAAAGGAAGCGAACCGTAGAGGCTCTGATACCATGTTGTGAACAGTGGTGGAAACCCCTAGGAGAATATGCAGAGGAAATAACACTTCTTATATTCACATCATAGATGACTTTTATTTACAAGTACCAAGACCACAAAAAAAGTAAACTACCTAGCCACTAGGAAATAGACAAAATAGGAAACGAACCAACAACTAAGAAACGGTCCAACTAAGAACCGAACTCTCCATTGTACATTCATTTTCATAGTTCTTATAAGGGAAGATTGAAGAATTTGAATGAGATTGGCAACGACTGATCTCAACATAGATCAGATCAGCCAATCAACGAATGCAAGTGGCAGAACTTGCTTTGAGGTAAAACATGAGAAGGTTATTTAATCAAGTTTGCAATTATCATAGTTATATGACCATCTCAGTGAATAAAAATACAGAAAAAATGAAAATGGTAACTTCTTAGCTCTCCCCCCTCCTAAACAAAAACAATAGGAACAACAGATCATCAATTCAGAAAGAGGTAAGCTTAAATATTAGAGAAACAAGGAAAGCAAACTTTTCATCGCATAATATTTTTTAAATGCAAGAAAAGGTAAACCAAGAAGGTCAATACTGCAACAAAATAAGCCAAAGGAAATAGAAGATGCCCAAGAACTGAATCTTTCTCTTAATATAGTGGCATACCTCAACAGCAGTGTGTTTCCTACAAGCTTCTTTCCATCTTGTTACAAACTCATGCATCATACTTCTATTGAAAGTGATATCATATTTCTTCTTTTCAGTTTCATTTCTATCAAGATCTTCTTGAAGCACAGGGTTCAAAGAATGACCATTTAAATTTTGAGCTTCATATTTTCTTTTTCTTCCAGACTTCTTACTCTTATCATGTTTTGTTTTGCCTGTATAGGATGTTCTCACATCTGTCTCAGTTTTCAGCCCAAGACGTTTTATCTCTTCAGTAGTTGATGGATAAGGACAGCTACTAACACGCTGTTGAATGACACGATCAGCTCGAGGGCTACTTTGGTAGTGAGATTTTGAATCACTTCCACTGTCATCCTCACCAGAAGAATCAAACTTGATGTGTTTACCTTCAAAAACATCACAAGCAGAGGAGAATGACTTGATCCTTTTTGATATAAAACCAAATCGTCTATCAAGCACCTTCTTCTCTGAAAACATGTTAGGGGGTTGAGTAGGTTGTATTCCTTCTATTTCTCTTTTACTGCTCACAGAATTTTCCAATCCTTTTGTGAAACTACTGAGGGCAAATTTTTCTGCTTTCTTTGCATCGCGAATATAAGTAAGGTGCAACCTGAGTTGTACAGAACAAAAAAACTTAAAATAGCACATGAATATGGATCAGTTACGAGGAACATACCACAAACATCCCCATAAACAAAATGTTGGTAAATGGTGCATGGTATATGATCAAATAGGTAGTTGCTAAGGGCTGATGGACACAACAGGCCCAATAAGCCTACCAGTATGGGTCTAGGGGACAAATTATGATAAAGTTCCTAGCTTAGAATCTACTACAGTAACTAATTTCGACCAGGAGAATTTTTTTAGTATTTTTTTAAAAAAAATCATGACTTACGAATTTTCTTTGAATATTTCAAGAAAATAAAGGAATGAACTAAAAGTTTAAAATCATTAACCGATCCCTTCATTTTTATCATAAAATAAAAATATCAGCCTCTCATTATTCCATCTATGCATCATGATGGCCCATGCCCTTTCTTCCTTTCCAATACACTGGGATTTGGTGTTGCTGACCATGAGACACGAACATCATCAACTGTTATTTAAAATTCGCTCAAGACTTAAAATGTCTTAGCAAACTTATGGGAACTTATGGAGGACAAAGTTTGTTGTTTACCTGCGAGAGATATGAACTTATGAAGGACGTGCAAATAATTGTTTTTGAGCCAAATAATATGTTAAGAAGAAAATTAAACAGGCACATAAGAAGTCACAATATGTGGAACATGAACAGGTCTGTCTGGTGTTCATGAGCCCATTTCAAGGCACAATGCAAATATCCAGGCAAAACATGTGAACATCAAAATAAAATGGGACAAAGACATAGGAAAGGCATCTGTACTTACAAATCTATTGTTCTTCTTTGCAAATGTGTAACAATTAAATCCTGATGGCCCTAATAAAGAACACTAAGACAATTTGACTGAGAGAAAATGCATGGGGAGTGAAACTTCCTTGTAACATGAAGGAAAGTTTTATCCTTTGACAAGGCACTTTGGAAGTAAAATAGTAGGAAAGTCTAAGGAACCAAAAGAAAACTATAAGGTGCTCTGAAAACTGAAAATATACGTAACATCAGAGCTCATATATCATGCAAGACGATTATGGAGAGAGCGCAAGCATTTAACATACACCCATCCAAAATGAGAATAATGGAGTCAAAGGACTCACCCTAAGCTCTGGATCCGCACCCCAAGTTTTTCCTTAGTACTGACTGAATATCTTTCCATAAGGAAACTTAGAAACTCCTCAGGAACAACTACCTTCTTGAACTTATCCACATACGAGCTTAAACAATAAATGATTTCTTCTGCTGTAATTTTTGGTACCTCGGTTGTATCAGGAGGAATTGAGAAGTAGTGAAAAACAAGTGGATGCTGCAACAATGGCCCCAATCTAAGAGCATCAAACTGTTCAATTCCTTCATTCTTGCAAATAGCAGCATCCAAATCGTGAAGAGACGTGATTCTCCATACACCAACGAAGCAATGTATGAATGCATTCACCTAGAGAAATGAAAAACAGAGTGAGAAATAGAGAAAATTAGAGAGGAAGGCCAAGAAAGGAGAAAAGATATCTCAATATTGAACTATAATCCAACTTTGACCATTTCACTGCCAAAATATTGATGAACTGTGCACAAAAAGAACCCATAACCATCAAAAAAGGAATTCCTTCTCGATTCATTAAGTAGAAATCTTTTTTAAAAAATTAAATCAAATATAAGAAGGCATAGATGCAAATTCCATGTCAATTTTAACAATGGGAAACACTGCTAAAATCTAGCGAGAAACGGAGGAATAATGAGTGAGAGGAAAAAGGAACTATTCTAGGCGCATGATTGGCTGAATACTTGGGACTATTTTAAAAAAATGAGTTCGTCTCAGCCGTTGCAAACATTTCACATGTGGGTGGGTTCATGTGTCTTGGCTTTGCTCCACAAGTGTCCGCTGATCTCAATATACTGGGAATTTCGAAAATTCAACCTCTTCTGACGAAGCCAGTTTATGGGGAATCCTCACGAATGGTAACTTGGGGCTCACGAGACGAAAGAAGAGATTTTGAGAAAGACATATGGAGAAGATAACACGGGACGCTAACCCATATGAATGCCTCATTTCGGAAAAAATGAATGCAACTTTAGCATAAAAGCTCAATGACTCACTTGGAATTTTCTAGCGTGGAGGTAACTTAAATTATCTGGTTTTCAGAACACCCCAAACGGTATCTGAAGACCTTTTTCAATAAAAAAAGAGGAAAAAAAAGGTGAGCAGGAGGAAGATGCACGAACCTTCCCCTCAGTGGTCACCAGATGGCGGAGGTAGGGAATGTCCTGAAACTGGAACCCCAGAGAAGCCCACGAGTCCACCTGGAGAGAAACCAACGCCGATTGTGACACCTTCCATGCCGACACACTCTCCCCTGCCGCCAGGAGTTCGCAGTGCGCCTTTTCTAAGGCCGCCTCCGCCCTCCCAAGAAGATCCTGCTGACTTTTCCCACAAGGGTTTACAGCCTGGGGGCGGTAGGGCAGGGGGTTCTGGACGTAGGGCGGCGCTTGATGATGAAGGATACTTGGGTTTTGGGAAAAAGGCGATAGCTGGGGAACTCCGGACGCCGGAGCAGTCGCCACGGGAGGAAGGTTCCAGTAGAGCTGGGAGTAGAGAGGCTGGAAGTAGGGGAACCCAGAGTTGGGGATCTGCACAGGCGCGGCTGAGTAGGGAGGGTCCGGATGACCCACGCCCTGCCGGCGGCCGCCGCGCGACGGGCGGTGCATGGGAGCCCGCCACCGCCGTAGGAAACGAGAGAGAGAGAGAGGTTTAGAGAGCTCGCCTCTTTGAAAAGAGGATGTAAGAGGGTTTAAGGAAGGTAGCGAGAGACTGAGAAAATGCGTCGTGGGTCGGGTAAGACCGAAATTCCAACTGGAGCGATCTCGTTCCCAGAACCAGAATTCAGAAGGCCCAGGCCCAATCTGCTGATACTCGAGTCAGGTGACATAATATATAATAAACAACCATGGTTCAACGAAAATACACTGCAATGTTTATTTTACTGATTAACTATTCCCCGCGTTTCTCAAATCAAGCATAAATCTTCCAAGTCATTACGTAATAACACATAGATTGTTGATATCATGGAAAATCGGCTTAGGCGAACAAACAGAACACCAATCAAAGCATTAATTTTCTTCCTTGGCAATCTCTCTCTCTCTCTCTCTCTCTCTCTCTCTCTCTCTCTCTCTCTCTCATTTCTTGGGCTATTTTCTAAATCTTCCCCCAAGTTCGTGTCTTGTAAAGATGGAGGGAGAGAGAGAGAGAGAGAGAGAATAGGAAAGATGGAAGGAATAAACTCAGGGTTAGATCTTCAATTCTCAACCAGCTCGCATGGCATCATACACAGAGAGACTAAAAACACCGGCAGCACCAGCCTCAACAAGCAAGAAGCACAAGGTTCTCTATCAACATGCAGCCATTAATCATCATCATCATCATCATCATCATCGTCATCATATTCCAATTGGTAGTATCGCCATCTGAGCTCCCTTTATTTTGTGGAATCCGCCGCCTTCTCTCCCTCTCCCGACCAAGCTCCTGAGGGATTCCAGGCACATTGTGCAACATAGGGCTTAAGCTGTTCAGAAAAAGATAAAAAGTTCTTCAGACCAAACCCAGACGCCAAAGAAATGCATGCAGGTGCAAATATGTTCTATAATTAGCATCCACAAGTACAAAGCTACATATGAGCATGTCCGATGGGTTTTGGAATAAGTTCGAGGAAACGGTGAGCCTATTCTCCCGGAGAGTATCGCCATGTGCCGTTCTAAGGTATCGTTTCAATACAATCCATCAAAACGTGACCAAGGACCAGGAAAAAAATTATATTACCTTGAAGCTTGACAAATCTGGGACAACATAACGGGGCAACTTTTCGTCCACAATAACGTAGCCACCTGGAAAGGAAACAAGATCAGATCAAAACTAAATGTCCAGCTTCCTGTTCAAAAAACCCGTTCTGACAACCACAGAGATCGATTAATTTATAGGTTTTCATGCTCCTTTTCAGTGCCCAACTAGTCAACCTCTAGAGATTTACTCGCCCTGCTGATTGGAGCCAGCACTTCCTTCACTGTTGTGTGATTCACGTTAAGTAGCTGGTCACTAAGGATTGAAAAGAGGTATCGTGATGACTAGAACTGTGAAGAGAATATTATTTACAAAAATAAATTCGGAGATAATGCCGAAAATAAAACGTTTAGCAATTTTTCTGCATCGTATCCAATGGGTTCAAAGAGGGTTTCTCAAAGAAGATACCTACCTAAATAACATACCATTTTCATGAATTAAACTGGAAAATAAAATCCCAATAGAGCAGCCCGATGAAAACGGTAAAAGCTGAACCTAGGAGAATCCGCAAATACACTCTTTAACTCTTGTGTTGAGACTCTCGTGAATGAAGAAGAGATTTGCTCTGGATCTTTAAGTGGTTCTCAAAGTTCTCAAGAACGTAAAAAATCTGGCTTGCTACAGTCTTTTTGCCAGACCATTCTTCAGTTTCTATAATTAGGAGTCGCCTTTTACAACTGTTCCATCCCACGAATGAAATTAACTGTGATTTCGGGGCGTTATTTGCAGCATCTTATGGGTTAAGATCCATAAATTGCCAGTTGCTTCGATAATAACATTTTTATAAACTATACGTGAAAAAGGCAAAGAAACGTTAAATGCACGACGAAATTTTCTTCCTGCACTTTTGCGGAGGAATTCGCAGAACATAAAGGCTTAGGACGCTCAGGACTGGGCAATAAAGTTTCAGCCAGCAGTATGACAGAGCCTTCACACAAAACTATACATGTTTGGTCATACCTTTTGACCATGGTAGTTTTTGAACAGAAACAGAAATTCAAAGAGATCTGTGGAAACACCCCTTTCCCTGCTTGAAAAGACAGAAGCTAAAAACATTCTACTAGTAGCCATATGGAGCAGTGACCTATCTCCCAAAAGCGGACAATGGTACATGAACCATATGAAGCAGACAAAAGTTTGGTGGTTAACTAAGCATGGATTAAGTTGGAGAAGTTGCCTAACAAATAACAGACGCAGAAGGCCCACCTTTTAGATCAGTTATCTGCTGAATCATCCCCAGATTCAGACGACAAGATCTAACAAAGGGAGATCAGCTCAGAGGCAAGAAAGAATGAGCTTGTATTGGAACATTGGTGATGTCCAAAGCCAACTGAGCCTCAAAATTTTGTAAGAGATGGATATGAAGGCATCCTGGATGTTAGAATGATCTACACAACCTCCATATAAAATATAGTTTATAGAGACCGTTCTCTAAATCTGAATTTCTCTTCTGATCAAAAAGAGTAAACTATCCCTTTGGTAACCTTTCCAAAAAAGAATGTCCATCAAACGGAACTCCAATAATCGATTTTTGCAGTATCTCAGCGCTGGAAGTGATGGGATCGAGGGAATCCCAATTCGATTAAAAAAATAAAAATAAAAACATAGAACCCAACATCCAGACCATCAAATAAAATATTGTTTTCCCTCTCTTCCATCACAATCACAAGTCCAAAGTAAGCATTACCCGTGGTGCACTCCCGAAAGGAAATAAACTGTTCTTTACCAAAAAATACCGCTGTTGATGCCCTTCACACCAAGACTTCAACTACCTCGGAACATGTCGACACTATGCCCACTGACATGCCTCCCCTTAACACCTTGAAAGACCAGCACATGAACAATGAGTATGAAATTGCTGGATGTTTTTCGTCCAAAGGTCCAACGTCCTGGCTCTCATATAGGTTCTCTTTGATCACTTCCCATCAAAGCCTATCCTTGTGCCCAGTGTCTGTCCTCATCAACACGGCAATGTGAAGTTGAAACACCTCGAAACTCCTCTACCAAACGCACTGCATTCGATTTCGTACGTACATGTCAGCCCGTGCTTATTCATCCACCACATGTCAATGCAATTTTCATCGCAAGGACTCAGGGTTCGCAGTCACCGCAGTGGAATCTTAGATTCGGAAACAGGTGACTATTGCTCATCCGACCAAATCGGGTTAGAATGAGGAGAGAAACGGACATGGGACGGGCGATGCGCATTACGGGACAAAACAGGACGAAGCAACATGAATCAGCACCACCGTCGTCAACCTAGGAACAGGGTATGAGATGGGGGGGGAAGAGACAAATCTACCCGGTGGGTAGTGGATGGCGTGAGATGTTAAAGTATGGCATTGGAGATAGTGGGAAGGCCAACCTTTGCGTGTGTGAAAACCGGTGGGCTTGCAGTTCTTGCCCTTGTAGTAGTCGCGGGGAGCCCTCTTGGAGGAGAGGATCCCCAGCGACGACGTCCGCTTCCGCCTCATCGCCCTCGCCAGCCCCGTCATCAACCCCAGCGGCATCTCCGTCCCTTCCACCAGCTCACCAGAGAGAGAGAGAGAGAGAGAGAGAGAGCAAGGGCGACCTCCAGGAGCGGGGAGCTGGTGGTGTCTGGAAAAGCTCAAGCCTGACCAAAAGCCTTTCCTTAAATCCCTTGATCATCAATCCTATAGAATCCCATACATACTCTCTCCCTAGCCCTTAAGCCTGAACCTTTTATTTATCCTTGATTATAAATTCCGACCCAAAACCATGATTTTAATCCCCATTCCTAAACGTCTGTATGTGATCCCTAAAACCCTAAGACTCTAAAAGCTACTAAACCCTAAACGTAAACCATAAGATCTTTAATCCTACCCCTTTATACCTATACCCCAAACCTTAAACCCCAATAATAAAGCCCGACCTTAGCGTCAAACCCTTAATTCTAGACGTTAACATTAGCCATAAACCTCCCTCATTGTCAAACCCTTAAACCCTAAATCTAAATATACATGCTAGTTATTAACTAGGAAAATGTAGGCTTACATAAAAAAAATATTAAAGGCCTAGAGTTCTCAACATTGGACCTTAACCTATATAATATTCTAAACAGTACCCCTAATAAGACGAAATCTTAGACCATAAGTTGTACACTTTCGTCATAAATACTAGATTAGAAGTCATGAAATGTTAAACCCTAATGGGGCTACTCTATACCATACACCAAAAAGCTGCAAAACACAAAATCCTATTCAGGAGTAATAGAAGATATAACGAAAAATCTTCCATCCTTCGTTCATTTCTCCAATATTCCAAGGCGTATATAACCTCAGATGTGATCACATTGTCATTCAGATGTCTTGTCCTTCGAGAATTGACAGAGATGCAGTAGACGAAAAAAATTAGTTACCGACAAATCCATCAACAACGTCGCTTTGGCCGAGTGGTTAAGGCGTGTGCCTGCTAAGTACATGGGGTCTCCCCGCGAGAGTTCGAATCTCTCAGGCGACGCCTGCCTTTTTGAAAAAATCGTCTAATACTTCGGCGGCGGGCAGTAGGTCCGAGTTTCGACCAATCTTGGCGGAGATAATAGATCCTTCTCACTCACCGACCTTGAAACCCTGTTCAAACTCTGCATCGCTCTGTGTTTAGCTTCCGAAGTTTGTTTTCCCCAAGAACACAGATAGTCTTTTCTCCTCTGCCGTCCTCGAGCTTCAAACGTTTCCCGCCACCGTCCTGCCTCTCTTTCTCTCTCTCTCTCTCTCTCTCTCTCTGCAGCATTGCTCTCGGCGGAGATGGCAGGCTACCGTCTTCCGATCCTGCACTTCGTCATCGTTTTCTCCCTCTACTTCCTCTACTTCTTCTTCTTGCCCTCGCCTCCTCCAACGCTAGAGTTCCCTGGGGACGGCGACAGAGGCCCCATGACACGATCGCTTGTCGGGGAGGACGCTATGGAGGGCGCACCCGTGGCGCCGTATCCGGCGGCTCCAGCACCGCTGGTTCCGGCTCTTTTTGTGCTGGGGGACTCCACAGTGGACTGCGGCACCAACAACTTCCTGTGGACGCTCGCCCGCGCCGACCGCCTGCCTTACGGTCGCGACTTCGATACCCACCGGCCGACCGGAAGGTTCAGCAATGGCCGCATCATCGTCGACTACCTCGGTAGCACGCATCTCTACCGCTTCTTGAACAGGCAGGGTGGAATGATTCCTGAGGCCGCATGAGCAGGGATTTCTCGATTTGTTCAAGAGACTTGATGATTCCCTCGGTGTGCTCTACTGGTTTTCTTACGCGATCAAATAAATGCTTTAAGGATATCTTAGGGTGATTGAGATGAAGGCTTTCGGGGGGGCTTTTGTCGAGTTATGATTCACTGGACAGTGAAACTCTTTCTGATCTGTAATCCTTTGGTTTTCTTTAGCTGAGATGAGGATTTGACGACGTCTTTTGTTTCTTGTCTTAACTTTCCTTCCTCGTTCGACGTCATTCATTCTACTGTTCGTTTGATTCCTGTCGGATCTTAAATTCTGGAGAGTGCTCATTTCGAACTCGAGATCTGGCCATCTTCGGCTCTGAATTCTCAACCCTGGCACGATACGATCATATCGGACGCTAACTTGCTGTATCTTATTGTCGTTCTGGAAAAGCTCTGCGCATGGGCCTCCCATTTGTCCCTCCATTTTTAGGCCAGACCGGGAGGATCGAGGACATGATCTATGGCGTCAACTTCGCCTCTGCGGCAGCTGGAATACTCTATCCCAGTGGCTCTGATCTTGTGAGAAGAATCTCCTCTCAATCTTCTGACGAGCATCTGATTGCTTCTCCGAAATCAGTCCCATTCAATCTTGGAATCACTGTTCTCGCCCCAAATTTCAGGGCCAGCATGTCTCCCTGACTCAGCAAATACAGCAGGCCGCCGATACTTTCCAGCAGGTTGCTCTAAATCTGGGGGAAGAGGCCGCTTCCGACTTGATCTCCAAGTCCGTGGTCTATATATCCATTGGCAGCAACGATTTCATCCACTACTACCTGCAAAATCTGTCGATGGTGCAGTCCCTCTACCAGCCCTGGGAATTCAACCAGCTCTTGGTTTCCACAGTGAAACAGGAATTGGAGGTACCCCCTGCCCTTCGCCCCAGCTCGCGCAGATTCCTCCACCCTGCTTTGGCAATGCTGCTCGCCCACATTTCTGGTTAGAAGATGGTCATTAACCTAGATGCCATGCCCACTAATCAGAAAAAGATCTGGTTAGAAGATGGTCGGTCAATGATCTCACAATTCTTCAGAGTTCGATTGTCATCGAGCTGCAATATTGAATTCGTCTGTATAGTATTCTTTATTCAGCAAAATCTGAGCTAACTCAGTGGTGGTCTCCTGTTCTTCAGCAAAATCTAATCGCTTCCGGTTCTTCTTCTTCCTCCTCAGAACCTGTACAGCGCTGGGGTGCGCAGGGTGGTTGTGATGGGGCTGGCCCCCATAGGGTGCGCGCCGCACTACCTGTGGCGGCGCAACAGCAGCGAGCCGGGCGACGGCTGCATGGAGGAGGTGAACAACCTCGTGGTGGAATTCAACCTCGCGCTGAGATTCATGGCCCACGAGCTCAACCTACGACTCCCCGACGCCACATTTGTCTTCTGCGATGCCTTCGAGGGCTCTATGGACATCCTCGCGAATCGCCGGCTCTACGGTTCGACCGAATCTACCTGAGAACCCTAATTAAACAAACCTGTGGAGTCAACAACCTCCTTCGCCGTTGTTCTTCTTGGCAGGATTTGAGACGACGACGGAAGCGTGCTGCGGACTGGGTAGGTACGGGGGCCTGGTAATGTGCCTGGTGCCGGAGATGGCCTGCCGGAACGCGTCGAGCCACGTGTGGTGGGACGAGTTCCACCCTACCGACGCGGTCAACGCCCTCATGGCGGACAACGTCTGGTCCGGGGAGCACGTCCAGATGTGTCATCCCATGAACCTGCAAGATATGATCCTGCTGTGATGCGACCTGATGATCCACGGCCCCTCGTTGCGACTGTAAGTCAATCTGGGGATGAAAGATAAGGATGTTTTAGTCAAATCGTTAAGCGCAAGTGATCTTCTACTAAGATGGATATGTTGGCTGAAACCAGCACGGAAGGGGGTTACCGGTTGACTTCTTTCCCGTGACAGAGAGTATTGAGTGGAGGGGGGGGTTCTGGCGAGATGAGGCATGCTGCAGCATTGTATCAGCTTAGCCTGCAAGAAAACCCATGGAGACTCGTGGGGGGAAGATGATGATATCTGATGTGATAGAGTGACTGCTTCAAATATTAATAACAACGGTTCTTTTAAGACTTCTCCTTCAGTGTGTTAGGTACCAGCGATACTTCTCCTTTAAGCCTTTCAATGAGTGTGTAAGCTTATGTAGATGGTTAAATAGATCATTGTTGTACACTCTCCATCTACTTTGAGAGTGGGATGAAGTCTCAAATATGCAGGGTGTGTTTCTCGGCCTCCAATAATCACTTAGAACAAGTAGTGGCAACTAATAATGAATATCATCTAAAGTATTAGCTATCACTTCAAAGCTTAAAAAATTGTCTTTAGTGAAAGGGACATAAAATAGATATCTTCAAGAATTGAAATGACCATGAGAGTTGAATAACTATAAATTATGTCTCTTTTGTGTTAATCAGCTAAATCATCTATAATGATGAGACTTACCTATATATCAACCTTTTTTTCCAGTTGTCTTCAAAGTTTTCTTTAGATCTCTTAGGAAAAATAATAATCTAATTAGTCTTATCTTTTTTAAATTTTTTTACTATTATTAGATTCGACAATAATTAACTTGAAACTCCAAGAAGTGGGGGTGAATTGGGGTTTTTACTGATTATGATGATTTTTTGGTTTAGAGTGATTTACTATAGATGCCCACATGTGTTGACACAAGTAATTATGTGTCAACTAAAGGGGTATGTTTGTTGACACACATGTGAAAGGTTGTTCTTATTGGTGAAACCTATAACCATTTTTTTGCCAAGAGTACAATTTTAGTACCAATTCACCACACTGGTTTATTTTCAGTCCTAAACAAACCTATCAATAATGCTTTACTTTTATGTAATAATTGAGGTAAAATTGAAGTAATTTTCGCATGAATTAATCTAAAATATGAATTATTATATTTAAAACATATTAGTAATGGTCTGACAATTATGTGATAAATTTATGTTTAATTTAGTGATTTTTTATAATCTATGTGATATAAATATTGGTCTAAGTTTTAATCCATGTAGTAACATGATTATCCAATCTTTATAACCTTGAGAAATATTTTACAACCAAAAAAATTAGTCATGAAGTTAAAATTTAGAAAATCAAGAAACAATGAGGTCCACATTTTATGCCACATCATCTATGTATACATCATCTAGGTACATTCATACTTTGTTCTAAATGGTGAAAGGAATGAGGAGAATTCCTACTTTCACAGTGATTATAGCAATATCTTTAGAATATCAAAAAGAAGCTCAAAGGAAGGTAGTGGTGGTTTTGAGATGGAGAAGAGCAAATTATTTGCTCTTTATCACTCAAATTCTCTTCAAGTGACATTCAAAGACAAATTAATTGATAATAGGTTTTCAAGAATTTGATTCTCATTTAGTTTGCATTTTATTTTTTTAATAAAAAAAATCATCAAGGTGACATGGAGATGACAAGATTTATCACTTTTTAAATATATTATGGTACTATATTTTTAGGTAGTAGACAAGTGGAGCAATGATAGGTGTTTGTGAATTTGATCTTCATTTTCAATTTCTTTATTATATTTATTTATCTGAGTGATAAGAAAATGATGAGATTAATCTATTTAATTGGCATTATTACCATTTTTTCAATCGATTTCCTTTGCTATTTCTATTTCATGGTGATAGTATGTCCTTGGGTGAAAAATAAGGCAGATTATTCATTTTTCCTAGTAGTTATATGTGCGATTTTAATTTTTTGATGAAATCTTACTTAATTAAGATCATTTGAATTCATTTAGTTTGATAGATTACTTGGTTTAGATAGGAATCCGAATTGAAATCATTCTCCTATTTCACTACCAATAGTGCAACATTGCTAGTAAATAATTGTGTTCTGAATTAAATTTTCAGTAGCTCTTTTGTGATTTCAAATTTTCTTGTGTAAATTTTGTGAAGATCATTTGAATCCATATATTTTGAAATATTAACTAATTTTTATACAAATTTGAGCTAAATTTATTGTCATTTTAGTGTTATTTTGGTGACCCAGCTAGTAGTTGTAATATCTCTCTCCTCACATATTTTACCCAATTAAAGCTTTATTTATTGTACTTTATTTTTCCTTTATTTTTTGATTTACTCCACCATTTTTGTTGGAAATTCTGTTAGTTAGAGTCATACCCAGTTAAATAATTATGTTATTTTCCTTTATTTCTCCTCACATATTTAATGTTGAATCTGAACATATGTCAAAGTTGGAAGATTCAAACCTTAAAACTTGGTGACAACATCATCAAACATTGAAGTAGATCAATACATGGAGAAAATTATTTTATTTATTATTTATTTTAATAAATTATTTATAATGAAAAAAGTTAGTATTTATCATCCTTGTGGATGACTTGAACTATCTAAATTTTAGACTTTTTTATTGTTAATCAAATTTATAAATATTATAAATTTATCATTTTGATAAGGATGACCAAAGTTACATTACTTATCTTAAAATTTTAACTATTCTCCTCATAGATACACAATAAAACTTAATGAGATTAGTGGTCATAATCTCTAGTTCATCTTTGTGGAAATCTTTTAACAGTAGGCCCCCTCGAGCCAATAAGATACAAGTATGATATAGTTTTGTAAAAATAGCTCTCATTTTATGACACTATTACCTTAGAGTTTGATAGAGAAGACTAATTATAATTGCACAATTACTTTATTACCATATCAGGTTGATAATAAAGATATGTTATTCTTTTATCACAAAAGTGTGTGACATAGCTATATTTATAGAGTACTAATTCTAGTTGCATAGTTATTTTATTACTAAATCAAGTTGATCAACAGGATGTTGTAGTTGTTAGTTGACATAAATATGTTGATGGAGAACTCTAAATCTCTAGGTGTATTTGTTAATTTTTAATGGATAAATATTTTTTTATAAATTGGCTTTCGTTTTGTAAAAAATTAATTTCTCAATTTTTTAAAACTTCTAAAGTTAGAGTTGAGCTGTTAAAGTCTTACTATTTACTAAAATACATTGTTCCTATATGTTGACCTTTCACCCTTCAAGTTTTCCTAATCTTATGGTCATTTTATTTGAAATTAAAATTTGAGCTTTCTATCTTGATAAGAACAACTTGGTATCCACAACATATACTTTTATTTGGCTCTAGATCATTTGACTACATTTCACTTTTAATCCATATACTTGTCTAATGTGTCATTGAGATAAACTTTCTAAACTTGAATATTCAATTTATTCTTGATTTTCTTGTTGATTTGATACTTGAAGTAGCTTGGAGAATTTATCTAAGATCATGTGTAAATAATACGAAATAAATTTGGAAGCATGATGATTGAATCATCATAATTTTAATACATGTGATATTCTATTTTTTTTTATGTTTCAACCAATTCATGTAATACATATATCGACATATCATGTGACCCTAGATAATATATAGTTAACCTTTGTTTATATATCTTCTTAAATTAGTAATTAATTATTTTAAAGTATAATTATGGCATAAAATAACTTAATCTCAAGGTTAAAAACCTTATATTTAAATGTTATAACTAAATTGATAATAATTGGACTAAGAATTTAATATGTGATTGACACGATTAGATTGGTAAGTATATGGAACGTTAACTTCACAATAGTACTATGTTAAATATATGAATAAAAACTCATTTTTATATTTTTAATTTAAAATATAATTCAGTGATTTATCAGAATTTTTCATTTTTAGTAATCAAAACAAAGAGCATGAATAACTAGTAAGGTGATGAATCAAGTAGAGATGATGAACTACTGACTTTTTCCTTATAAATTATAATGAAGATACTAACAACCCAATAAAATGGTGCTGCCAAGAGGGTCGATTCATTTTATTTTATTTTTTTCATTTCTACATACTTAGATGACTCATTTTTTATGTAAAACTAATTTACACTTTTAGATATAGTTTACATTACCCCAAAAGTGGACATAGTCATTGCTACCTTTTTGTTTCTTCTTGGTCTTTATTAAATGTAATAAACCATTGGTAATCTAAACACTGAAATATGTCACCTCCACGAGATCTGACATTGTTTTTAGATTTAATGTTGAAATGTATTAGTTTTTGATGATTTTGAGCTATTTTCATGTACTTCAAAAAACAAATTATGAATAATAGCTATTATAAATTGTGGTTTCAAAAGCTAAGATTGTCTTATTTATTTAATTTTGTGGGCCAAAGCCAATAAAGTCAAAGTAGTATGATTGCTATTTGATGAGCACTATGAGCTAGCACAGTTGGCAAACCTAGTGGTGTAGTGATTGCTCATAAGTATGATTGCTAGTGTCATGAGTACCTAAGTGGATGATACCACAAAAGACTAAATGGCTCATAGGACCCAATGTGCCTTGGAAAAAAACTTAGGCTATTGGTAAAGTATTTCAACTGTATGTGTAAATTGTGATGTAACTACATGAGTTAACTCATGAGTGATTCTCTTCCAAAAAATAGAAAAAGTAGGTTATGTCATCTAGTCAATCTCAAAATAACATGAGATTTGATGGCTTGAAGATTATGAATAATTTTGATGATGAAAACATAGATGATTATGAATAGTAATGTAATTTTGGTTGAACTAAATTATTGATTATTTACATCACAATAGTTGAAAATAGCCCTAAGCAAAGGAAAGTAAACTCAAGAATAAAGTGCTCATTTTACATTATGAGCATACTTTATATCAATGTGATTTTTTAACATGCCCACATGTAATGCAAATGCTCAAAAAGATTTAAAGATTTATTTAGTATAGCCTAGAATAAATTTTCATTCCAAGATTTTGTCTACTCTTAAACAAGAAAAGAACATAACACACGAGTTGACATAGAAGAGGGACAAGGCAGATGTGCATGGTGCATGAGAACAACATGGGGAAAATATACGATTTAGCCACTTGACTGCACTGCATATATTAGAAGAACACTTTCCAATTGTCGTAATACTGTAAAAAACTTTCAGAAAATTATGAAAAACTAAATGAAATGCTCTTTGAAAATCTGAGTATGGTAAAAGTCATTGATGGCACAAAATCAAGAACCACCTCATGGGATCAGAATATTCCTCAACAAGAGCAACATCTACACCATCCAGCAGAGCATTTGCACCATCCAAAGCTATGAAAAAAAAAGCAGTAACTTATTCTTTATTCTATGAATATTTTTACTACTTGAGCCAACCTTAAGCATTGAAACTAGAAGGGATTAGATGAGTGTTAATTTAGTTTGGTTGACTTAATCTGGTTAACTGATTAGTGGCATGCTGATCTAGTTGACTAAGTTGAGAGCTTGAAATTTAGGAAAAAATTGTAGGATAACATACCTAAATAAGCTTTAGTTGTTATTTCTAGTTGTTATTTGTAGTATTCAACACAAGTTACTAAGAATTAGTAAAACTTCAGGATTTTGAGCCTTAGAGAGTAGAGTAGGTGAGGTGGATCAAATCACTACAAATATTTTGTGTGAGTGGTAGCAAAATATAATTATAAAAGTTTTAGTGACTACAAAAACACCAATTCAACCCCCCGCCCCCCCTTACATAGCTTAATATAGTTAACACGTGGTATCTTTTGACAGTATCTTTGTATAGGAATTAACAATCTTTGAGTATATCTCACAGCTACGAATTAAAGCCATTGATTTTAGAGTTTGAAAAATTATATCTAATGGACTATATGATCCTAAGAGCATACAAATAATTTCAAATGATTGAGTAGGAAGTTTACTATCATTTAATACAAAGTTGATTTATATATTTTTCTGTGGTCTTGCTTAGAATGTATTTAACCATTTTTTGAGGAGTATTATAATAGAAAAAACTTGGGATAAGATCAAAATCACTTATGAGGGAAAGCATCAACACCCTTGTCAAAATCCAGAAGGATTTGGAAACCAACAAACCATTCTTTCCACCAAATATTTCTTTTTCCTTGTTCTGTTTTAACACTCGTATTTCATGCGAAACCTTTCTTTTAGCTAATTTTCTTAGCCTCTCCAACGTTTTTAGGAGGTGTAAAGGAACTTTTTCATTGGCAAATCAATAAAGCGAGTATTAGAAATAAATCAAACTTCTCACAACCCTAGGAGCCATTAGTAGACAGATTACTCAACCCATTTTATTTCTTCCCTTGTAGGTAATTTAAACTTTTATCTTTTTTTAGTATCATTCCTTTGATTCAATGAATCGGTAAATACCTGATTACCCATTAAAAACCATAATACTTCTAATTGAATGAAAAAAATGTTTCCTTGATGATACATATGGACCTTTGATTTATTGGTGTGGTCTCTAAGGATGATGCACAATGATTTGAACGGATTCAGTAATTTAATTAAGTTAATCTAGGCATTATAAAAGCTTTAAATCCACTTGGTTTCTATAGTTGTCTTCTTAGTTTCTCACGAACACCTCATAAAATTTATTAATGTGTCTGATTTATTTTCCAGATTTTGAGAGGTTGGTTGATATATTTACACATTTTAAAAATAAAGGTCTTGAAAATATTGATTATAACTTAGGCAAAAAATTATTTTCCATCAATGGTCGTTTTTCTCTTCCTTAGATGGGACATGGGGTTTATCTTCACTTACCTTCCACACGCCAAAAAAATTGGGCTTAACTTATCTACGTTTCACAAGAAACATAGTACACTCCAAAGGGGAAACGAAATGTAAATACTTTTATCTTAAATTTCAAGGGAATTTAGAAAAGATGAAATTATACAACATTCGGCCATTCTCGATAGATCTGAAGTCTTTCTGTTTAAACGTTGATCGACGAAGGACAATCAACGAGGATAACTCATGCAACTTTGGAGAGGCCATTCAAGCCGGCCGAGTGGAAAAGGAACTGAGTAAGAAGCCGGATTGGCTCATCCCCCAAAAAGGGCCATTGAAGTGGGCCTAGCTGAGAGAGGAGGGTACGATGAAAGACGGCAACCAAATGGGCCCAGGGGATAAAACTATGAAAGATGACGGGTGTTATCGGGTATAATTTCTCTCGGGCGTTCTTACAAAGATTCGTGCTCAGGCTGGCAAGCATCGAGGACTCCTCCGATCAGCTATGGCTTCCCGGGATGCTGGCAGCGATGACACCAGCCAGGTACCGTTCATCCCCTTTCATCAATCTGGCTTGTTTCGTAACTGGGACGGTGAGTTATGAGGGAATTTAGAAAGATTGAGCGTATTTGTTCATTAATACTGTGTTTCCCCTCTCACTCAATTCCCCTTCTTGAGGATCTCCCGTAGGAAGTAGGATTTTCTCTAATTCTTTTGCTGTCCGAAGCCGTATATGAACTTTCGTCAACGTATCACACAAACCAGCTGGGTAAGACTCCGTTGGTGATTGGAAGAGAGATTTCTCACTTCTTTTCAATGACAAGCATCTGGTATGGGTACACGGGGGGATATTTTATGATTCTGGCTTAATCTTGCCGTTTGATTCTAGAGAACATCTCACATGTTCAGTCGCATAGATTATATTTCACGTTTGCAAGAGAAATTGGTCAACTTTCTGAGGGAGAGATGAATTTTGTTTCTTGGCAGGTTCTATCGTATCTGTAAAGCCAGTACTTTGTGCCGTGTTTCCCTTCGCAGGGCCCATTATTATGATTTACAAGGGTTTTAGAAGAGTTCCTTTAACTCGTCTTCTGATGACGATTAATTTCAGAGATGTGTGTTGACATCTTCTTCTAGGTTAATCCTGGGGTAGATCTTGGGAATTCCATAATACACACATATTTCTCCAATGTATGGGTTCTTTGAAGAGTAGATTGTGCACATACTTACATATCAATTCGTTTTTTTTTTTCTGAAAAATATATTGTACCATCTAGTGATGATTATTTTCCTTGAGTGTCTTCACTTTTACCAGAGTCATGATTATTTTCAAACTACTAAAGTGAATAAAGTAATGTCAAAATTTAAACCAGAATTTCCAATTTCTTTCTTTTTCTAGGTTTTGACAGAAGCGAAAGGATGTGTGAGGACTATAATTCTTAACAGGCCTCGTCAATTGAATGCTCTCTCATATCAAATGGTACGTACATGAATACTTCTTATCAAATCCTATATTTCTTTCAGTAAATAACTTCTGTTACGACACATTGTTCTATACATGAAGATGCAATAGTTATATGTTTTATACGTAATTTTTTAAAAAATGTCTCTCCAAGTTTCATATATTTTTGGATGCAGATTCTTTCTTTATTTAAATTTAATATTTAAATGATCTCGAGAGCAGTGATTGAGGGAGAAGAAAAACTTGCTGCATAGAATGGTTATCTGAATGACTTCTTCACTCAATATTATGGTAATTTTTGACTTGTGAAGAGAACATTGGATGATCAGGGCCGATCTTGGTCAGTTTGTGACTCGATTAGCAAGAATATTCTGATTCTCTGATTTGCTGTTAAGAGTGACCACGGTCTTATGTCATGTAATTAATAAAATTAAAAATTTAAGAGGTAGATTTGTTAAAAAATGATGAATTAGTTTTAAATACAATTTTTGATTTATTGTTTGGATTCACTCTCCTCCCTGCCAAACCTCTTTATGATTGCACAAAGTCAGCCAATCCCCACATTGATCCTGTCATGATAAATTAAAAATTAAGCTAGATATACGAGTTGGTTCAATTTAGACAGAGCTGGGAAGTCATGTGATGTTTGTTTTCTTCTTGAAATTGGATAGCATCTCATGATCGTTACTTTAGAGAAAGAAGAAAGAAGATTGAGATACAGGCAAACCTTCAATTTACAAAACAAGAAACCTCCGTGTACTCCCAATGAATGCATGCATTTCTGACGATTCACAGTTCGCAATATAGATGAGTTGTACCTCCTCCAATTACGAAAAAAACCTTTCCCACTCTCTCTCAGTGATATACAGTATCGAATTCTATCTGCTGATCAGTGCAAACCAAAATGTGCGTTCAGTTGTCTAAATGATCCAAAGCATTGCGTGCACCATGGAATGCCACACTATGTGAATTCTCTTCGTGTTCCGCTGCTCCTCTCGCATGTTCCCCATGCCACATTCATATCTGTAAGAATGAATCTTCTAATACCAAATTCTAAAGACCTTTCGCCAAGTCTGCTGTGTGAAGGAACGCCTAAAGGACAAGTGACTCATGTCTTCGTCTTCAACTTCATCCGAACAACAAGTATTCATGTTGCCTAAGAAGTGGGATATATGATATTAAGGGGGGCAGACAGCCATGTGATACTCTCCATGTGTACCACATCACTTTTAACTGAGATGAGACTCACCAAACTCGATGATTGGCTTGGGCTTTGATGCCTCTATCACTAATAACAAGTTATGTGAGTTTTACTGAAAATTTTCTCCTTTTCCTCATTATCAGTGCCATGATGGTGATCTATGAGCGATTGCCCAATAGGTAGGGCCAGGAGAACTACTAATGGCCTAAGGTGGCCCCAAAAAATAGTTATAGATCTCTTCGAGTTACATTTCTATTTTTTGCTTCTTGTGATGTATGTGTTGACACCTGTTGTTTGGTTGTCAACACTTGTTGTTCAATGGATTCTTTTAGGCCAACTTCGTGGTCAGACGTGTGTTCTATTTTCTGTTTGGGCTCCAATGTATGAATGCTTGGTTGGTGGTAACTCTCATATTCTAGATTGGATTTCTGCACATCTAGTCGTTTATTTTTTTTAAAGTTTGGCGTATAACTTTGTGGGTTCAAATCTTATCACATTAACTTCATTTTATGTACATTTTATCTTTCATAAATCTACATTTCTTGCATTAGAACTTATACACAAAATCAAATCAAATTCTTGAAGATGTCTTTTTATTTGGTCAAAACAAGAGTCTTGAGCTCAAAACTTTCTGATGCCATAATATCTTAGTCGATTTTACTGTCTTTTCTCTTGCCACTGCTGCTAGGAACTTTTCTTGGCATATTAGAATCAGGGATGTGGCAATATGTAGTCATCAAATCAGGGTCTTCACCTAGTATTGCACATAGGATTTGATGTCTAAGATGGTGACGAATGCAGGTAACATGGTTAATTCAGAAGACAAAGGTAGTTTTGCTGCAAAATATGGATAACAGTATTAGAAAGGAATGGGATGTGCCTCACATATGGATGGGAAACTGAGACAAGAAGTAATTTTTTATTGTGTACTGAAACATTACGTGCAGACTGTTGACTGGGTTACAGGATGTATAGGGATTTTATTCCATACTGCCCAATTTATGGAGAGAATGACGGAACTTTGGTGGAAGCGCAGACATCATATTTACAAGAACTGTGGTGGATGTGTCTAGGAAGTTGACAGATTTTCAATCGCACTATTTCTGAGGTTAGTAACTTCGTGTGGTGTTCACTTGTTTTAAACTTGTGGATTGTAGATTTAAATACTGAATCATACTTTTCAAGGCATCCCCTTGCGAAAAAAGTGCTGTTGGACGGACAGGTCTTTAGGTGCAAAGGCAAGTGAGCACAAAAAATGCTCGCCTTGATCATCTCAGTTGTGTAACTACCTGGTTCTTTCGTGATTTCATTCAGTAAACCATGTATGAATATAATATTCTTTAATCATTCATTCCTCAAGCGTGTTCTTAGCAATCAAGAGTTGTATCTAAAAGAATTGTATTATTGGAGAAATAAATATTGGGGGAGAAGACAGAGGAGAAGAAGTTGGGTTGCGCAATGTGGAGATAAGTCTTTCTCCAATCTAGGTCCGGTCTAATATACCACTGGGCTGGAGGCTGAGTACATTGTTTGGCCCTAGATATTCGAAATCAACCAACAAAAAAAAAAGAGTTACAAAGAATGACTGCTCTGAACAGGTACAGTAGCATCATATTGAATGCCAGCGTGTTTGACCTGATTCGTAAGAGATCTGTGAATAACAGCCAAAAGGAGAGATTCCTCGCGGCCTGTCATAGTTCTGAGGAATACAATTCCGTTTATGTGCACAAAAAAAGAAACATCAGGTGTTCTTCAATTGAAAGCGTACATTGAATTTTGGAGTATCATAATACGTTACATTTTCGTGTCAGAGGATGATGATGCGGGAAATGAATTCATAACTTCCTTAGAGGCCCTCAAATAAGCATTAAATGAATTTTCATAAACTCGGGAGGACCTGTGATAAATATGGTAAACATTCTGGTTCGGTATTGTGCCGTTCATGTATGTCCTCAGGCATCTGTGTTTATCTTTGCTATTCGTGGATTGTTTTATGTTTGCTTTCTGCATTTTATGCATGTCGAATTAATATAATCCTTCCTTTTGTCATTCATTAGCTATGTGATAGTTTCACATTCGTTACTGACACTTGATTATGACAGCTCTACAGTTATTTTACCTTCCCTTTGTTATTGGCTTCTCACCAAGAAAAGATCCTTGTTCAGTTGATAGACTCCCAAGAATGTTCAATTCTGATGCTAATCCTAGTTTTAACCGTTGCTTATCAGATCTCAAAATTATTGAAGCTTTTTCTTGCCTATGAGGTTGACCCTGAAGTGAAGCTATTGATTATGAAGGTATTAGACCAGCACATGCATACACACATTTATATTCTGTAATGTTTTAATGAATTTTGGTCTGCTTTACTTATGTCAACTTATGAACTGTAGCTGTCTCATTTTAGCCCGTGTTGGACGGGAAATCATCTCTAATATATTTGACATGTTAAAAATTTGATTCGGAGTTGTATGTGAATGGGAGACTCATTCAATCAGTCCCAGTAGGTAAGTTTTAGGCCTCTGCGGGCTTGAAAATTGGGGTACACGAAAAATCATGTCAAATCAGTTCTGAATTGTTGAGTTCAAAAGGCTAAATCATTTTCATAAGCCAAAATAAATCTCAGCACATTTTTTGTCAAAATTGTCAAAGTTTAAATCAGATAAAGTAAAGGTTGACACCTGTGGTGAAATAGAGAGCAAAATGCATATCAATCAACCCTACTAGTCGTGTGGATTGGATTTATAAAACAGAACCACATGTACAGCTGTCAACAACTGAAGGCTATGGTTTGATACATGAATAGGGACTAGAAAAAATAATCCGTAGGAATTGTCACTTCTAGTTAAAGAGGTTAGGAAAATGAGTGATGCTAGGAAATTAGGCACAGGAGGTGATGCTCGGAAAGCTAGAGTTGTGCTAGAGGCACAAGAGCACAACTGTCTTTTAGACTTCGGGATCAACACTTGGAAAGTTGCAGTGCCTAAAGTAAGTGCTAAAAGGGGATAAAAACTGGCCGTTCTAATCTGTCCAAGGGGAAATAGCCCTGTCATGGTTTGAAGCCTCATTATATCTGACATGCCGAAGGCTTTCACAAATTAAAAATTCTAAGGCAGCGAAGCTCTCTTACAATCTCACAACGAGGGTAAGAACTCTCCTCAAGGTTCAAGTGAACATTCTAGGCTTGATCCCTCATTCTCAGCTCCATAAGATGTTTTGTAAATGAGAGCTCTTACCTGGTGAAGAAGAAGATATCAAAGTCTGGTAGGTAAGTAGTTATTTCCTATATTTAATAGACTGACAATCACTTATGTAGTGAGTGTGATCAGCAACGATATCTATACCTATAATCCCCTCCATACATAGATTGTAGAATAGATTTTCAGATATATCAAGCCATTTCTAGGGGATAGGTCTGTGACACTAAGTTCAACTGTTTCAGTCCATATACAAGTATACTAAGGAATGTATTAGGATGACAAAAGATACATTGGTGAATATTGCCCATATTTATGTAATACTGTTGTAGTATGGATAAACAAAAACTAAATAATATGTGCTCAATCTGATGTTTAAGCTATGTAGTGTTATGACTCATGGCATGTTTGAACTATCATGGTTAAGAAAGCCTTAAAAACATGGGTCTAAAGTTTCAAGTCCCATTGAAGTCATGGTTAAGAATAAAATAGCTGTTAGTTTCGTCAAGAATCGTTTCAATACGACACAATGAAACACATTGAGTCCAATCGCCGTTATATAAGGAGAAACTTGACTTTGGGGAGTAATGCATCCCGCGTCATGTTCAACAGTTCAAGTGGTAGAAACGTTAACTAAAAACAGATTTAAAATAGTTTGAATTCTGTGAATGAAAAATTGAGCGTGGAAGACATCTATGCATAGGCATAACACAGAGTGTTGTGACATATTTGTTCATGCATGACGAATACATTATATCTGTTGATACATATTTGTTCATGCATGAAGACTTGACTTTGCAGAAATCACGGGGAAGACAAAAAATTTAGTCCTCAAGGAATGAGTAAGGGAACTGCAGTTGATCAAAATAATGACTTTGGCTGGAAACAGTCTCCTTTTACGCTTTGTCCTTATTGAAAATATTTCTAAATTTGCTTAAAATAAAATCTGGCAATGAAAGCTGTTAAAAAGGATTTCTAGAGAATAAGGAAAACATAAACGTAATCAACTAAAAAGAAAGATCTGCTGGAGAGAACTTTTTGCTATATTTATTTCGTGCACGTTTTACTCTTTAGGCCCTTTGGAATGCTTTTTTTGGCCTTTCTCGTTTCCTAAAAATGTGTTCTACATTAAGAAGTCTTTTGTGATCACTATTATTTGGAGTATAAATAAAATATAAGAGGGCTGCCCTGTGTTAGGAGTTACTTTCCTCTGCTGCTCCCTAGGATCTTACTTAAAGGGCTGTGAGCCATCACCTCTCTTAATCTATCTTATTCTCCAGGAGTTCCTTAAAGATATAATCTTTCTTTCTTTCTAACTGATTCTTAAAACATTGAGTTAAAAGGTATTTTTCTTTTTTCTCATAAAATTTTTCTTTTATGGTACAGGGAGAAGGGAGAGCATTTTGTGCAGGTGGAGATGTTTCAGCTGTTGTTAAATCTGTTGTCAAAGGTATCAATCCTTCTCACTTTTTATCAAGTTAAACATAAGACAATTAGTGATATTATTGATCTATTAGATGAAAATTTTCTCAATGATCAGGAAAGCATTAACATATCTACTTGAACCTAGCGCTTTTAAATTAGATTTCAGTGTGCACCGTTGATTTTCCATTTTTAGCTAGCATTCCAAAATGCTATTTCACTAATGTTTTGATTGAAAAAATCCAAGGAACATGATTCTTTGGTATATTTGTGAACTCGAACCAGTCATTTATTCTCCAGATTTCTCCGGATTGTGGAATAGTATATTCAAGGAAGTGACATGATTTATGAAGTATTGCCCAAATCATGAACTGAGAAGCAGGTAGGCCTTTGGTTCAGTAAAGATCAATTTTTCAACAAAATAACTCGGGTTTCTTCTTTACCTTCCATTCAATGGTGTCCATCTGCATGGCTTGGAAAATTCATAACAATTTTCAGATAAGCGATGGGTCATTGTAAATGTCTTTTTGGTGTCTGTTTGGGATGTTCAATATTGTAATATCTTCAATATGACATCTTTCCATGTGATATTGTTCATCAGATCACTGGAGTCATGGTGCAAATTTTTTTCGGAATGAATTCGTCTTAAATTATATAATTTCAACATACAGTAAACCCCAGGTATTTTATTTTTGTAGCAATTTATTATTATTGATATGAAGTATACATGAGTTTCATTGAGGTTATCATGTTCACATTCTTGAGCATACTAAGATACTGGAAAATTCTAATATTTTATTAAACGTCTGAAGGTTTCCATTCTCAATGGAATTGTTATGGGCGGTGGGGCTGGTGTCTCCATACATGGGAGATTTCGAGTTGCTACTGAAACTTCGGTACTAAGCAAAGTTTATAGCTTGTTCTATCTTTGTCTTGACTTACCATCAAAACTTATTTACTGTACTTTGCATGAGCCTATCCATAATTGTGACATATTTCTGTTTGATTTCTAGTAGTTATTAGGGCTTTCTTTTTAGGAGAAGTATTTCTGTTGTAAACAGTTTACCTTCATATTTTCAAAACTATTTCTGTAAGGTCAAATATATTGGTTTCTTCAAGCTCCCTCCATTCTACCTTCAGTTATCGTCTGATCATTCCTTTGTATCAGCCTATCCATAATTGTGACATATTTCTGTTTGATTTCTAGTAGTTATTAGGGCTTTCTTTGTAGGAGAAGTATTTCTGTTGTAAACAGTTTACCTTCATATTTTCAAAACTATTTCTGTAAGGTCAAATATATTGGTTTCTTCAAGCTCCCTCCATTCTACCTTCACCATCTTCCTCAGATCCTTGAATTGTGTCAAAGATGGGAAACTTAGCGATCCCTTCAATCTTCCTCGTCTTCATCTCTGTGGCAAAATATTTCTGAGAAGGCTCCCAAATCATTACATTGAAGTTGACGACCATTGACGTTACCCTTTTGGGGCTTCTTTGGGGGTGGGCGGTGGGGGAAGGGGGGGGGATCCACGATTGTTCTCCTCTATGAGAAAGGAGACAATCAACCACCGTGATTTCTGTCCTACTATTATTATGGATTCTAGGATCATGTAGAGTGGCCAAGTGACTGAATTAATGGACAGGATGCAAATCCGATTACATATAGAAAGTGTTACTATTGTGACTGTATTTATGAACTTTATAAAAATGAAGATTTTTGGATGTAAAATAAGGATACAGAAAAGAAGCCTTGAATATCGCCTGTGTGCAGGCTGTTATCTTCACGTGTATTTGTTCTGCAAGTTAAGTGCTTGCTATCATGTAGACAAGGTGGATGATGGGTATCCTTTGAGGTTTTGCTAGGGTATTATAAAGCCATGTAAAGGTTTTTTTTGTGTGTTTCTGCTTACACTAGTATTTGACGTGCCACACTCTTTTCACATGAAAGTTGTTTTCTTGTGGATGTTGTAGGCAAGGTGGATGATGGGTGTCCTTTCAGGTTTTGCTAGGGTATTATAAAGCCATATAAAGGTTTTTTTTGTGTTTCTGCTTACACTAGTATTTGATGTGCCACACTCTTTTCACATGAAAGTTGTTTTCTTGTGGATGTTGCACACTTAGTGCCATGTTAGATAGCCAACCGTGTCATCCAATGTTACTTTGCCACATGAGTACAGGCTTGTCTGAGCCGCAGCCTCCTTAGTACATAATGAAATAAATCACTCTCCTCTGCCTACCACTCGATCATTTTGATGTCCTGGTTAAATCATTTCTGCAGCTGCACTTCTTGGTAGTTCGATTGTGAAACCATCTATTCCAAGATTCTCTGTTTTAATTAGAGTTGTAGGCCTGTAGTGCCTACATGAGGTTGGTCTTTACCTTGGCTTGTATGGCATTTACACTATCCAGTGTACATAAGATAGAATAGTGGTCTTCCATTGCACAAGGATATCCATGTGAATGATTATCAACTTACATCTCATGATAAACGTCATGAACTCGCATGTCCCTCTTGATTGTTTGATCATTGGTTGAATAGCTTAGTTCTACCTTGTTTAAGTCTTTCTTGTGGAATTCACAACCTTGATTTGGGTCATGTCCTCCAAGGGCTATCCCACAAGAGAAACCTTAGATGTGACCTGAACAGTGGTCAATTAGAAAGAGGAACATCAGTAAAATAAACCCTAAATTATTGCCAATGGAGTGACTGGCTTGCGCACTTATGCTCTTGGGTACTCTAAGGAAGAAGAAAAATTATTGCCCTATGGAAACCCCCCCCCCTCCCCCCCTCCCCCCCCCAATACCCATGAATGGTTTCTTTCCTTTTTTTTTTTTTATCTTCAACAATAGTCAAGAAAGAGGATGAAGATAGCATTGTTAGCCCTAAGAAAGAATTATGCAACTAGAATAGAAGAAATAAATTCATAGGGTGAAAAGCCTCAAACGAGAAACATAATAGGACGATCAACTCCACACCTACTCCATTCCGCACACCACACCCACATTAGGATTTTGACGATTATGCAACCTACAGGCTTGCTTTCTAAATGTGCAATCAAAATCTCACCATAAGCCGAGTTTTGTTTGGTAGCAGTCTTTTAGAATACAAGGAATTAGGGAAAAGCAAAATTTACAGCTTAAAAAACTGTTTCGCAACAGTAAAAAATACGTTTTAGTAACTTGGAAGTTTTATTGATCTTGAATAAAGTTTCTTTGTACCAACAATGCTTGTCCTTCTGTAGCACTTTTGAAAGAGAAACTTGAATCCAGTAAAATTTTAAGTGGTTTTGTCTCTTGCATTTTTCCTGGCTGCTTTTCACCACAAGGTCTAATATATAAGTTTTGCATGTGGTTTAGGTAGTGGCTTGAGGGAACCTCATACTTGATGAAAATAACCATCTATTTCTTTCTATTTCAGTTCTAGTTATGGCTTCACGCATAGAGGGTGTTAACAGCTGTCGAAGAGTGGTCCACACTTTCTTTTCACCAGAAACTTTGGGTCAACGTCATGACCAACTATGTTCATTTCGAACTTGATGTGTTGCTAATTTCATCAAGTTAATGACATCAAGGCCAACATTTAGATCAAAAGCTAATTTTCTGCATATAATAACTTGGTGTTTATATAACTCTTCCTATAACTCCTCAGAGTTGAACCTTGTTATATTGAATTCATTTTTTAGCTTATTTTTAAAATCTAATCCCTTCATCTCTTAGCCTAAAACTCAAAAACAAGGTCAGGATAAGCTAACTAAACACGTGGTTTCAAAAAAGGACGAGCATCCATGACCTTATTTTTATGACACCATTAAGAATATTAGTTATCTTTAGGGACCCCTTTCAACAGTTAATTCCCTTTGAACAGGCATTGAGCGCCAATGAGAAGGTCTTTCTGGTATAGTTTAAGAAGAGATTTTTGTCTTTGTTTCCAATCAATTTGAATCCTTCTATTGCACAGAATGTATGCTAATACAACATTTAAAAAATCTTTATTAGCGCTTTTCAAGTGATATTCTATATAAACCTGAATTACTTTTGTAGATGGCATGCATTTCTGACATTCTATATTTGTAGGTATTTGCTATGCCTGAAACAGCACTGGGACTATTCCCAGATATTGGTGCTTCCTATTTTTTATCCAGGCTGCCTGGTAACTTTGGTATGCTACATCCGAAAACTTCAATATTTCCTCTTCATTAGAGTCACTGCATTCTCCTGAGATATTGATACGTTGTGGCTAAAGTTTTTTTTACTTTCAAATGTATATTCGGAGATGTTCTTTGCTTTTTCAGTCATCAGCAAGAAATTGTTTTTCATCACGCTCATTCTTCCAATTTTAATCATTGTTATTTGTCTTGAATGTATGTTTCTTATCGCACTTGTACAAAATGTCCACTGGTGATTTCATGGCAGGTGCTTTAATATACTATTTATCTTTAGGTAAGAACGAAAACAATTGCCATGGGTGGATTTAATTTGTAGTTAGAAACATAGCCATGCCTTTCATTGCCGATTTTATTGGTTCATTATTCCTTTCTGTCAAATGTCCATCCTCTACATGATTAATAACTTTCAAGGAGTGGAGTTATAACTTTCTCCTTTTTACTTCACCTAAGGGTAAAATACTGTATTAGCATACAGTATTGGTTGGCAAATACGTCTTCCTTTTGTTCTAGAATTCTCCTTGTTGTCAGCTCATGTGTTAGACTTGATTTCCCTTTGAGACGTTGTTGAGGGTGAGCCTTCCCTTTGGCAGTAACTTTTTCAATTTTCCTATTTAGGAACGTGTATAGGTGATGTGATATAAGATATTTTTGCTGGTACCAAGGCATTGCCTTTCATTTTGATAGTTGATCCTTTTCCATAATACATGGCAATTACTTATCTGCTATTTTTCTAGTTGGTTTGTTGTAAATTATCATTCATTTTTGTAACTCTTACAGGAGAATATGTGGGTCTCACTGGTGTAAGGCTAGATGGCGCTGAAATGCTTGCGTGTGGCCTAGCAACACACTTTGTGCCTTCCACGGTAGCTAGAAATTTCCCCTTAGAAGTAGTGATACTTTTCAATTTATAGAACTGCTTTTTTTCGTTTTTAGTCATAGCATTTAGCTCGTATAATTTTTTTACCTTTAGTTTCGAGAATCGCCCACTCTATCATTTTTCATGTTTTTCCATTACCTTTGAGAAATTTTCCTTCACATCCCTTCATTAATGATTGAAGAGCATGTGCTTGAGTTAAGGAATAATTTAATTGTGCAATTACAGAGGCTATCTCTGCTGGAAGAGTCATTTATCCAGAAGGCTCCATCAGATCCAGAGGCTATTTCTGCAGTTATTAACAAGTTCTCTGAACTTCCATCTTTGAAACAAACAAGTGCTTATAATAGGTGAGAATAATGACGTCTTTGATATATTTTCCTTTCTCCTTGTTAAACTAGATCCTCAAATTTTATATTCTATTCAACTTTTAGATTTAATACTAGATTTACATAACAGCAATAATGGATATCACACCATTGCATCATTGCTAGGAAGATACAAGCTTTTTGGCCCTGAGTTTTTGCTCTGAGAGGGCATACACGAACATCCAATTTACGTGCCTAGTAGCTCTGAGCATCATGTTTGGGCCACAAGAAGGAAACTATGTTCCATCATAAGAAGCCTCAGATGGTGGAAAAAAATATCCTTACTGTCAAAATATGCATAATCTGATTTCTTTGATTATGTCAAGTGGAATATGTGCAATAAGGCCATTCTTGATTAAATCACATCGCAATAGTTCAAAGTTTTGAACAGTAGTACGATTACAAGGTCATATGACCTCTTTTTCTATTTGTTCTTTTAAGATAGTGCCTGGAGGAATTTGTCTATAGTTGAGAGACTTATCCTCTTGTTCTAAAGTCATGGATCTTGTTCCCTTAGACAACTCTAATGTTGCCGTGGATTTAAAATTATGCTCAAATAATACAACTCTTGATTTTGATGAGCCAAATTTACATATGCTGATATATGGCATAAAAACTGTTTTGTTTGATGTAGGACCGAATTTTGACAAATACGATTACTAAAAAAAATGAAACCTAGCAACGGTCGATAGTGAAAATCGAAATTGTTGCAGTTTTTTCTCCATAAGATCCTATTGTTTCGGATTATCTTGTAAATAGTTTCGGATTTTTTTTTTGTAGATTCTTTGTTTTAGGTATATTTGGCGGTGGTTTCTATTTTGTAGTATATCTAGAAATAGCTTTTCTTATTTTAAGAAGAGGGAACACGAGAATGGGATTTTTTTGTCCTGTTAATTTTCTGTCCCTGTGGATTCAATTTTTTTTCTCTTTTCTCTTGGATTCCAATGTCATAAATGACAAAGTATTTTAGTACAAGATTCGATTGTCAATACTTGCTCAAGGGTTGACAATTGATGAGGAAATAGTGCATAGAGTGCGCAAGTGTTGGCTCCGAACATGACAAGGCTAAAAAAAACAGCTGTTTTCTCACAATTCGAAGCATGATTTTTTTAATAGTTTCTGATGATTATATACTTTAAATAGAGGGATTCACATGCTTCTAAAATTCTAAAATTCCATCCCTAGAATTCAGACAAGGAGAAAATAAATCATAAAAATAAAGCTATGGTCAATGAAGATTGTTGTCAAGACTGAGATAATAATCAAGTTCCTGCCACAAATTCTTTAACTCTCCTGCAGATTCTATCATAGATTTACTCCCTTGTATCGTAGACATCGATTTTGTCTCAAGTTTATGTATATGAGCCTCATTATTTTTCTGTGAGAATTTAATGTGAACCGTTTCTCATAAATCTTTGACTGTGGCTAGGAAGAAAAAATCATGGCTAATTTGGGGAATCATTGTTCCCAGAGCCAAGTTTTGATTAGAGCATCCTCTTCTCTCCATCTTTGAAATTCATGTGACAATGAATCTTGTTTCCCCTCTTATTAAATGATGTACCATTCCTCTTCCAGTCAAAACTTCACGAATATATTCTGACCATTGTATCAGATTATATCCGGTTAATTTGAACTCTGCAGGCATTGCAGGAAGTTCTACGAGTAATCTTGTGCCACCAGAGACAAGATTAACTTCTCTCATGGAGGCTGAATCTCCCCCAGAAGATGAAGCAATGTCTCCTATATTTTTCATTTCAAGGAAAAAAACAGTCAAATTCACGAAAAATAGATTTCGTGAACAGATCTCAATCAGAGACAATAAAAGGACGATACAGAGACCATAGCAGAAGAATCAATAAGTGTGGAAGTGAATTCGAGAGATTGCATCTGGATTCGCTCTAGGGAGATACTGCAGAAACGAAGAGTCCAGTGCTGGAATAGCTCGATGCCAATAGCTCCAGCAGAAATGAAGTGTCCATTGCCGGAAGAGCACAGTGTAAAGAGGAAGGGATTTTAAACCCTAACCTTGCTTTGATACCATGTAGATGGTATGATCCTCAATATGGTGTGCACCCTCAGGAGGAAAGAAACTTTATTTGATATGAAAAAATCAACTGTACAAAGAGGGACAGAGTTTAGTATTTATACCAGATCTCTTGAAAGTTCTAGAGCCATTAACATAGATGCAAACACATAAGGGCATATCTGCCAGCATGTAAAGTATACAGGGTTTAGTTATCACATAAGGGCATATCTGCCAGCATGTAAAGTATACAGGGTTTAGTTATTAAGTCCTCTCGACAACAAAGATGGAATTAAGCTTGGAGATAGAAAAATGCCTTTTGCCATGCATCCTCGATTGATGTGGGCTCGTGCTTCAATTGCCAAGTTTAGTATGAATGAAAGGCTACATCACTTCATGCTCTCAAAGTGTTCCAAGTGTTTTTTCCACTTTCAAGCTATACCTCCAAAGTGTTATGGTTCCATAGTGGTTTTAGAGGTCATATGATTGTTTAATTTTCAGGATTCTTTTAGTTTAGACAACCCTGTTGTTTAATAAAGCTAGTTCATAGAAGAAAATAGGAATGATAAATCTGAAAACTAATGTATAGTACGTTTAAGAGAAACATCGTAAATACATCCAATATGAGGCTTGGAGAGTGGAGCTAACAAGGTTGAACTAAATTATTGAAAATATTGTACGCCATTGTAGTTTGTGTTTCTATTGGAATTGTACTCTAGCATCGGGATGATTATCAAAAAAGTTTAGCCTCTTTTAGTTATCTGCAAAACCAAGCCCTTCTTCAAGCCTAACTCTATGCATGCGTGTGCTTGTGACATCTTGGCTACCATTTTCTTGAGAAGGTTAAAATGCAGTTGAACCTGGGAAAAAGTGTGTCAAAGCAATGCTTAGTCCGCCATAGTTAACACATTGAGTAGGCGTGTATAGTGCACTGTACGCATTACAGGCTGTTTATTTGGGTAGGGGAAAATAATAAACTTCAATAATGATGCTTATTTTGGGAAAGATAGTCAGAACAGAGTTGCATTTTTTTCTAAATAATCATGGAAACTAGCTGTTTATCTGTGTCAAACAGTATGACGGTCATGCGTTAATTTAAATGTGCATAAGAGAGTATTACCTCTCCATTTACATATATATAAATCAAATAGAGATTCTATGTCTCTGCAGTTGTCTGTGTAATCTGCATGTCGTTGAATTGTCTATAGTTCACATGTAGTCATTGTGATCGTTCATAGTGTTTGCCCTTCCTGTTACAGGCTTGATATAATTGACCGCTGCTTCTGTAAAGGAACAGTTGAAGAAATTATATGTGAACTTGTAAGTTGAATGTCTTATAAATCTCTAAGCTCTATTTGTCACGCAGTCTTTGTATTATATATGTAAATTCAAATGCAAAAGGTCCATAATGGTACGTTCAGAATATCCATAGTGTATGAAATCATGTTGGTAAGGTTTATTGGCGAATCTTGTGTGGACAAACATTGGTTCCGGGGGTTCTTCTTTATTTTGGGTATAATCCTCATTGTATATGGTTTTGATGAACCTTTCGAATTTCTGAATGAATCGTAATGTCTCTTGAAGGGTGTTAGCAGGTTTTCTTTTTTTTAAGTGTGTAAAATGAGAGTTTTTCTCTCATTATAATTTATAATATGCTTCAATCTCTTTTTAAAACTATCTTATTACTATAAGTGAGAGAGTTTCCTCACAAAATGTTTACCATTTCTTTCTAGCTACAAAGGATAATGTCTGGACATCGTTCTCAAGTACAGGGGCCACATAAGTGCTTGTTCCCTACTATCAGCAGTATATAGGAAATGTCCGCCCAATTAAGAGGCATTTGTCCATGTTTCGCATCTCTTTTTCTCCCTTCACATTTATAAGAACGAGGGTTTCATCTCTCTAGTCGGGGGATGAGGGTTTATATTGTACTCCCTATCTCGTAGTTAATGAAGAATTGCCTGCAATCTCTTTTCGTGTTTACAATGACAGTGTTTTCCTCATTGCCTTTAAACAAGTTGGCATTTTCATGGGATTGGGTCACTGCACACTCTCTTTACCGGATGCTGATATGATCTGTGACTGACGGGATCATCATGCGGACAATTGTCCTATATATTTCATTTGTAATATGCCAATGACCGGATTCCGGTAGCATATTCAAGTTCTTCTTGAGTAATTTTTGAGATTTATGCATCTTGAAGCTAGTTGTCTCTGTACTTTCGTACCTCATTGCAAGTTAATCGACTATATCTTGTCTCTTCCATTGCAAGTAAGGTGTCACTCAGGATTCCCATGGCTTCATTATTGTTTTTACTTTTACCGAAGCTCAGATGATCTAATGATGTATTTTACTCACAAGTTGCTTGTTTAACATGATTTTTTGAATTTGTATCATTTTGACATATAACCTGTAACTTGACTACACAAATCAAAAGAGAAGGTTTTGGGGTACATTATGTGAAGTGTTTTCTCATGGATACAGTTAAGAATTGATTGAAGTCGTTGCTGGGATTAGGAAGGGTGTCTTGAAATCGAAGTGCTTTCAGACTAGGAGTAAGACAGAATACTTGAAGCGCATGTTTTATGTGAAAATAAGGCAATGTGTTAATTACTTGGTAAATCACGGGTTTAGAAAAAAATATCAATTCTGTTGTCCCCAAGACATTATGAAGTTGTGACCCTTTATTCTAATAAGATTATTTTAAAATAGCTCAGTTTTTCGTAGATATTTTCTTCCATTCACTTTTATATTTGTGGTCAGTGTCGATTGTGTGATGGTCGACAATGCTAGAGTTTTTGACGGTTCGTTTTTTTTATTTACACCTTTCTTGTATGATCACAGATCCTTCTGCATGCCACTATTCTAACAATGAACATGTTCTGAATTGCTGTTAATCTATTTTCTTTCGTTCTTTTTTTATCCAAATGAGCCATGGCTGAGTGTCGTAAATCCCAGATATGGGTTCGAGTTATCTCAAAGTAATCTCCCGCTTTTCAGCTCATGCACTTGGTCTGTGTCTCAATTCCCTCCTAGAAAGTCCTCACTACGCACAGTATAATGTATGGGATTGATCTATTTCCAGTCAGTTCAGTGGAGTTTCACTTTTTTTTCGTATGGCTTCACGCATGAGAATAGTAACTATTATGTTGCATCATCTTGAAGTTATGCTCGAGATGCTCCATTCTTTTGGATTTCTCAATGCCTCCTCTGATGTTTTTTCCCTTCCCCACCCATTTGGCTCCTTGATTTCTTTCCTTATATTTTCGTTATACCGCCGGAATCTTATTGAGATCTTTGCTGACAGTTCTATTAAGCGTTTAAGGGATGCCTCTTATTTTCCTGATATGGTCTTATCTCTCCGCCTTATGTTTCTTCACTTAGTCAGTTCCAATAATAAAAAAGTTTATCAAGTGTTCAATAAGCTAATATCTTGACAACTATATGGATGCTACATTGTTAATTTTTCACAGTACTCTTGAACTCAAAAACTCACCTCAACATACATGCAACATTTGTTCTTTTGTGTTTAGAAGTTATTGTTACCCTCACAAGTTCAACATTAAGTTTTCCTTCCGTCAGCCTTAAACTATCAAATTTGAGGTTGGCTTTTTTGGAATCATCAATTTTCTTTCAATATTGCCTGTGGTATTTTGTTATCTTTGTCCTCACTCCTATCCTCTTCCTTTTCTGCTCTAGATATGCCAGATTGTTCTTACTTCCTTATCCACATCTTGGTTACCGCAGGAGCTAGAAGCTAGGAGTTGCTCTGACGAGTGGATTAAAGGAGCAATTCAATCATTAAAGAAGGCATCACCTTCGAGTCTTAAAATTTCTCTCAGATCGGTAAGCATCCGATTTCTTGGTGGGGAAAACATAGTCTTTGTTTATGAATTCTTCACATGTAATCATCCAAGATACCCTGGAGATTATGCACTTCAGTTTTCATGGACAACTTAAGGACACTTCTGGTAATATGGTATAATTTAAGAGCCGCATACTGCTGCAACTTTTTCACCTTGTTACCTAGCACTAGCTGCTTCACACAGTATGGGATTGATGGAATTTTACCGTTCTGACCATTTCAATCCATAACTAGGTAGTTTCATGAACCATGCTGTTTTAGGACATCCTCTTCTATCCCAAGATGACAAAATTTCCTAGAATATTTAGATTCCTTAGGGCTTTCAATCCACTATGGAGGTTTTGTTATGAAATTTATGTGGTCCAGAGATAATGCTATGGTTCTCCTATGTCACTCTAAACAACAGTGATCGAGATTGAAATTGCCATTTTCTCACGATGGATCATTTCCTGCCATGACTAAGAACTTTCCTTCAACGGAAATGTTGGATTAGATTTTTTGTGTGCCTACTACTATCTATGAACCTTGAAATCATTTGCTTGGGGAGGATAAAACCTATTTATTTCTATGTCATCCAAAATATTCTTGCTGGTCTGAGAAGCATCACATGTTTCTGTTGACACAGAAACCTAGGGATATCACATGGTGTTTCTAAAAGCATGTCCAACAAAGTTACTTGCCATGAGTATACATCTAATCCATCTCTAGGACAGATGCATTATTTTCTCTCAACAATGGGAAGAAATGGTAGTAAATCATAAATATGGAAAATTGGATAATTAGTTTCAATTTGCCCATAATGGAAGGAAAGAAAATAGTCCTTGAAATGGTGTGTGGAACGTTGCTGATTATTTCTTTTAGTTTGTTTCGAGAGGTCTGCTATGCCTTTTCTTCAGAACCCAGATGATTAGAAAATTGATGATTATATAAAATTTTACTTTCAGCGTGTCATTGCCATAATAGTAGATATTCCGTGTTCATAAACATGAAATGAGATGTTTACAAAGTGGAAACAATTTTGATGCGAGGAAACAAACGTCATAGACTAAACTATGAAATGGTTGATGACGATTGCTTTCAGTGATTCGGCACAAGACCTCAATTTCCTTTTACTGGGACACAGAAAATGACTGTCCTATTGAGATAAACAATCAATATGGTAGAAACTACAATATAAGTATATAATTCTGGTAACCAGAGCACAGAGAAATAAAAAAAGGCGTGTAGTTCATAAAATGATTAGTACTTGGTTAAAATCCGCCCTTTTTACGTATCAAATTAGAAAGATGCACTGCCTAGAAGTTGTCGTCTTTCAGACCAAGGTCCTGCAAAATGCCGAAGATATCCTCTACATGGTGACTTGTTAGTGACGACGTGTGTGTATGGGCTTTGCTCTCCCATGCATGTGCTCCCTTATGGCTTGTGCATTTCGTATCAATAAGAGAAGAAAGGAACATATCCGTCTACACATTATCATGCTACAGGGTATTTTCAAAAACAAGGATGGTTGCAAAGGGGCTCGATATTTGTTAAATATTATTGTAATGGAATGGATATTTTAGCCTAGTAAAGTTTTAAATGCAAATTTTTGGATGGGATGGTGAGTGGAAGAAACACATTACAATGCATAGTTCAATGATCCATACCTTGACTACCTGATAAAATTTCTTCCTCCTCCGAGATAAGATATCCCAAAATTATTGTCTCGATCCGTAATTAGGGGTTGACAAGCTGATCGTCAGAAGGCCATCAAAGATGGATCGTATGCCCATGATTCCGTAGCTCAATATATGCCAAAAATCTGTATTTTTCCAATAAATTGCGCAATAAAAACTCTTTCTCTCTTCCTTGCCCCAATATCTGCATACCTCCAGATGTCCAGTTTTCAGTTTGTCTCACGGTGAATGATGAAGTATCATCTGCGACCTCCATAGTCTAAACTTAGCAGTAATGGTGTGCCTGAAAACTCTGGTTCCAACTTAGTGGCTACTTATCACTCGGTTCAATGATATTACTGCATTGATTAAAACTTTTCTTCCTCTGGGTGGGTTCTCATGGTTCAATAATTTGGGTTATCACAGATCCGAGAAGGAAGGTCTCAAGGAGTTGGCCAATGTCTTATCCGAGAATACAGGATGGTTTCTCATATTCTTCGAGGAGAAATCAGCAAGGATTTCTTCGAGGTGCATACTATTCTTTATCGAAGGTATTGATTCATGCTATCCTTGATGATCCATCTCACTCAACACCAGGTCTGGCATGCAGGGTTGTAGGGCCATACTAGTTGACAAAGACAAGAATCCAAAGGTCGGCGCCCTCATTATCTGCATAATTGCTAACAGTCGTTTACATTCCTCTTCACAACTACGTATTATTTACTATTTAGTCGGTCTAATATATCTTGCTTTTTTTCTAGTGGGAGCCTTCTAAATTGGAACTAGTAAGTGAGGAGATGATCAGTAAGTACTTTGCCCCTGTGGATGATCCAGAATGGGAAGAGTTGAGTTTCCCTCGACTGAGACGTGGCACGGGCAGGTCGAAGCTCTGAAGTGCCACCCACTCTGATCTGTACTCCAACCTGTACATTTTGTTCATCATGGGTTGGCTTGGCTGGCTGGTAGTAGAGTGCATAGCCGACGTCCTCCTTCCACCTACCAGTCTGAATCATCTGCAGTGGAATGTGAATGAGAAAGGCTCTATGGATCAGAATGTTCATTCATGAATAAGGCTCATCCATCTTCTTCGCGTAGCAATTATGCCCACTGAATAAATAAGCTTGTACTAGACAGTGAAAAATACTGTCGAAATAGTTCCACCATGATGTCCACTCGCTGATCTTTGCCCAAGTGGAACGTTAGATTAGTACCTGGGTCTTCATGATTGTATTTTAGGCAACCAAATTATCAAATAAATTGAATATATATATATATATATATATGTATATATGTGTGTATGCATATATGGAAATGTTCATGGACTGAAGACTATTGCGTTACTTCTGCCCTTTTCAAAGGTGGAAGTCCATGTAGAGAGTAAAAGCGGAGATTGCGTGTGTTAAGAAAATGTCGCCTGGGATGTTGTTCATCCTTGGATCTCTGTTGACCGCCAGAGAGAGACCCCTCTTGTATGATACTGTGACCCCGGGATTAAAATCTCAAACTCTGGCCTAATTACGAGGGTGTAGGCTGAGACTTGGACCAGAGCTGGGCGAAAGGCCTGGGCTTGACCCATTAATGTCTATCTTGGGCCCCTATAAGGCGTTGACTCCTGCTTCTGGAGAAGGCAGAAGAACAGCGTTCAGGGTCTCCGCGCTGTCTCTCTCTCCCATCCTCCATCGTCATGGGGGAAGAGGAGAGGGACGTGGAGATCACGGTGAAGAGAATAGGGCCAGGGCGCCCTACGAAGATGCATATCCCTTCCGCAGTGCGAGTAGGATTCTCCAACAAATCCTTTTCCCCTCTCTCGTGGGTTATCGGTTTGCCCGGTTTTCATGGTACTCCTGATGGTAGGTTCTCGAGTTGAGGAGGATCGTAGCGGCAGAGAGCGACATTCCCGTGGAGGAGCTCAAGCTGATCCTCCGGGGACGGACGCTCTGTGACCAAGGGATTCGCGGGGACGACCTCGTGGTCAACCTGAAGGATGGAGGTTGATTGCATTTCTTCTCATCTTTTACCTCTTTTTATTGCCAGTAAAGTAAATATTGTGGTCGATATCTGTTTATTTGTCTAAAATTTGTGCTGCTGAAGGCTCCCCGTCTTTCCTGTTGCCGATCCTGTCGAAATATGACTGTCAGGTTCACTTTGTGTTATTGACGAACATGCATCTTCAATTATTCATCTATTCTTGACATCTGATGATGTTAAATCCATTTATCAGCTTTTGATGAACATCGATTTGGGGTTCTCACTCTGAATTTAGTTACGAGGGAATGCGTTTTTTTTTAAAATAGTTTGTGTGGCCGATTAGACTGCAATTTCACGTAATAATAGGTGAAGCCATTTTTGAGTTTCTTTAACCTTGCAATCTAAAATACTCCAGTGAAAGGCTTTTTTGGCTGACTTACATTCCTTTTCAGATACTAGAGCGCATGAGGTTCTGTTTCCCATTCAATGCCATGTTGATTAAGGTTTTGATATGACCTGTGAAGGAAAAAATTTAGTTGGAAACTTGATGTCAGAATTTTTTTTTATTCTGGGCATTATTGGACCTGTTAAGATCGTTGGAAACTTGATGTGGAACATAATTGCATGAAACGTGGAATTCCCACAGAGTGCAACCTTAAAGGCTCGAGTGGGTTAAAAACGGATGACCCATACATTTCAGTATGCTTTCTCCCCCAGATCCATTGTATTAGGATATTTCATTTATATTTTGTCTTTTATAGGAGATACCTTTCCTTTGGACTTTTCTATTAGCAAATCCTACTTATGAGGAGATTCCAAATATTTTTTTCTATTTAAAGAAGGAAAAAATGTAAAGGGAGACAATTTTTGACCCAAAGCCTTGTTTTAGCTCTCTCCTTGTGGTTCTAGGAACTTTTTGTGGATTAAATGGACCCCCTCTCTTAATCCTTCTGACTCAAGGATCCCCTCTTCAGCTCCTTGTGGATTAAAGGATCTTTCTTTTCGTTCTTAGCAGGTCCAAGATTTTATCTTCCTTCTGCTATGTCAACTGGTATCAAAACAAGTGTATGAGCTCAAAAACTTTAACATAGAAATTTCAGAAAAGAGAGTACCCTTGAATCCACAAGGAGAGAAAGGGATCAACAACTTACTTTGATATTTTGTCCTTGTGTAAATATGAAAAATTTAGTTCTAGATCTCCTGAAAAATAGAACCTGCTAGTGAAAAAACCTAGAACATATGACTCCTCAGAAGAAAATACAAAAAAAGTAGCATAGAAAAAGGAATCTTGTAGCTATAAGAGTACAGCATTTGGGCTGTCCACGATTCACCTGTTTGGGCCTTTTTCAGCTACAGTTTTTGGGTCTTCATTATTTCTTTCGATTCTGTTCTACTTTCACAGCTCTTTCTTGCCAGAAATTAAAGTTGGTCATTCGCTTAACACTTACATACGGTGTGTTGAAATCAAGTGGATCAACTAATCTCAAAAGTATTATATTTTATATCATCTTCACTGAATACGGACCACAACCGATTGTGGGATAGTTTTGATTATCATGTTAAAAATGTGGTTCATTTTCTCTTAGATTTTAAAGTTTTTTGTTGTTCTTTATGCCTAACTTTTCTTGTGTTCAACGACTTTTTCAGAAACCATTATCTGTTTGCATAATTTAAATATCTTGGGCCGAACTATCAAGAATATATAGTCAGCGTAATAGGTAATACTATCTCTGGAATTTCATCACAATACAGATGGAGAGAGGACCGTAGAAGGGAGCATGCACAGGCAAGTGAAGTGTAGGCCAAATGGGATACGGAATCCATCTTCAATGATGACTGCTAACCAAGTGACCGAGTTCTCGATCCGATTCTGTACTAAGGATGCACCATCAGGGTTGCTGCTTATTAGTGCTTTCAGAAGGCTAATGGACGTAGGACGATACCATTATCGATCTCAGATGGATGTCAAAGTATGGCTGTTGCTGGCAAGAGTACTGGTATAGTCTTGAAAGGGGCAAACGACCTGTGAGAGTGTCACAAGATTGGATGCAACAATGAGGGATTATCATATTGCTTGCCTCAGTGATTTTGATTTTGAGGAATTTGAGATAATTGTATTTTATTTGTCCCATTGGTGGGCATCGTTGGTTCATTATATCTGGATTCCCTAATGTTCAAATGGAAAAGTTTTCTTGTCATATCTAAATTTGGATCACCCGTCAGTGTTTGTTTGTGGTAATCGCTGTAAAGAATTCCTGCTGAGTTGCAATGAGACTCATTAGCATTGTGGCACTTTCACTGAACTGGTAGATCCAATGGTGCTTGAGGTCGAAGTTCGGGTGGGGCATGGCAGATGTAGATATTGGGGGTTATGGGGCACGTAAGCTGTTGCATGGTGGCATATCAGAAAGGTTAAAGTGAGATCTCCTGTCTTCCTTTTCATAGGTGTTGACATAGTGATGAGGCATTGAATTGATAATTAATAGATAAAGCAGGTTGACAGAAACAGCCATATGTAACATTTAAGGATTCCTTCTTAATCAATGAATTTCCCAGGAGGCAATTCGCATGCGTTCTTCTTGTTGGAGGTCTATTCGCAATAGTATGCATTTTATTTGTGATTGTTTAGGTACGTTCCTTACAGGCAAACATTGCCGAAATTAGGAGCAAAATACTGGCTGTGCACCAGATTCAGAGGCTGTTAGAGGAAAATTTGGAATTGTCATATTACGCGCAATAATATTCTTAATCCTCATATTCTAATTGTTTGAGACATGAAAGGCATAAAGAGATACAGGAAGGTAATGAAAAATCTTTGCACTGTACAAGAAGGAAATAAATATCTATCTGGCCGTCTGTGCTGCACAAATGTAGGCTTCAGTGTTTATTTTTGTGCCTTTGTTGTTGCTAATACTTCATCAACATTAATACTCTTCCAGACTCTTTGATTGCTGCTGTCATTCCAAAGCCACCTGCTCAGTACATGCGTGAAGGATTGGATGAAGACGATGATGATGAACTGGTTAGATGTACTCATAACTATACTAGAAAATCGATTTTCCTTTATGAATTCGTTGAATTACAATTTTACCTTTTACTTTATTGTACTCAGAAGTTTCAAATTCCAGAGACCACGAACTGGTGGAAGAAAAGTATCTTCACCTTCCTCCAGAAAAAAATGAAGTTTCCTGGTATCCAGATGCTTAATCACAATTTTCTCGCATTTAAATGGAAAGGGAATAGAATGTCTGACGATCATCTTTGTTAACGTCCACAGATTTTGTGTTGATGGCAATTTTCTCAATCAGTCTAAAGGCATGGTTTGGTATAATATTATGGTTTACTTTGGCACCTATTGCACAGAGATGGGATATGGGCCCAATATTTGTAAGTTTTTCATCCTTTCTTAGATTTGTGTATTTCCTGTGGAAGTAAGAAAAATAACCGGATTATGGGAGATTACATAACTGAGTGGAATATAGTCTGGAGAACAAGAAAAGGCGTTGGTTTTTTAGTCCAGTTACTCCCATTGGTCATCTTTAATGTGTTATGTAGATTCTCGGAACAGGCTTCGCTGTCATCCTTTTAAATCTTGGAAAGAGGCAAGATGGTGATGTTAGGTATGCACTCTCTCTCTCTCTCTCTCTCTCTCTCTCTCTCTCTCTCTCTCGGTTATTTATATCCTTGGATAAAATGTTTCCATCCTTTGTGACCCTGCAGTGCGTACTCAGTATTCAACGAAAACTTCAGAGAGCTTCCTGGAACTCTGAATGCAGATCGCCTAGACAGAGACATCAGAACTGGTCAATTGTGACTTCCCGACGAGATTTTCCTTGTGCTGCTTGCGGTTTCTTGTCCATCGTTCTGTACAGCTTGGGACTCTTCTTCCCTGGATATATCAGCTAACCACCGTGGTCTCATGTTTGTATGTATTTTTTTAAGGACATTATGTTGTTAGGAATCAGGAGTGTGTAGATGTCTTAATCTTCATGTCTATGTGAACAATATGATATTTTCTAATATTTTATTTTATAGTTTTTGCATTTTCGTGTTTCTTGATTGGGCATTGGTTTGGGGTCTCTCTTCTCAGCCATTTTAAGTGATGCACTTTTTAATGTTTATGCAATTAGGGAGAGCGAGAGAGAGTCATTTCCATTTTACACTTGGAATATTTAATATTTGTATTATTTGATTATTTCTTTGAAAATGGTGTCAATAAAAAACAACATGGTGTGAATAAAAAGCAATATGTTCTTTGAAAATTGCTAGTACATACTCTACAAACTAAGAAGTGAAAATGACATGATTTTTTCATTTCCTACCTGAAATTCTTGTGTCAACACAATATGTAGTTACTTTTAATATGAATCTAAATATGTAGTTACTATATCAAGTTCAAGAAAAGAAAAAATTATGTTAAACAAGCATGCAGACATACATTCCAAGTTTTTAATTTTTTTACGAAATGTTTTTAATAAAAACATTAAATTTAATATAACACTTTTTCTTTATACTTATATGAATACTAGTGACATAAATGGTAGTTAATTATTTCAGCAAACACATATTTAAAATTTTTAAAACCATCTCCTAAAATTTTAATGGGAAATGAACCTTTTCATAAATTCCAATTATCTAAAATAATGTTACGAAAGTCATAAATAAAAATAGCACAAAGTACAAATTATCCTTAGTTATCTTGTTCTAATTTTTTAGATTACCTAAAGTAATATATATATATATAGAGAGAGATATATATAATTTTTTAGTTAAATTCCTTAATTTACTTTAAAATGCTATGAAAAGCGAAGCCTGTTTATAGCTTAATAATTAATTAGATATTTACAATATCAACTAAATAATATTAATATTATTTTTTTTCTTAAGCATATATATTTTTGGTTATATAAAGTTATTAATAACCACAGAATCATGGTCTTTGGTATGGATATAAATATTTTCATAATAATAGTATTGGGTAAATAAGAAACTTTATGTAAGCAAAATTTGTAAAAATAAATCATATTGATCTAAAAAAAATAGAATGTTTTCATGAACCTGTTAAATTCGTTACGTAGTGCTAACACTTCAGTTAAATAAATCGAAATATTCATGATTTTCTACTGCATCTTTTAAAATGCGATTAGTTTGTATTAAAGTAAAGTTAATGACAAAAAAATCAATCCAACCAGCAAGCTCATCTTGTAGGGACGATGATTGGCTAAGCTTTATTGTCAGGATCTTACATGTGTGATGCGGTCTTCATGAAGAGAATCCGTAGGGAAGGAGCGCCGCAGCCACCACCCTTCCTTCCTCGTTCAAGATGTTGTATGTGGACGCTGCATTTCTCTGCCAAGGGGAATGAAAGAAGAACATAATAACTAAAACGGGTATGCATTTAATACCAGATACCACAGATGATAAACAAGTTCATGAAACTGATAGACCGAAACCGATACAGTTCTAGGAAAACAACGAGAGCAATTATTTAAGAAATAAATGAGAGAATATGCTTCTTCACAAACCGAATCGATTGGCTCCAATTTCATTCCAGTAGACCGAATGAATTGACGCACTTCAGGACTCACTGGCTGAATTTGCCTTCCGCAACCCAAAATTAAAATCTCTGCAGCAGAGGAAAATAGTAACATCGTCGATGGATCAGAGAAGAAGACGGGAATGCACAATAAACAGAGGGAGATTGTTGTGCTAAAAACATGACAGACCCAAAAAAGATTATGAGACACACCTATTCTACCCCACATATCATCAGGAGTGACAAGGATAAAACAGAAGAAATAATTAATAGTAGAACAAAAACACAAATGCACTTGTCTCCTTAACACTCTACGAACCTGAGAATAATATATATACCACCTTCAGCTTTCTCAATGTTACAGTGAACACTTGTCTTCTTATGTAAGGTCCAAAGGTGGTGCTTAATCTTAATGCATTTCATTCTATTGTGGAATATCAGGTTTATGATTATACGATAAGCATCCTTGTCATCATGGTAAAATTTTATAGGAAACACTTCAATTCTAATCTAATTTCTTTGAGCAGAATCTTCAACAGTAAAAACATAACAACCCCATGAGCAATCGGTCGAAATTTGCAATAACTTGATAGAACTCTTGTCATTTTTTTAAGCTTTTCCAGTCAGTATTATCTATCATTTAACTAGATGTATAGAGTACAACAATCTTTTACCTAGAGTTGATAGAATGTCTATCCATTGGACAACCAGCATATGAGGGGCTTGTTGTCGATGCATAAATTGGTCATCACACTAATCACATATCGTATAGTTGATTTTGCGGTAGTCGAGAGATATGGACTTGTTCAAGAAACAATGTTAGCATCGAGTTAATACAAGGTCCAAGAACATTGATTTGTAATAGCAAACGAATCCTAACTAACTTGAGCTTCACCGTCCAGTAATCTTCAATGTTTTTCATCTTCATGCCAACAATATCATTATCCCATCCCAGCTGCTGGAAGTAAATGATCAGAGGGAGCATTTATATCTCACCAGTAAAGTTTCTTCAAGAAAACCCTACTCATAAAGGGTAAGAATTTTACAGACATTTCTCCCTCCGACGGATAATATGCTCACAAGAGGAGGAATGCGAATTCTCACAAGAAATTCGAAAGAAAATATCATCTAAAATAGATGACAGGTCGTATCCCTCTGAGATATGTGGTTTTGTTGGCACCAACGATGATTACTCAAAGGGAATCAAAAAGAACATTGATTGATCCTGTATGTGGTCTGACTGACGATGAAAACTAATTTGATTCAATCTCCAAACTTTCCTCTTAAAAGATTTATTAGAAATGTCTTTGCATGGTTGAAACACCCATAGATCTTGAACTGATTGAATAGAGAAAAGTTCAAAAAAAATTCCAATCTTTTAAAGATTGGATGCTGGAGCATATACAATTGAATAGCATCCTCATCTGTCTCTCAAACGTGGGCTGAGCGAAACCAAGACAATTTGAACTGGCTCTCGTCATACCACAGTGACTCAAAGGATATGACACCTGCTTTGACGGATTCAGGGTGATAAAGTTGATTAGCCTATTTCATGCTTGATCACAAAATGAGAAGCCCAACGCTACTGTTTTCTCAATGAATGAGTTCATTAACGAAGTGGGTGATTACCGTAGGTACTTTGACGCAAAGGCTTGAGGCATTCCAACTAAGCAGAGCGAACTATATTTCAGTGATTGTCTAGCTTGGAGTATCGAAATCCAGACCTAATGGAGCCAAAGGACTCTACATTCCATATAAACAACAGAATTCCCCTCAATCTGCACTTATAACAAGATCGTCCGAATTATATAGGTTGAAACCAGCAGAAACGAAGGTATGGACTTGACCTTTTGTCCTCTCTCCTAATGGGCGATCACCATAGATATTGATCATTCCACACACTATCTAGGAGATCAGGAAAATTCCATCTATTTTATATGCGTTACGATCACAAAGCATTGGTTCCACAGTGAGGCTGCTTTCGCCATTTGTTGGCATATGATCAGCAACCAAATGTAAATTTTTCAACGCCCAATAAAATAAGATTTGAAAGAAACGAATTATTTTTCTAGCGACGTGTGACATTTTGGAACCACTAGTTAATGAGCATCTATGGCTCCAAATAGTGTTCGCCTATTATCCACCTTTGGTGAGAACCATGGGAGGTCTATTTGTAAGCAGATGAAAGTTTGTTCTCCCTAAATCCATGAACATTCTTCATAAACTACATTATTACTTTCAAGAGAAGTAATTCCTTTCTTCAACATCGCCAATAAACCCAAGAAACTACGAACCTTAATAAAAAATAACAGAAAAAAATCTCTAGAAGTTCCCAACCAAAATGTTGACAGGCACCGAGACCAAGTGAGAAAGCTTTCATTCACATTCAACCAAGCTATATCAGCATGAACATACCTGGAACAGGACGTATCAATTTGAGCATTGATAGACTGGGGAAAAAAGAGAAAAATACAAAATATCAATGAATGGAACCATTGATGAATAATTTTCATTGATAGATGTAATAATAAACCAACGGACTGAGCAACAGAAGCAGTGGAAGCCATCATATTCAAATCTTTTAAATTGAATAACATGGACATAACAATTAAATAGAACTGCATAAAGTTTGGCAGTCAATTTGACCTGGACTCTTTTGAATTGTTCTAAGTTCCCAACTGACAACTAGGAGAAACCTATTTAAAGTCCCATAAAGGAAGTTAGTCCAGCATTATTTTCTGGAATACTCACAAAGTTTCGCTAGAATAGGACTAGAACAGACTCTGAATACAAATCAAAGAAGGTCAGATCTCGCCGATAAATAAATATTTCTGATAAGATACTGGAGGTTCTGTTACATTCCAAATCATTACCAACAATAAGACAGGTTTAGCTCCATCAAAAGAAAGTGGTGCAATAGAAGAACAGAAAGAGGTTGTCTGAATATTTGATGAAATTCATGATATGTCCAGAAAGCTGTGTTATTCAGTAATGTAACTTGCAGATGAGATAACAATGATGTATTGAAAAGCTCCCAAAAACATAAATAATATGCCTTCGTAACACGAAAAGTTTCAAAAGTACCTATCACTGGTTATCTCAGAAAAGCTTTTGGGAGACCAAGATGTGACCAAATTGCCAATAATGAGCAAGCTCCCTTCGTACTCTACGCCATTTACAGTGAATCCTGTGTCAGAGTACCTAAAAACATGCAGAATTTAGCAAAAACATACAAGCAACAAAAAGATACCATGAAGCGACAAAGAAAGCTCACACTTAGCTCTAGAAGCGTGTACTTCGTAACTTCATACCGTCTTAGAAAGGTGAATCATAATCATTCAAGAAAATCATAGCTTTGAAAAAAAAAATAGGATCTACAAATCGCATCTATCATATATGTACTTATAAAGCCAATGCGTGTTTGATGAATTTACTTTGCATGACAGCATTATTCTGGGAATAACGTAGAATATCTTTCTATGTGCAAAGCGATTTCAATTTAAAACATAGTATGGCATATGATGTGAAACCCATTCACACAGTACAAAATGATGTACAAATGGTACCTTCTCCACACCTTCTTGAGCGTGAATGAACTTTTGGTCAAAAGCCCTATCATATATTTTTATACTATCGATACATAATTCTTTATATCAATGGATATTAAAAAAGTTACTTGAGCGACAATCAATTTATTTAAAACGTATTTTTTATTACTTTAGTTATATTTTATTCCTTGTTATGTTATCATGAATATTTATGTTTCTAATTTTCTTACTTCTATGCATTCATTTTGAGTTTAAACATATCTAGAAGTAGACATCACCAAGTTGCCGGGTCCTGTTACCTAGACAGTGGTAAAGGACCACGCTCTGATGAAAATAGAGATCTATATCATCCTTAAAATTCGGAGAAACTTCAGTGAATCATTAATCATATTTAGCTATTATTATCTCCATCTAATTTCCTTTCAACATTCAGTATTGAATCTGGCTATCTACCGAGATGCTTCTTCCACTCAATTACTGAGATGTATAATAGCATAGTAAAGGTACAGGAGTAATTACTGCTGTAGATTCACTGCCAGTAGTATTCTTCATTCTATCGACAATGTCAGTAATTATAGCTAGTAAATCACCTCTTGCATGTTAACTTTCCAGCACACTAAGAGTATAAGCATAGATAATGTGCTGAAAAAGAATATCATTGAATGTGAATCGTGTTTCAAACTGATTTCCGTCGTCATCCCTTATTCGCGCAACATCAATTGTTTGAACATTCTAACCCTAATGTTGGTGTTCTATGTTCATTCACAACATGCAGAAGCTCATATTCAGGTAAGTGTTGGAATCACTTGATCACTATTTATAATTTTATTGTTATTCGCCATGTTTTCAACTTCGGACTAATCAGTTCGACGTTTATTCTCCATAGCAACCTGCTTCAGAATATTTTAACGATTCAATTAGTTTTCCATTATTCCAAAACTTGGTAGTAAAACCTGTGCTGACAGGTCTCAACATCGCTCCATCACTGCGCCTCATGACAACAAAAGCGGAACGATTCGAGATAAGAATTCACAGGAAACCAAGAACAGACAAAACATAGTATAAACTCATACATCAAGAGTAGTAATACCATCAATGTCAAAAACAGTCGCTTACCCCTGAAATCGCAGCTGATCTTCAGGAACGCTATCGATGAGATTTATCTGATCATAGAGTGAAAACGCCCGCCTGTCCTCTCCCCCCCATCCCCCCCACCCCCAAAAGATCAGGAACAGCCCGTGAGGAACGCAGATGAAGAACGAAACTCACCCAACGAACGAGATGCAGAGATTGACGATACGGGGCATTACCTGAGAGACGGGAGTGTCTGGCTTGGTAGATTAGCCGCCGGGAAAGATGTCCTCCCCCCAAGGGTCTTCAGGAGGTGCGGCAGCATCGACGCCATCCTCTGCCCCCCGGCACCCGCCATGTCTCTCTCTCTCTCTCTCTCTCTCTCTCTCTCTCTCTCTCTCTCTCTCTCTCTCCCGCTAGAGATTCTTCCCGCTCCCACAGAGGAAGCGGGTCCTCCATAAAACCAGAGGAAGGCGTCCAAACAAAAGCCACAACACAGATTATTGTTGGCCCAACTGTTTTATTGGACTCGACAAAATTCAGATCCATAGCAAAACGTCAGACTTCTCTCCTCACGTCTGTCTAGCTAAACTCGATTAGGTCGCCTGCTTAGAGGTCTCCTTTATTAACCAACACGCACATCATATTCTTACTCAGTTGGTTGATTCGCCGCCACCGTCGCAGTCGTCCGCTGCCCCCCGTCACCCCCTCCTCTGCCTTCCGCCTCACCCCCCGTCCGCTCCTCCGCCTCCGTTCGAGTCGTCCGGCGAACCGGCCCGGGTCCGCCCGGTATGATAAGCCCACCTACTTCGCTGATTCGGATCATCTCCGACCCATTTTATAAGCCGGGTTGCATGAACGTTTATAACACAACATTAATTTTCTCAAAATATCATCTGAACTCAGATAACTAATTTTTCATACTCGTCAGAAGATGCAGAACTAACGTACGATTTGATTATATGTTTTGTGATGGAAAATCCGAAGGGCTGATGTTAGGGGGATGGATGAGCGAGTGGTCGTCAGATACTTGGGGAATTGGATCCAATGTGTAGCGGCCCAGTCTCCCAGTCCGAAAGAGGTTTAGCAACTTCAAAGCTACAGTCCTGTATCCGTCCGTATCATCCGCGGGAATTCTGAAATCTTCGTGCAAGGCCGCAAACTGGAGCTCAATCAGCCTACCCATTTCGACTTCCTCCTCCAGACATCTTCTTCCAAAGGACGAAATGGTTTCGAAAAGAGTGCGCCGAACGTCCCACACGACGAAGTCCTGTGCACATGAAGAATCAAAGAGTGCGTAAGAATGGAGAATAAAGGGCTTATTTATTACTTCATGAGGAAATAAAATCGTCGTCAGGAATGTGGAAGGGAATCGCTCCTGAAACAGTCACTCACTAACTACCCGGGGGGGCAGAGGGGACCCACCTGATTTTTTGTGTAGATAGGCAGAAGGAATTACTGATCTTAGCTATTATTTTTCACTATTAAAAGGCCTACGACCCACCTGATTTTTGTGTAGATAGGCAGAGGGAATTGCTGATCTTAGCTATTCTTTTTCACTATTAAAAGGCCTACGACCCACCTGATTATTTGAGTCGAAAAAGGGGGGGGGGCGGAGGGGAGCCTCAGGTACTCCACAGAAGATAATGGTAGCTCTGAAAACGCTCAATGGCTTCATTTCAGAAGATATTATTTAGTACCTGCGTGTGATCTGATGGGTATTGCCCCCTCTTCTGTGCAGAGTTCTCTTTGGCATGTCCACTCAAGGACTCCCACTTCTTGTACTCCTCATTTGAGTTCAGAACGGACAGAAAATACTGGGCAAGTGCACATTCACCTACAAGACTGTCCTTAATTGCCCCTGGACAGAAGGTAAAGAAAACGGGCTATTATTATTATTATTACTGTTATTCTGTGAGAGAACAACTAGCAATGCAAAGAACTGATAAAACAATCGAGCGTGGCAAACCTGTCAGAGCTAAGTTTGAAGCTGCATGGGCGTCAGCTATTTCTGGAAATAAAATCCCTGGTGTGTCCAACACATAAATGTTTGGGTGACTTGCAATCTGTAAACAAAAGTAGATATTTATGCCCTCTGTTTCTTCAAGCATATGAGGATTATTCCACACTGAAGAAATGAATAGATCAAAGATACAATACATTCGATTCATAAAACCTTACAGGAAACGCAACGTCCCAAAATCAAGATGAGCCTATCGGACACCAAAGGACAAGAGCCCAGCAATCATCTCATTACATGCGTAATGAGATGAAGCACACCCCACATGTGTACAAAGGGTCCACGTAGTTACATATATCCTGCTCTCAGAGAACTACTATTGGCATCTTCATTCGGCTATCTCAGGAATGTCAACGTCAGGCACCATTTTAAGGCCTGGTAATGTCAGGAAAGTGAATGAAAGGAGATTCGGTTGAGGTGGGAAAGTACAAGTGGTAAAGGGTCTAGTTAATGCGTGCCCTGAAACAAAAATGAGGGTTGAGACAGAGAAGGATAACCGGATTCTGAAAACTATGGTACAGCTCTAGACATCAGTTTCCTCGACCCCATCACTATCTCTGACATTCTCATTGTAAGAATTAACCTAATACTGTAACTCCACAGTATTATAAGACAGAAAATGTGGGCAATCCCAAGAATTTTAGAAAGTGGAGGCTCATCACGAATCACGAGTGCTTAAGAATATATTCAACCTAACAATAATAACCATGGGAAGAAAGATGTAAGAATGGCAATGATGGTACAAATGTGAACCCCCCTACCTTGTAACTTCTAATATCTTTGGTATCCCCAGGGGTGGAGCTCACAATTGCATGCCTAAGCTTTCCCTTTTCTTGGAGATAACAAGACATGCAAAGATTGATAAAAGTCAGTTATGTATGGAAAACATTGGCAATAGCTTAGTTGTCAAAATGGTCCATCAGTCCCAGTAAATGGACGAAACTGAAGGCTTTCTTATATAAATGAAGATCATTCCTTCGGCCAAAAGTATGAAAAGCCTAGCCATACCTTCTGCGCTTATGCGCCCAATCTGATGCATGGCATTAGCAATCGCAGACTTTCCAACATTTGGAATTCCAACCAGCATTACTGTTGCAGTGTGACCTGAGTCTCCAGCTTTTAGTTCCTTGATCCGAGCCCTTACAAAGTTTATTAACTGTACGGATGTGCATGATTTGGAGGTCAAAATAGGAATCAATTTACAGCCATGGACGTGTATTTTGTGAGAAAAATTAGAAATCACCTCTCTGATGCTTCCTTTATTGTGGGAATTAACCCCAAAGCAAATGCAATTTTTCTCTTTGAAACTATCGATCCATCTCTGCAGATCAAAGACGGTATATAAGACACCATCCTCAACCCTCAAAAATAACGAATTGTAACGAAAAAAAACAATAAATAATGCTCAGATGACCGATCGATGCAAATCATTTGTTGTAAGTTTAATTAAAAAGTCGCTCAAGACAAGCTATTTGGCGAGGACCGAATATGCACGCAAATTTACCAACATATTTTAACCTGTTTCTCCCAAATGTAGTTCTCCATCTTGATGCTCTTTCAGGCAGATTAATATCTCACCATGCTAATCAGACGGAGAATCTCATTTTGGAGGCCGCATCAAGTTAAGAAATAAAATCGATACCTCATTAACAAGTTAAGAACCCATTTATACTTTTTCTCTCTGCAAGCAATCCTAATCATCGGTAGAGAACATCATAGCTCCAATTCAACAAAGAAAGAACCCTATTTCTCTTGCCTACGTTCTTAGATTCTACCGGACGGTAAGCTTATATCTAAAACATAAGAAAGGGAAGCAAGCGGTGTAGCTAGATTAGAGAGGTGTGTAGCTCATAAAGCAACGGCAAACATCTAAAGAACAGGAATACCTCCGTTTGCGCGTGATCTGCAAGATCCAACTTATTCAGCAGTATTATCCGTCTGCGTGAAAAGGAATCCTGCGTCAAGGGCTGGAAAGCAGACGACAATGGAATCTGCCCACAAGACCCACATTCTCACATAACGGGCATAATTAACAAGAAAGACAATCGGTTTTCTGACATCTCCTCAGCGTACCCTGGCGTCTCGAACCTCGAGGGTAAGATCAACGAGGGGAACACGTTCGAGGATGGCCCGCGCAGCCGCCGCCGAGTGGGGGGTGAACCAGCCCCCCCAGGTCCCCATTCTTGAAGAGCCCGCTTTCTTCACGGTCGCTGCCAAGTGCTGCCGGTAGGTGCAGATGGCCCCCGTCATGCCCATTGAAAATTCCGCATGCAGTGGTGGATGGGGCGGAAGGAAGGTTTCAAAATTAAGATGATATAAAAAGGAATTCTCTATTTACTTGTGTTCGTTAGAAGGAGAGATGGTTGGCATCTCCCCCGACAGGGACGGGAACAGCTTTCGAGCTTCCCCTGTTACACATTAAGGCGACCCACTTCGGTGGATCTTCCCAATTTTTTTTAATATCCAATCCCGCTGCTTGGTACACCCTCACGCTGTGCGGCGGCAGCACACCCCAGCACCATTTCCACCGCTCGTTAACAAAGGATCGTCAGGCTCCGAATTGGGTGGGACAGACGGACGAGACTAGTTTACTAAAATTGGAATTAATGAAGATCAATTGAACTTCATTCATTTTAAGGAAGCATTTTCAGCATTTTGTAGATGTTACTAGGCAAGGAGTGTACCATTGATATGTATAAAATCTGTAGGTACATAGGTTCTACATGCAAAATTTAAAACCAACTATGGAAAATATGATTTTATTTTACAGAATTTAGAAGTAATAAAGAGGATAAAATCTTTTTTATCTATAAATATATATTTTTTATTTTTTCAGAAACAATCTAATGAAGGTCATTATCATTGATAATTGTTGAATAATCATGTTTTACATTGACAAATTATGAACCCAATCTAAGCAACAAATTACAATGTTATACTAAAATTTAAATTAATAACCTACACATATATATTAAGATTAATCCTCCATTTCTAAGTATTTTCAAGATTTTACAAAAAACTCATTGTTTTCAAAGATTGTATAAATTGGTAGTAAAAACAACCCACAATCTTATTTTTCCACTTGAAGTCACTTCAGCAATTTTCATCAAATGATTTAGTCAACTATTTTAAAACTAGTATATATAAGCTATTGACTCATATAGACAGATTTTATGTCAATATTTTAAAAAAGGAATTTATTTTATTTAATTTGTGATAATATGGATGGGCCGACTTTCTTTCATCTAAATCTTTCAATTTTTTTTGAAAACTTGGAGGCAAGGTCTTTTATGCCAATAAACTTTAAAATGCATAACCTCACTATATGCAAATTCTTAACTCAATTAAAAGGAACAAGGTAAAATACAATTTTTACATTATCATATTGAGAATGAATAATGAAGGGCAAAATAGTAATTTTTTACTACTAATTTTATTTATACAATACTGAAATTGAGGATATCATATTTTTACCCATAGCAAATTACCTAACATGCTTAGAGTTTATTTCTTATTTTGTGTTTTGGCCCTATAATAAGTGAAACAATTTGTATGGGTAACAAGGAGTCCTAACACTTTTAATGGCTAAGATAAAATATAAAGTGAGTCTACTCACCAGCAAGATAAATCTCAATACTAAATGAGTGAAACCTTGTGGTTTTGTTCTTTGGAAGAAGTGGGCTGATGTACTTGGTATGAAGGGCATTGGCATGTAATAAACTTAACACCACAAAAAAATCATCACAGCAACAAAAGTGTGACAATATTATGAATTGGTTCTTGGGTGTCTTAGAAATAACAAGTAAGATGACTATTAGAAGTTCAAACTCAAAGAAATGTGTCAAATACAAAGGATTAACTCCTCCAACAAGGATTAATGTAAATTTTACTTTTATATCTTTCTTATGCATACAAAGATCCTTGACATCAAAAGAAACTTTTGCACCTCTATGCCCATGCATCCACACCCAAGGCATATATACGTCAGAATTGTAAAAACTATTTTCTCAATCATTTCATATTTGCATTTGAGTACATCATCTAGTCAAATTTAAAGTTGAAAAATCTAGAAGAGAGTTCCAAATGCTAATCTGGTTTGGACTTTTAGAGTTGCCAATCTAGAAATATTAGTTAATTGGTAATTTATTTTGCCTCCCTAGAGTTGCGAATCTAGCAGAAATATTTGAAAGAATAATTGGTTGGCTATAGTCATTATAACCAGTAAGCACTACCTAAAGGCTTAATGTTTAACATTTCACTCTAACAGGAGTTATTGGGACCCAAGTATGTGGTCCTTAGAGCATGAACTAGGTCCAAATGTTAAACCGCTAAATCTTGGTTCTCGCTATTACAGCAAAGAAGAAATTTATTAGAAGCCCAAAAAACACCAATTCACTCTAGTCTTGTTTCCTCTCAAGAGTCTTTTCAACATTTCCTAAATTTATATTAATGCAAACTATAATGTATTTATACACACACACAGAGGTATATATATAGATATACATACATATGCATATTAAAACTAAGTAGTGTTATTAGATAATGATATTATGAAATAAAAATGAATCAACTATTGATGAATCAATCATAATCATTTTTTAGATAGCCAATAAGTTGATATCACTATTACAAATGAATAGGTATGAATTATATTTTTTTTCCATATACAAAATTGAGAATTTCGTTTTTTAACTGCTCATTTAATTAGTTGATTGTACCCATTCCTTTATTTCTGCAGATTCGGCTTGTCTATTTTTCTAGGTAGATATGATGTACTCCTAAAAAAGGGAATGATTTGGGATTTGCTGTTGGGTTCAGAAAGTGAAGGCTTTAAAATCGGATTGGTCCAACAAATCAGCCATGTCTAATGTCATCTGATCTGAGAACTACGTAGCTAAGTCTTATGGTCACAGGAGAGGCCCCATTTTGGAAAAAGGATAAAATTGTATTATTGAAATTTAAATTGTCTATTTAATATGCTATAATGATGTCAAATATCAAAATGAGACTTTTTCTTTAATTCTAAATTATATATGATTGGCTCAATTTGGGGGCAAATAATTGCAAAGTAATGTGATATTACTTTGATATGCTAATGAAGCTCAGTGGTTGGTGCCTTCATTTGAGTATGCAATTTGATTTTTGGTCGATAGTCAATTAAGAGTCTTTATGCCATACTCCTTTATGATGAGAGTGGTGAATGAAACTTATGTGGGTGCTAAATATTTCCACTCATATCTTCCTATTTATGAAAGAAAGGTGATGAGTTATTTTTTTGGTTTATTTTATTCTTCTACACATGCATGTGTTTGTCCCATTCATTTCATCAACTTAAAGTTTCCTTCTAGAGTACTTTTTGTTATGGTTGGATTAGGGGCCACAATTGATCACTAAATATTCCTATGACTAGCTGAGGAACACCTGTGGGGGATCATGGCATAAGGTCATCACGTTGAATTTGGGCAAAACTGCCCACTAAATGTTCACTCACATGGAATTTGGAAAAAAATGTCAACCAAATTTCATTAAATGAGAATGGAACTAGAAGTAGTGGAGAAAATGGTATAATGTAGATATCATTGCATAAGATTGAAGCAATGACATAGCTTACTTGATTTGTGGAAGACTGAAAAAGAAGAATGCATAAGATTGAAGCAATGAGGTTGTAATTAGTGGATGGAACTTATTCCATCAAATCCACTGAAAGTTGATGTTTGGGAACATAATTTATGATGGTGGGTCGTTAAAATGCTTTTGATTTCGTCAAATTTTCTGAAATTAGATAGAGGGTGATGAAGTTTAGATGTTCAATGAAACTGCATGATTGAGGGAGTTTAAATATTAGAATGTATATCAAATTTCATGATGATGATTGTGTAGATTCAAAATTTCATAAAAAAAATGAAAACCTAGCCAACTTAGAGGGGATGACTAACAATTTTTTAAAAAAAAGAATATTTAGAGAAGTTTGATGAGCATGTGTTGAAACTACAAACATGTTGTGTAGAAAATGGCTAATTAAGCAATTTTGAGTTGGTTTAATGGGCATGAAGAACATACATATAACTTGTCTAGGTACATAGGTGTATCATCAATGAAAACCATTTCAAAATCTATTTCAGAAAATAGTTGAAATGCATAAAAATTGGTAAAGAAAGTTGAACATTTAAAACTTTTGCAGCTGAATAAAACTTGATAAATGTGCACATAATTTCCTTCCCAAAGGTTTGATAGATGGATGCTAAATATATAGTCGTTCAAAGTACCCCATTTGTGATGAATTCCAAGAGAGCCATTGAGAATTGAGAAGGCAAACACACATGGATCCAATAGTACACATCTTCTTGCTCCTCATCCAATGAAGTTGGTCCATGTGATGAGCTGGGATCACATTCAACTCATCCAAGCACTCCCCCCTCTTTCCCACCGCACGCCACCTGCTTCAGTGACAAAAATAAAAAAAGTCAGTAGACTTAATCAGAGTAGGTCTAGACTTGGAAACCAGGTGACAGTAATGTATCATTATAGCTACATAACCAGACCACGGTGCGTACGGGAAAAAGTTCCAAGGTTAGAGGAGGAGATGACGTAAATAGCCTCGCATATTTGGTGAACTGGAACCTATTATTTTGTGCGACTCTCCTCTCTTCCCCTGTCCCTTACCCGAATTTCTGCCTCACTCGCTCTATTCCTCACCACCTCTTCTTCTGTTGCCAATCTGCCGCTGCCTCTCCCCCATCGCTTCTCCCTCTTCCGTTGGGAGCGGCTGCATCTCACCCTCCTCTCTGCTCCCTCCGCGCTCCCCATCCCGAGCAGGCCCTGCAGCATCTCCTCTTCCTCTTTCCCATCTACCCAGATCTCTTGGTCTTGTATCTCCGTGTCTCTTGATCAGCCCGGCGTCTTGAGCATTCCGTCCTCGAGGCCGGAACGCAGAGCTATCCTTCGCGGCTTCACCGTCGGCTAACCGTGTACTCTCCCCCTCTCTCGCTGACGCTCCTTCTGCTTCCTCTGTCCTGGGTCTCTCTGTCACTCTCACTCGCACTCTCTTCTCAAATATTTTGCTCTCTTTCCCCTCCTCCCGTCATCTTCCCCTCTCTCTCCGTCGACTCCCCATGCCAACCCCCGTGCAAATCTCTTTGCTCTCTCGATTCCTCTCTTTCTGTCTTCTCTGTCTCTCTGTCTGTCTCTCTTTCTCTCTCCATTCTTCTGTGTTTATTATGTTGTCGTAGATTATTATGCTCTTCATTTTCTTCTAGTTCAGTCTGACACATTACTCTTGTTTTTAGTGCAATATAAATATAATATGAAATAGATCGTTGGAATATCATACGGGTGAAAGTAGTGATATAACAGAAGATTCTGATGTCTTTAATTAGGATGAAATTTCCCAAAGTATTATTTCTCATTTTTATCAAAACGGCAGACTCATAGAGAGATGTAATGCTTTCCATGAATGTTAATGATCCTGGAATGAGTGAAAACTTTGGTGATTGTCATACTTTTAAGATTTCTCTGAGAGAATATTAGTTGAAACGTAAGTTTCAGATTTATTTGATAGATAATGACGTAATAAGAGTAACAACAAGATGTGGAAAAATTCTGTGCAAGTGGTATCCATGTTGCATTATTGTCGGATACTATTATTTCACAAATAGAGTCAATGAATACCAATCAGACATCCATATATGTCAGTGATTTATAATGCTATCATATGCAATCTGCACATTGCAAAGTTAGAATGTTAATCATCTTGTTGAAGAAAAAATCCATAATTTCCATTCAGGAAGGTGAGAAACTTGTTGCAATGAGATTTAGACACTGCAAGGCAAGCTGCAAAAACCCATAAAGGAAAGAAGAAGATCATCAATGCACTCAGTGCTCTTCTATCATCTACTAGATCTAGTGTTTGCTAGTAAACTACTGGTGAACTCGTTACTGGCCTTATATTAATGTTACATACGTGCAATCCATTTTGATGAAGCTGCATCGGATGTTGCAGTCCATTGCTTGCTTTGCATGGATGCATCCATGCAAAGGTTTGTGGGTACGAATGCAGAACTCTTATTTCAGTAAATATAAAAAAACGACGTTACAAGAGAGGGAAACAGGTTTTGTAGAACATAAAACCATACAATCAATGTCCGTTGGCAACATAAAACCTGAAAATTCTTTATAAAGGTGTGACTATAATTTTTTGAAAGAAAACACTTTAAAAGTAGATTCAAATATATTCTGTTTCATAGTATATGTTTGTACGTAGTTGAGCATGGAAAGTTACTAATTATCCAGGGAAAGCATTCCGTAGCAGTCTCTTGTGATGGTAGCATGAGGGGTCGGGAAATAGTTCTCCTGATTTCTTGGTAGCTGCTATCATCTCTCATAATTAATTTTCTTTGGTATAGCGTAATTGTTTTTATATTCTCTTGTGGTCAAGCATTATCGTGTGATATGTAGAAGACTGGAGCTACTGTGTACAAATAACATGATGATATCCCATTCTTACGTCCAAGTTTGAAGAGATACATTGTGTAATCATTGGGTTTGTGACATTCAAGCTTTTGTAATTGGCTTCAAGCATCTGAACCAGAAATTTTAGACCTCTCATAAGGTTTATTTTCCACAAGGGAGGGTAAATATGCTTGTTGAAATCATTTTTTGTAAGCATCTAATGTATAGATATCTTTGTCAATGCTGTAATGATATGATGGAAAAGCCAACTTGATTTCATTTTAACTGGACTTTGTTTATTAACATCTGGTTGCAAAATTCTAACTCCGAGTTTTACGAAGCAGATTGATTCGCTTGTTCTATTGCGATAATCCTCACTGATAAGCCAATCCAAATCTCGTCCAGGATAAATTTTCTTAAGATGCATACTGATCGGCCAAGATAAATAACCCAAAATAGTCTATAGTATATGCAAAAGTTGTCACAACCATGGGGATCGATATGAAGAAGAAACAAATTAGACATGGTTGATACTTTAGCATTAAAATGCCAAGGTAGGCCAAGTTACCTTGTAGTGCATTAGTGAAAGGGCCCAGTAAGAAAGCTGATGTCTCGTTATTTGTCTATTTTTTGAATTTTTAGATGAGTACGATTGATCCTAATAAACGTGCTTAATTCTGTGGACATTTTAATTATTTGATTATACATGTATCACCAAGAAAGATGAGAAAATATGATAAACTTCACAACAGAATGCGGAGCTTATCCCTTTCTTGGTTGTCTTACTAAGTACTCGAGCCCTGGGGATAATGGAGCTGATACCTGTTCATTGGTAAAAAATGAAGTGGCAATTGATTGTTGTTATTTTTAGAATGTCAGAATTGGACCATGAAATTGGAAAGCCTTAGCCTTTTCTCAATGAGTTCTGCTGTTAATGGAGTAGGCACGTTTTTAATGTGTCATTCTTGTTTTTGTCCCGTTAAGCTTCCATTTACTATCCAAAGAGAAGCAGGAGAAAGCGAGTAGCAGGTTTTCCTTGCAGAATATAAATCTAACGGAGAAAATTGACAGGATTGAATGATGGACGATTCGTTATGATTTGGCTTGTATTGACATGATTTGGTTGATGCAAATATTATCAGAATTACAAAATGCGGATGTGATTTTAGCAGTGAATTTCGTATGTCTCATTTTGCATGGTATTAGATTTACATGTCATAAGAGATATAAGAAATTATAATATAATTTCTCTAGTAGCTTATGATTGGGAAGCCTGTTTCATCTAATTTCTTTTTTTCTTCGTTTTTTAGATGATAGATATGTAATTTTTTCGTATGTTCACGGGCTTAACATGAGATACGTACTGGATTTTCTCTAAGATCTTCAGAGGATAGTTATTGATGCTTGAGAATCCATCGAGCTGGTTTGCTTTGATGGCCACGATGCCTGGTTTACAGAAGACCATCAGCTTATTTGTAACATCTAAGTTTTATACAGCAATAAGCATGGCTGACATACTTCATAACATTTTGTAGTTCCCCAGATGGCAGACGTTGCGAAGGATCTGACTGCTGGAACCATTGGAGGAGCCGCGCAGTTGGTTGTTGGGCATCCATTTGACACCATCAAGGTCAAACTTCAAAGCCAGCCGGCCCCACTTCCAGGCCAGCCTCCAAAGTATGCGGGCGCCATGGATGCCGTTAAGCAAACAATATCTGCTGAGGGTCCGAGGGGTTTGTACAAAGGGATGGGAGCCCCATTGGCTACCGTTGCAGCTTTCAATGCGGTTCTTTTCACTGTGAGGGGACAGATGGAGTCATTATTGAGGTCTGAACCCGGTGCGCCACTTTCAGTGAACCAGCAGGTTGTCTGTGGTGCTGGAGCTGGTGTTGCTGTTTCCTTTCTAGCTTGCCCAACAGAGCTTATTAAATGCAGGTGAGTTTCCAATGTTGGTCATTGCCTTTGGTGAAATATGCCATGTTGTTTCTCTAACTCTTTTTAGATGTTTAAATTAATGACATTTTTATATTAACTCCTCGGTTTAGATAATCTCATTATTTCTTTGGGGCTTCCTCTCTGTGCTCCACTTCTAAACGCTGATATAATGCTATAAAACTATGGCACATACCATGTATGAATCTAGAAATGGGATGGCAATAAGTATGTGTGACAATAGATTGCGTTTCATTACTGCCAGGGACACTAGTTCATTTCCTCTAAAGATTAATTTACCACCAGTTCTCCATTTGCTGATGGAAGAAATATAGCAGCACTTGCGAAATGAAACTGATGGAGACTGGTCTCACTTTCCTGCTCTGGATGTCCTATGGTGGTGGGTTCATGGCCTAGTCGAATGTCCTCATGTAGGACCTTGTTGGCATACCATTGTATAGTAATTTCGTCTTTTCAAACCCGGAACATGGAATGAAGGCCAGAAGAACTGTGCTAGTAGCTTCTTGCTGGGATTTTTGCCTATACTTAATGGTTACTGTTTGGCATCCAATGAGTGATTCCTGTTTTGTTCTAGTTCTTGCGGAACTCCCGTGCGCTATGGCATTCTTTCCGTTCAAGCTTTTCTAGTGTCAATATTCATATAGCAAAATCATTGCCTCATCTGCATTTGATGCCTAGATTCATGAAAGGTATCACATTTTAGACCATGCTCCTCGGAGACTCTTATGCTCAAAAAACATGCAAACATTGGCTTAATTAGACCAAACTACGCTTGAATTTTCGTATCCGATGCCATGTTTTTTTCCTCGATCCATGTTCTCATCGTATGAACAAACCCCGGCAGGCTGCAGGCTCAGAGCGCCCTGGCAGGCTCTGGGTCCTCCTCTACAGCGGTGAAATACTCCGGCCCCATGGACGTGGCGAAGCACGTGATGAGGTCCGAAGGAGGCCTGAGGGGCCTTTACAAGGGCCTTGTTCCCACCCTCGGCCGTGAAGTCCCTGGAAACGCCGTGATGTTCGGCGTCTATGAAGCCATCAAGCAGTTCATTGCCGGCGGCGCCGACACTTCATCACTCGGAAGGGGCTCTCTCATGGCGGCCGGGGGCCTCGCTGGAGCCGCGTTCTGGGCCTTCGTCTACCCAACAGACGTCATAAAGAGTGTTCTACAGGTGGATGATCACCGCAACCCCAAGTTCTCTGGATCGATCGACGCCTTCAGGAAGATCTCCTCCTCAGAGGGCGTCAAGGGTCTATACAGAGGCTTTGGGCCGGCCATGGCCCGCAGCGTCCCTGCCAATGCCGCCTGCTTCCTGGCCTACGAGATGACCAGAGCCAGCTTGGGATGAGCTCACTGCAGGCCAGGTATCATCAGCTGTACTGAAACCCTGCAAGAAAGTGTCTTTTCTCTCCTGCATTCATGTCCTGCCTCCTCCTAACTAATCAATTCTTATGCTTCTTGGGTCTTCGTTGGGTTTTTCATTTGGGCATTGACGTCATTCTTCCATTGTATTATGATTGTTTGATTAATGTAATTGGAATGGATGGGGGATAACCCAATTTATATCCCTTGGACGGCATGCATTCTACCGTGGGAGATCTCATCAGCTGTACTGATTTAGATCATATTCTTATGATCACGTCGTGCCCATGAGAAATGCGAATAAACAGCGTACCCCCCCCCTCCCTCTCTCTCTCTCCTGTTGGGTTCGGATTCACTGGAAAGTGGCGAGTTTGGGTCCATTAAAGCAACGGCCATGATTGCATGTAGGGAGAGGATCGAGGGGTCTTCCTCCTCGTGCCGGGCTTCTTCTAGTTTGAGACGCTGACTGGGCCACGGGTTTTTGGGGTCGAGGATGGTGAAGGGGAGCAGAGCCCTACTCTGCGGTGGCGGCGGCGCCACCAACGTGTCTGTCATCAGGCAGGCACTGTGCGAGTTCCTGGTTTGCCCTCTCTCGAAACAGCCTCTTCGATACTGCGAGGAGACCCGGTCTCTGGTCAGCGAGGCAATCGGCGTGTCCTACCCAGTTGTGGACGGGATTCCTTACCTGCTTCCCCAGGAGGGTAAGCTGCTGGATGGTCCCCAATCCCCAAACCCAGGGGATAATTCTACGGACAAATCATCCTCGATGACGGCCGGTTGATCATCCGTAGATTCCAAAATCCGCCGGGGAAATTCAGGTTCAGCATTCCTCTCTGTTCTTCGTGTTCTTCTTCTTCGTCTTCTTTTGTGCAACCGCGTAATGTGAGATGCAGTCAGATATCGCCTAGATTTTCCAAGATGTTCCAACTGAAGCGTGAGAAACCTTCAAGCGAGTCGTTTGACACGAGTAAGGAATGCTCAGTATGAACATTTCTTGTTCACGCGATCAGATGCTGATAATCGATGGCCCATGGGGGCTTGAAATTATCGAAGAGGATGAGAACGAGATGATCTTTTTCGCACCTCATCGTTTTTCTGAAATAATAGAAGAGGATGTCAGAAGCCTTCCTGTAAGTTTTACCAGTTGCATCATTCTGTTCCTATGGAGCTTTCCCAGCGGAGGCTTTTACCATAGAAGTTCAAGTGAACAACTGTGAATAGACTTGCAGTAGTTCCATCTCTCCATTTGAGAGGGGGGGTAAGATTGATCAAGGATGGAAGAAAGATGCTTTCTGAGTAGAGATCTATGGAGAAAACACCTTCTAGAAGACCTAAATGAGTGTCAGAGAAAGTCAATAGCTATTGAACAATGTAAAGTGGAACAAGTGCGTTTTTGCTTTCCAGATCTGTTCTAGTTGATAATATCTAATAAATCAAATAATTTAAAATGAATTAAAATTTCTTTCTGTTATATCTCTAGGCGGGCACCTTGTGGATTTAAATAGCATGATGATGTGGTACAATGTTTCGAATTCCTCATGGAAATATCACATGACGCGTTAGACAGTTTCAGTAATGCCCTTGTTAGCTTGACACTTGGCGGTTAGAACAAGAGATGGCTCTGCTATGCTCACAGCAATGGCGTTACAGATGAAGCCGGAAGACCATAGAAAAATGGTTTTCTGAGGGGAGCAGCATGAGACGTTGTTGTTTTGGTGGATATAGTGACTCATCAAAGATTTTTGTAGCTTGTGGAAGGAAGCATGCGAGTAGAAGATTTTCACATATAGAGGAATCTCAGATTTTTGACATACTTTTTAAAATGGGTTCTATATGAGAACCCCTTTTTATAGGCAGGTTAGCTGTGTGTGACCTTTTTATAATTGTCTTGATTTGTGAAAATGATCAGTCCTTTTCCTCATGGCAACGAGTGCTTCAGATCTTGTACACCTGAACCTTTCTTTGCTTAAAACAATGGAGAGGTGATTTGAAAATTGGATTAGCCTTCGTGGGTCTTATAGGGTTGATAATGGCACGACTTCTTGGCCTTGGAATGTCGGCAGGAGACATTGATATGTGACGGGTTTACTACAGTTAGATATGGCTGATCCGGATTCAGCACCACCCAATCGAATTCTCTTTTTTGCCGGTCGGATTGTGAACTCGTCAGTTTGAATATGGGATGTGGGGAGATATGGTGAATTGTTACCTGAAGCTGACATTGTTCTCTGTATAACAGGGTCGATCACTCCAACAGTGCCTGCTACTGCCTTGCAGCCTGCACAGGAGAGATTTTCTTGTGTGTTAAATCTGTATGTGAGAGAAAATACTTGATGCAGAGCTGAGGATTGATTAAAGGGCAAATTTTGCGTATTAATCCATCTTTAGAAATTGAAAAACTATGACACACTTTGCATCGTAAATACCACTTTATCTGTACTACGTAATTTAAATAAAGAAACACCTTCGGTCAAGTAGGACTTTGGAGATATTGAAATAGCTGGAGATGGTAAATGATTTTTAATATTTTAAAATAAAAGTAATCATATTGAAAATTTTACTTCAATGTAAAATACAAATTGAAAACATTTTTATTTTCGGTTTTACATATTTCTATTCACTACCTTTGCATTTTCTCTTTTATTTGTGAACATTAAATTTGTCAACTTCTCATCAATTGTTGAAAAGGTTAAAATATCACAAATAATCTAGAGTTTTTGTAAGCTACATTGTGACCTTGTAATGGTGGATGAGGGATATTGTGAAGATATTGACTTTAAATGTAGTCATTGAAAATGAAAAGGGTACCATCTCTATGCACTACAGCCTCTCCTCCCCTTATTGCTATTTTTAATAAATAAATTGTCAAAGAGAGAAGGTGAAACTAAGAGTGAAGATTCCAACATGGAAGGAGGCAAAGAACTCCAAAAGGTTGAGTTAATGATAGATTAACCTTATCATCTTCACTATATAAAGGGTGTTCCTCCTTTCTAAATAGAATGCCTTGGTCAATGAATCATTGAGCTTGAAGGTATCAATGACAAAGTAGTCAACACATTGTAAGGCCTCCCCAACTTGTACCACACCATAATGCCATTCCTTTCTCCTTGTGGATCTTGAAGAATTTGTTCCACAACCTTGGAAAGAGTGCATATATAATGCGAATAGTTCTCCTCTAGCTCATTTATATCAAGAGCTATAGTTAGACCTTATTTTGAAGGCTATTTTTGGGTGGGGGAGATGTCTTATGAGGCATTTATGATAAGAAAAATGAGGGCATTCTTTGCAAAGGATGATGCTATTCTCCCAAAACAACTTTAGTTGGATACTATTTTCCAGATAAAAAATGGTAGTAATAAATATTTTAATTGGTGTTTAAAAAATTGACAAATAATTGCACAATTAACATGTACCTATTAATTTTAGAGTGATTCAACTTTGTAGTTTACGTTTCATTATTTCAAAACCCCTTAAGCTATTTGAGTTGTATTGATTTCTATGAAGTTGACAACCACTAGATATTAATGTTTATGATCATGCACAATTAGTTGCTTCACTTCTTATTAGACCAGAAATCAGATGGCCTTTACATAATGTCTCCACAACCTTTTTTTTCTTAACTTTGACCCACCAAACATTTTTTCATGACTTATCACTCCACAATGTTTATGGCTCTAGCCTAAAATACATGAAGGTGTTGTCAAACATGGAGTGTAAATGTAATTTCTTCCATTGACTATCGTCCTTTATATCCAATTAAAGATTTTCATTTGTCAAGTTGTCAATTTAATTAGTTCTTGACCAAATTACTACATGACAAAGTAACACATTTTTTTGCTTTTTAAAAAAATCTTATGACATGTTAAGATACTCTGCCTTTATTAGGATTATTGACACGAGATAAGAAAACTTTGAAATTTATATAATCTCAAAAGATAGAATACATAACTCTTATATAGAAGAGAAGAAAGATGAGAGAGAAAGAGATAGATAATTGACTCTAATGGGTTAGAAGTCTAATATCACTATTGAACACTCTCTCTCAAGTTGGAGCATATAAGTCGAATATGTCTAACTTGATACATGTGACATCGTAGGAGATGATGAGATAATGTCACATGAGGAGTAGAGATAAGTTTAGACATAATTTTATTTTGAATATAGTGAATCGATCTCAATATTTTCGTACGTTCATGAAAGGTGGGATTGCTAACAATAAAGATGACGGCTTGATTCTCGTAATGCATGGACATTAGAGAGGGAGAAGTAATGTTAAAATCATTGAAAAGTGATCGAAGCATATCATTTTTTACCCTATCTTAATCATGGCTCGATATTTGGATTTTGTATTAGAGTAAGACACTATTATTTTTGGGACTACCAGGTGACTAAGTTACTGTCGACGTATGTGCAATAACCCGTAGTAGACTTTCGGTTGTCTTTGTCACCTGTATACCCGGCGTTAGAGTAAGTTGCAATGCAGAGAGAGTTGTGTCACCGATAGATGAGTCCTTTTCCTGGAGATTGCTTGATGTAGGCGAAGACTTGTAGAGCTCCCTCCCAATGAACTCGTCGAGTCTCCTACATGAACTAGCTCAAGATATTAATTGTGTACATGATGTTAGGGTGAGTGACGGTGAGATATATCAACTTGCCCAACAATTATCAATACTAGTTAGCATCTTTGAGTAAGGGAGATGAAGGATCTTAGAACTGCGGGCGAGCTTCAATGGGCGAAGTCTCCGACTTGTACTCAAGGAGGCTTATCTTCTGATGTTTGTCGAGGACATACTTCCGCCGAGTGAGGGTGAGCTTCTCGTCTTAATATGCAAACTCAATCCTAAAGAAATATCATTGAGTGCTCAAGTCACAAATACTAAGGTGTTATTACAAGTAAGCTTTAGTAGTAGAGATGTCGGCTTCATCACTTCCAATCACAAAAATATTGTCGACAAAGACTGCAAGGATGATAAGGTCGTCCTCTATCTTCTTTGTGAGCAAAGTAGAGTATGTAGTGTAAGAGGCAAAGTCGAAAGTGGTAAGTAAACCGCTAAACTTGACGAACCAAGCACATAGACTCTACTCGAGCCCATAAATAGCATGTTGCAAGAGACATATCTTTGATGACTCTCCCTGAGCAACATACCCAAGAGTTGCTCCATAAAGACTTGTTCTGTGAGATCATCATAGAGAAAGACGTTAAAAATATTTAACTGGTGGAAAGACTATACCTAATTGATGGTGAGAGAGAGGAGCACGCAGACAGAGTTGAGGCGGATGACAAGAGAGAACATCTCAGTGTAGTCGATCCTATATGCCTACGTGAAGTCCTGAGTAACCAGACAAGCTTTGTGATGAGCGATGGAGCCATTGGGGTGATACTTGATAGTAAACATCTATTTATACATCACAATATTGACATCAGTTGGGCGCAAAACCAAATCTCAAGTCCCCCGAGCAACCAATGCAGCTACCTCCAAATCTATGGCCACCTTCTACGTAGGTACCTATGTAATCTCAACATACGACTGTGAAAGCGACTTGAAGGCCACAGAGAGAGCAGTAACACGAAAAGAGAGAAAAATGGTGACAAACTAGGAGATAGGATGGTGGTTGTAGGCACGTGTACCTTTGCAGAAGGCAATAGAGAGATGAAGGTCATTAGGTGGAGTAGCGACCGAAGATGTGGAGGGGATCATAGAAGAGGAAGAGGAGGACATTGCATCAAGAGTAGGAGGAGCCATAGGAGACATGGGCCGAAGAGAGGTGGGTGCGTGTAATAACTCTAAAGAGAGTGGACAAGAGGGAAGAGAAGGAGGGTCTACAAGAACCACCAAATGAGGGAACCTAGGTGAAGGAGATGTAGCAGCCTAAGGAGGAGGAGTCAAAATAAGAGAGAAAAAAGGAAACTCCTCATGGAAAGTGATGTCAGCCGAGGTCACATAGTGACGGATATCGGGGAAGTAGACCCGATAGCTCTTTTACATCCGAAAGTAGTTGACAAAGACTCTTTTAAGAGCATGAGGGGCGAGTTTAGAAAGAGAAGGAGATGAATCCTAGACGAAGGCAGTGCATCTAAAGATTGAGGGGGAAGAGAAAAAAGAAGAGAATCAAAGAAGTCAATTCTAGAGGTAAGTGGCAGTCAAGGGCGTTAGTCCAAAGATAGTGGGGGACATTCATTTCAAGAAGAAGTGTGCAAATGATGTCAAGGAAATGACGATGTTTGCACTCAACAACACCATTCTATTGCGAAATGTGAGGACAACTAGTATGATAAAGGATGCCACGATCATCGTAGAAGGTGTGAAGAGATATTTGGACAAATTCAAGAGCGTTGTCAGTACAAAGAATCTTGGGCGTAGTTATGTATTGGGTGATAACTTCGATGATGAAGTGGGTAACCATAGTGACGACCTCAAAGCGATCGCGAAGGAGGTAGACCCAACTCACATAAGTATAGTCATCAATAAAAATAATGTAATAATAATGATTCGAGATGGAGTAAGTACTGATGGACCTTATATATCGTAATAAATAAGGTCAAAGGGAGCAAAAGAAGGAATGTCATCATGATTAAGATAATAAACATGGTGATATTTGTCTAATTGACAAAACTCACACTCAAACTTAGAGAGAGAAAGCTATGGTAAGATTTTTTGTAATCTAGAGAAACAAAGATGGCCTAAACAATGATGCCACAAAAGAGAAGAAGTAGTTATAGAGGTGACAAAAAAGGGCTAGAAGGTCAAATGAGGGCTCATCAAAAACGAATTCTTAGATACTTTGCCTATTTTCATAGCCTAAATCAATCCTTTGTCTGGTATGCAAATCTTAGAAAGTATAGTGAAAGGGAAATAATGTGATTATACAAAAGAGGGCACATGTAGTAACATTGATGGAAAGAAGGTTAGTAAGAAAATTAAGAATATAGAGAACTTGGGTAAAGTGAAGGGAGGGAGAAGTTGAGGTGACACCATGACCTTTGACTAGACAAGTCCGACCATTGGCAATGGTGATAGGGGAATGGGTCAAGGTAGGTTGATAGGAAGGGATAATAGTAAGGATGTTAGTCATGTGGGTGGAGGCCTCCGAATCAATAATCTATGGCATCGAAGAAGAAGCAAGGAGAATATGTGTACTTGGCATAGAGGAGGCTAGAAGTGAGGCAAGATTGACAGAAGTGGAAGCGGTAGTACCATTGGTGCAGCGAAGGGCATTATATTTTGCAGATGTCAAGGTCACATGGAAGGTAGGAGTTAGATCATAGAAAAGATTGGGGGATGCTAGAGTCGGAGAAGTTATTGTCAATTGTGCGGAAGTAAGCTTGCCGAACTACTTCCAACACTTAGTAGCCAGATGATTTTACTTCCCATAGTACGGACATGGAGGAAAAGTGTTGCGTTTGCATCTGTGAAGAGTACGATCACTATCAAGGTGGTAAGGAGGGGTATCATCTCGAGCCTGTAGAGCAGCAATGGCAAGAGCCTGAAGAGATGAAGAGATGAAGAGGAGTGTACGAGCATACCAGTGGTGACCTGAAGGGCTACTGAAAAGATGGAGATAAGATCAGGCATGCAATCCCTAGAGAGTGCAGTCCCTCAGATCTGGGATGTGATGGACAAATGGAGTCCACTAAGATAAACTCTAACATAAAACTCTTAATGATAGCATTGGAGGGTCAAGAGGTCGGTAGTAGGGGGCTGATAGATATCAACCTCTTAGATGAGGGCCTAGAGGTGATTGTAGTGAGCCTGAAGAGAAAGATCTTCTTATTTGTAGGAGAGAAAAGACTCAAAGATCTCCACAACTCAATTGACGTTCGTTCAATTAGTGTATATGGTTTCCATAGTGAGTCATAGGAGATGGACTGAGGTGATATGCACTAGTGGCTTGACAATGCTGAACTCGATGCTCCAAAATATTCATGTGATGACCGCCAAGTCGAGCTGCAACCATGTTGCATACGAGGGGTCCCAAAGGCCAGGTGGGTCCTCTGAGAAGTGATGGAAGAGACTGTGAGATCTAAGAAAAAGCTCGAAGCTAGATGTCTACAATGCATAATTATAATCGTCAAAGATGTACATCAGTCAAGTAAGTTGCGCCGTGATGGAGTGGTGAGTCAGAGGAACTGTTAAAGAAGGGAAAACACCAGCTGAAAGAAGTTTAGAGGGGTCAAAGGCAAGTGACGAAGGGGCGTGAGAAGACACCATGAGGCCAGGGTCTCTGAGCCGAAGGGACAAGTGGTGGGGTAAATAGGTTGGGGCTCGACGGGCCAATTTGGAGGGGCAGGCAAAGCCAGAGGGGAAAGTAGAGTTGGCTGGGACTAGCTAGGGCTGACTGGGGCCGGTTGGGGCCGATTGGGGCCAATTGGGGCTCATTGGGCTGCGTTGGGCCTACGAATTCGCACGGGGCCAGCTCATCCAACTGGGCCTGTCCCGAGTGGGCTGGTCCAAAAGAAAATTGCCAGCTGGCTCGCTAGGAGACATGCAAAACCCTAGTCGCCACAGCCAGATGGTGACAGCGTCAGTGACGGCAACGACGAGGCTGGGGTGCGATAGCAAGGGACCAACGGCAAGGTAGCGACGATGAGGGCGTGATGGCAAAGGCACAATGGTGAGGGTGCGACGAGGAGGAGGGACCTCAACGACGGCAGCGACACCCTCGACACTTGAGAATGATGGTGCCTGTAATGGCACGACAGCGAAGGCACAACGGCGAGGAGGGGCCTCAACAATGATCATGACGGTGGAGATGTCGGAGAAGAGGAGAAGAGCAACGACACCAGTGAGGGGTGACGGCGGCGAGGAGGGTGGCATTGAAAGGAGAAGGAGAGCGACGACAGAGATGATGACGCCAGAAGAGGGAAGAGCGGTGATGCTAAAGAGCCGCTTGAAGAGGGAAGAGGCTGATGAGGAGGAGAGTGAGGCGTTGGAGAGAGGCAGTGTACTAGAGAGGAGGAGGACGACGAGGGATACCTAAGGCTTTAATACCATGTTGACACGAGGGAGGAAAACTTTGGAATTCATGCAATCTCAAAAGATAGAATACATGACTCCTATATAAGAGAGAGGAGAGATGAGAAAGAGAGATAAATAATGGGCCATAATGAGTTGAGAGTCCGATACCACTATCGAATAAGGATAATATAATGTGTCAAATCTCTTAGAGAAAATCTATTTTTTTATCTCTCTTGGGATTTTTGTTTTACTTTATCTAAGTAGACACACTTCTCTCTCATCTATTTTTAAGCTTAACTAGGTCGACATATTATCTCTCTTAATTTTTCTTTTTAAAACTTTTTTTGTTCGTTATGATTTTTTTTGCTTCTAATTAATGCCTTTTGATGAAAATTATTTTGTGTATAATTCCTGAAAAGTATATTGCAACAATAAATGAATGATTTATACCTTCATCCTTGCATTAATGTAATAACAATATAATATCTATGATTATTGTTTCTATCTTTTTATGTTTATTTTTAAACATTTTTAAAGCATTGAGAAGATCAAAATAAGTCAAAGGACAGTATGTTGACATTCTCTACAAGTTGAACATGGGTTGACCAAGAAGATGTTTGTTTCATCAAACTGAAATCATTTGAAATATAATAACCATTCTTTCAAATGAATTTCAATCACAGATCAAATCAACGATAGACTCTTCCAAGTGTTTTCACAAATGAAGATGAGAAATGTTCAGAGGCTTTCGGAGATATTTCTTAATCCCATGAATTTCAATTATAATTATGTAGGAGAGAATAGTGGAAACCAAGGATTTGAAAGCTTGGTAATTCAAGGTAGGCCAAACAAGGTTGAACCATTAAAAGAGGTTATGTTCTCCACTGAACCATTATAGATGATGTATAGACTCATGTGTTGACCCAAGTTAGTTGAAACCCAAAGTGTATGAACTCATGTGTTGACTTAGCACATTATATATATTTATAAAATCAGAAGCAAAATATATTAAAAAAAAAATGAATTCACTCCGATCTCTTAGGGTCCAGTCCAGCCTACCTAAGACCAACATCTATAAGTTAAATCTTACTAGTTTATAAAGATGGTGAGAAGGCTCATCATGCATTGTACAAGAAGTGAGGAAATAATTGAAGTTATGTCATAAGCCACCACCACCAAGCTATTCATGTATCACGTTGACTTTTGGCCATCGTAGTTGCTACTGGAAGCTATGCTATACATGCTCAATCTTCATCACGGTGAATTATGTATGGTGGGGAATGAGGGTGCTTGTCTCATATGAATAATTCTGGATTTATCCTTATGGGATCTTTATACGTGCCCCTTGGTGATACGATCCACTTGGACCACTTCTAATGGTGTGGTCGGCATGAGATGAATTACACGCGATTAATTTTTTATTAGGATGATTCTGAAAACGTCCCTTCTCCCGTCATTGGCTTTTGTGAACGTGTCGCAGATATCGGTCGTCCATGATTTTACTCACGTGATTAATAGCGCACGCGGTCTCCGCCGCGGAATGTGAATAACATCACGTGGTTCATGCACGAGAGGCGGCCCTGCGCCCTACCCGGTCCCCACGCTATAAGCTCTCCACTGCCGTTTTCTACTCGACACAGAGGTCTCTCCTCTCGTACTTCGCTGATCAGAATGAGCAGAGCTCCGCTGATGCGGACGAGGTCTGGGCCTCTCCGATCGCCGCTGGTTGTCCATCACCACGACAACACTGCCGGCGGCATCTCCGTCCTCAAGCGAGCAGGCTGCGGCGGAACCCTAGCGCCGCTAATGTCGCTGCATCTCGACCGGCGGGAGAGAGGGGGGCGCTCATCGGTGGCCTTGCGGAGGGTTCGTTCGGAGGGCGGATTGTCAGGATATGACCGGCGGACGGGCTTCCTCTCCAGGCAATCAGGGGTGGGGTTATGGCCGGAGGATGGAGGGATGGCGCCGCCGGTGGATGTGGACTTCTCCTGTGGCGATGACGGTGTTAGAGGAGGAGGAGGTGGAAGAAGGAGCATATCAGAGTCTGGTGGCGGTGGCCAGAGCGAGATTGGGGCGTACTACCGAGAGATGCTGAAGGCGGACCCGGGGAATCCTCTGCTTCTCAGGAACTACGGCATATTCCTTCACGAGGTACATACGGCAGATTCTCTGCTTCTCTAGACATTCCAACAAGAATTTGGGAAATCCCTCCTGAATTGTTTTGTTTTATCTGTAAATTAGGTCGAAGGGGATGCGGTGGGGGCGGAAGATTGCTACGCCAGGGCCATCCTGGGAGACCCCGGCGACGGCGAGTTGCTGTCGCTCTATGGGAATCTCATCTGGGAGGCGAGCGGGGACGAGATCCGCGCCGAGAGGTACTTGGAGCGCGCCGTCGAGGCCTCCCCTGAAGACTCGTAAGGATCTAGATCCCAGCCATCGTAGGATGAGAATGGAATTCCCTGTGACTCGATGCCAATAAAGCTCTGAGATACCTGTGCTGCAGACATGTTCTCGGAGCTTACGCTCACTTCCTCTGGGACGCCGAGGATGGAGAAGAGGAAGAGGCGGCTTCGTTCTCTGCGTTGTCATCGTCCTCGCGCTTGGTGGAAGCGGGCTGAGAAGGGTTCCTATGGCTGCTGGTATGTTTATGCACTCTGTGATGGTAATGGAAACTAAATAAATAAAGAGGCTGGGAGTAGTGATGTTGGAAGGAGATTGGGGGCAGCGGCGTCGTGGAGCATCTATACATTGAGCACTAGGACTCCGGATGGCTACTGCCGGGATACGGGATACAGAAAGAGGGAATACAAAATAACCAAGACCTCTCAGGAAGTGGGCTCGTCGATACGAGATGGTGAGTCTCTAGCTCCGAATGGAGTTCTTCACGAGGTTCTTCCTCCTCTTTCTGTGGCCACTCGACCCTTCTTTATAGCCGTAGTCTGCCCATCTCGACAACTGCCTCCCATCTAGTGGTCGGATCTGACGGGACCTGAGATTGCCGTGCTCCGTCGGTGTCGGGTCCTGCTACTATCCTAGTTCCCCACCGAAATCCGTCAGCCGCACACGCCTCGTCTGCAGGCTCCCACATGCCATTGTCCTTTTCGGTGTCTAACTCATGCTTACCTTGCTTCGGCTGGGCTGACTTCTTCAGGACCTCTTTTCTCGTGACAATACTTCCCCTCTCCCTAATTTCACACCTTGTCCTCAAGGTGTAAGTTAGGAAACTGCCAGTAGGTGTCGTGAGCTGGTTCTCATGTGGCGGCTTCGGTCATCATCTCCTCCCTGTGGATCAATGTGTGATACTTCGAGTTGCACAGTCTCACCGTATTCTAGGGATGTGTTCGGGAAGAGCTACTCCACTTGATCGTCGTCTGGTCGGTAGTTGGAGTCAGTGGGGGAGAATAGAATATTCAGCTTGCATCTTCACCGATGGCCAGGCACGAACTTCTCGCCGTAGTAGAAGCAGAGGCCTTGGGCCGTTCGGGCTTGGATTTCTATCACCATGAGGTGCAACCACCGTTGCTGATCTGCCGGAGGGGCGCCAACTGTTAGGCACGACGTGCTTGTCGTAGGTGGCCTTAGCCCATGTTTTTCTCCACAGTTACTTGTGTCGGTTGGTGAGGGGCGTAGCAAATGCTCGTCGTATGCTGAGGTTACTCTCTCTGAGCCTATGGCCTGCCACAGTCGACCTCTGCTTGTTAGTGTCATCAGCTTAGTTTCAAACCTTTTAAGTCTTTTGCATCATCGCCTCTAAGCCTCATGGGTTCAGGGTGATCACTTCTGCTTGTATCACCTATCATAGACCCTTGAGAAAGTTTCCCTCTAGAATAACATCCGGCACATTGCGGAGAATATAGGACAGTAGTTCAAATTATTCCTAGCAGTCTTCCACCGACTCCATCTGCTTGAGTTTGAGAAATTACTGGCCGAAGGATCTAGAGTGATTGTCTCCATAGCATTTCAGCAGCATGTCTTTTAGGTCTTCTTAGCTACAGAATGGCTGCTGAGATTTGACCTATTGGAGCCAATGGAGGGCCTTTCTGTCCATTGTGATGCACACCACTACTAGTTGCTTGGGTGCCATCAGCCGATAGGTGGAGAAGTAGATCTCCATGTGATATATTCAGCCTTCAAGATCAGAACTGGGGGAAGATGAAAAATTCCAATTGTTGTTAGGGTTGGGATCTAGGGGCCCTCGCGGTTGTTGGCAGTCAAGCAGCCCACCGTGGAGGCGTGAGTTGGCAACTGGATCCTCTCGGTAATAAGGGTTACTCAATGGGACCAAAGGTTAGCTTGTGCTTGTTTCCCTGGGGAGCCAACTCCTCCAATGGCTCTGGGGAAAGCTTGGCTTTGCCAACTTGATTGTGAGAGATGCCTATTTGGTGCTGAATGTAGTCAAGGATCTAGGACACCGACCCTAGTTGGTGAGAGGCTGAATGAATCTAGTTGTTGGCTCATGTCAACTTGTCCTACTTGCACTGCTTGAAGCTGCTTAACATGGGCCGCTAAGTCATTGCTAGTGATGTGCCGAAACTCTTCCAACTCTTTTTTGAGAGAGTTGAGTTTGGGATTAGAGGGTTTGGGCCCCATGAAAGCATGGTTGAGGCTCTAATACCAATTGATGACAACCCTTTGACTGAGGCGTTAACACTCAAATTGATTCAATAGATAAACCTGTCTCATACAAAACTTCCAAGCACCAAGACTCCAAATGACTACCATCGGAAGACCAGGTATCAAGAGGAGAGAGAGATTGCTCAATGAGGGATACATGATACAGAAAGAGCGAATACAAAATAACTAAGACCTCTCAGGTCGTGGGGTCGCCGATACGAGATGGCGAGTCTCTAGCTCTAAATAGAGTTCTTCACGAGGTTCTTTCGTTTCTTTCTGTGGCCACTCAACCCTTCTTTATAGCCATAGACTGCTCGTCTCAGCGACCACCTCCCATTTAGCAGTCAGATATGATGGGACTTGAGACCTCCCATGCTTTGTTAGCTAGGTCTTGCCATTGTCTTGGTTCCCCATCAAAATTTGTCTGCTGCACACGCCTCCTATCCTATAGGCTCCCACATGCGATTGTCCCATCTAGTGTCTAACTCATGTTTACCTTGGTTTGTTACTGGGTTGGGCTAACTTATTTGAGACCTCTTTTCTCATGAGCCCATTTGGGTTGTCAGGGTCTCAACACAGTCCTCCACCTAGACTTAGTCTAGAGCTCTTGTCCTAGAGACACTGGGACCAAGCGTTGTCAAGAAAGTCCATGGTTGAGGATAGGTTGGAGAAGGCCCTTTACAACATCTAGTGTCTATGAGAAAATTTTCCAAAGAAAATGGATGAAGTTGACCTATTATATTAGCAATTTTGTGGAAGCCCTTTGATTATACTAATCTACTAAATTTTCTATGAATAATTGAAGTTAGTAAATGATGTTTTTTGCACAATCTATTATACTCTTGATGAATGCAATTGAAGATGAACATTGAAACCTTGTTCCCTTTTGTAGCTTTGCCCTCTTCTAAGAACTGCACTGATCTTAATGAAGGAGGCCTTCATCGAGAATTTTGAAGCAATTTATTTTCTAGCAATTTTTCTTGTAGGATAATTTTAATGAAAATAAATAAATAAAGACATTCTCCATTGCTATAACCTCATTGGAAACATGTTGATCAATCTATTGAGTAAGTTTGTGGTTAGGCCACACTTTTTCTTTTTTCTGAATTTTGGCCTATATTTAAAGGTATAAAAGAAATCAGTCCCTTTCAAAGCCCAATGTCTACATGTCAACCATCAACATGGCAACTTGTGTTTCTCCCGTCCTCAGCCATGAGTCATTGAACTATGTTTCCATATGTATAGACTATGTGAGTTGATTTATTAGTTCACCTTTTTTCATATGAGAAAAGACATAAAGAATTTTATAGTAGTTTGACTCTCCCTAGTCTATCCTTCTATAGTTACCTACTTCACTAAACATAGGTGTCCACTCACGTTTACACCATTAACTTGAAGGCTCTATCTAGGATGGCTATTGAACCTATATCCTCAATAACTTGGATACAAAGTTCTAGTTATGGGTTGGGCTATATGAATCAACCTCTAATATTTTTTTACAAGCATCCCTCCATTAATAAGTCATACAATAAATATGAACATAAATTTACATATTTCATAACAAATATTTTTTTAAAAGAAAAGAGGTGCAGAATATCTGAATTTAGAAGCTTGATATTATATTTTTGCCACTTGCTCATAAGTTTTCTTTTGGAAAATATGAAAGTTTATGTACTTTTATACTCTCTTGATTTCAATGTGGAATGTTCATCTTTCACTAATGCAGAATTTACTTCTTTTGAGGTGCTGAATGGCCAGAAATTACTCCTATACAATCACTCATTTGGAGAGAAAGCTGTGAATACCCAATGCCTGGTAGTTTGTAGTGTGCCATCATGCCAAGTCATTATTCTTATCTTTCCACTTGATATATATGGCATAACAGCCATTCAATTTGGGTGGGTCAACTTTGTGTGAGGGGGGCTCTTTTTGCAACCTGTAAAGCAAATTGCACTCTATTATATGAATGGAGATCAGTATATAGTAATATCATAATGAAGGAAAGGCATCAAAATCAGAACATCGATTTTTGTAGAATTGTCACACTTCACCTTGACTACTTTGTCAACAATTTCAACACGGTAGTCTCTTCTCATTTTTGGGCCCTCTTTTAGGGTTAGACTCGAGTAGTCTATGCCTCATAAAGGTTGACATGTTTTCACTCGGGTTAAGCAAAAGAAATCAGAAATCTATGTTCCATAAACAAAAAAACTCAGATTTGGCTAAAAGCTGGTGCATGGTACCATTATTCTATTAATAGTAATAAAGTCGACTATTTTCATTTAGCAAGGCATAAACGCCAGCTTCCATTTTCAAATATCTTTTTAATCAGGCTTGGCCTTAGAAAATAAGTAAGATCAAGAGAACTGAAGCAAGATTTCTGGAGATGTGCCCAGCCACATAGTCTCGACAATATTGGCGGATAACTCACCAACCAATAGACCACTCCATATATACGGCCTCCTATAACCATGTTCTGGTTTATTGCTTATAAAATATGGTTTTTCATATGGTTTATATAACATTTGTAGATAAAACTTTATTGCATTAAAATATGGTTAATTGAAAAAAATAACTGCATGTGATTTATTAGACTTACGAGATATAAGAAAACGAGTCCTAGGTTAATGAAAAGTATAACCGACGCCAAGTGGATGAGATAGAGGTAATTCAAAGTCAACTCGAACATGGTCAAATTACTTCATATTTACTGTAACATAAAAAAACGTCCCCACGAATATTCGACTGGAATTTGAGTTGTGGCAGAACGACAGAGATCATGATTCTGAAAAGGGTAGAACATCGCTTTGTACATCAATGTGTATGGATGGAAGTAGAGAAAAGTATGACCAGGGCTCAGGGTTATTTAGACCCGAAGTTCCTATATAAACCGCAATCGGTATAAAAAAGAACGTTTCCCCAGTTCCTCGTTGCCGACTCTGAGGAATCGAGGGAGGGGATGGGGAAGAGGCCCCCAGATGTGTTTGAGTCCCTCTTCGCCCCCGACAACCCCTTCCGGCGGAAGCCGGAGCCCCAGGCGCCACCTCCCAAGCAGGAGGATCAGCACCAGATTAGGGTCGCAAGTCCTTCTTCCAAAGGTGCCGATGAAGGGGTCGACGGGGCTGGGGCTGGAGGCCCCGTCGATGGAACTGGCCTCTCCGGCGAAGAAGGACCAGGCGCTGTCAGCTCGAGGAAGCGGAAGAAAGCCGTCGTTTCTGTGGTTTCTGCGGAGGACGACCGTGAGGACGACAAGAGGCAGAGGAAGGACGGGGGTAGACCCGCCGAGAAAAGAAAGAAGAGGAAGAGAGATGAGCTTGAGGCTGAGTATGAGAGGAGGAAGCTGGGGTACGTGGTGAACGGGAGCAAGGCTTCAAAAGAGGGCAGTGAAGGAGAAAAGGACTCTGTGGGTGTTGCTGTCGGGCGCAAGAGGAAAGGGATGGACGAAGGGAAGGATATGAAGTTGGAGGAGTCCTTCGACGATGAGAGCAAGCTTTTGAGGACGGTCTTCGTGGGTAATCTGCCGCTGAAGACCAAGAGGAAGGCCCTTTTGAAGGAATTCAGTGGGTTTGGTGAAGTTGAGTCCATTAGGTTGCGCTCAGTTCCCCTCTTGGATGTAAGTTCCTGTGTCGATTGAGTGGGGGTTTTCTTTGTTTATTATTTTCTATTTGGTTTTGTGCATCCGATTTAAAATGGTGAATGCTTTGCAATCTTGTTCCGTGTGTTTCCGTTTATCAGACTAAGACTCCGAGGAAGGGCGCAATCATCAAGGGGCAAGTTAATGAGGCTGTGGACAGGTATCGAAACTTCTTTAAAGTTGAATTTCAAGGTTCTGTTGTACGCGTTTTTCACTGCCAGATAGTTTTGCATCTCTCTTTCATGATTGACTTTGTATAATTCCTTTTATTTCCTGCATTTCTTAGTGGAGTATTGTGCTCTGGATTTTTGTGTGAGTCTGCATTAATCTTGTTTGATTCAGTGATCGATATTTCTTTCTTTCGTTATTAATCGTAGATTGCAGGTGTTATTATAATATGACTACTCTTGGGAAATCCCTACCCAATGCACAGATCAATCGTTTCTTCTGTATAGTTGGATATTGTTTTCTGTGGGACTGTAGAGTTGTTTCTTATTTCCTCTCTTAAAAAAACATTGTTTTGTCTATGCTACTTATTGTCAGATAACAGACTTCCATTTGGGGAATTTTTTATCTGACTCCTAGCATTTATCTGCAGTGTGAATGCATACATTGTTTTCAAAGATGAGCAATCAGCACGGGCTGCATTGGTACGCAACATGGGGAAGGTATGCATATGGTAATCAGTGATTTCAGATCTAACATATCCAGAAAAGATGATCCCAATTTGATTTCCATATTTTTAATTCATCATTTTGGATTTCTTGACTAGGAAAGTTTATTTTCTCAATTGTGGTATGATGCAGTTTGACGGGAATCACATTCGTGTTGATATGGCATGCCCACCTCGGAAGAAAATGAAGACAGAAACTCCTCTGTATAACATGAAAAGAAGTGTTTTTGTGGGTAACCTCCCTTTTGATGTCAAGGTAATCCTTAAATTTAAAGAATTGTAAGCGCTTGCATGATTTGATTTTTTTTGAGATGTAATGGAAGTAACCATTAAGACTTTTGAACTCCTGCTTGTTACAGGATGAAGAGGTTTACCAGTTGTTCTGTGAGGACAATCAATTGGGATCTAATGTAGAAGCTATAAGGGTTATTAGAGATCCACAGACAAGTTTGGGAAAGGGTATTGCCTACGTTTTGCTTAAAACGAGGGTTAGTCTCATTGATCGAACTTTTTTCTCTTAAACTTGTCTTCATTCTCTTCGTAAAATTTAGTTGTTTCATTGAGATTTCTGTTATGTTGTGACAACTTTAAGGTGTCAGTTTGTCTGCCTGACCTTTATTAAACATTTAAGAATGTTGTAGCATTATTTCTTACCAGTGAATCAATTTAAACTGTTTGTGATGGTGGGTATGGGCTTTCTTGTGTATATAATGCTTCCTTGTCATGACATGCGCCTTTTTCTGTGTTGAATAGGTTGTAACGATGAATTAAATTTATGAGGTTTTGAGATTCTAATATTTCTGGGTCATGAATGTAGGCTTCTTTTATCCGATGATGAAAATTTCCTCGCTGAAATTTGTCCAAAAGTTGTTACTCTCCTATGAGATATCTTTTATCTTTATTCTGATATTATTTATCGTTTTTACATATTTATCATTATTTATCTTTTGTCATAACCGTCATTTTCTTTGGAGTTAGTGAAGAGTTTTTGAAAATATTAGCCCTATCTTCCAAGAGAACCATCAGAGGAGCAACATGGGCTGCCAAGTTTAGTGCACAACGTGATTCAGAAAGATATGAGACGTAGGCACAATGCTGTTCAAAAACAAGTCTCATGTTGCACTGGCACACGCTCTAGTTTTGCCATTTAATGGAGACGCCCAAACCAACTTTTGGATTGCGTATTGTGGTAGATCCTTACTTTGTATGGTTCTCTTGGGGACTTTTCACTCAGCATCGTATGAAGTAATAAATTGAGGTTTTTTTTCCCTCTGATCAAAGGCTCAGATAAATCCTGATCAATCAAATACTTCTCATTCTTCGAAGTGAGTAGCCTACTTGATTATGCATCGATAAGCCGCCTACTTAGCTAACCACAAGGTCCCACGAAATTTTGAGGGGATTGCTATGTATTCTGGTAGTTGAATCCGCAGTGCGCTCTGGCAAGGCTTTGGATATAAGGCCAACGTGTATTAATCGGGAGAAAAGAAGTCAAGTTAATCCGTTGGGCAGCAATGTAACTAAAATTTCGACTTCTCGATTTCGGCAGTGAATTCCATTAGGACAAGATATTTGACGAAGGTTCACACATTCTAGGCTGCAGGTCAACATTCGCAATGAGATGAATTTCTCTCAGTTGGTGTGTTTCAACTTCCCACTAATTCGCATTTCAATGGCGAGGCTGTGTTTATTCTGGAACTTCTCAATACGTGGGAATCTCAGAACCATCATCAGTCTTCAATTTTTCAGTCGATTTTTTTTATAAAAAAATAAATAAAATGGTATGGCGCGCTGACATAATCTTGTTGAGAATGGGATATTCAAGCATGATGAGATGTATTCCTGACCAGTGACATTTGAGCCATACATACTTATCCTGCAGGAAGCGGCGAATGCTGTCGTCAGAAGAAAATACTGGAAGCTCCGTGATCGGAGCCTCAGGCTTTCCCATGCCAAGTCAGAATCCGCCCCCACCAAGGCCACAACTCCTCAGAAGAGGAGCGGCCCCTGGGACAGAAGGGCGGACTTCCCCAGCAAGAGGGCAGAAACCGCCTCAGAGGTGACTCCATCAAGCAAGAGCAGCAGACCCAGCAAGTCTGGCTCCCTTTCATACCAGGGCCTCAGGGCCAGCAAGAACGGGGCCGAGAAGAAGGTGGGCAGGAGTAGTGCCAGCGGGCGACAGAACCCCTTCTTCCAGCCAAGAACGCCTGCATCAGCAGAGCAGAGGGATCTCAAGAGGAAGAGGCCCGCAGTCGCTGCGAGGAAGGCAAAGACCCTCAGAGAGCTGGGCAAGAAGCGGAAGCAGGAGGGTGCAACGCCTGAGAATGCCCACCGGAGTAAGAAGCCTCGGCATCTCAAGTAGTAGAGGAAGGGGATCTGCAACGAGCAGTGTACTTGTTGACACATCTGCTGATCCGAGTGTTTTAATTAGTCAATTTTCTACGACAGTTGAATTCTTCTTTCCTTCACTCTTTCAGCAGAGGGCTCTCTGCTCAATGGGATCTCCTATGGATTTAAACAGATGCAAAATAAAGTAAAATAAAATAAAATAAAAATTGTTGTGATACAAGTGGAATAGTAGAGACAATAACAATACAGTCGGGGTCAACGGGGTTGACAATGGTACAATATTTTTCCTTTTTTTTTCTTGGGGGGAGAAGGAAAGGAGAGTGGGGATAGGGGGCTTCACTGCATAACAACATCTACACCTGATAGCAGCAGTATTTCTTCCACGGGTAGCCCCTCTGCAAGAGGCCATCCATCAATTTGTCGGTCAGAATCATCATTTTTTTTTTTTAATTTCTTTTCTTGCTGTTGTGCGAGGAAATCTTCATGTGGCATCATCTGCACAGATGGTTTAATAATAGCTGACGGTTGACAAATTCAAGAGAAAGGGGATCCTTCTTCGTCGTGTTAGAATGATGGAATGGCTTGGAGGACGACGCTCCCACGCTCAGCCGTTAATCCCCCTTGGCCTTGTCCTCGTCCTTGTCCTTGGCCTTGCTCAAGATGGTGGGTGTAACTGAAATAGCCCCAATGAGGAAGAGGGTGGCCACGGATTGGAAGTCATAGAGGTCATTGACGGACTTGAGGTCTCCCAGTGCGATGCCCGCCTGCATGGACGACAGTGGACAAGTTTGGATCACTCACGGAGAGACTTGAAGTATATATAACAAATATGGGGGCAACAGCACATTCTTGGAAAGGAAAGGATTTTCTGTTCCCCGTCGCCAGTACCCGAACAGTGACAAAGGCAGCTGGGATGAGCCCGATGAAGGTCGCCAGAAAGAAGGTATGGTAGGGAACGTCCACAATGGGCGACGCCATGTTGATGAAGGTGTTTGGTAGCGTGGGAGTGACTCTCAGGAAGAGCATGTAGTTCAATAGTTTCCCTTTTCTGCTCGCAACCTGATGGAAATCAGTTCAGACTTTTAATCAGCCGAAGAAAAAAACCAGGTATCTTGGTTTAGAAATTGTCAATAACCTACCCATTTTATCAAAAATGCAAATCTTAAGAAAAATATTTTTGATTAAATGTGATCTAATGTATGTTTTCTTCTCTCAAATTTGTATTCACACAAAAACTGAATAAATACCAGCCAATAAAAGGCTATCTGGGTCATAAGAGAAGATAAAATTTTAAAAGAGGAGAATGTGAGAAGCTCTCAGCTGACTCTGTACCTGTGCTTGGAACAATCTAAGCTTGTCTGGCCACAGAGAGATCACCAACGGCCTTCCAATCAGCTTTGACAGGAAAAAGCAGGACGATGCGCCCGCAGTTGCAGCAAAGACCACGAGGGCGACACCACTGGGGACCCCGAAGAGAGCTCCGGCGAGGAGGGACATGAAGATGGTCCCCGGGATCATGAAGGTCTGCATGAAGATGTAGACTGCACAGTATCCAACTAGAACCTGTAGTGTGTAGTCACTTGCGTAGCTCTCGAGGTGATCCCTGCAGATGTCGACTTGCAGGGTGAGTTCTGGGACAATCAGACTAAATTTAGAAAGCCTTCATCAGGGTGAGGCTGAAGGGAAATAATAACAGATGCGCACTTCGGGGAAGAAGCATTGCCCATTATGCCAAAGTGGCAACCAGAGTCATAGGAGAAGCGAGTGCGGACCATGAATTCTAGATACGTAAAGTTGCACGAGAAGAAATCATTTGAAAAGAATTCGATTTCATGAGAAGGCTACAGGATCTCACCTTGTTGAAGTGATTAGAGGCTCTGATATGCCGCAACAAGTGGAAAATGTAGAGGATTGCCATGTTCTTTTCATGAGGGAGTGTGGGAGGGGAGATTCACCCGGCGAGGGCCACACAATTAATGACATAGCAGAGGAAGAAAAAGTACGGTGCGAGGGTTTCAATTTCTCTCACAAACACGGTTAGTACGACGTCGTAAGCCCTTTGCAAATCAAATCAGATCAACCTGGTCCATTTCCAATTCACTTTTTACCACCAGACAGTTTCCCTAATCCTCTCCTCTTAAATCTTCGGATGCTCATCCCGCACCATCCATATAACGAATTCAAACACACGAACATGAAAATCGGCGTCTAGGAAGGGAGGGAAGGGCATCATCGACCACGGACCTGAGGACCTGGAGGTCCTCCAGGGATCGGGGCATCTTAAGGAAGCTGTAGTCGGAGACCGGCATGGAGAGGTAGACGCCGAGCAGCCCCAGAGCGAAGCCCGCCACTATGCCTCCCGCCACCGCCACCTCCCACGCTGAGAGAGGGAAACCCGATCGGCGGCACCTGCCGACGGCCTCAGCCGCCGCACCCTCCCCTTCCATGGTGCTACAGCAAAGGGGGGGAGAAGCCGATTGGGGTCTCAGAAGCAAACTACGAGAGGAGAGGAAAGGAAAGGGAAGACATTGCGTTACTTATCTCTCTCTCTCTCCCCTCCCTCATTTTTCGACTCGTATCTGTTCGGCTTTTTTCTTTGACATTTACAAATTTTCAACGGTCAAAGTAATTGTTCTCCACATCTATTTACTCGAAATCTCCTGCGTCCTTTGGATTGTAAAACCAAGATTTTTAAGTACCATTTCCTGAATATTTTCTCATTAATTGTTCATCCCCTAAGACAAATTGTTACTATAAATCAATGTGCGTTGTGCCCACTTTTATCCTCTGTAGAATAGATCTTTTGAGTACAGAGTTATTGCTTGAAAGTTGACTTCAGAGCGAGAGAGAGAGAGAGAGAGAGAGTTAAAATGGACGGCAAATCTCCAAGTCGCTTTCGTCGAAACGCGTTCCACGCGAAGCCACGTAGAATGGGCTGCCTTGACGTTATCTCTTGGGCCACTTATCAACGCATATATTGTTTATATTACACGGATAAATAAACCGCCGGATAATCCGTCGACCTAGAACTTTTTATGTCAAAGATCGGTCAGGCACTTGGGCAGATCCACACGACGAAGCATCTCAACAAGGCTAATAACAAGTAAGCCAGAAATTTTAATTTAATTAACTTATTCGCATGTAAGATACGTATACAACGGCCCAATCTAACGCTGGTTCCACCAGGCCTACTCGTTGTGCTTTCATAGGGGGTGGGTGGGGTTGGTACAAAATGTCCTCCTTAGTTGATCTCTAATTTGGGTGATGATGAAATATTGGACTGGCCAATTTAGTTAAAATTTCTTTTATGACACAAAATAGAAGATGACAAAGAAAAAATTTATATACTAAGAGCCTTACTATTTTTGGCAGCACGACTATAATTAAAATAGGAAGGGATGTACTTTAACTTAAAAAGCTTGTAGACATGATTTTTTGCATAGCATGATGGAATTTACAAGGGAGAGTCGATCTGTCCTCATGATCAAAGAGAATAGGAGTGGGGTACAGAACATGCCTGATGAAGAACCTAGTTGTTGCCGACCTTGCATCTAACACTCCAAAAACATCTAATGGCTACTTATCTACTCCATGCAAAAAAGTGAACTGGTTAGAGCATCAAGCACTAGACAATGCTACACTATAAATTTGAGCATTTACAGCTGCATAGAAAGGTGGTGTATTTTCAAGTGTTGTAGAAGTTTATAAATAATTAGTGTTTATTAGTTGCATAGTTTCTCAAGACAAGATGGTGAAATTTGGGATTTCGTGGAATCAATAAGCAAAGTTGGCTGCCCTTGTTAAGGCTTGTGCTTCAACTTCTTAGCATGGGGAAAGACACAATTAGGTTGTCCATGTTGTAACTTCAAAATCAATGAGTTATGGCTATAAGAGATAACTATTGTAAACTTATTGGAGCTTAGTGGTATTATCATAGGGTTGTTGAATGCTCGATTTCATTGTGCATTGTCCACCCACCAAACCTCAACTTTACATATGCAAGGGTATTACATATGGGTACTAATAAGTCTTCATTATCATGAATTAATAATTAGTAAATAATATAGTTTTAGCCTTAACTCATGATAAATAGACTTATATTTATGTTAAAGTGTGAAAAGTGGTTTTTAATTGATTAATATGAAATTTTGGCTAATTATGTGATTTTCTACAAATTTATATAATTTTATAGTCTTATTTTTAAGATAAATAAAGAAAAAAAAAAGTAAAATTAGGGAGACCCGCTAGCCAATCGAGCCCGCAAGCAGGTTGGAAGAGCAATTGAGGAGGAGCCACGAGCAGGGGCTTGAGCGGCTAAGACCGATGGAGGCATGTGTGTACCACTCCCCTTCCATGTCACCGGTGGCTAGTTGGCTGTGGGGCAAAGAGTGATCGTACACGCAGGAGAAAGGGACTCATTGCTTGCAAATGTAATATTACTATATATTCACCCCAAACTTTAGCACACAAATATTATGAAATTAAACCTGCGTCACACCTTCTCCCGAAAGGCTTTGAAGATTTTAATACCTAAAATATCCCTTATTTATAACAGAGATATACCATGATGACATCACTTGATAAGGGCGTTAGAGTACTTATTTCAATCTCTCTCATGCAAGCGGGCAATCAACGCAAATTCGAATCCTCTCAGAGTCGAAACTTGTATTTTTACTTGATTATCACAACTTTTTTGTAGATCGCTAGTGAAGGATTAAGTTGACAGAATTGTTGGATCATCGGTGAAAATCTCGTTAACATGATTTATGAAGTATTGTTACTAAAATTGTTGAATGATTCACGATAAAAGGATCGTGAATCTATCGAGTAAATCATCTTCGATTGATCAACGAACAAGTCGTCATCAGAAAGAGGACGATCTACTAGGAGACAAGTCGCCACCTCTTGAGAGCGTATCGGATGCGATGAAGAGCCTCCTCTTGTTGTGCGGACCTGAGGATGGAGCTCCCTGACACGCGCCCTACCTCCATCTAGCTCTTCTCTATTGAGTGACAGCCACTAGAGAGCCGCAAAGTCGCTATTTTTCTGCTATGTTGGGTGACAGCCGCTAGAGACGATTCGATGACTCATTTCATTGATCTTTAGACTTCGCAAGGAGATCTAGATATTACCCACATCGTCTTTGTCCAATGAGAGCCTTCGAGGCTATAAACACTACACGACGATCCTTCCGAACGCTTAGGATTCCGGTACATCGTCGACGCATCGCCGCCGCGATGTCGGAACTCTATTTTTCTGCTTTCAACTTAATTTCTATTTTATTTAGTGATAATTTGTGTGATTTAAATTTACCAAGTTATAGTTCATTCAATCACAATTCTTCTAATTTTTACAGATCTTAATTTGATCAATTAAATCGTTTGTAATCACTTACATAAGAATTGTTGGGCATAACTTTGTTTCCGCCCGATTTGCATTCGTTGGGCGCTGACGACATCATGACGTCTGCACCCTTATTTTTCTTTTTCGTGAATTTTAAATATATTTTATTTTCATTTCTTAGTATAAAAATCATAGAAACATATTTTTTGAGATTTTTTTTGAATAATTATCCGATATTGTATTATATCCCTATGATTGACTTGAAAAATTACCACTATTTTTGGAAGTTTTGTTGAATTATAATTGATATATTTTTTCAGAAATACTTCTAAATATCTAAAAATTGATATTTTCTAGTTTTATAAATTTCAAATTTACGTGATTTAGTATACAATGACTAAGTTATGTTAGGTACCCAAAAGAATGAATCATTTTTAAGAGTTAATCTAAATACAAGTAAATAACTATCAAATTTATGAGCCATTGTGAGTTTTGTGTTCATTCAAACTTGGTGCAACAAAAACCTCTCCCATGGGATCCTACAAGGAAGACCACTTAGCTCTTGTTGAGTTTCCTCCTTTGTTGGTAGAACTTTTTCTGAGAGCTGCCTTACACATAGGTCATTTGTTTTTCATGAGGCCAATTGCGACTACAAATATTTGGGATAACCTTTTAGCTAGTATCAATTATGGAGGAATATTTTAAATGGGTCTCACTCCCCAAAAAGATAGAACACTCAAATTATTGATTCAAATACTAGCTTAATAAATTTATTAATTATACTTGAGACACTAATATTCATAGATATTTATAAGTTTGTTGAATTTGCAAAGCAATATGTGATTCATATAAAGTTACCTAAAAAAATCCTCAAATATAAATGGTTTCCAATTATGTATTGAAAATGGTTAATACCATTTGGGATTGGTAATATTCATCTAGTGGTACTTAAATGAGTAAAAAATATTGTATGCTCCTAACATGAAAACATATTTACTTCTGAATAATTATTATATAAAATTTGATAACTAAGTTTCAATAAAATTTAGAGGTAAAACATGTCTTAAGTGTCTCTTGGTGCTTTTTGAGAGAAAACAAAAAAATGTTGGAACTCTCTATGTCGACCAATGGCAATGGGTTGAACTCCTTATAAGGGTTGAAAGTCAATCTCTCAATCTTTACACCACCTATTTAAACCCTAAAACACCAAAAATTAGAAACATTTATTTGAAACCCAAAATGCTATTCATCTCACTCTTTTTGACAAACCCCAACCCTTATACCTCAGAACTTAGTTTCTTTGCATGGAAATCAATCATAAGGCAACACCACTATATTTAGAAGAAATCATGATTTAAGGTATTTTGTCAATCTTACCTCTCTCACTTGCTCACCATCATAATTGGTCGTGGAAACCTAAATCGCAATTGACTTCCTTTACTAGTTGTTCGAATCCATGCTTTATAATTCAACTCTATATTTTCTTGCATTTATCAAAATCTTGAACTAGAGGCTACTAGAAGGCCCTCAGCTCTAGTCTACATTATCTTAGTGCTTGACTTCCTTTTAATAGATTGATTGACCTCAATATACCACTAAAAACCTCAAATCTATTCTATTATCACATTCTCACAATCGAAATGTTTATTTCCTCTAATTCATCACCTTGATTAGTTGCACGACACACATCTCATTCATACGACACTCCACTCATATGCTCTCCTCCACTTCAATTGGAATCCACTAAGTCTACCTTGTTCTCCTATACCTCTAACCGTCTAACAACTACTACCAACACTACAATGATCCAATTTATGACTAATTTATCTCAATACAGTGAATCCAATCTATCAACCCAATAACAACACTCCTAGGCCCAAAACTACTTCAAAACCAATGCCCATCTCTTCTCAATCCATTATTTGCTCATCACCTAAGCCCAATATACCTAGGCAAAGGACTCAAACTCAATCCACACCTATTTACCTTCCCTCCAATGTTGAAGCCCATTTTGTGGACTTTTACTATGTTTTAAAGATTATTTGAAGCCAAATAACTAATTTAACCTTATTTAATTCTCATGAAAACTCAGTTCTCTTACCTT